GTTTCCCATTAACGACGGAATATCAGACATAGGTCTTCCTTCCCATCATCAGGCAAACGATCAATCGACTGAATTCTGACTACTGCTATAGCCCCCGTAGTCTCCAGAGTGCGTACTCCAGGACAGATATTTCTCAACACGTCACTATCGCCGAGTGTCGACTGCTGAGATAGAGCGAACAGCTCGGGGATCGAATCCCAGCCCTCTCCCACTTGCTTTTCTCACAAGTACTACATTGTGTAAGCAGTGGCTACAAAAGCATGCAAGAAAATTACTGCCGCAGACACCTAATTAAACCATTCTTGTATCTTTCTGGTGAATCCCCCAAATATGGCCTTAGCAACTATCAGTGTTCTATTTTTGCCTTGTAAACGTGAGCTGTTAAAACGTCTCGACTGAGTCATTTATTTGTATCATATTGCGGTATAGACTTTCAGAGCCGTAATTCCAGTGGTCATAGTCCCACGCTGGAAAAGAAACGCCATGTCCAGAGGTGTCGCTGCATGCCAGCATGAGAAATCCCATCGGCGAAGAATGTAGACAAAGCACCTCGAGGTAAACAAACTGATAATGAATAATTTCCGAGTTGTTGAATCAAGAGACGGAGCATGTGCCATCGCTACCAGTCTTTCGAGGAGGGAGGGCGTGAAAGGGGTCCTGGTCTTGGGCCTTATACTTGCCACTACGCCGCCGCATGACGATGTATCATAGACTCTAGGAGACAGCAACTCGTACCAATTGGACTGAACCATAATTTGCCTATATAACTGCGGAATTTTGGATGAAAACCGCCCCAAGTATATGGGACTTCCATCGAATCCAGCTCGCATCGACGGTACTTCCGTAAAAGTCGGAAGACAATACTTGATCTATTAGCTCTTCGCTCCTCAATTCGATGACAGAATTATCTTTGGCCTAGCAGGAATTGATGGTGCACAGCGTTACGGTCAATACGGGGGGAGTTGCTGGTGTAGTTTGTGTTGTTTGCAAATGACGAGCAACGCCAAAGAGCTCGTAGATCCGGCTTACGATTCGACTGAAATTTTAGGAACACCGTCTGGGAGCTTTTGTTTCAGGACAACTGTCAAGTCTTCTGTTGACTCGGTAGTTCAAAAGTACGTCTGAACAGCGCTTCTGACAATAACAGAGACAACGATGACTGACATATTTGTGTTGGCATACTGTGACCATGTGTCTAACCTTAGGAAACTTATGCTTCGCAGTGTTCCCTGGTTAGTGAGTTTCAGAGAATTTTGCTCAACTTGAGCCGTACTTACTTATGGGACTTCGGTCTTCAGATACTACTTCCATGTCTGTGTAAGTATCCAGTTAGGAGGGTATGGGGCAACACCAGGATGGGTGGCCTGTAAGCTGAGCAGGGCCTCTCAGTAGAAATTCACTGCAGGACTCTGGAGCACTGCGGTCGGAGCGTAAGTCGTATACGCCCATGAATCCCCTTCTTTGCCACAGGCACCAGCAACGAACATGTTCTTCGTGAGACTGCCCACGACGACAGGTATTAGCAACAGCGAACGGGAGTAATCCCAAAAACTGTGTGCTATCTTGTTACTGTGTCATGCAGTTGGTTTCTAAAAAGTTGGACCGTCGAGAAAAGTAACTATGCAATAAGTGAAACCCTGCAGACCGAAAATGTAACGTATGGAAGCGTGAGTGGTCGGTAGAGCAATGCGACTCACTCCCTGTGCAAAACTGTCAAAAGCTTTTCGTTTACAAACAGGTGAAGAAAGATCCTCGCCATAGATCCAGAATATGTTGCCCCTATATGCGGATCAACTACCCTCGGTATCATAAGAACAGCAGTTACCGGACCAGCAAGCAGGGCCAAAACGCCGCTCAAGACAAGCAAACCGACCAAGGATCCTTTTTGTGCCCAACTCCGGTTGCGAAAAGATCGAACGCCACCCCCAGAATTGCACGGACCAGAAGAAACTGAAGAAATATCAAGTCAGAAGACCGCTGCGCGTTAGTTACGATTTTGTATGAGATTGACCTGTCTTGCGCACAGGCTTTGTCGTATTCCAAAATGCTAAGTGACACTCTACCTTTAAGCACAAGTTGACGACAGATTAGGTCTAATTCGATAGCACTCGTTCTGGCCGTGCTAAGGAGCTCCTTTGAAACATGAGTAAATCTTCTGGCTTGAATAGGAAGCTTGAAAAAAGATCGCAAGGCAATTCGAAACAAACAGACTGAACCACTCACTTGCAATTTGGCGGAGATTTGTCGGGAACCGAGCTTCAAGTCATCCTATTTAAGGTCACCCTAGAACTCACAACTGTTGAAATACTCACGAATGTTATACGTCAGCAGAAAGGTTGATAATGTCGCCGGTATAATGTGAACAGTGGAGCTTCCCAGTACAGCGCGTCGTGATCTGTGGATGAGAACCTTCCGAGGCTCAGATCCGGTGAATTATCGAGGCCTATAGGTTGTATCAATAGTCTAGTATCTGTCTTTGTACAACCGGCGATGTTGTGTTGTGCGAGCAACGAGGTGTTGACTTCAATGATGGCCTATTAGCCTGTCTCGTCTCTGGCCTGGGACTCGGGCTACTGGTAGGTGATGGATCTGACATTTTTGCTGCAATTTAAGACTCCAAGGAACAGGCCAATTAGTAGCAAATGTACGATTGTCAGCAAGGTAGGAGAATATGATGCGAAAGGCACTGAGGGGTAACAGACGACGGGACTATGCCGGGTGTAGGAACTATTTAAGAAAGTCAATGTCAACTGTCATTAGGCTGTGCCAGTGGGTAACGTGGCCCGGCCTTGCTCTGGTCAGAATTAGCTTATAATGGAATGGTTAAGCTAGTAAGCACGAATATTCTTGTTCTAGACATAACAATCTTCCAGATATTTGTGTTAGGGCACAGGTGTAAATGAGCTGGATGTTTTCAAGGCTGCTGCTCTTTAACCAATCGAAGCGTTAAAGGAATCACATCAAGCATGCCAGCTGAACTACCTTGCAGTTCCAAAATCAGGGTGAGTCAGGTAACTCGATTCTAAACCATAGATCGCCAGTTACAAGTATCACATTGACTACGACCTTCAGTAGAAATACCTTATCGAATTCCTGAGAGAGACAACAGAGTTGATACCAACACGACGGCCCGGGTGCCACTGCAACCCGTGTTCTGCTTATAGGAACAAGAAACTGAGAACATATTTGGCAGCGTTGATTCCTCGAAAAGAAGACCTCCATACTGGCTTCCGCTAAAGCCATTACTCATTGGTATACCGACTGATCTCTGTGGTCCATTGTCATTCCGCCCAACTTGAGTCGCACCGGACAGAAGACGCTATCCGTATTGACTTCGTCTTGACCAACTCTTTAGAGACTCTGAGCTTATCTGAGATGTTACGAATTGAATCGTATAAGCCAAATGTCGCGATGGATTCATTCCATCGCCCCAGGAGCCCTTGACATGACGTAGTCGGGTGGGATGACTGCCTTGAACCTGTGCTTATACTGGTAGCTTGTTTCTTGATTACTTTTCTGAGCAAGACACATACTTACACATAGAGAATTCAAGCTACTTTAGTTCACTAAAAAGTAACGCCACTAATGCCCTCAACCCACCAAATATGGCACTTGATTTGGCGCAGTGTTTTGTTATTCAATGAGATATTTGGCAATTGAATTATTTGTTCTCAGATAGGTTTTTTCTCCTATAAGGAACCTCCACAACTGTTACATTTACAAGTTGATACCCTGAATGCAATAGTCCCTCACCAGTCGCATCCTCTCAGGACCCATGCCAAGGCTTTATGCAAGCTACCTTCATTTGTCGTGCCTATGTTATGTGAAGAAGGTAAGATGCATACAACGTCGAACTTTCTACCGAGCCTTAAAACAACCACAAATGACCTGCAATTTTTGAGTAGTTGGATGTAGTCATGCTTATATTATACAGAACTCGATGGTTCAAGCGTGAACTCCTGCAACCGTTTGCGACATCGCACAGAATGAACCTTGCAATTCAGATTTCCGTTTACTTAAACCAGGATATCTAAAGCTCTAGGCCTTCACGACCGGCAGTTAATAGGAATCCTAGTCACACGCACTCTAGGCTGTGCCTCTCCCGACATCAAATGTTTCGCTTCTGTGAATCAGGCATTCTAAGTTTTAGATCACTTCACACCCTAAGCGGCCAAATATGATTCTCCATACCATTACAAACAGGATCCAGAGGACCTACTCTAGCATGGCCTCTTTACATCAAGTATGAACCTTGGGCTTTATTTCGCTGTCGGCCTGTGAAATTGTCTGAGTGTTGGATGTCATAACTGCTTTTCGGCCCCGTCTCGTAATGTTGCACTCTGTGGCACATCCGGGGCTGTTCTGGTAGCAGTTGCATGTTGCATCTCTCACCGCTTGCACGCCAACCCTTCTTGAGGCCCCCTACGCATTGCAGACATTGGCGTTTTCTGCATGATGTCACCAATCAGCTAACTGTTTGCTGTGTCGCAGAGCAAGGTCCATACTCGGATTGCGCTTTTCCATGTCAGATTTGGTCATGTGCCTATTGGAGATGGCCTTGGGACTGAATGACCGAAAGGCAACCGCCAAGCCGGGCAGTGCAGCCGCTCCATGGCTCGGCGGGGTATTGTCATTGGCTTTGTTCTGACCTTCTTCTTGTGCACAGTTCCTGCATGGAAGAACTCCATTAGTATCAATCCATTTGTAATGGCATACAGCCGCAAAAGGATCTTTGGTTTCGGTAGACAAGAAAAGCTATTGGGTAACGTACCTCAAAGTCCACCTGTCTCGGGCAACCAACACCGCCAAGCCGCCCACCATGTGGCGCCACGGGTCGGGATGTCCGTCGCTCATATTTAAAACTCCACTGTCCCCCACAGCTTGCTATTTGAGGAGCGATCAACCAACTTACAGCTTATACCAAAATCAATTGCTACGTATTGATCTTGAACTAACACAAAGTCGTGCAGTAGTTCACTACAGAGGCGTCTAGAAACACCATGTCGGAAAAAGATGAACTCGCTGATACAATCCCCCCCTCCTATAAGGAGGCTTCGCAGCCAGGCCAGGATGTCTGCCAACCTACGACGCTCGTCCTCAAGAACCAGTCGATCCATGCCCTGACACCAGAGTCGCCGCCGCTGTACCGCCTTAGCCTGGGGATTTCGGAACTTTCAGAAATTACCACAGAAGTAGAGTTGTTTCATGTTGAGCCCAGGAAAGACGGATCGGGGCGCGACCGCCATATATACGACCTGCGGTGCATGCGTACTGGACCGGGCGGCTTACTGGCCCTGCCGTCCGACTCGCCGCGGTACTACATTCAACGCGCTACCCGTCGTATTCCAGGGCTGCAAGACCTGGGGGTCAAAAAGGGCCTCTCGATCATACCAGGGACCACACGCTCAACCGCCGTGCCTGTCGACGTATATGGCAAAACCAGCAAATACAACATCACCAACTTCGTGAAAGGGGGCGCAGCAGTGTTTTCCACCAAAGGCCACGAATGGACTGATGCCCAGGGAAACGCCGTGGCGGTTATGCACGATGACACAGACAAGCGGCACAGCTTGATTGTGACAGCAGCCCTCCCGTCAGCCCAGCTCCACATGCTCGTTGCTTTGTGGTGCTGCCATGTGTGGGAATACGGGATTGCACATGCCGAAAAAGTCCACGAGGGACTTGACGGAGGTAATTTTATTTGAAATAGCGTTTTCTTGCACTGGTGATTGCGTCATTATGTGTTGCTGACTCCTGGCACGAAATTTTAGTGAGAAGGAAGATGAGGTTAGCTAGAGAGTTTGGATTCAGTGGTAGTTCGTCAGGTAAGTCGCCGGCTTCCAAATATGTCGCCGATCTTGTTGGCTAAGAGTTTCCAGGAGGAGCGGGAGGTGCAGCTGTAGCGTTTTAAAGACGCACTTTCAGAGACTTGCTGCAACTAATATTGCGAAGAAATGGGCATGATTTATGTCCTCCGGCACAGACGGAGACATAATCCAAGTTGCCTATCAGGCTGTCAAGGGGACACCAGTACGGCACCAGACTTGGGGGAGGCAAGGAGAGATGTAAAGTGATCTATTGATGTGATAGATCAACTAGATAAGTATATAACCGCTCAGTGGCAACAGAAGAATAAAAGAACGGCCAAAAAAACCACCGCTGAAAAAAACATCACGCCAAAAAAGGCCGCTCCCACCTCGAAATTGATTTGGGCCTCCACCCCCCCTTGACCTCAACCTCGCTGCCGCCTGCCTAGGCCAAACGGATCCACCTCGCTGCGCCCCCATTGCTCAGGCCCATACCACCACTGCCAGAGGTCGCCGCCTCTCCTGTATCATCTTCTCTACATAAACATAGGTTAGCAATCTATGAATCGAACGTTGCGCGGCTACTATCACGGGGCATTAAAATGCTTACTTTCTAGTCAGGAGAGGCGCCTCCTGGCCAGTGGGGCTGGGGCCCTCGCACTGGGCTTGCATTGAGGTTTCACCTGGCGGCGAGGCGGGTGTTGAGGGGAGTGGAGAGACCCGGAGTGAAAGGCTGAAGAGGCTGTGGTGGATACGTCAGAAAGAAGACAATACTCGAAGGATGAGGGGGAATACTCACATAGCCATGTTGTAACTTATGTTGGTTAATATGAGTATAACCAAAAGCGAGTGGCGAGGTGGATGTGGGAGAGAGAAGACGGGGGGATTGGGGGGCATCGAGGGGTTAATTTATAGGCGAGGGAGTCAGGGAAATCAAGTAGGCACTAGTTTTCGACTCATTGCTTCCACTTGCACAGTTCACCGTGAAAATCAGGTATTTGTCTTTTCAGAAAGGCACTAGGGGGGCGTAACAAACGAAAGTACTGGCGGCGGCATATGGCAGCTGCTCTTCCATGGATGAAGCTCTTGCTATTCTGGAGGCTAGTGAACTGGCGTTTCTCTGAGAAGCACGCGCCTCCCCTCAAGATCAGCATCAGCATGGGCACGCCTTTCCTTAATCTCTTGTGGTTAACAAGCATATGGCTACGTTAAGGAAACGCGACCCGGCAACGTAGTAGAGTAAGTGGCAAGCTCACTAAGCAAGCCCAGACTGCTATTGAGATCTAGGCTACTACTCTAGGCTGTCCCTGCAAGACTTCTGTCACATAAAGCGATATAATTAGTTGATTTGAGGAAGGTCAATGGTCGGTTCCTCTACTAGTCTCAATAAAGGCTGATGAGGTTATGGACCATGGCTGCATTCCGACGGATCGCTGAGGCAGGAAAGTGGCCATGTGCGCTGAACCCTTGGCCGTTGGTATTACTATTTGTAACGAAACTGGGAAGTAACAGAAGTAACTCCGAAGGCGAGCCAAAAAGACCTCTTAAGAGATTCCGGTTAAGGCAGATAAGGTCGTCTTTCAGCGCAGCCGAATCAGTACGCTAACTAGAGAACGCATTTCATTTCAGAGCAGATACAAACTCCACAGTTAATAATTCTGAAAAAGTTATGTCTCATGAAAATATCTTGAGGAAGTCTCCGGTGACTTCTTTCTCGGATGGAACTAATTGAAAGGCGGGAGACCTAATGTTATCTTAGCTACCTCGGAGATACATCGGCCATCTAAATTCAAGGTACCTGTAAACTTTAGCCGTCGATATCACCTAAGCCGGAGAGGTTTCAACCAGATGGTTTCTCCGTTTGGTCGAGGCTGCACTATATTCAGTCTGTCCTCGCGACTTCCTTGAGTAGGCCAAGAATCACGCATCTCTGCTTCTTCCTTGCAACTAGGTAGAACCCGCCCACTGTGAGGTGTTGAAGCAGCAGACTTTACACGAACTCCTTTGAGACCCTTCAGCCACCACCGCCTAAAGTAGCTGCCATAATGCCCGGTGATTCCACTGCCTACCCTGACATGCCGGGTGCGGCTGCTCATCAAGACAATCCTCCTCAATATGAATCTATTCCCCACGTGCACCGCATGAGACATTACGCATCTTCGGTATGGGAGGCCATCAAACCTAATGCCTGCTTCGCGTTCGACTCTTCATTGGCCCTCAGGGACAGCACGGCAACAGCCGAATCTCAATGGGAAGGTAGACTTCACGTCAAAACACTCGATCTGCTGCGATTAATGCGAGACGGCTTCCACTGGACAACAGCAAACTTCGATATCACAAGTAACTACATTCTAATGGATATCGACAATGCGAAAGAAGACACCATATATTCTGGCTGGACATGCTCGCGAAGCTACTTTCTGTCGGACTTAGGTGACGAACCCTACTGGACCGCGAAGTTGGTCGTATATGCGCGGAACACCGGTGTTCTGTCAAAATTCAGGCCCACTCAACTCAGCCTGGAAAACATGAGATCAGTTTCTGCATGGAGAGAAGATGTTAGACGGGGCATACAGCAGTGGATTTACGACTGGGATGTTGAGGGGCCAGAGGAAGCTTTTAACGCCATTTACGACGACATGCCTCTGGAAGGGTGGTGGCCATGGCCCAAACATGGTGACAATGTCGTGCTGGGGTCCGAGAGTTCGGATGGTGATTAGAAAATTGAATTGAACCCATACAAGTAACAATAGGTTATCGAGTATAAACATTTTCCGGTATTCTCTACGGGACTACACACCTTCGAGTTCAAAGGGATATCATTGCATTGTAGTTTATTTTCACCCTTTGAAAACTAGACATGAAAGATGGGTGAATGAGTGTCCACCTCCCCCGCGCTACCAGACATCTTTTTCATTTCTCTGAGTAACCAGTCGATGAGTAATAGGTTGACAACCTGACAGCAGACTCGAAGGCCCACAAGTCTTCGACGACTATTCCTCCGTTAAGCTCCATTGACTAAACGATTGTGATATCTGGATTTGTCTTTCACATGTTTAAATCGTCTCCAATCTTGCCTCCCAGCTCAGCCCCTTCACTGAAATATTAAGGGGGCTGACGGAAGGTAGGCTTTGTGAACAGTTGCCTTGATCATCATTAATTTCAGAAGTTTTATTTCCTAGTGCATTCCAGAACAGAGGCAAGAGCTTCTATGTGTCATACCACCGCAGTGACAGTGTACATGTTAAGGTAGGAACGATTAGTTAGATGAGGGAAGGATAAGCACAGCCTCAATTTCTTTTTATAAGAGACAGGAAGGAAAGGACTACAAAACGAAGAAGCCAACCATCCCCTCGCTGCCCCCCTAAAGCCTTCCACCGTGAAGGGCTGGGTGAGAGGCCAGTGGAAGGCTTAGCAATCGGAGGCAGGCACAGTCCGCGATGGGGTCCCACACAGCGAAAAAAAAGAAAAAAGAAAAACGTCTGTATTTTCAACTAAACAACCATAGTAAAGTCGGAATGCAGCTCCTAGAGTTGAGCGCAATGATAAGGACTAGAAATCAGACTTGTCTAATTTGAAAGCGGCCATATTAAGGCACCGTAGGCGTGTCCAAGCGTAGAAGGCCGGGCAACAGGTGATGGATCTGTCGTTCGACGATTGTCATACTGACTGACCTCATGGCCCCTGCTTGCTGTGGTCACTTTTTGGAGGAACATGCTGCCTTATCTCAATCATTTACATGGCTCTACACAATTGGCAAGCGTAGCTGTTTTTCCGCGACAGGAGGGGCGACACCAGTCACGATTTTTGAGGCAGGCAGGCAGGCTACAAGAGGTGCTTTATGCCAGCCCGGCAAGAGCTGCGCTGAACACGGAGTCTCAAAGACCTCTGGCAAACTGTGACTTCTATCTCACGGTGATATACTAATGTCGGGCAGTTACGGCCATAAGTCGATGGAAATTCCTAAGGAATAGAACGTGCAGAAGAGGCTTATTCCAAAAGGAGTATCATGACCCTTCACCACATACCTTCCATACGATATGCCTTCCTTTCATTTCCGGTTGCACATGCCTGGTTTTGCGCATTTTCGAAGGAAGTTGAGATCCAAGTTTAGAAAATCGATGAACGGAAAGCACGCATTATTTGTAGGACTGCTTAAACAACTTTAACCTCTATTCTACTATCTCCATCCCCAATCCCAATCCCTCGAGTCCACAAGCAGCTTGCCGTCGTAATCGTTGTCGTCTTCTTCTTCGCCCTCGTACACGACGACCTCTTCCCAGTATATTGATCTTCTCCCGCTGAGTCCACCTCGCTCTTCAACATAGATCTTCGCGCCAGCGCCTCATCTCAGACGACATTTTAGACTGAAGATTCACGGTCAGGTTCCAGCCGAAGTTGAGTCCCGACGTCAACAGCTATGTCTCATCACTGATGAGCTTTTCACATCCAAAGGTATGGACTCCTTTGGTGATTCAGCGTATCTTCAGTGAAGATACTGCTAATCTACTGAGCACACGCGCACCAGCTTTTCGCGTGTTGTGCAGTGTTGACCCCTGTCATCCTTCTGAGAAGAGAACCTGATGAGAAGGAGTCGGGTACTTTTTTTTTCCCTTCGGGGTTTTCCTTGCCACCGCACCTGCTTAGCCGACCCGTGACCTTCTGCGTGGGGCTAACAAAAGGAAAAAGTTTTTTTAGGTTTCAAACTTTCGAACACGCTCCATCGTTCTTCCGCGTCCGCCTCGACGGTTAGGTTACACTGACGGGATGACTGGTTTGGGCTGCAAGGTTGGACTTCAAGGTTGAGCCAAAGGGTTGGGCCAAATGGGTCGTTGACTTGGATGTGTGTGGAATTGTGTCTTGTGTAGTGGCAATAAAAATTTGTTCCAAAAAGTGACGAAGTCAGGGCGTGTGATGTCTGTCTTTATAGTTGCAAGATCTAAGGTATTCCATTAGTTCCTCTAAAGCCAAGGTTGGAGAGAATAGCGACGACAATTACTGCCCTTAACAAAACATGGCATGCGGCAATCCACTGCATGGCGTTCTACAACTTGGAGCCTAAGTATTCAAGTTCTCAATAAAGGGCAAGTGGCTGGTAGCCAAAAAAACCATCAGCATGCTGTGAACTTGAGGATGGAGAACACTTTAATAGACTCCAGGCTCGTCCAACCGATGAACGTTGTGGTTCAAGCCTCCCGCGTAAATCATATCACGGTGCCGATTCATCAAGCGACAATCCAAAATCTAAGCTTTTCCCAGATGACGCATGTTCAGAAAGGTCATGTGCGTTGTAACTACCGATGCGGACTCATCTGTCGTTGAAATTGGGTGTGTCCAAGCGCATCCCTAGGATGTGGCTTCCCTTCTGTCCCCACTTTTGTCCCTCCGACAACGACAAGACGTCAAAGCAGCGTTTGTGGATAGGAACCGATCTCGTCTCTTGCTCAAGGCTGTTTTGCGACACTCTTTTTCCTATAGATAACCGGGTTTCAAAAATTTAAAACAGAAATCTTTCATGATTCAGTTTTCAGAAACCACGAATAAATCGTGCTGTGTTGACTGTACTGGTAGATGGCCCGCATGGCTTCATCACCATTGTTTCTGGTTCCAATTATCAAGGCATAAAAAACCCCCATCTGCGCCGCATCGTAACTAATCGGGATCTCCCACAGATCTGAGGCAGGTGTCTTTGTCGGCCAAGACAGTGTTAACTCATTCCCAATATGGTGGATTGCGCTAAATGCTTGGCTATTCAATCGATGATTTATACAGGGCTTTTTACTCGCAAGGTTTTATTCTCGTCATTACATGACAACTGGATGCGTCCAGTTTAGTGTAAGTTAAGATTACCAGGAGACGGACGTTGAGCTGGAGTCGCATGCAATTGGCTGGTTCGGACTCAGAAAGCGATTGTGCTTACTGGCAGACATGGCTCCCCTGTTAGCATTCATCTCAATGCTGATGTTTTTATGTGACGGAGTGTTTGGTACCCGCACAGCCCCCAAAGTTAAGGTAGCCTCCAGTTAACCCCTGCATACGAGTACCACCACCTGCTAGGCTGTTCTGTGCCGCAGCTGAATCTCAGGTTTATCCAGTCTAGTCTACCTTGAATGATCAGGCTGAGTAGGTGGGGTTTTTCGTGCTTAGTCTAGAGGCTACTTTGAAATAGCATCCCAGCATGTTCAATCAAACAGTTTGGGACGCGTACCTTAAAACCTTTGATTGCAGGCTACGTCATAGCATACAATGACGGATGAAGTAGATGGAAGCATGTACTGATAGGTGTGTCTTTGGCGACTTCAACAAACATTTGACCGGCTAACTATTGACCATGGATTCTCTAGTGATAGTCCTACATAACAACTACAAACAAGTCAGGTCCTCAAAGATGGCACCCAAGCGCCTCTGATATCGGGCTGTAAGGAAATGATGTTCCAGATTCCGCCAGCCTGTTAGAAGTGACAGCTACCTAGTAGTGATCCACCACATGGCACCTACAGCTTCCGCACTGCCGCTAAGCGACCGATACGCTAATGCTATGGGCTCTTTGCCAAGTCTTAGCTTGGGGGCGGCCGCTAAGTGCCTAGGCTTAGTGCCTCCGGCGCGCGGAAATTCAGTGGGTCTGGGTGTCCATCAATTTTAGCAACAACAGTCACCTAATGCAACCCTAAAACCTTCAAGAGGAGAGTAAGTCCCAATTTCTGGCGTTCCTCACCGGTATGATTCAACGTCAGATGGCTGCTTCGAAACCGTGGGCGCACCCGTTGGACTTGTAGTCCTCTCGACTTTCTTTTTCCATTTGTTCTGACTTTTTGTTCTCTTGCTGCTGCTAATCTTTTCTCCCACAACCATGTGGTTACAATCTTTGGCGGAGGTCGTTGCTTTGGGCCTCGCCCTCCAGTTTCCCCACTTTGTAAATGCGCAAACCAGCAGTGACTGGAAGCTGTCTGATTCTCCGCCTCGCGATCTCTTCCTTCGCCGGGCGCACGCTAGAGGTACTACGCTTTTGGAATACTGATTGTTTTTTTGTAACTAACGTTGTTCATTTTTAGTCGCGGTTCTTGGCAATTATGCTTACATCGATGGCGGAGAGATGTCCCAGCTCGCGGCGGACGGCAAACCGATTCAGAACCGAGGATCGAATGCCGGTAAGTTGCTTTGAGCCACAGTGATGGATGTCTGTCTCACTCGAACTTCTTTGCAGTCAATTCAACTCTTTCCATCGATCTGTCCCAGTCATGGACTGCTTCGAACGTCACGATAAGAATAATCGAAAAGCCGATCACCGGAATGGACGGACAAGCGATGTGGAAGAACGAAGGGCTGAAAACGTTCTTCATCTGGGGCGGCCACATACCCTATGGCGGAAAGATTGGACCTGCTGAATCCTGGAAGTTCGAAGCCGACGGCAAGGGTGGCGGCGAATGGGTTACGGAATCACCAGCCAATCCCTCTCTGTTCAGCGAGTTACGGCGAAACGAAGATGGAGCGTTTGTGAGCACGCCAGACGCTGGATTCTGGTTTGGAGGTCTCGCATCTGCTTGGACGAACCCCAATGCTTATGTGCAGGCCGTGCCCGGAGTTCTGTCTTACAACATGACGACTAAAGTCTGGACCAACGAAACAACACCTGGCTTTTCTGCCTTCTCGAAATATGGTACTATGATCGGCGGTGGTGGCGTTTATATCCCTACGTTCGGTGACAATGGCCTGATCGTTGTAATGGGAGGGTGTCTTTATACTCTCGAGCCGAGCCAAAAGGGTCCATATGGATGGATGGACTTCAGCAACTTGACTTTCTACGACCCCATCACAAAGGACTGGTACTGGCAGCAGACCACTGGAAATGCACCCACGCCGCGCAGGGGCTTCTGCTCTGTCGGCGCCGAGGGTAAGAACGGAACCTATGAGATGTAAGGTTTGGCTTTTTGCAGTCAAAATGACTAAGGCTAACATTGAACAGCTTTGTGTTTGGAGGAACGAATACTGAAACCGGTTCCACTTTCGACGACGTCTTCGTACTGAGTTTGCCGGGCTTTGTATGGACTCAGGTACAATACCAGTCGAAGAACCTGCGGAGATACCACAATTGCGCAGTGGTTGGCCGCCGCCAGATGTTGTCTGTTGGAGGAACTGATGGCATAACAGGCTGGTCTGGCGCGGACCCATGGCCAAATGGGCTGGGCATATTTGACATGACGGATTTGAAATGGAAGAGTGACTATGACACCAATGCGGAAGACTACGAAACTGCAAAGTCGATTCAAGACTGGTATCAAAATAGGTAAGTCTGCTTTCAGCATGATATTATCCATTAACTCGCTAACACTATCTTAGTGGCGTTAATAGCGTTAAATGGTCATCAGAGCGAGTTCAGAAGGTTTTCACCAAGGCAACGAGTTCAAACGGTTCATCTGAAGAAAATCCGAGCTCAGGGACCGATAAAACTCCCGGAGCTAACGACAACAACAACAATCTTGACGGCGAAAGTCAGAATAGGCTTTCAACAGCGGTTATTGCCGGGGTTGTTGTTGGTGCTGTTCTGGGAAGCATTATGGTGGCCGCTGCGTTCTGGTTTATTCGCCGACGGAAACAGAAATCGCTGGCAGCCGCTACTGTTCGAGGCGAAGAACCGGGTGTGAACCCTTATTATGAACCAATCCTACCAGGAGAGCTACCTTCACAGCCTTCTCGAACAGAGCTTTATGGAGGTCCCGGCTCAGAAGATGGTTCATCTTCGAACGGGCCCAAAGTTGAAATGATGGGTTCTCATGGTCATCATTTCACTGTTGCAGAGCTGGATGCGCACCAGTATCAAGACGAAGAACGATTGAGGAAGTGACAGTGGAGATAATTTACATATAATGATTGAATTTATGATACCCTGAAAGCAAATTGTTTTATCCAAGAGATAAGGCCGTTGAAGTCCTGTGGTTTCCGGACGATTCCAAGCTGTCAAATCATGTCGGGGATGAAGAGAATAAGATGCATTCACTTAGTGAAGGAGACTCCAGGCCATCAGACGTAGTGATTGAATACTTGGTGAACCTTGGCCACTAATGGCGTAACGTACATCTATGGCGTTAAATGTAAAATCCCTGTAAATTTCTCAAGCTAAACCTGACCCAGAGTTGAATGAAACTGGCATGATATAACCTTCCAGTCAAGAGTGTCTTTTCATCACTCTATTCGGTCATCTACTGAGAGCGGATCCCCGGGATAAGAGAGGATTTTGGTCTCACGTAAGAACTCTGAGCTAAACCCTAGTCACAGTATCGCCAAGGTTCTCGTTCCTATTGGGTGGATTTACCGCTTTCAAGCAATACTATTCCATTCACACGCTGGTTCGGGCCGTGACATCAATATCCAGCATAAGTTCTGGGCCGTTGGAGCAGCCGCGACGATGTGCAAGATTTCATGACTTTGGGGCGCACATTGAGTATAGCATACTGACTTAGACTGAACTACTGGGGGAAAAACAGGTGCGTACATGGTATACGGCAAAAAAAGTGACCCAGGATATTGGAACTCGAAGTCTTTGACCGAATAAAATGTCCTTCTTCCACGTTTTGGCTGTCTGCCTCCCAGTCTGATATTGGTTGCTGACCTTACCCACAATGATACATTGTTCTTGAAGCTCTGGATCATGCTGCGCAGTAAGGTTTGCACATCGAGCCAATGATCTTGAACAAGGTCCTAGGATGGTTAAAGTGGTGTGTGACCAAATGCCTCGTTTAGACAACTCCGGGGGCAAACTCAAGCCTGCCACAACACACCCTACAAACGTAATCGGATATCTTAAATTCTCCACCACAAAAATGTTCCTTTTCCGTGCAAGAATGTCCCGACAATTCAGCCCGTCACTAGGCATTCGTCTGATCCAGGCTCCCGGTCCAGATGGATGCAACGCATTTGGGGCAGTGCATGTACAACACAAGGGATGATTCGCTCTTAATCACATTGCATGAACTAAGAACGCCACTTCGTGTGTTCAGTTCCTGGGTACACCAGCCGAAGACAAGACACCGCCCACATAGAACAGCCACAAGCCCGATAGTTACGATCGTGGCGGTCGGGAATCGGGTGGCGGGCAGAGCTTCACATTGACGAGCTTGAGAATTCTTGACGGCGTTTGAGCCCCGAGAATTGGCCATTTGAACGTCATTCTAGAGCCAGGGAAAAGTCTTCGCTTGCATCGAGAGCGCAAAAGCAATTCCAGAGCCTGATTATTGTGACTCGGTTAAGCGACAGGGGATCCCACACCACGTTTTTCAGCTCTCTGCGGCTTGCCAGCATTTGTCCTACCAACCCAGCAGGGGCCAGGGTATGCGAGGACTCGATAATAACAGTCAACGCTAGGATTGGACAGAAATAAGGTAAGACCTGCAGCCTCACCATGATCGTGGGCTACCCCGCCCTTGGTTGGTCTATTGCTCCAGGCCGCCATCCCATGGTGGTTGCAACCCTATAAGGCAATTCTGGCCGCAATCAACCAGCCCCTGCCTGTATTCCACCATTCATCGAGACGCTCCAAGAGATGATTATAGCCCTCTTTGAAGGGGAGCAATTCAGAATCGAGGCTAATGCACCTTGAACAGTAATAAATGCGAGGTTTGCCTTCCCAGTTCTCATACATATTATGGCGCAAAGGGAAACACCCACACCTGGCTGCCTGGACTTCCACCATCTTCATGAACAGCGGCTGTGGCTTTATGGCGGCGCCCCGCTGTCGATAGTTCGTTCACTCTAGATGTCCTGAACATGCCATTGATGCTTTGTTGCGCCACCCAACTTAGCCTGTCAACAATCACTTCCATCCACCATGACGAAGAGTGACTCTATCTCGGAGTTTGAAGAGATATCTTTCATTTTCGACTCGGACCGAAAGATATCTCTCGACTTAAGGTTTCCGTCTAATGAACCTGGCCCTTCTAGTCCCGAGTTCATGCTTCAACAGCCTACGGCAAACGCTCCATCATCGACGGCGCCGACAAGAAGCATTAAAGAGAATTGTCGCCCTGTCCGTTTGGCACTAACAGCATGGGTAGCCAGCTTGATATTTACCATCGTTTATTCGCTGTTCATCTACCATGTTCTTTTCGAAGGCAACCCAGTCGTTGGATCATGGACCTTTGATGCATCCCTAACCAACTTGCTTCTCTCTATATTCTCTCAACTGTACGGCATGCTCTTAGCATATGTCGCAATCAGCTTGTCGGATGCATTGCGATGGTCCTTGGCCTCAAGAACTGGAGGCAAAGGTGGTGCCTCGGCTTCCAGCTTTTTTCAACTGAGTCCGGCGACGGACTGGTTCTCTGTTCTCAAATTCATTTTCAAGGGCAGGTTTCGAAGCAACTGGGGAATCATAAGGTAAGAGCATGAAGTTGTTGGCGTTTTTTCCTAAGACTAACGCGACCAGGCTTGCAATGCCTTTTATGGGACTAGGCTTCGGTTCCATCCTGAAATGTAGTTACTTCCTGAATAGCATGCATTGCTGGAGCATATAGCTAACGTTTTGCAGTTCAAAACAGTTTCGAGGATTACTTCATCAAACAGGGCGCCTCCATCGATGTTTATGCCGGAAATGCACCCCCCGACGTATCAATCCTAGGACTGATCTCAACAGCATATCTAGACGGATTCTTCGATACATGGACACAGCAACTGCTTAGTTATCCCCGATATGCAACAGAGTGGAAAATGGACGGCTGTACCGGCAAATGTTCTGTGTCATTCCTCCCCGGAGGAATGGAAATAGCTCGCAAAGTCGGCCCCTTGCTAAACAGCACTGTCCTCAACGGTGGGCTGTTCAATCAGAGTGAATCAATTATGATCGAGAACGCGCCTGGTATGGTGGCCCGATTTGAACCAGTAGAAGACGGTTTCGAGTTCGACATTGAAAAGGAATGTAGGGTCTATCATACCCCTCTCGGAGATGCATTGCAGATGTGCAAGAAGCAGATAGGGGACTCGGTTGCGGCAGGTAAGAGAATATCCGAGAATCGTCGTCGTCGATGATGTTGCTAAACTTCGTCTAGGTTGGCGATCCTGTCCAAGCGTGGTCCTTATGACAAAAGGATGCGCGCTGCGGCCATCATGGTCAAAAACACCCATAGTCTCGAAAACATTGTTCACTGCATACAGACAAAACGCGACAACAATGTACAGCCAGAAGGACCTCTCCATCCAGCATGTAGAGGCTGTCTCTAAGCCAGTTCGAGTTAAGATGTCAGAGCCTGACATGGAACTGATTTGGAACAGAATCTTTGTGCCGCGGAACAATTCAGACGACTTCGACCTCCAATCCATCAATATCACAATCGCGAGAATGACATGGAAGTACCGGACCTACACCGAGTTCTTCCCTGACAATGAGATGCACGTCGAGCTGTTGCAAAACTTTCTCTCCGTCCCACTTCAGTTTGCTATTACGGCATTGCAGTATGCCAACTACACAATGGCTCTGCCGGAAGAAAAGCGTGTATTCCCACCGGAACTCTTGACGAAAGCAACTGGTGGACGGTCGATAAAGCGGTTCGTTAGTCAGCCGTGGACAGTGATCGTCTTCATTGCCGCGGGGAGCACCGTGGTGGCGTTGACGGGAGGAGGGTTCTGGTGGATTCTGTCACAATTGCACCCACTTCCAAAGCCTTCCGGAATAGTTGAAGTTGACTTTATGAGTAGACTGAGCGACTTACAAAAGGACCGCGATCAGCATGGCAGCACAGAACCATTTTCAGACTTGGTACACGATATCAGATCACAAGACAAACAGTCAGCTTGGCAGATCATTCAAGCACTCCGGGAAAGAAGGTTGGGGTTGACCCCTACCGAGATAACTGACGAGGAGAAAGGACGGACAAAAGTTCAGCCAGTTTTACACTTGCTACCAAACAGGGTGAACAGTTTGGCGCCTGAGAGCTCTTCTTTCACATGTAGTGAGGATGAAAAGACCACCAGAATGGACTCAAGGGATGTGAGATAGTTTGAGCGATGGTTACAAACACTTGATTGAATGCCAGAAAGTTTACAGTTACCTAAGCATATCGCGAAATACTCAAAAGATGTTAATAACAAAATAAAAAAACGAACATCAGCGGATAAGAACCAATTGACATAGTTCAATCGTTGACTTTGCTAGTGGTATCAAGAATGAACCTATAAGGTGCATTCTGAATGGGCCGTTATTTGGTGTAAAGTCCCTATGACTGAACCAGAAGCATCAATATGGCTTATTGGTGGTGCACAGAATCTTACATACTGTGTCAAGTCGTTTGAAGTTGGGAATGGCAAAGACCTTCGTGTCGTCACCATCACTGCTTATATCTTAACATCGTCATGGCCTGGCGAAATGTTTTGGCTGCATATGCAGTGAGTCTTGGATCGGTTTAGGATGTAGGTCATCGTGATGTGATCTGATGCTTTATGATTGGCGAGGCGAATGAAGCCTACCTCACCCTAGGCTTTTTTTTTTGGTCTGGCCATTGCTCGATTTTGACGTCATAGTTGCGAATAAAACGCTCGAAATTAATCACCACGGAAGGGTTATGAACATAAGCCAGCATATAAATAAAAAATAGCAGCAGCTATTTCAATACGTTTTTTCAGACTCGGATTATATAACGTCGCACACCCACTTCTCGCACACCCCCACATTTCGCACACCCATAAATTGGGTCATCATGAGGTATTCATCAACTTCATAACTATAAGTCTGATTCGTCTCCTGCAACTGTGATACTATCGCCAGTTTTAATAGGTAATTCAGGCTCGCTAGATTCATCTGAGCTATCCTCAATTTCGCCAGCCTCAATTTGGGCTTTGTGAATTGCCTCAATGTTGGCAAACTTCGAATTTGGGCTCATTTGGACCTTACGCCGCTTCCGTACCATTCCAGCCTCAACTTCTGCTTCCAACATTGCAATCTTCTTCTCTGCTGTAGCCAATTGATAGTCCTTTTCATCAAATCCCTTTTGAACCTTCCGAAACAACAGTCGCTGCGTTTGCTGATCTTTATCCAACTTGCTGAATAAGCTAAGTTGATCATATAGATCAACTGTCTTCTTGGGCGTTGACCAGGCTACTATGGATGTAGCAGATGCCCAGTTTTCGTCTTTTCCACCATCAGAGGCCCTCATAGGCGTAGAATAGCCTGGCTTTGAGGGCTTGGAAGCATTCTCAAGCAGTAGAGGGCTCATGAGCGGTCGAGCTATCGAAATGGGCCATAGTCCTGTTGCTTTCCAGCCGCTTCTGATATTCTTGCTTGAAAATGCCATCTGGCGTGCTTTTCCATAGCAGGTAAGAAAGTTCCGTTTGCCTACAACTGTAGAATCGTTGTGTTGAATGAGGTATCCAAGCTCTTTTCGATAGGTCGCCTTGAGAGGCCCAAAGACTGCTTGGTCTAGAGGTTGGAGAACGTGGGATGTATGTGGCGGTAGGAAAAGGAGATATATCTTGTGTTTATAACAGAGATACATAAATTCTGTTGTTTCATGACTGCCATGACCGTCTAGGATCAATAGTCTCTGCTCAGAGGGATGATCAGGCTTAGTCAGAGGGATAAAGATGTTCTCAAGCCATTCCACAGCTGTAGAGTCTGAAGTCCAGCCATTCTCAGTTGCTGTGAACTTCCAACCACTGTAAATATCACGTTTATGGATATCAAGAGGAAACCATTGTTGTTGAACCGATTTCCCTCGATAAATAACAAGTGGAGGAAGCGCCTGACCAGTTGCAGAGACACACTCAAGCATAGTTGTCCAAGCCCGAGACCCAGGCTGTTTTTTTCGCATTGATGAGCTTTCTGATGATCCCAGTACTAAGCCATTTGATCCTCTGCCTTCTAGGATACCAGTTTCATCCATGTTATAGCGATGATGTGGTTTGATCGCCTTGATCTCTGGAAGGGCGAGTTGTTGAAACCATTGCCTGATTACATTAGTTGAGGCCCCATTGACACGCTTAGAATCGATGGCTCTAGCTCTATGAACCTTGATTGATGGATTTCTCTTAATAAAGAACTGAATCCAGTTTCTCCCAAGTGGCTGGGTAGTGCCTCTGATGTCTAGGATTCGCTGGGCAAATTCCTTGAGTTGTTGATGTGTTGGCGGCAGCCCTAACGCCGCCTGGATACGCACCCATTCAGCTAAGTGACTTTCCTGTGCTGGAGATAGCTTCTGGAAGCTAGAGAAAGCTACATTTCTTGCCTGTGAACCCTTTAATCGAGACTGGAGGGTTGATGGTGGAATTCCAGCATCATGAGCTGCCTTTCGGACACTCTGCCCACTTGCAACTGCATTGAGAGCTTGATTGACTTCTGTTTCCGTATACTGGCCCATTAAGCGTATAAGAGTAACTATTCAAAGAATTATAATAATCGCTGTAAAAGTGGTGAAGATATTAAAGAATGTTGAAGAGGGTAAAATTCTACATGAGCGATTTATGGGTGTGCGAAATGTGGGGGTGTGCGAGAAGTGGGTGTGCGACGTTACCTGAGTGATTACAAAGGTCGGCAATCACAGAGAACGCATGTTCAGACTCATCAGACCTAGTCACAAATTATTTACGCGTAATTTTCCTGTAATTCTTTCACAGAACAATCGCGGGCTTGTGAGAATGTCTTCATCTGCCAATGCCGGGGAAAATGGCGCCTTCAAGCCAGTGGTTGAGAAGCAGGCCCAGGACCTTCCTGGGTGAGTTCACATAAAGCACATTGCTAGACGCCTGGCTGACCACAGAAGACGTGAGAAAGATATGCAACCCACGAGTGAGGCAACTAAGCTCGAGGGTAAAGGGCAGTTCCACGAGTACAAGGCTGCCGGAAAGCTTAGCGGAAACAAGGCTCTAATCACTGGCGGAGAGTACGTCATTACCAATTCTCGTGGAACAAGAGCGAGCTAACCAAATAAGTTCCGGTATTGGTCGCTCCGTTGCCGTTCTCTTCGCCCGCGAAGGTTCGGACGTCAGCATTGTATACTTGCCAGAGGAGCAAGAGGATGCTGAGGAGACAAAACGACTTGTAGAGAAAGAGGGAAAGGAATGCCTTCTCATCCCAGGCGACCTTATGGACAACGAAACCTGCAAAAAGGCTGTCCAGCAGCACGTCGACAAGTTTGGCATCATTCACGTGCTTGTCAACAATGCTTCGAAACAAATCATGTGCGAAGATTTCAAGGAAATCGACCTGGACAATGTCGAGAGCACATTCCGCAGCAACATCCTGCAAATGTTCGCGATCACCAAATATGCACTCCACCATATGGAAAAGGGCGCTTCGTAAGACTTCCCATCGTGCTAAATTTTGTATTTCACTAACGGAACTGTTCAGCATCATCAACACCACTTCCACGGTAGCCTTCAGGGGTACCGCGAGCATGGTTGACTACGCCTCTACAAAGGTTGCTATTACTTCGTTCACTCAGTCATTGGCGAAGCATCTTACGCCGAAGGGTATCAGGGTAAATGCCGTCGCTCCTGGCCCAGTTCATACACCTCTGCAGCCTGCTTCGCGTCCTGCAGAGCAAATGGAAGGCTTTGGTAAAAAGTCACAGATCGGCAGACCCGGACAGCCCAGTGAGATAGCACCGAGTTATGTATTTTTGGCTTCAAAGGACTCGGAACTGTACTACGGCCAAGTTCTACACGCATACCCCTTGGGCGATTAGGCACAATATTGTAGGAAAAGCTAGCAGGAGCTATACAAAATAATGATGAATCTACCACTCGTTGAGAAACGAAGTCAGATGAAAGAGTGATATTGTACCCCGTAGAGAAGAGATTTGTGCCGCGTCAAGTTTGCAAGAATAAGAACAGACTCAAGGCCTAGTTTCTCGTGGCGGTATCCCTAGTCATCATAATGCTTAGTGCCGTCCTCGATAAGTCCTTAACCACATTGGTAATAGAAAGGCGGTGAAACTGCCTGGCACGTCGAGCCGGACTATGGAAGTGTCAGTCTAGGTTGAAGATGTGAAATGCTCAATGACCGGGCTACTTACAGCACAATTAGTGCAACCTGTATAGCCTTGGCCGCCACATTGGGCATACTTAGCAACTGTACATCCTGGGAGGCCCCCACTGCTGCTTGGCTGAGGAACACTGGATGCTGTCCCCGTAGGTCCTGCACCGGCAGTGCAAGTCTGTTCACAACCAACACATCCAGATCCAGCACTCTTAGTTGAACCGCCAGCATAGACTGTGGGCCCTGGAACAACATAGTTACTTGTAAGTGACCGGTGGATGTCAATGAGCAGTCCAGGGTCGGACGCCTTATATGCTCCAGGAAACGAAACGGTCCCTGGAGATGCACTTCCACCTCCAGTTATTGTAAGTTGGAAACAGGTCAGGTAGAGTTGAGCACCGCTACTTGAGCCCGCCGCATGCAGTGCGATGGACTCGGCACGGAGGAGGTAGTCTCCAGCGGGAATGTCGGAGGGGATTTTGACCTGAACCTTGCCACAGCAGTTGTTCATGTCTTTCGAACCCCAGTTATCGCCGTCGCCGTTGATGCTGCCGGCTTTGCGAGACCATCCGTCCTGATAAATCTTGAACCATCCTGTAGACCCATCAGCGGAAGACGAGTCAGAGACTTTGGTCAGGTATGCCAAGACAGGGCCGTAGTGCGCCCCTCCGATAGCTTCTTGGGCGCAGGATCGGTCGTTGGGTTGCTGTGACTTAATCTTAGTGTCTTGCTCAAGATACAAGTGTCCGTTGTGTAGCTGGAAACGAACCTGGTGCATCTCCACCACAACTGACGAACCAGCCTTTACAACGCACTTCCGGGAGACTGGTCCGCTGTTGGCATTGCATCGGACGTCATTTGATGCGACATCGGTAACAGGCGAGTTTGATAGGGGCAATCTAGCACATTGGGCGCCGTACTGCATGAAGTCAACATTAGTCATTAGACCAAAGGCACTGCCTGGGGTATATTACATCAACACCGTCGACCCAAAGGACCTGGAAGGTTGCATGGGTAGCAGCCCTCTGAGTTAAGACCGCGAGCAGGGATAAAACGGCAGCTTTCATGGCGAGTAAGTTTTGATTTGGGACTGGTAAAGTGTGTGCGGTGATCGGCTGCCCATGATAAATTACAATTATACCCAGACGTCTTTGCTCAATTTATAACATTTGCCAAAGTCTGGCTCTGAAGGATTGATTCTTTATTGATCAAATGACTTTCATCTATGTAAATTGAAAGTCTCCTTGGCATGGATTCGAAGTCACCTTGGTACATCAACTCGACGAGTGAGCTGTTTGCTGTAAATGAAGTCTATACCCTCGTGAACAAGCAAGCCACCCATCACAGGCCAGGCATCATAATATAACGAATTAACCCCAGCATTTCCCCAGACTTTCAAAGATGGGGGTAAGCGGCAGTTTGCTAGTTTCGGTAGATCATTGGTGGATTTCGGCTAGGACGCAGGATCACGGAGGGCATAGCCCGTGGAAGTTGCGCCCGATACGGGAACTGCTACCCACGCTCCGGTATGATCAAGGAAGAAGGACTCCAAGTAAGAAACATCAAAACAGGTGCGATACCCTCTTCAGACACAAGCCGTCGTTCTGTTGAGCGCACCGCTGAGACAATAGCTCCGTTGCACTGTTTCGCAATCGTCTAGATAATATTTCTTCACAGGAACCACAATGTCATAAAACAATGAATACAGAGGTTGGCGATAAACCCTTTGCACGGTTATCTGACCAAACCGGCCCATCAGATGATAGGAGGGTGTGTGTCATACACGTGGCACCACTCTAACCACGTTTGTCTAACTACAGCATTCTTTCTACGACGGCTTCGGGAACTGGTATTGCATGAAATTCTACAGAGCTTGGGTGTATGACCAGTGTGAAACAATTGTACCATTCGATCTCAAAGATAATGTTTGGAGTTTGGATTGAATGGTACAACTTCAAAATAATCTACACATTTTTACATTGCTCTTTGGTTACCTAGTCAGGATGTTTCAGTCCGCTAGGTTCTTTCCTAAGCTAAATCATTCCTAGTAACAGAGAGTGACCACGACTTCACATTGATAAGAAAACAAGAAGATAAAACCTTTGCATGATGAACTAGGAATAAGTGCCAATTACCCTTGACTTGGTTCCATCGTGGCCTGCTCCACTACCCAGGTACGCTTAAGGTAATTTTGAGCGACGACAGCATAGCTTGGCCATATACATGCAACTTTCTTGTGAAGTAAAATCAAAGACAGACGAATTACTAAGTTCTGAAGAAGTACCTAAAGAAAAAATGAGAACAGTTCAAATACATGCTGGGAGTACTGGATGCCCGACACTTTTGCCACAAAGTCAACATAGAGTTTGCGGCCCACATTGGTGCCGAATGGCTCGCTTGCATGAAGAACGGGTTCACCAAAAGTATAACTACTATGCTTTATCGGGGATCAAACAAAATCGATTTACCTACTAATTTAGTGCTATAATAGACGCTCGGTATTTCACAACAGCATGACATGTTTGAATACTGGTGGGTTGTTCTTCTCGAGGCCCACCCTTTCCCATTATAGGTTATCAAAAAAACAAAACGTTCAATCCGCCTTGATGGCTCAGTGGTAAAGCGCCTCACTAGTAATGAGGAGATCGAGAGTTCGATTCTCTCTCGAGGCATGATGAAGGACCTGGTCCGTTTCTCTTTTTAATTTTCTTAGTCATTGCCCTAGATCTCCTTATGTAATTGCAGATTTAAGCGAGTAAGTGTGACAGCAGCTATTCAGAAGCTCATGTTGCACTATGAGACTCTGCTAGGAACTCCACATTCGTGGAAAATACTACCTTCATAACTAGGATTTTTTGCCGAAGACCTGGCAAATAACGGCTCATTCGAACCTCGGTGCAGAGTGCTCCAGACTCTAGTCCTAAAAGCTACCCCGCAACAACGGGGCTTACCCCGCACTGCCTGTGGCGTCGCCCTGGCTAGTCGGCAACTACTCCGAAATCTGGCAGAGAGTTTCTGTGAGGTGAACTGAGGCATCGATAGGATGGCAAATAACATAATCCCGGAGTTCGCAGTCAAGAGGTAAAACATAGTTGTGATCTACTTAAAAAAAGAAATCTGCATCAGCAACAAAAATAGTCACATTGTAAGTCGATAGCATATTCTATCTGCGAGGTATGCATTTCAATATATGGAAGCTAATTTAACAAAAATCAGTCCACCTGAGGTCTTCCCAGATGTTTGTTGACCCCACGCAGAAATATCAGCTTCATCATTTCTGTTAACTTTGCAGCTAGAACCTAGCTCTATCGGATCGGTCGTACGGTGGTCCGACAAATACATACCCCGCGCGAACCCATAATAACAGAGAACAGTAGCATGATCAGCCCACGGGTAAACTGGGGTCTGGGAAACGGCTCAAGGATACTGACAGCCGTCCGTTCAGATACGGCAGCTTATGAGTGGCTGCTGAAAGAACTTGGAGGTTGGGGTTTTTGGTGAGGAGAATAAGACCAAGCGTCCGGCAAGCTGGAAATAGACAGCCATCGGTTGAACAGGCAACTCATCCCGTCGGTTAGAGCACCCCTGGAGTAACCGTCACCTCACCTCCGGATGTGTATGAATTTCCATGAGTATGCGCAGACATTGACCAGGCAATTCTCCGAACAGTCACCATGTGGAGATTGCAATTCAATTCAGCATCCCCATAAGTTGAATCTCCCTTCCTTTGTAAATGACATCATTACACTCATGGATGCTCCGCGAGAGGGTAGGAATGAACATGATGCGGCATAAAATGAGTTCGTCAAAAGTGGTCCTAGAAGTTAGAGTGGTAGTCATATCAGGTACGATCGCCCCCAGTAAATGTTTCTCGATGCCTCCAATTCGCCAGAACTCTTCCGATTGGTGAGACCCCAACTTTCGGGCGAGCACGCTCCGCGATGAAAGAGGGATGGCGCCCTGACTCGTAGCTTGGCATCTCCAATTTCTTGGGGATTTTCTCATGGCAGACGGTCCAACGACCTCCGTGATCAATTTGGGACGAGTTCCCACTCAATGGTCCGGGGAATGCAACCGTTGGTGAGCTACAATAAATATGGCGGCCGACCACGGCCACCGACATGTGAGTTGCAGTCGCGTTGGATGGGAAAGTTGAGGAAAACTGAAGCATCCGACCGTCATTCACAATGCTACCCAAATTGTCCGGTTTGCTGTCAATTGGCCTCCTGGCCAGCGGGATTGCCGCAGTCCCCTGTGTGAGGAAGGGCTACGTGACGGTCAAGGGCAACAAGTTTCAGCTCGACGGCGAGGATTTCAATTTCGCAGGTAGCAATGCCTACTACTTCCCCTTCGACAACGTATGTGAGCCCAATTGGCGAATTGAAGCATGTTTGGAACTGACAACACCCGATAGAACCAAGCTGATGTCGAAGCTGGTCTTACTGCCGCGAAGGAAGCTGGCCTGAAGGTTTTCCGTACCTGGGGCTTCAACGACAAGAACGTCACTTACAACCCTGACGGCCTTCCGCAGTATGGTGGCGAGGGTGCGGGTGCGACCGACATCATCTTTCAGAGATGGTACGACAATGGCACCTCTGTCATCAACATTGAGGCATTCGACAAAGTCGTCAACGCTGCCACGAAAGTCGGCATCAAGTTGATTGTTGCTCTCACCAACAACTGGGCCGACTATGGTGGAATGGACGTTTACACCGTCAACCTGGGTGGAAAGTACCATGACGACGTGAGCAAGCCCAGTAGAATAACTCGATGATTAACTAGTTGAACTAACTCATGGCTATTATAGTTCTACCACGTCCCTAGGATCAAGGATGCCTTCAAGCGCTACGTCAAGGAGATGGTTACTCGCTACAAGGATTCACCAGCCATCATGGCTTGGGAACTTGGTAACGAGCCTCGCTGTGGCGCTGACGGCAAGCGCAACCTGCCCCGAAGCAACGACTGCACTCCTGAGCGTCTCGGTGCTTGGATCGAAGAAATGAGCGCCTATGTCAAGAGTCTCGATAAGCATCACCTTGTTACTTGGGGTGGTGAGGGTGGCTTCAACATCGAGTCTGACGACTGGGCCTACAACGGTGCTGACGGCAGCGATTTCGACCACGAGTTGGCTTTGCCCAACATCGACTTCGGCACCTTCCATTCGTATCCCGATTGGTGGAGCAAGACGGTCGAATGGACGGAGCAGTGGATCCGAGACCACGCGGCGTCTGGCCGCAAGGTTGGCAAGCCTGTTGTGCACGAGGAGTACGGCTGGTTGACACCCGACAAACGCCTTGAGTTCCTCGGTATCGTGAACAACACCCCTCGCACGGAGGTTCTTGGCAAGTGGCAGGCAATCTCCCTCGAGGAGGAGATGCCCGATATGTACTGGCAGTACGGATACTCCAACTACTCTTATGGGCGCAACCATAACGATGGCTTCACAATCTACTTGGATGATGCTGAGGCCAAGCCGCTCATCTATGAACACGCCGCTAAGGTCAATGCGCTCTAAATAGTTTATGTTTCGTCATTAATAGACAAACGTAATAGTGTAGTACAGATACATATCCTAATCTTCTCTATGAAAAACACAACTTTCTGCTCAATAATCATCCCCGTTTACTGACTTTCGCTTCGGTTGACGTCTTCTTGTTGATTTCCTGCCAATGAAATGCCTTTTTGGGCACTTCTTTGCCTTCTTTGCTCTGCCTTCATTTGCCATCCAAATTTGACGGCCTCGACAATCTCCATAGGGTTCCACATTTCAATCAGTGCCCAGACTCCGAGAGGGCCGCCAGAGTACGTTTGGGGGTCGTATGCTTCGACATCACCAGCAAGCGGACGACGAGCATTGCCACCACCAATTACATAAGGCCGGTATGAATAGGCGTAGTGGAAGAATATCGACAATGGCAGCATCTCGATACAGATGAGCATTGATGGGATGCCAATGTTGAGATCTGCCCAAGTCATCACCGAGGTTGGGTTCAAAACTCCGTTATCACGAAGAATCCAGAAGATGATCTACCAGATGTATGTTAGCATATGACTAATGACTTGAGTTGATTGGAGCGTTGGACTCACGGTCTCGAGAAAGGTCAGGGTGACAACCAATTTGAATGACAAAAACTTGGCGAGCGGCTGGTGATGCGCAAGCTCGGATTTCAATGTCATGTACAATCTTACAACCGTCATAAGGGCAACAGTGAGAGAGGCGTTGCTGATAATGGAAAGCTTATATCTGTTAGCTGTGATAACGAGCCAATTGTGTGGCACAAAACATACCCAAAGCTTGGCAAAATGCGCTTTACTGGCGAATTGACAGTAAACCCCTGCGGCCTGTGTTATTGTCGTCAAGATAGCGACGAACAAGGCTACCACGGGGTACTGGAAAACTGAGAGCCACATTCTCTAATGGTGTATTAGATTAAAGACTTGAAAGTACATGTGATAATCAACGTACCTGAAGCCACTGCAATCCGTTTTGAGTCCCCGTAGCCGACTTCTTATCCTTTACAGTAAGGGCGGCGAAGAAGACATCTCTGTGTTGCTTACTAGGGGAAACGAATTCACACAGCAAAAGAAAAAAGGTTCCGAGACATATCGCCTGCACGAGCTCGAGCCAAGGGTGCAGATAAACTTCGGCAGCTGGAAAGCATACTGTAAGAAAGGAGATGATTGACCAAAATGGAATGATCAGGGATATCCGGAGAATTCTGCGTTTGTTAGAACTTGTAGACAGAGTGGATGGAATTCTGGAGAATAATCCTACTTGACTTGTTCGTTTGCCTTGCTAAAGTGCGTGGCATGCAAGAACATAAGAGCGAAGATAACAAGACATGCTGCTGCAGCAAAACTGCCAGACAGAATCATGTTGAAATGATAGAAAGACAAGCTTCCTATAAAAGGCTGCGAGGCATCTGGACCCTGTCAGTTCTAACGAACGCTGAACACGTTGCCTGACTTCCCTACTCACTTTCGTCAAATGACTCGATGGGACAAGCATTCTTGTCTGTGCTGTTTTGAGCAGCTCTGATCTCGAGAAGTACTCCCATCGTAATAGTTTGCTTATGTTGTATTGTATCGTGCTCTGTTGTTTGACCTTGGTTTATCATCCAGCTGTCAAAGGAGGCAAAGCCTATTTATCTTTCCCAGGCAGGCGGTTCAGCTCTCCCCGCTCGATGAGCTTCCCATGCCACATAAAGGAACCAATCAGCCATCCAGTTCGCTCTCGCAACCGGCTAAGCACTGCCCTGTATCGTCGGGAGCAGAGCGTTTGTATCGTCGGCTTTGAGCCAGTGGCTGGGCTAGGCTTGCCCGAAGCATACCATGGCTCATTGGCGGATTGGGGTTGGTAAGTGGCCCGAAACGGAAATGGTGGTTCACTCGGCTCAAAACTGCCGTGCTGATAAGGCGCAGTAATGCGCTAATATAAAACAAGCTTCACCGTCTCCATCTCGGGACGTTAGTGGATGCCTAGCTTGATCCTCATTTTCTTCACAAACGTTTTGTCAGTTTGATAGGACCCAACTTGCTTCAAGAGGGAACCAGATCGTCGTATGCCACTAAGATACTAACATGAATCAAAGTCCACCACGAGTAGCATAGATGACTGGTTAGTGACTTGATTACGTTTGTCACTGTAGAAGTTCAAGACATTACTTCGAGAATCATGTTTATCTCGGCTGAGATCCAAAACTGATATTTTACCTATGAGATGCCTGAAGAGGTGTCTCTCGCCAAGCGGGGTACCAAAGCCGTTGGAATGCTTGATTCTCTCCCACCTGCATTAGCGCATCTTTGGCAGTTATCGCACCGTCACATTGCCAGAGATGTCGAGAATTGCGTGTACCCAGACGTGGCTTTACAGCCAAATAAGGCGTATTGCATGGGGGTAAGCGGCTGGTGCGTGCCGATCCATGATCGGGCGAACCGCCATTTGAGGGCTTGGCAAGCCGCTGACAACGTCCTGCGTTGTGTTGTCGGTGATTCCGGGGAATAATCTGGACGAACATTTAGATCTTCAAATCAGAAGTGGCTACTGGGTGCATGTTTGGTCCACATGTTTATTGCTGCGACTCATGAGGAGTGCAGCGATTTTCCAATGATGACGTTAAATTAATAGAATATTTCCAATATCTACATCGGAATCTTGAGTTATCCTCTGTCGGACTCGCCATGAGCTCCTCTCAGGCGCTATGTGCATGCTCTAGGAATGTTACCCGGTCGCACGACCGATATCGGCTTCGAACGCAAAGGGCATGCTGGCATTTCGAGAGACCATAGTTCCGTGATTTCGGCCACCGAGCAATGTCTTAAGTGCGTGGTGAGTCCATAGCCATTTATTCTTTGTGCTGGGTGGACTGCCATCAAACCTGTTAAACCGCACAACTGGGCGATATGTTATCCTTTATTTGTACTTTCATGGAGGCTTTGACATTGAAATCATCAGATACACTGGCTCGACATTAGGAGAAATATTGCTTATGCTTCACATGTGCCGCTGTACGGAGATCTTTCATTTTTCCCTTCTACATGGGGTAGGCCAGCTGACGTGAGATCCAAAGTCCCTTTTTCCGTCCGTCCAGTGGCATTATCCCATCGTGTGCACGAACTGGCTGCAGTACATACCCCTGTAGTGAGTAACCAACCACAGGGTAGCTGAGTCTTTTGTTGATCAGCCGAGTACATGAATTTCTGGGAAACGCGGGTAAAGGACTGAGCGTTAAGGAGGGACGCATCTTTCGTGAAACTTGCGCATTTGGTCCTGGAATTATGCTTCTAGGACGATGATTACGAAATTCCAATAATTACGGATGCAATACAACCTCCTCATCACTCGACGAAGGAGCGATGGATTTCGGGATGCGTTGGCCTCGGCCTACTCAGTGAATATAATGAATCTAGAGAAGACTGACAATAGGTCAGTTCTCACTTATGGGAAAGGGAGATACTAGCCATTTCTAGGTCGTAAACTTTCTTCCTCACCCATGAATTTGGTTATTCACATCCGGTTGGTGGTCGGAACATGGATGGCAAGTGGTAGTGGCAGGGGCTCCATGTCAAGGGCGGGCCTTAAGTTCAGGGTGGTACCCGCTATCATTCGTGATCGGATACAGCCACATTCCCAAGAAATGTGCGCATCTGCCGTGCACTTCTGTTGATATTGGGCCGACAGCATCAAATAAATTTGATATGATAGGAGGCCATATGACGCACGATCGTGGCAACTAGCAGGATATTAAATGCTTGATAGTTTGGTGAGGGTTTGCTTGATGTCAAACTCTGAACAATGACCTGTCAACAACAGCTGAAATTGAAATGCAAATGTGTACGGACGAACATGAAAGATGGGGTTGTAAATGGCACTGAACTACTCAGGCGTATTCGCAGGTGCCTGAGAATCCTTCGAACGATACCCCTATGAAAATGGTACCTGAATCACGCAACTTGCAGGCTTGGCATACTTACCTTTCGATGTGCCTAAATGCTGAGCTTGGCATAATAAGCACGAGCGAATAGCATCACAGGGTTTCAAGGGTTCATCTGACTGCCTGAGACGAACGTAGTATTTATCCCGACTTAATCTTAGTGTCTAAACCATTTAAAGCGAGGTTATGCGATGTCGCCAATTGCATGAGAGAACGATGGGATTGCACGAAGTCTTTGAAAAGCACGCTGTTACGCCGCTTCCTTCAATGCGCAAAGTAGCCTCTTCCCTCTATCATTAATTTGCAGTCAGGTTTGGGGGCTTCAGAACTGCGATTGGTCGGTCCGGACATTTTGCGATTCCTCTACTGCAAATCAAGAGCATATACCCTACACCTATACCTAATAAGGTCTTATATCCTGACTAGGCAACTACAAGGCCAGCATCCCAAAGTCTTGGTATTTCCTCAACGGTACAGTTCACAATGCTGGCAGCAACACTGAGTGCAGAATCCTGCGTATTGAAGGTAGCATTTCTTTCCAAACAGCCAATGCACTCCTACGCAGGCGGCAACCAATTGAAGCCTGACAGTGTATCTGTGATCTTTAGGAAGAGAGAAAAAGTATAAAGACCGAAAGGAAGCCCGAGTCTGATCATGGGAGAGGATCAAGCCAGGACAAACCAGAAGCTCAGCAATCACATCCTTCAACCTAACTGTGCTTCCCAGTCACAGCCTCATGATGTTTCGTCTCAACGGAGTTGCGGCCGTTGCCGCCCTATGCCTCAGTCCCCTAGCCTTCGGTGTTCCCACGCCTGAAGACGCGAGTTCGCCACCCAACGACATTCTGCCACTTATTGGCTTCGATGCTACTCCAGTTCCTTCTCTGAAAGCCAGAGGAAGCCCCGAAATTGTTCCTGAAGTTGTCAGTGTCAGCCTCTCCGAGCTCCAAGACAGCAACATCACCGAGTTTGCCCCGCCTTTCCCTGGGCCTAGCGAGTCCTCTAAGCGTGGTATCATTGGCCCAGACAACCGGGTGCTTTGGACGAATAAAGAATATCCCTACCGTGCCATGGGAAGGATTGAGTTCTCCAACGGTCTTTGGTGCAGTGGTGCTCTAATCGGTTCACGTCACGTGGCAACCGCTCGCCACTGCATCCCCGCAAGCGGCGTGAGTGCCCGCTTCCAGCCTGCCTACGACAACGGTGAGCCATACGGAGGCTATCCTGTTTCTCTCATTGTCCATGCCGAATATGGCCAGACCGGATGGTGCGCTAATGCCTATGATTGGGCTATTTTCGTCCTTGCTGAGAAGGCCGGCACGGCCAACGGTTGGCTCGGACTGAAGATTGTAAACCCGGACAACCAACTGAACCGCGCCATGTTCTTCCATTATGGATACCCTCAGGACAAGGGCGGCAGGAGGCCTTACCGCCAGGAGGGTATCACCGCTTCTGCTGCGACAGGGTGCGACAGAGGATCACCCGTCGTTACTGATACCGATTCTATTGGTGGCCAGTCGGGTGGTCCTTTCTGGATTAACGAGAACGGAAACCGCTACCTCTACGGCATTCACGTTGGAGGTAGCGACACTTTGGGCGTCGTCGCAGGAGGCCAATCGTTCCTCAACGCCTATGGAAACTTGCTGAAAGACTACCCGAACTAAGAAAATACTTCTGAAGATATGGTTTGTCTGGCTGAAATAGCAATGCCTCATCTACCTTAGCCATGGTGGTAAAGATGGGGTGGGGCATTGAAAGTATTTTTTCTTCAATAAGTCTTGAAACCTATATATGAAGAAACAAAGTTTAGACGAGTCTATCACATTACTTAGATAACTGATGAATACAAGTCATAAATGACAGTCTAGAAGAGGACTCCCTTAAATCATAGTAACTGATCACAATACCACTATTAGCATTCATACTGCTAAATAGTAGATACCTCGGTTGTGCAACCAAAAGCTGTTGTCGTAGACAATTCGTGTCATAAGCTTATGCAACTAACTGTTGTTTAATATCATGGTTAAATCAGATGAGCTGGGTTGCAACTCAGGCAAACATGTTACATAATAACTCAGTCTGCCAGAAGATACTAGTTGTCTTCGAATCATCCTCAAGTTGCTCAGGCTGCCTTCGTTGATTGGTCTATCTTCTGTCTTTGTTTATTCTTACTTTGTATCGTAACAATCTCTCAATTAATTATTTAGTTGTACATCTAATGACTCCAGACACACTTTCGCTTTGACCAAGAAGTGCTCCATTGGCGGGTTGACGTAGCCAGCTTGAAAGATAGTTCACCTCAATTTGAGTATGGACTTGGCACCTATACACCTTATACTTTACTTTAGCTCATACACGCTGGGACAGTACATCATAACGTTTTCATTCTCTATTTCTCTCCAGCTGCTGTCTTCCGCTGAAGTATGAAGATAGATGCGTAGCTAGAGATGTAGCATTATCTAGCCCGTTATGGCTGCATATTGATACCAGTAAACGAAACATCGATGTTTGTCTGGGTCGGCCAAATATAACCTGGGTCAGCACTTACTGATTTGGTGCAATCTTAGTTTAGTCCTATTCTTGAAATATGCAGGCCCAGGTCTCCCAAAGGTACTGTTAAATGCTAATACTTTGCTCTACATCCGTTATAAATTTGTCTCTATGTGGTGTCTATCTAGTTAGGACTAGACTTGTCTTACGGGTTAGCAGCTCTCAAGAATTAACTGAAAGACTCTACATAAATGCTACCATTGGCTGCAGAAATGACATTGCAAATAATGCCTCTCAATAGTAACTGGAGATCCGAATGACGGACCCAACTGCCTTCCACTAATTAGGCAACTGGGAGCTACTAATGCATCCTTGCTTTTTCCACATTTCATACCTTACTGAAGGCTCGACTTTTATGCCTTACCACTCTAACCACTTTTAGAAGGCAACCGCTGGGCCCGCCGTTAGCGCTTGCTAATGCTCCAATTGATTCGACATGGAGTTGCAGGCAATACTGCTGCCTAGGCCTAGACTTTTCAATCAGGAATTAGCCAAGGCATTCTTGCTGCAGCTTTTAGTTGGCACCATCTATAGAAGATGGCATACCCCGTTAAAATTCAGTTAACAGATTGCGCTGACCCACGACATTTCCTCCAATGAGGTCTAGGGACAACAAAAGATTATTGCTGCAATACCATCTGACCTGATATTACTTGTAGCACTTTCATATCTCCTTTGACTTCTACAATGGAGGATGCACCATCGCCAACAAACGAGTTTCTATTGAAAACTATCCCGCCAGCCTCAAAATGGTTGACGGAATGCATCGCCAAACACCCATCATGCGACAAGAAGGCCAGGCACAGCACCGTATTCTGCACGGACAACAGTCTCCTAATATCGGATCTGGAAGGTGAAGGACTTATGGCAACACGGTTGCTTACATTCTCTCTTCATCCAACGACCGAAGGCGAGGATAGAGTCCGCCTAGCCCTATCGGAGTCACTCAGCGCAGACACGCAGTACGTAGCCCTGAGCCATAGATGGGGCACAGGGGAGACATGCTGCACAGAGAGACAGAATCTGGATGATATGGTTCAGAATGGAATTCTTACATCGCAACTTCCAGCCACTTTTCGTGACGCAGTCCACGTCACGCGTGGGTTGGGTTTCTCTCACATTTGGGTCGACTCGCTATGTATCATTCAAGATGATAAAGAAGATTGGAAGCGTGAGGCACAGCGCATGGCTATTATTTATGACAACGCAGTCTGTACTATCGCCGCAATGGACGGTCTAGACAGTGACGCTGGCCTTGTCAACCAAACCCCAGAGCATAAAAGCGTCGGTGTGCTGGACTCTCGAGCCTGGGTTTGCCAGGAAAGGATGATCTCGCCGCGATCGCTCATGTTCACATCGGGATCCGTGAGCTGGGAGTGTCGTAAGTGCGATGCCTCCCTTGAACACCCGGAGCTTAAGGAGCGACGGACAGATCATGCCGATGAGATCCCCACGCATCCAAAAGACATTTTCACGTTCTTTAGAGATTGGCGTATGCCGGCGCCCGAGCCGAAGTCACAAAGTCAAAGCAGCGATAGCGATCAGAGCAGTGAGGAGTCTATTGCTGAATCTAGCGATGGCGAGGGTGAAACGGACGGTGGGGTCCGCCAACAAGACGAAGATGTTGACAGTAATGACATGGCATCAGAGCAAGGAGACAAGGGAGAATCGGAGGTCGCATCAGACTTTAACCAAGACCAAGAGGGCAAAAGAAAAAAGGAATTAGTGGACTACTCGAACTCGCCCGATGCCGAGAGCACTGATGCAGTTGATCAGACAGAGGTTGAAGATGATGTGGCTTACGATAGCGACGGGTATCCAGCATACCAAGGAGGGGGCTTACCGGGCCATGCGCATAACCTCTCTATATTCCTCGAAGGTGGTCGCCAATCGAAGGCCTATTCTATGCATCCAGAAGGACCAAACGAAGATGGTTCCGATCCGTTCGGGGACTTTATGGTCTTTGTGACCAACCTCAACAGGCCTCGACAAATCTATTATCGTTTTCTTCAGACTTGGTGGCGTTTTATATCCGTATACTCCCCTTTGTCTCTTACTTATGGATCCGACAAGTTTCTGGCAATGAACGGCATTTCAACAGTTGCGCAGAGGTGGTCACATCTTCGATCATCTTTCGGCCTATTCTGGCATTTTTCCGATTTGGAAATGCTGTGGTACGTCGACCCAAAAGGACCGCCAGGTGCTAGACCAGAAACCTGGCTCGTACCTACCTGGTCTTGGGCTTCGACCCGAAACGGAAGAATCATCAATGACGTGTATCGGCGGATGCCGATGTTGCCACTGACTATGATCAAGCCCCAAATGCAAGTTGGCATGGGGACCGCGTTTGATCAACCGCTCCCTTTCGTTGCATGGAAGGCTCGAAGATACCACGCCATCGAGATGAAGGGGGATTTGAGAAAGGGTGTCGTGAAAGCCACACAGAACAAAGATGGGGTGACCAAATTCGAGGTTACTCTAGACAAAGTCGGCAGGTTTTCTGATGAGGAGGTGTATGATTTTAGACCCGACTGCGTAGAGGAGTTTCCAGTCGGATCGTCGGTTAATGTACTCTACATGGTCTGGCATCACTATGATGCACGTGCATGGGATCTGGAGGAGCACATTGATGTCGGGTTGGTCTTCAAGCAGATGAAGGGCAAATCAGAAATCACCGTGTACGAAGAAGAGGTTTCCAAGACCTCGACAAGCGAACAGCGACTGCTCACTAGGCTCGGGTACTTGGAGACTACGTACCCTAGGGTAAGTATTCGAACCAATCCGGATATTATGGGTGAACTCAATTGGTATTTTGTGAGACTGGCCTGATCAGGAAGGCTTTTCTTCGGGGATACTCAAACAAGTCCACGAGCTTGTCAATGGCAGTTATGTATGCAGTTAGCATTAGGAGCTGGTTTAAATTCTATCTTGCTACAGAAGTGATTAGATCGTCTCCGACGCGAAAGAGGCAGAAAAGGTAAAAGTATTCCAGCAGCAAGGTACTACGACAATACCGCAATGGTACCCAATATAAACGTAAAAGAATCAAAGCCATCTTTCAGCCTCATTTAAGCCTGGAAATTCTTTCCTCCGCTAGCCAAAGCTGTCATGTTTGGGTTTCCAACCTTGATGTACTCCTTTTCGCGTGGCAGGGCATTAATTACAGCATCGGAAAGGTTCAGGGTATCTTTCACAACTTGCTTCGGCGTCAAAGCCAGCCATTGAGCAACGCTGATATCCGTGAATCGCGGAGCTTGAAGAACCTCGAGGAAGATGACGTCTTCAGTGCCCGTATTCTCGATGTAGTGACTGTCTCCGACCTTGACGTATCCGACGTCGCCGGCTGTAAAATCAAAAGTGCGCGAGGCCTCAGGTGCTTGGAATATTGTGATGCGGCCGGAACCTTGCAGGAAGTAGTTCCACTCGTCGCTGGTGGTGTGCCAGTGGATCTCGCGCATAGCACCGGGTTGAACAACGACAAGGGCAGCGGAAAAATTGCTTGCAATGGGGAAGGTGAGTGGGTCGAGGATCTTGACGGATCCTCCAGGGACTTGGAAGGGCTTCTGCTGAGACCAGTGGTAGGTGTAGGATTCCGCGCCGGTCAGCGAGCCAGCTGAAGAAGTCTGGGTCTGTTCCTGAATGTCCTTTGGTGGCGGTGTTCCATTGAAGATCTTCCAGTGTGTTAGTCACGCTGGCCGGCAAGAAGAGATTCATACGACTTACGTATAGTTGGTCCTTGGGGATGTTAGCAAACTCCGAAGGGTCGGCTTTGAAGTTTTTAGAAAGCACAGAAATCGGGTTTCTCAGCATCAACTCGGTAGCGAGAAAGGTGTTTTCTTCACTGAAATGGCCCTGGTCAAAGACAAGAAGAAACTCGGTTCCTTTGTCAAAGGCCTGAATGCTATGCGGCACTCCGGCAGGGAAGAACCAAACATCACCTATACAAGTCGATTCGGTTAGAGAAAATGAAATTACGGCAAACAACAAGTGGAGAATCCTTACCAGCACATAAGTCGTCGACTATGCTCTTACCGTCCTCGTTCATGGCGGCAATGCGGCAACATCCCTTGAGAATTAGTGCCCACTCAGCTGACGTGTGCCAGTGCAGCTCGCGGTAGGCGTTAGGCTGTAGCTTCATATCGACACCCGCCATGGCCGAAGCGATGGGGAGCACATCGGTATTCTGTTGCCGTGCCCAGCCGGCACCGGCCTGGCTACCGAGCCGATTATGCGAGAGGCCCAGGGGCCACATGGCGTTCTTTACATCGCCCTTGTCGGTGCCAGGCGGGGCGAAGAGATCCGGGTTAAGCTTTTCGTAGGCGTAGGTTCCTGCGGAAACAATTCAATTAGCGTCCACCTTTCCGGTGTAGACCATGGCAGATCGACGGTCTAGCGGGGATGCTACGTACTTGGACCGGGGTCTGGGGAACCTTGTTCTCCACGGATGGGCTGTGGGGCATCAACGCCGTCAAAGTTGAGATAAAGACCAAGTTTACTGTCGGCTTCCTGGCCAGGAACAAGCTGGACATCGTTGACCATGGCAGAATCTGACTGTTCGGGGTCGGGACGCGGAGCATTACCCCCGAGAAGATTTGAATCGCCTCTGAGATTTCCCTGCGGACTCGAAACCGATGGGATAGGTGGGTTGATACCTCCAACAGGTCCGCTGTTTTCGCCGTAGTCACCCATTCTAAGGATATTAGACAAGGACAGCAATTCTCATGCTTGAAAAGACTCACTGGGGGGCAGGTAAGGCATAACCCTTGGGCAAAGCCCCGAGAAGACCGAGGAGGAAAGCAGAGTTGACGATCATAATGGGCTAAAAGACTGGTCGGGGGAAGGTGTTTGATAGCTGCGGCAACGAAAGACTGAGGATTAGATACTGATATAAGACAACTTCATGAGATCTTTCTGTCAAGTTCTCAGAGACTGTGAGCTTCTTATAGCCATTTGATCGATCCAGCTCAGTCTATGATTTGTTACTCAAGTCGTGAATATTCCAGATGCTTTTGGAGTCCATCAATGCCGTGCTCCGAACAGCCCCTCTTACACCCCTCAGCTGATCCATGTCATATGCTGAACAACAACAACAACAAAATCAAAAGTGGTAGAAGCTGAAGTGCACGTGTTGTCCTTGCGATGACGCGTTTTGTCACTCATAATATTGAGAGGGTTAAGACGGGGCCCACACACGGCTGAGTCGGCACCGAGTGGTTGGGAACGGAAGCACCTCGTCAACCAAAGATGTGCGTCGGATTACTCACAATACTACAAACCATCTAAAATAGCGCAGCTCTCTATGCATATCCTACCAATCTATTAAACTTTTATTTTTGTTAAGAGACATTTTTAAAGTCCGTCATTCTATCGTATCTTTACCTCCCCTTAACGGCAATTCCCCATGATAAGACGTGTTAAGCACAAGGCTAAAACTGGGACCAAAAGGGAGCTATAGTAGCTTACCAGGTAGCTAATATTGGAAACCCCACGTTGCACCAACTCGATATTGCCGAAGACGGTAGTTGGAGTAGGGAAACGATGAAGTCACAGAGTCGTTTTCCTGCTGCTATGGAATGAAGAAAAATGGCTCATGTCCCGTCTGTCGTCCGAATATCTAAGCTGCCCTCCGTTGCAACCTCATTATTCATGCATAATTCCACACTTGAGGCTGACGCTAATGGATATGATGACATCGAAGTGATGGGCGTCTCGGTATTCGCAGAAGGCTCGGGAAGGTTGTTTAGCGCCTCGATCTCGCCCCATGGGCGCTCCCGTTTTTGTGCAGCGTTAGCGCACTGACACCCCTTTCAAACTCCGAGACATGGAAATAGAAGGCTTAAAGCCGTTGTGAAATGCACCAGTTAGTAATCACCGCTTTCTCTCTTTCTTAGAAGAGTTTAAAGGGTGAGCACTACTCGGGTAAGTCGATTGCAAACCCATATGGTCGCCTTCCGGCCAAAAGTGAGTCAATCATTCTAATGACTAGACCACTTTGACTCCGATTCAGATTTGTAAATCCGATTACATCACTGACTAAGAGACAGGAAACGCACCAATTCAGTGGCAGGCAATCCGGGATGACAGCCCATAGGCCAATGGAACGTTGCCATCCGGGATTCACGATTGAAAATTGTCCCAAAATTATCCCTGACGTCGCATCTGAGAACTAAATCAGGTATCTAGTTGCTTTGCTGCGGTTTATTGTGACCTTTGCAAATGGTGGTTTGCAAAGTCAGGCACTGGAGCATGGCGCTGTGGTGCTATTTTGACAAAAGGACGATGTCTGTTTCCACCGTCATGTATAATTTCAGTAATGGTATTGAAGCAAAGACGTTCTTTTCCTAATTTCACATTTTAAAATCATCTGGCGGCTGTAGAAAATGAGGGTGAAGTTACTTTGCCTCTTTTCAAAGACCTTTATCTCTTACTTGTAGGTTTAACTAGGACCCAATGTTGAACACGTTAATCTCATAAAGGTCCTAGTGGCATATGATTCGCTACTCGAAACCGGTCTTTACTCGTATGAATTTCCCAGTCACATATACATCCACAGCGCAACACCAGCCACCACAAGGGGACCGCCATAAGTTGCCACCCTCCATCCCAACGCCTTCAAACCATGAGATATAATCAGACCAATTTTCTCCTCCAGACAGCGCTTCTCGTTTAGATGCGGGAAGGGAACGTCAGGAACCGGCTTTCCAAGAAACTCGCACAAGGGCTCCCACCCATCTGCCAAGTTGAACTCCAGCAACCTCTCCTTGGGCGTTACCCTTCTCACCAAATCATAATGCTGACGGTAACTATCCCTTAGCTTCAGCTCTGCATCCTTAGTATTCCAGATGTCTAGCCAACCCCCCAGAACCGACTTGTGAATCTTGCCTATTGGGCGGCAGTAGAAATGATCAACGTTGTACACAACGGTAGTCCACGGAGCATACATTCTGACAATAATGCCCTCCATGAAGCTCTTATACCAGCTCTCCGTGTCTCTCTCAACAAGGACCACTTTAGCTTCAGGATACGCGGCAATCAACTCTTCGGCGAAGGCTACGGCAGGGGTGTCTGACGATACAGCGCCGAAGGAGTGCAGGAGCTGGTCGAATTCCTCACGGCCGACTGGTTTCGTATTGCCGTTGGGCTGGGCGCCGAAGAATTTACGGTCAACGGCTTCCTGCCACATCTCAATGTCTGCGAAGTTGGTCGAGAGAAAGCTAGTGGAATGCCAACAGGTAATGCCGAGCTTTTCCAGCGCAGCGCACATGGCTAGGCGATGTCAGTTTTATGCATCGGGGTTCTGGTTCAACAAAGGTGTCGTCTGTATCCGCCCTTGAAGCCGGAAATGCAGCAACGTACACATTGTCCCTGTCCGAGGGAAGCCCAGGCATAAGACCTCCAAAGGCACCGTTCTCTTCTTCCCACGTGGGGATTCGGTGCTCACGGGGCGGAAGAGCTCCGGATGCCGTTCTTGTACAGTTGCCATTGCTAGACTATGCGAGCGATAAGGGGAAACTTAGATAGTATCTGTTATTGAAAGGTAGCAATGGCCTCAATGGTTTTTGGCTATAAGATGCAATATTTCGGCTGCGATTTTTGTAAAACACTTGGGCAGCAGGCTAATAAATTGCATACTAAGAATCTAGGGATACAGCGGTTACTGATTGCCACTTCTATCAAGAAATTTACGTAAGACATTGTTCCTTGACACCTGTCACTGTTGTTGGTTGTTGGTTCAGCTTTAGATAGGTTTAGCGATTGGATCTCGTTGCTCAGATTTACGCGATGCTGCCCTCGGCTGTAACCGAAATGATATCTAGGTGAGTGACCCGCACCGGAAGACGCTCCCCAGGCTTCAGCCAAACCAATCGAGAACCCGTAAGCCCCCTACGATCGAAATATCGGGGCTGTGTTTGCAGGCCCGATACCCACAAGACTTTTGCAGCTGTTTTAGAGAGTGAACATTTGGCGTCGTGTTCCAAGGTAGGTAGATACGATGTGGTTAGTGGTGGAAATTCCGAACAGGGAAGTGATATGGAGTAGTGGTATGATGCTTCTGCATATGTGGGTTTGATGAGCTCACTTGGCATCCTGAAGAATAATTAATCACAAGCAAATAGCAAACGACTTAAGTAAGGTAGATAGTCGCATGTGATAACAGGCCAATTCATTGATGAAAAATGAGCCGGTTGGGCGTAGCACAAGACACAAAGAAGTTGTCGTTACACTAGCACCGACGAAAGGATAACAGTTGAGCTGAAAGGCCTGATTGAATTCAGCGCCAGCGGCCTGGTCTTGTGGGGTTTTTAGCTGGTAGGTTGTCCACTGACAGGATGAAGAGTAAGCAGCTCAAGAGCCAAAGTGTCGCCGAGTGCAGCTGGTCTCGGCGAGACTGGTCAGTGCTTATAGGGGGCAAAAACCACCGTGGAAGTCAAACTCCAGGGCGCAGGTCCAATCCCACAAGTAGGGGACGTGCTTCGACACAAGGGACGATATAACAGACGAACACCTCGCGATGACGGCTTTAGGCCGAAGACCGAGCGATAAGCTTGGACATGAGCCAGCTATTCGTATGTCTTCCGCATCTTTGGCGCCGAAAGACATACATGAAGGCGTGACATTCGCCGGTCCATCCGTAATTCGGCCGGGTATTGAACATTAATCGATCCTAACATGCATTTACTACTACTGGTTGGTGATCACCGAATAGTGCTGGTGCCACGCAAGAAACATCGCTCCTCAAACAGGTGAACAGCATCATTCCCCCACATTATTCCAACGCGACCGTTTCATTTCATATTCTCACCTGAGCCGAGCCCGAAAAAAGCGCACAAAGTGATCTTTATAGCGGTGTACTTCCGTCCCATGACATAATCAGATGGCGCTACAAGGCGCTTGAATTCACATACTGCAGAGAACGGTCGTCGGGTTCTCCCCACCACCAGTCCGAAGAAGACGAGGAAATAGGGGTCGCACCGTCCGGACGTGCACCCACCGTCCCTTGCAGTGTGCGTGTGCGGGGGTTATTATTGGGCGGTTTCCATGAGCGACAATGACTTCCGGGCCTCCGTGCCTGGGCCCGGGCGTTTGGCGGCAGTCCGGCGCCATGGACGAGCAGAACCCTGCGATGAGCAATACGGTCTTGATCCCTTTTGGTATTTTTGGGTAGATTGGGATGGACTATAAACTTCGCCATGCCCATCATCATTTACCAATCTTCTTGTTTCCCTCAACCGGCACATTCCAGTTTCTTGACAATTTCACCTTCTCAATCGTAATTTACTTTTACACATTTAGACATAATGGCTTCTCCTGCTGGCAACATCTCCTTCGAGGGTAAGGATTAGCTGACAAACAATGGTTCAAATGGGAGACTAATGGGTGCCTCTAGACTACCTCGGCCTCTCTACCGCCGTCTTCGAGTGGGCTGACAGCTACGATTCCAAGGACTGGGACCGTCTCCGCAAGTGCATCGCCCCCGAGCTTCGCGTAAGTCTCCAAGAGTTCCTCTCCGGCGGCTAGTCGTAACCCAACCCTTTCTCTAACATTTGATTCAGATTGACTACCGCTCTTTCCTCGACAAGATCTGGGAGGCCATGCCCGCTGAGGAGTTCATCGCCATGATCTCGGACAAGTCCGTCCTCGGCAACCCCCTCCTCAAGACCCAACACTTTATCGGCGGTACCCGCTACGAGAAGGTCTCCGACACCGAGGTCATCGGCCACCACCAGCTCCGTGTGCCCCACCAGAAGTACACCGACGCCTCGCGCACCAAGGTCGCCGTCAAGGGCCACGCCCACAGCTACAACAAGCACTGGTACCGCAAGGTCGACGGCGTCTGGAAGTTCGCCGGCCTGGCCCCCGAGATCCGGTGGTCCGAGTACGACTTCGACGCCGTCTTCGCCGACGGCCGTGACTCCTTCGGCGACGAGGTCTCCGCCGACAAGAAGAACGACGTCAGCGTCGTCGAGAAGGAGCTCAAGTTCGCCACTGCTCACTAAGCGATGTGGCTTGTAATATCGAGAGTGACGGAATCTCTCGCATCTGGGAAATGGGAACGGCGAAATTAGGTGTTCACTTAACTGACGACTGGTAATTGTGGGGGTTGTATGAGTTTTAAATTCAATGTGCATAAGAAAGCGTATGCTGATACGAAATACTACCACTTACCTCCAACAAACCTCTTTCTTTTTCCCTTTTTTTTTTCAATTTATCTTTTATTTTTAAAGGTTTTTTTGGTTTTGTTTTGTTTTGGTTATTGACACCAGGATGTGTTTACTTACCTTGGCTCCCGATGCATACAATAGAAAGGTGTATGAGACATGCTGTGACTGCTTTTAGGCCTCAATTTCCAGAGGCATTGGTTTCGAGCATACGTCTAGTCTCCTCATGTCGCTGTGCATCAGCGACAGCGCGTTGGAGTTCCGACAGGAACTGATTAGCACCACGCTGACGGGCAATCTCACGCTGGAGTTCCAACTCAAGCATATCAACAGTGCCCATGCGCAGGAGGCGGTTCACAGAGCAGCGGGTGGCGCGGCAGTTACGGCATACAGAGCCACGTTGCTCAACCTTGTTGCGACAAAAGCAGGGATAAACTAGGTCATGAGAGCAGCGGTGGGAAACATCAGGCTGACCAGGGTTCTGGGACTGCTCATTGGGCCAAGGATTGTTGAAGGCGTGAGAGTCGACATCCTGAAAGGGACGCTCCGGGAGCAAGGCATGGATGGCATTGCGGCGCTGACGAGCCGAAGTAGGGGTGTCAGGGATGTCGGCCTCGGTTGCTTCAAGGAGGAACTGAGCAGCTTCGTTGTTGTCGTCAGCTGGGGTTGGTTCAGGGACCTGGTGCGGAGGAGTATCAGGACTAGAGTCAAACTGCTCAATCCAAGGAGCAGTTCGGAAGACGTTCAGCGGGGTTCGGGAGCGTCCAGGGCTACCATGATCAGGGTTAGTCCGAGGAGGCATTTTGGTTGCTTGACTTGGGGTTACTACCTTAGATCGGGTTGGTGATTTTAATGACTTATCTGGCTGCAGATGAATGCTTGGTGATCTGATGAATGTGTTTGTTGATGTAATGAAGATGAGAAAGACAACGATGGGTGGACACTGGCATTATTATACTAGAAGATGAGGAAGGGGTATGCAATGGACATGACATTGAAAAGCAAGCACAGGAAGCTTGTCGGAAGACAAGCCTGTTGCGAGGAGATGGGAATCAACACTAGAGATCATACCAATTTCGGAGAACAACGGGCATGTTTACTTCCTAATTAATGAGCTATCAAAGAATTGGTGGTTTCGAATCGCAGATATCTAGCATTCGCAAACAAGGACAAGTGTGAACAAAACGTCTGGACCACAAATACTTGCGATGCGGGGAAACAGCTTGGATAGTGCTTGAATAATACATGTTAGTGGGTAATGTTCCAGAATTGGTCTTCAACTCAACGGCTGTGACTGAACACAAGCCTCAATCTTGGCATATCTTGACCCTTTGGTACCTTAGCTACCAAAGGTAGTAGGTAGGTCTTGGCTGCGGGAGGGCGCAAGTAAGGCGTAACGAGTACCACTTATAACGAATATGGAAACTGTTCGCCCGTAACCGTCATTACAGAGACACCAGTATCGAAGATGAACACGCCAAGGCATCTTGTTGGGCAATTATCGCCGAAGATGGACTTGAGCTGGAGAGGTGCGTCGGCACAAAGAACGGCATCTAAGATCAGCAGCCAATCAGAGTGGGCCGATACACATTTCGGATATTCCATATTCCGCCTTGAGCAGCTTTGACCAATAAGAACAATGATACCATTGTACGGGAACTGGGAGCCTTAGGCGGGGCACAGCTCGTCAGCGCACTGACCTCGGGGTCCAAACGTTGGTGGGAACTTGGAGAGCTCCGCCGGAGATCAGTGTCGCAAGTGTTCCTGCTCGAACAACCACCTCATCCCAAGAACATAAGATAGCAAGCCCTTGAGCACTCGCACAGCATACAAACGTATTGGTGTGCCAGGAGTCGGATAGCTCAAATTTACATTTCATATTCGTCCTCTTACAACTGAGCGCCAATCCGCCGCATCCACAGCCCACAATGGATTACACAGACAAGCGGCTTCAAGAGGAAGCAATGAAGCTTCAGTCACACAGGTATGATCCTCTAATCTAGCTAGCCATCTACTCTCTGAAGGCTTGTTACGCAATCGTCCACTAACTCCCTGTAGCACCGACGCTTTCTTCACCCCCCTCAACATCATACTCCTCCTCGTCGTAGTCTACACAATCTACTCCATCCTCAGCCCGACCCCGCCTCCGGTGCTCCCGAAAGAGCCGCCCGCGACTGTGTTCCGTGACTTCAACCCCCGTACTCTGCTTCCATACACAGGCGAGAACGATATGCCGGTATATTTTGCTGTCCGCGGCCGCGTGTTCGACGTCACATCTGGCCGCAACTTTTACGGCCCGGGCGGCCCGTACTCCAATTTTGCGGGCCGCGATGCCTCCCGTGGCCTGGCTTGCGGTAGTTTCGATGAAGACATGCTGACGAAGGACCTGGATGGCCCACTGGACACTCTGGAGGGCTTGGGCCCGGACGAGATGGAGGCTTTGCGGGGTTGGGAGGAGCAGTTTGAGAGCAAGTATCTTGTCGTTGGACGCCTTGTTCCTGTCGGAGAGGAGGACAAGTAAGATCTAGCATGGGGTTTTAGTATGTTACCAGAAAGCATAAGATGAAGTATAACGAAGGATGTGCCATGGTGTCATTGGAAGCAGGATTCCGAGGCACCTGGTAGTGAGCTTTTGAAATGCCATCTGCTACGCGAGCTTGGTTGGGTGTGGCTTCGCAACAAAAATGAAGTCCGATGTCACCCCATTTCTCATTGTTCCTTGGGTTTTGATCGATAAAGAGTTGATTGAAATGGTGATTGTTGGGTAAGTTGGTTAGCATAGCGGCTAGCACGTCATTCCGAACGTAGATTCCAAAGCCAGTCTTCTTCGCATTCTCGAGCAACAAGGTCTACGGCCTGAGACCACTTCTTTCTGCATTCAAGTATGCCCCCAGATCGCAAAAGAAACTATCCCTGATTGGTGAGAGAATCCACACCAACTGTACGGGAGTTCGGAGAGGCAACAGCAAAAAGACACCGTTTGGGGCTAGTGAGATTATAGCGCCAGGACCCAACGGCTACGGGTGAGGTGAGATGGAGACTGATCACTACAGTGGCTGGGGATGAGATAGGCAACGAGATTCGGGAAATTACACTCCTAGTTTATTTTGAGCCGGTGTCGCAGCGACCTTTTTTCGACACTGAAAAGCATACGTGACGACTATTCGCTCATTCGCATCCAGGGTGCCGGTACAGGGGAAGCCACAGGGGCTTGGAGATCTGATGAGACGACGGTATCCAAAGTCGGTGTGCTGATGTCAGGACTTGAAGGTTTCGGTTTTCTAAGATGATGATGTCAAGCCTGCAATAGCCTACTGCTGCCGTCTTCAAGGAAACGGATTTTCACTCTTTTTCCAACCCTTAGGATGTACTCCGTACCTGAAGAAACAATGCTTCAATCACTGTTCATTATTGCGGTATGTGCAGTCCTTTACTCTTGTTCGATATTCTGTTTCGTACTCTGCACTCCGAACCGGCGAAAGAAAGGGGAAAATGCTGCCAAGGGTCAAAACACTGTTGGAGATCGATTGAAGACGAGGTGCCGTATCAACAAATCAAGGCATAGCGCAAGCCCAGAGTCGGTGGTGGATGGCATCTGGTACAGGCGGTTGGTGCCTGTGGAACTCTATAATTAGTGGAAGTTAGCGGCAGATCCTGCGGTGGACTTCAAAATCTGCCTTACTCCGTAGGTATTTTGTGTGTCGTGCTACGGAATGCAGCCCCTGCAGCCAGCGAGTAGTAAAGAACACAGCCTCAAACCGTGTGGCTCGGTCCCTGCCACTGGTACCATTGGTCCTTCCCCGAATTCAATGTCTCTCTTGGGTGTCATTTTTCGGGGAAAGCGCAGGGGAAGCAGCACCTACCTGGATTTGGCTGCACACGCTCAGCCTTCAGCCCTAGGAAAGAGCAAACGATGAAGCAGGCACGTTCACTGCAAGGGAGAGAGGAATCTGAATATGAGGAGTAAGAGAAAAGAAACATAACTAAAAGGTAGTCGCCTAAAAAAACAAGCTTCCTTCACCCCTCCATCTTAGCTGCATCTGATTCCTTCTCCTCCCTTGGCCACAGCCTCAGCCTCCGTCCCTTTCAAAGCAGCCCAGTTCGACGCTACTGTGGAAACCAGCCATTCCATTCTCTCTTAGCTCATTGACGAATCCTGTTGCACCCGATATTATAAGGAAAAGCTCTTTCGCTTCTTCTCCTGATTCATTCCGCGCTTCTTATTCCACAGTCTTACTCGCTGTCCAGCCCTTTCACGACGATATATACCCTCCTATTGGACCCGAGCCCTTGGATAAGCGACACCGAAATCCAGGCGGTGCCATAACCCAACAAAGTATTATTCACCATTGCAGGTTCCTGCTCTTTGCGACAACCAAATTCGATCTCTTCGGCTCTGGGAACGCATGGGAAATCAGATGTGCTAATTCGCCAGTATCGTCGTGCGTCTTCCATACAAGTCACGACAGCCACCAACCTTTTCCCAATCCATTGATAGCAGATACACGCCAGCTCGAGATCAAATTTGAGTCTCTAAAACCATGACACCTTCAAGAAAAAAGGCTTCAAGCCTTCTGAGCATCTTGCTCTTCGCGACCCCTATCTTCGCCAAGTTCCAGAACGACTTCAGTCTCTACCCCAGTGCAGCACAACCTTGCTTATACTCCGCGTCCGATAGTAGCCAATGCGACGGCGAGACAGTCCCCGAGATGAACAAATGCCTTTGTAGCGATTCCAAGGGCCAATTCGTCACCTCCACAGCCAAATGCCTAGGGAAGAGCGCGAAAGATACCGTGCCAGCTGTATACAAGTCACTGAGCACGTCCTGCTCCGATTCCCAAACCCCACTATCCATAACCGAGGATCAGTTCGTCAAACTGGCGGATAGCGCTGCTACCACCACTACTATTCGACCAACAACATCATCCTCAACATCCACATCCAAGAGCCTAACTCCCACCACCTTCATGACTACAACTGTCGGCGGCGCGACTGTCACTGTGACCGCTACCCCCACCCCGACAGAATCTGCCGCTGCGGATGAGTCTTCAGGTCTGGGCACAACGGCCAAAATCGGCATTGGTGTTGGTATCGCTGTCGGAGCCGTTGGCCTTGCCGGCATCGCCGCCTTCTTGTGGCGCATGAAGAGAAACCGCGGCGTCCAGGAAGAATCTCGCCCTATGCTCGGCGGCGGCGTTGGCCCGACCGGATACAACCCGCAGAACAGCCCGCCTGGCAGTGCCGCTGCATTCGGTGTCTATACACACCATGAATACAAGACAGATAGCAAGGATCCGATATGGCGGCCTGGCACGGCAATCACCACAAGTCCTAGTCCTGGAGGTCAGACGTGGGCTACAGCGTCTCCTCAGCCGTCATATTCCCTGTCTCAGGGGCCGTACGCTCCACCACCTCAAGAACAGCAGCAGCATGCCTGGGGGCATCATCCTCAAGCTGCGTATGCTCCAGCACAAGCTGATTCTCAGCCTGGAGTCTTCGAGCTCGCTTCAATGCCTGTCCAGGCGTCACACATTCCCCCACCACCCAATGTGGTCGAGATGCCAGCGACAGAGGTGACGCCACAACCCGCACGTTACCAGTATCCATCACAAAGATGATGCGTATATGAGTACAAATAATGCTTTTGGATAAATGGGGAAGGGAACAGTACTATGAGGATGTAGATTTATTAGTGATACCTCGGGGTCTTTCTACCATGGATGGAGATATAGGCGTGCGTACACCGGCCGAAGGATTTATTTGTCCAAAGGTCGGGAACTGGAAAAAGGCATTATACCAATGGTAACTATTTTACTTCTATTGTAGCAAGTTTAAGTTTCGCACACACAGCTGTCTTTCTAACCTGACTGCGTTTTGGTCTAAAACGAACCAAGATTAAGATACCTCCCGCTTGCTGCAGTGCTTAGACTCATTCAGACGTATGTGGTATGATGGGCTAGCTGAACAATCTACTTGACAAAATCATAATTTGCTCCATTGGCTTGAATGATGTTTTTGTTTGGCTACGACAACATATGCCACCTCCATCCAATACTACTTCTTAACGACTTCCTCCGGCACTTCTTCTGAGCTTTTTCCTTGTGTTTTGTTCCTTTGGCTGACTCTATCCTTGACTTTTCTCTCCATTCCTCCCTCAATTCTCAATTAGCTCTTTGTTCAAATACCACTCATTCTCTAACAGGTCTGCGGACGCTTCCAAATCATCATGGTCGTCAACTTTGCGAAGATTACTGCCAAACTAGAAAGAGTATCATTTGGTTTTAGCCCCGATCATTCGTGTCGCGCATCCTTTTTCAAGTCAGAGTGTTATTACAAGGATTAACACCTACTTGCGGACTGTCGTGCCAGAGATTAGCTAACATATGCATGCGTAATTGTGAAACATTACAGTTGGATGAGGAAATGATACCGCTTATGTTATGGATGGGTCTTACGGATGAATAACATAGGTAAACGTACAAGACCTACATGATATTTAACTTTAATTGACTCTCCTACGCACAATGAATCTTACCCAGTTGGATTTGTATGTAAAAGTGACAGTGAAAGATCTTCCAGCTCAGTTATTTAAAGTATAATCAAAGTTTCATTTTGATAACATATATAAATATATATCCTGCTTGTTTAGGCGTAGAATCTACTGCTAAATTTCTACGAAACAAATAATAGTATTTAGATCTCCAGTGTTGCTTCCTCTGAAACCTTTTTCATAACAAGGGCAACCATATGATTGACCGCTGCGATACTAAATCAGGTACGGCGCCTTAGTAGAAGTTACATCATACTAGCAGTCACGTATGAACATAATAATGACCCCAGATACACAAGAGACCATCTCGATCATTAGATTTCCGGGCCGCAAGTCTTCCATCCACTTCCTCTACAACAGTTTATGAACCCAGTTGGGTTGGAGTTATCCGTGAGATCGCACGACTAACACGCTAATCAGTATTGCGACGTTTTCAGACGGGCCTCGGAGACACTGACAGGTATACTTTCACCTACCCGCGGAATAAAGGTGTTGCGACCACAGCAATTCCGCGTAAGACCATCGTTCGTTCTTCCGTTGCCACAGCAGAAGTACTTGTTGGCGGGAAAGTCGCTGTTGAGAGGTTAGCACCTTTTTTTACGTTCATCTGTTGAGCATAACTACCTATGTCTTTGCGCAGCAACCCTGATGAGAGGTTAGTATTGCCATATACGATCTTCGAAGGACAACATTACAGTGAGCCGAGGCCGAGGAGAGTTAAAAAGGCCAAGAGATTCATTTTGGGCTGTAGTTTTGCAAAGATTACTGTGGGCTGTATGGTGGTAAAGTTCTGGTTTAGGTGATAATTGATGACTTTCCTGTCGCTCCCAGAAGAGGTTCTTATACCATTGACAGGAAAGTCAGCAGCGCGACACGGCCTGGGACGCTTATACCATTTGGGTAGGTTTAACGCATATAGCCGTATTCTGATATTAATTAATTTTACTTAACTTAAAGAATAGATAGCTTGCCGTGTGTGCTTGGGTTTCGGTGTCCGCGGAAGATGTCCCGGCGCAGGCTGTAAATTTTGCAATGCGGCAAGCGGGAGTGCAAGGATTTCGAATTACAGACATGAAAAATTGACGATTTACTGTATGAGAACAGAGATTAAAATAAAGCTGTTGTTCTTGAACAGCGATAGATACGTGGCGGTTGCTATTAACAAGGAATCGACAGCTTCGACTAGAATTGAAGGGGTATCTTGCGCAAGGCCCCGGACGACACTAATACCACGAACACAAACACCATAAGCGTATTGGTGGACCAATCCACTCATGGGGATTGTCTCCTTCGAGGAGGCGTTATTATCAATCACGAAAGATATCAGGAATGAACGGTGTCTTTGTTGAGGATTTTCCTAACTATTCATTTTCTCGTGGGTTATGGGGCGTCATGCGGACGATCTCGGCAAGAATCAGCGATTCCGAGATACACGGGAATAGCTTGGGAGGGTGGCCGAGTTGGTTATGGCGCCAGGTTAAGGTCAGCCTAACATCTGTTTCCTGGTGGGGCAACCCGCGCGAGTTCGAGTCTCGTCCCTCTCAATTCATCTTTTGCTACTCTTCCAGAGGGTAGATATTTTTTTCCCCCGACGTTGTTTTTCAGTAGAATTAGAGTTCTCTAGATCATTGATTTCTGGATGATCTCATCCCAGTCATTGGTTGTGTCAGTTAACCTATCTGAACCCTAACTGTTTCTGTGCCCAAGTCTACCTTGCTACCCTGGCGCTCCTTTTCGACTTCCGCGCCGTCGACTTTCACCGTGTACTCCGTTGCTTTTCGAGTAGATTTGGTTGTAGCCGTAATCCATACAATGGCAGCTTCTGCTCTGGGTACATCCTCCATCTGACCCAAAGTGAGCGTGATTTCATGCGACCTGGCATTGTAGGAGAACTCTTTAATGATCCCAGCATTTTGATTTCAATCCCAGTGGGCCCAATAAAAACCTTCTGGTGCAAAGGATCTTGCACCTCAACAGTAGCCATATCTCCATCCAAATAAAGAGTGCCGCCGTAAACTACTAACCCCAGGTCCGGGTCTTCGACCAAATACGACCCAGATCCCAGAACCATACCAACAAAGTTTGGCCCATAATCACCACTGAAGCGGTCCCAAAAGAGATGCTCTGGCCAAGCATGCATTGCACATGAGGCGAATCCATCCTCACGAATGTTGGATAGCGGACCGGTTGTGCCTCCGTACCCAACGCGAAGGAGGTAATTGTCGGACGGGTCTTGCCGGAATGGTGAAAGTAACACGAGGGAATTCAATCCGGATCCATAGTGATGGATTTGACGCTCGACTACTTGAAGCTTCCCTGCAACACTTTTTCGGTCTATCAGCTGCTTTCCATCTTGTAGGGATTACCCTTTAAAAACTTACACGAAATCCCAGTAACGGCGTGCGTTACCGTTATAACCCCAATGAGGTACTGAGGTCATGTAGCCTAAAACACTGTTCTTCACTTTCGTAGCCAAATCGGTTTCTTCAAAGTAACTAAAAAAATTTGATTAGTAGATAGTAGTCAAAGTCAAATTTTGACTTACTTTGACCAAAAGTAGACGCCTTCTTGGCCAGTAGAGTCCCAGGACTGCTCGCTCCCGTAGGGATACGTTTCCTTCAGCCAACGATCAACCCGGGACTTCATAGCTTCTTTCAAACTCTTTACTTCGGCGGTTCTGTCCTCCCTTTCTAAGTCCAGAAGTATTTCACCGAAGACAGTTTCACCCATAAGACCTTTCTTATTAAAACCAATGTCGGATTCCATTGCTCTCATAACAGTCTTGTAGGCCGTATCAAAGTACCAATCCCAAGTATGAGTCTTGAGTAGACCTGGATACGACCTTCCGACGCGGTATAATGACCAGTAAGTAGCAGCAGGCCATACATAGTTGTATGCACGTGTGATTTCGTAAACGTGGCTTTTCTTTTGGCCTGAGTTGATGGTATAGTTGTAGCCCAGTTCGGGGTCGTATTAGAAGACCCCTCTTTTGATACCATAGTCCGCATCCTGTACCGTCTTGAATAGCACCTTGTCGACAAATTCTTCCAATTTAGAGATTTCGTTAATGTTTGGCCGGAACGTTTGCTTAATCGCGGCAGCAACATAGGCCCCAGCCCCGCCCTCGTCGCTCAGTCCAGCTGGCGCTGTTCTGCCGTCTTGTTCGATGATCCCTCTCGTTTCACCGTCATAACCCATGATGGATGGAGAACGACCGAAAGGGTCCGATTCATCGACGAACCAATGCTCAGTAGTAAGGAATTCACCCATATCCGCAACCGCCTGAGCGGCCGGCTTTGTTACGTAGGAATGTATGGTCTGCGTCTTGTTGTCTCCGTAAGTGACTGTCAAACGAACCCTACCCCAAGCAGACTCTGATGGCTGAATGGCATAAGTTTTGTTGCGCAAGTCGAGGACCTCAAGAGCGCCTGGAGGGTGAATCTCGGTGGCCGAAATTTCCGACGTCGCCTGTAAGGACAGCGTTCCTTGCGTGTCCCGTGGAATGATGTACCCAGGGACCCCGATAGCGTTTGGGGTGCCAGTATTCCGGATAGCAGAATCGATATGTCTAACTCCTTCCTTGACAGCTGTAAAGCGGAGTCCATATGTTCTCGATTGCCCAGGTTCTAGGACTGCACTTGTGGGAAGATTCCAAGGCTCAGCGTCCTTCCATTTTTGCTCCGCCCATGCTTTGCTGTGAACGGTCCACTCGAAATACCCCTCCCACATGTTTGATCCTATTCTTGTTTCGCCTTTGTTGTCTTCCCAAAGCCATCTGTAAGCTTCCAACGGTGTTTTATGCAATGGCGTGACAAGAAGAGCAGGGCCAACTCCTTTAAGTGGAATGACACGAAGGTGACCGGCATCCTGCCCAATATACGGTTCCATGAAAGCACACTTCTCATTAACATCAGACACATTTCTCTTTGTGAATATGTTGTTGACAGCCGCCGCAAACCCTAAGCCTCCAATTTCAACGTCGATGTCGCCGGTATTGATAATCGTGAAACGCAAGCCTAGATCACCGGAGACGTCGATCCATTCGCGGGTGATGTTCAAAGGCCCTAGAGACATTGTAGGGGACAAGTCAGAAGATAACAAGGCTTCGCTAGAAATTTCGACGACTGGTGTTCTTTGTGCGGCAGAACTAGTCTCTTGCCATTCGGCCGACGAGGAAGTTCTGTATAGGATATTAACATCGCCCCAATGGTAGCAGCCATTTTGAACTCGACGACCAAGCTGCATTAAGTCATATGGCAGGAAATCGAAGTCGTTGCCAACTGGTTTAAGAGACGCAAGAGTAGCTGAGCTTTTGACAATCACAGCCTCCCAATTCTGCGTTTTCAAAGTGTAGGTACCATTTTTAAAACCGATATTGTCCTGTCCGGTGACAAGTGACAATGCCATGAGGGCAAACCCGACTATTTGTTCCCATTGCATTGCAAAGATTGTCTAGAAAGAATTAGGTATGGGATTGAGTAATTCGCATTTCTCGCTATTTATCCTACCTTGCGAAGTAGAGTGTTTGTCCAGCTTTTTAATGTTATTGCATATGAGATGCATGAGAATCTCAGTGGGTCTATTTATTTGACATCATCTCACGGTTATTAATACTTGCTCATATCTCGGGAGGATACGCAAAGATGCAGCGATCATGGATACTGCCATTCTTGGAAAGGGATAGCGAGGCTGAGAAACGATTACTCCAGATGCGGGGGATCTGCCTAATTTTTTACTTAGAACCAATGGGATTAGCAAGGATAATTAATCATTGGTGGACTCTTTGCGGTGGCACAGTTTGGATGTAAGTAGGGTGGCATCACTTCATGCAGGTGGCCGTTAGGAGTTGATGGTCCTGGGGGTAGGATCTTGATCACTTGCCGTTGCGCTTCAACCTGATTTGATTGTTGAAAATTGGGCCCTTCGTCCTTAATACTTCCCATATCACCGAGACGTATGCTATAAGCGTACCAATCACTGTAGCTGTAACTCTCCTATTCAAACCACGATGTTTGTAGGAGCAGCTGCGGACAGCTTCCAACTTTGGAGACATAGCCACTGCCATCTGTAAATTTGGTGAAATACTGTGAGTGTTCTTTTGGAACGTTTATTTGCCATACCCAAGCAAGGAAACGAAGCTGTTCGTTGACACGCTTGTCAGCAAGCCAAGTCAACGAATACTTCACTCTCATTTAAAAACATGATATTACGACGGATAAAAAGCCGTCAATGATGAGGATAATTACTTAAAGAATCTTGAAGTCCCTAGTATTGTATTAAAACCAGCATGTTCTTCTCTTTGTCTGGTGAGATACTAGACAAATGACATCCACAACCCCAGAATGGATAGAATGAGCGGCGTTGAAACCTAATGGCTGCCTATAATATTCGGTATTCTTCCTCGTTCACCAGGGGCACTTCGTGACTTTCTGGACCAAAAGAAGAATTAGAGCCTCTTGATGAAGAGAGAAACTCAAAGATAAGGGGGCTAATATCCTGCTTCGTCAAAGCAAGTCTTCATCATTATCGAAGTCAAGCTGGTACTAGTGGTACACATGTCCAAGAGAACTGCTGGGGGCTTCTTTTCCTGCTGTATGCACTTCTTTTACCCGACCGCACAGTTCAAACGTCCCTTAGAATACAAAGGACACCGATGATTATCACTTGGACGTGACAGTCTTACGTCTGCGGCGGTGAGGCACAGGGGGGCAATACGACATTCTTCTTCGGTTTAGGAGCCGAGGTTCCGGTGCAGAGTGGTCGGGGTTAGTAAGAGGTACTAATAGGGTTGTCTAATCCCCTTGACCGGGTTTTGAAAAGGAAACATTAAGAAATCTATAAGGTTCAACGTTCACACATACATCAAAAAGCATGGCATCTCGGAATGTAAGGAGACCGCGAAAAACATTGACTCGCGATTAGCTCCTTCAACATGATGTCCACCTTAACAGTCGCATTCCGGAAGCATGACACTTTCTATTGAATATTATAGGCCACATTTGGTATGATGTTTATGGAAGCCAGCTGATTAAAGTTGCTGAGACAGACATCGATTCAAGCTTTGCGAAACGAGATTTGTTGTGTGAAACACCGGACATGGGCCAAGAATCTTAGATTAGCGTCGCAATATGTTTGGGAAGTAACTAACAGCGCACATCAGGATCTTCAACATAAATGAAAATTCAATGATGGCATGGCGGCCCAAGTGAAGTGAGATGACTATTGAGTCTATTGCATTCACTCCGACAGCCATCACATTCATTGTTAATAAATCCTCAACAGCTATAACGGGGGAAGAGAATAGAATAGAACCGCTATTCGCCACGCCGGCTCGAGGGTTTATCTGGCTTATATTCTATCCCTTGGCTTGATTTCAGCTGTCATATTCGGTGTGCTGAAAGACCCTCGTGCAGATAGATATGGGTCCGACGTAAGCCATGGTTGCATTTGGTCCTGTGGCTGGTTACAAGACTATTGCTATACCCCTAAAGGACCATCGATTTTACAAGGAGATAACTTTCGCTTCTTCGCCTGGTGTTAGTACAAGCCATTTAGGTGCGTGGGTTATAAGCCACGTCTGAAATCCTACTGCGGGTGAGAACAGAGGCTATAGAATGTTTGAGGCTTGCGTGCATGGATTGATCAAGTCACGTTGGTTTAGTAAGAACACAAGTTCCAAACCGAGTTCGGGTCTTGGCCCATCTAATTAGCTTTTGCTGGGTTGGGCCGTGATAATCCCTAATGGATTTGTTCAATTGAGCTATAGTAATGGTAGGTACTATGAAATAAGTTCTGGCTGCGAAAGAAAGCAATCTACTTATTGTAACCTAGTGGCGCAACCAGCTGCTATGGTCACCCAGGGTCTCTGCCTTGCTATACGCCATATCAAGTTTAACCGAGCGCCGCAAGAACCTTTCTGTTTCCCCCGTTTGCACTGACCGCAGCGCCAGAAACCCATCTGCCTTCCTCGCTGGCTAGAAAGCCAACAATGTACGCAATATCCTCCGGGACACCAATCCTATCGGCAGCGGATGTATCTAGAAGCTGCTGCTTAAGAAAATCCGGTCCCAGGAGATCTTTGTTTTGGTTCCATGCATCAGTAGCCGTTAGGCCCACGATAACGCTGTTGAATGTCGCCCTTTTCTCTTGGGCGAAGTTTTCTGCGAATGAGCGCATAAAGCTATCAAGAGTGGCTTTGCTGGCGCCATATGTTATGGTAGGATCCGAGTTCGCCTGCTTAGAAGCGCAGCTAGAGATGAAAACAACACGGCCCCCATATGTTGGTAGATATGGCATAAGTTCCATGGTAAGCGAGACGGGTGCATAGACGTTTGCTTGCATAATCTCCGAGAAATTCTTGAGTGAGGTCTCGCTGATCGGCTTCGCCGCGGATGGGTCCGCTAAAACCGCATTGTTGATGAGGATGTCGATTGTTGTCGTTTCAAGTCCCTGGAGGACTTGACGAATAATTTTTGTGCCGAAGTCAGGGTCAAGCGCGTCTGCCTGGATGGCAATTGAGTGCTTAATGCCTAGTTTACGGCATTCATCCAAAGTTGCCTGAGCCGCGTCGCGGTTTGCCATATAAGTAATGGCAATTTTGCTTAGGCCTTTACGAGCAAAGTGCAACGCAATAGCTCGACCAATCCCTCGTGATGCCCCAGTAACTATGGCCGTTTTCCCGGCCAAAGACCACGGCTCCGGAGAAGAAAGAGGCTTAGACATTTTGGAAGTCGAGAAGTAAATGGTAGACGGGAGGCTAATGAGTATCAAGTCTACTGCTTGGTCTGAATTGTTTGTCTCTTTAATACTGCCTGGTCTTGAGTGCCCCTCATATAGATGGCCACCTCAAGCTCGCATTAAATTTTACCAATAAACAAAACCCCAGATGGCATTTGCGGACCACATGGTACCTCAAATTCCGCCGCTAAAGGAAGATTCGAGCGGAGTTGATCACGGTGACTGCAGGCTCACGGGGCGCCCGGAGATGTCGTAGCCATACCGCCGAACTTACAGGTCCGCCTGCCGTTTGGCTCGGCTGCATGCGGCTGCATTTGCGGACTTCACTGTGATCTTTGAAACCGACCGCAGTATCTACTACTGTCCAATCAAGGGTTGAGAAACCCGATGTAACCAGTCAGAATTAATACCGGACCCGGAACTAAGTTCACCTGAAGGTCCGTCTATTTCCGCAGCGGGGCTAAAACTTCAAGCTGGTTTGTCATCTTGACACAATCCTGCTATGTAGTGAGACTTTTGAGAGAGACACGCGGCCAAATGCCACCTCTGCGCATCCTTGTCGATGGGCATGTTTCGATGTCTCAGTCGGGGAACAGTCCTCGCTCCACGACACGGTCAGTACACATGTCGCTCTGGGATATCTGGCCTACCAGATGCTGGCTTAGCCCTGACGAAAGACGCTGTCAACAGATTATCATTTTACGTTGAGCACGGGCTACGGTAGCACTGGCATTGTTGACGTCCACAGACGGATGCATGAGGCCACACCAAACCAACATGGCGAGAATATCGCGCTGCAATCTGTGCGCAAGGCGACCCTTTCTCAATGCCAAAACCCAGGATATCAATGAGAGATAACAAACTACGGTCCATTTCAACGACAAAGAAATTGTTGGGCGCTGTGACCGCAACAAATTTTACTTCCTGGGAATCAGGTATGTGCCGCAGTCGATCATGCACCAGGGTTTCGGGGAGGGGCATCCGCGCTCGCTTTCGGCGACTCGTGCTTCCAGTTGGGATGCGGTTCTGAGAACTGCTTGTTCCTCGATATCTGGACACCCTACCTCCCGAAGCCTTAGAGGCCTCCACTCGTCACCGTTCTGGCCCTGAGGCCCGTTGTATTCTGGCTTCACTGGGGTGTTTACGAGTTTGGCTCGGGCAGCAACCTGACCTTCGATGGCGGGAACCTCGCACGGCGACGTCGTCGTTGTCGTCACCACGGGACTCACGGGTTCTTGGTCCTAGATGGCGGCGTCACAGCGAGCAACTTCGGATTTACTGACCAGACCTTCGCGCTGGAATGGGTTCGCTAGAACATCCAGGGCTTCGGCGCCACATCCTTCCGCACAATGATGGCTTCGCCCAAGGTAGCCGGCAAGTTTTCCGGGCGCCATCGCTGTGAGCAATCTTGGCGGCTTGTTGTACTCGAAGACTTATTCAAGATACTAAACCAGTGACGAAGAGATGGACGCCGTCGGCAAAAGAATCCTTGACACAACGAACTGCATTAACGCTGCCAATACCACACTGCAGCTCCAGTGTCTCCAGGAAGTCCCGGCGGCGACTCTCTCGGTTTTGGGGGATCCTGCCCGTTACCTCGTCGTAGATAGGATCTATCTCGTCTCTGACGGGCTGGAAGTCTGGGCCCAAGGCATGTTGGGCTCGAATGGTATCAATCTCCGGGTTCACTTGATGATGGCCATCACGGCACAAGACAGCACGTGCATGCATATCTACCCTCGCAACGACACCGGTGTCAACGGCTACATTGGCAGCACGATTTTTAAGGTCTCTCTGGACCAAGGATTCTCTGTGCGCAAGATAGTACGCTCTGCCTCCAAGAATCAATTGATGACATGATGTCGATGGCGGAGGCATGATAAAACATATTTAGTTTGGACGTTAAGTAATAGTACGAAGAAGAACTACAGCCTTAAATCCCAGAACTACCGGAGCACAGCGGTGTAATTTCATAACGTGCAAGTATTGATTGTCGTCTGATGGATTCTACTTGGCAGACACAGAGTATCGGTTCGGTCTGGGTCTAAAAAAGCCCAAAATTTGGATTTAAATGGACGTTTCGAAAGCACCAAGTGTTGCTTACAGGGATTTTCACAGTTCTGAACTTGTTACACCAGTTAAGAATGCCAAAATTTGTAATATTGATCTTGGCTTGTTTTCATACATATATAACCCCACGCGTCCGTCGTAAAATTCTTCATTGGCACACTTCACACTTCACTTTCCTCAATTCCTCCGCCAGCACACTTCTCTCTTCACTGCTTGGCTACTTTTCTCTTCACTAGTGAGCAAGAGGGCAAGATGATATTCCTCAAAAGGATGGCTATTCTCATGGGTGTTGCCGCCACTGCCCTCAACGGGGTCGTGGCGGAACGAACACAGAGCTTGCATAGCGGTAATCCTGCTGGGAAGAAATTACGTACGAGGAAGGTTAGTTACACCGAGTTGATCATAGACTGATAGTAACATCCTGAATTCATTAGTCAAATTTTATGTCTCAAAGCCAAATGTAAAAGCGCTTGGGGAGAAGGGCGCAACATCTGGCGTCTTATTCTTGTCAGATATTACTGGCATTCAGCCCAAGGAGAACAAACTGTTAGTCACATGAGCTCCCTCGTATGATGATTACTAATTCTTCACAGCTTGGTCGATGGCTTTGCACGAGAAGGATTTGTCACTGTGGCGCCTGACCTGTTCAATGGCTCTCCAGCGCAACTCGAACCTAATCTCAATGTCACGGAATTTCTCAGCAAGCATCCTCCTGAAGTCACGGATCCCATAGTGAAAACAGCGGTCGCCTATCTTAGGGACATGCTTGGCATCAAGAAAATTGCGGTATCGGGATACTGCTTTGGAGGACGCTATGCCGTCCGCGTGCTCAATGGGGAAGATGCAGTGAATGTTGGATTCACTGCGCATCCAAGTCTGCTTACCACAGAAGAGGTTAAAGCGGTTCAACGCCCACTCGGCCTCGCTAATGCTGGTAAGATAAAAGGCAGCAATGCTTTCCCTCGACGCTAACCGTTACAAAGAGAATGACCCGGCATTTCCCTTGCAGCAGCAGACCGAGACTAACACCATCCTGGGTCAGCTTGGGCATGGTTTTGCGGCATCTCTGTATAGTGGTGTTATACATGGGTTTGCAGTCCGTGCAAATCTTTCTGATCCGGAGCAAAAGTTTGCAAAGGAAGAGGCCTTTTCCCAGGCAGCTCGCTTCTTTAAACTGTGGACTCAGTAATAATAGAGTGTAAATATGCTGGTACATTAAAGCGCCTGTTCCCTAATTCGATGCTTTTAATTAGCTCTGGTTCGATGAAATCAAACCCTATACTTTACATCTTGTGCTCGAATTTCCAGAAAGATGCAGTGCTAGAATTACAGTCGCTTCTGGAAATGTTGTCATTTGAACAGGGTTGTTCTGAATATGGTGTTTTGGTCCGGCAAGTACAAACGTATAAGACCAGAGGCTTACTCGGGTCAAAGGAGACGGGTCTAACCAGCACCAATCATACTACATAGATTCCGAGCCGAACAATGATACCTTCAATCCTAGTACGGTCCGTATATCTAGTAGAGCTTGACCTAATTAGTATGTCTCATTGAGACTAAAGTGAAGGCTTTGTTCACTGCCCCATTTCCGTACATCCGCCTGACCCACTGGGCTCCGTTCCACGACTCGGCCAGCGAATGGCTGGTGGAGAAACCCGAGAGGACGAAGCAGAGAGCCTTCCCTTGGTTTATCTCGTATTTGATCCTGGCTTGCTGGATTTCAAAGCTCGCTGGAATCTTCGCCGTCTACATGCTACATCTGGAACAGAAGGCTCTACCTCCGAGCATGAAACTGGGCCTCCCAAAATTGTGATGGAGACCATAGTTGCAAGTAAGCATTCTACAGGATAGCCAATGATCGCTCTTACTTTTCAAGGAAACCTAGCCTTATCTCAATCATAACTTCGCTGACAGAATCCGACGGGTTAAACGTGTCAATGGCTGGCCCGCTTGCCAACGATGTCTTTCCACCCGCCGCACATGCGATGGCTACATCGTCTGGGGTGGATAACTGGGCCTGAAGGCGTCGAAGCCCGGCAATCTCTAAACGTAGGCAGTCCGGGAGCAACCAGGGTCAAGTAGATTAAAATGTTATCAAGCTTATATTTGCGCCTATAAAGCATAGAAGTCACGGAGCCGGGAGGTCCGGCCTGGCTTTGCCTGCGTACCACACTGGGCTTGGCCCGTGACAGTATAAAGATGCTGGGTTAGCATCATTCGTCTGTTCAAGTGGTGGTGCTACATCATTCAATAATTGAAGACATCTTTAATGGTCAATCATCACCAGAACCAGCCTGTCGTACATTAACTTTTGTATTGTTCCACGCGTCTTTCAAAGTCTCTGAATATGGCAGGCGGCGCCATACTTCCCCTTAACGGAACAGACTTGTTCTACACGACCCAAGGCCCCGAGACGGGCATTCCTCTCCTTCTTATCCATGGCTGGGCTTGCGACCAGACTGATTGGGCCTTCCAAACGGCCTTGCTCGCCCTCTCACAGGCCTTTTTTGTCATCGCCATGGACTTACGTGGTCACGGCCGCACCTTCTGCCCCTCTTCAACTGTTGCCTTCGACCCCGTCACCATGGCTGAAGACGGCGCTGCCCTGCTTCGATACCTCGGCGTCGGCCTAAGCAACGAAGCAATCGTCATAGGTCATAGCTTAGGTGGTCTTGTAGTCACTGAACTTGTGGCTGCGTATCCAGAGTTGGTGCGAGGGCATGTATTGGTGGACCCAGCGTATACTTTGACTCCGGATACTATAGGGGCGCTTATCCCGGCTTTGGAACAGAACTTTGATTCCACGACCGCCAATTTCTTCAACGCCGCGTATACAACGGGAACGCCGGATTATATCCCAGAGTGGCATAAGCTCAGGGCGTGGGGAGCCGACGAGGAAATCATGATCGCTGCGTTCAAGCAGATGGGAACGCGTCTAGGCCCCAGTGGAGCTGAGTATTTGAAATCGAAAAAGGTCGAGGGAACACCGAGGCTGGCCGTGCACTCAATGGAAGCTGGAATCGAAGTTGAGAAACGAGCCGGCATTGATCCCAAGTTTGACAATGTTCAGCTGATTCAGATGGGCCATTGGATCATGCAGACTGCACCAAAGGAGTTTAATACCCTTCTAGAGGACTGGATGAAGCAGTGGGGATGGCTAAAGGGCAACAACACCTCAGGTTGTTAAGGGGTCAGCTGGGCCATGATATTCTGCGGGGGGATCGCAACGATCTCGTTGTCATGCATGACCGAGACTATACTGGAGAAACTGTTCTCGCCCTTTCGACACGCACTACATATATACCCCAGCATGCTAAAATCGAGACTTCTCCAAAGATTAAATTCTCTACTTAGTATTAAAGCCACTATTTTAGGTATCTATCCTGTAAATTGCGAGTGGACTGTAATATTTACTAGCTGGCCGTGTACTTCGCGATATAACTAGTGTAATATTGTTTTTTTTAAGTCAAGAGGTTGCTGGTACTTTTACTAATAGGCTGAAAATGTTAAAGGGTTAGGTACCTTGAATTCGATGTATTTTTATTAGCTACTCCCACCTTTCATGACCCTCCTCAACATTCGAAGGGATAAATAGAACCTTCCTTTACTTTGAGCTTTCCTTAGCGAAGAGCATCTCAGGGTCTTCCAATAAAGTATATTTCTTGCTCCTCGGACTAATGCTAACTCTTCGACCTTGAGTTCGAGTTGCAAGCGGTATCTTTACGTTAGATTCCCTCATTCTTCAGATCACTCGTCTGTACCTACCACAGACCTTTGCGGCTAGCTAGATCGGCACCATTGAAGCTTCAGCCGTCGATTCTATGCATGCATCGCATTTCACAGTGGGAGTCGGGAACGCAAGAGCATCTTGGCAATCTTGGCGTCTCTAGAGCCCTATTTTGAGTATCAAAAGGCGTTGTAGATTACGAGTATGATGCAACCAAGTCGGTGGTAAGGTATAGAAGAAGGAGAAACATTCTACAAGAAATCATACCAGTATATAAGTAGTGATTCCCCTAATTCGCTTTTACGATATAAATTAAGCAACCTACATCTTCTTCCTCCAACAGGAGGCGACATCACTACGGATCAAGGATAGGTATCACGATGACTTAACCAGCTGCGGGGGAAGACGGCGAAAGGAGTTGTGGCACTGTGCTTAACGTGGCTTTGCTATAAAGACGCCGGGTACTCTAAACTATAGGTAGAATGTCTCGAGCTAAAATCCATGATTGACTGGTATAAAATTAGCATCAGGGCCAATATAGAATTATAGCTCAGCTAATAGAGTAGAGCCAAGCACACCCGAGCTATCCTCCATAAGCTGACAATTGTGCTTTCGGAACCCTTAGAGTGCTCAGAACTAGAGAAACATTCCTTTTTGTAGTTCAGAGCAAACGATGCTGTCATTTCGGGCCTAAACGAAAGAGACAAGTCTCCGAATGGGAAAGTTAAGGAATACCGTTGGTGTCCCGGAAGTAATCCCACTCCAAAGGTCAAACCCCCATAGGTTCGCGATACCTGGAAATTCAAAATTTCGCGGGTATCCCTGCCCAAGTCGGAGCCTCAGACGTACGTTGTCGGCGACGTAGTGACTTGGAACCTGTTGCGCTTGCCGAGACTGCCAAGGGCACCAATTTCACCCTGATGTACGGTTCGGTAGATTCGTTGAAATCGGGCGAGGCCACGGAACTGCGAAGTCAAGAAGCCATGTACGGTTCCTTCCGAAGGGACAGTTGCGGGGCTTCTCATCTCATATTCGAAAGTGGCCTTTCCGGCGCCGAGATAGGCCACAGCCTTGCAGTTTTTGCCGAACATTAAGTTGAGGACGATAAAGGAGTTGCTGGCAGAAGCCTGGGAAGGAAAAGAATTGGGCGCTACTGAAGTAGGGCCACGAGGTTCCTTGTTTTTGCATGTTTGCTTCTCTATTTCTAGATCATAAAACCAACATCAGTTTTTTTCAAAACATCATTTTTGTTTTTCATTCTCCTGCATAAAGCGTCCAGTCTTTGGAACAGATTCGAAGTGCACGTGGTTGGAAGGGCAGATGAATAGCCAAACAACATAGGAAAAAGGAATCAAGTTGAAGGTAATGAATTAGCCACAATGTTGCTGCCATGTAGCCTCTAGAATTGTAGAGGGCGCCTCCTTGAATCAGACTGGACGTTCGGCTTGACGCAGGCCCGGCTAAGCCGTGTAGTTTTTCATCCACCTGATGCAACTGTTTATATGTTGTACAAAGGGAACAGGGTACCGGCTGCATCAAGGAGTACTGCTTAGGTTTATCGTCTTCTCCAACAACTCCCACTCCCCGTTGCTTCGTCTCCGTTCACATTTCAAAGTAGCCTTCCCAAATAGACCATCAGAGAGATCCACTACAACTTCGTGAACTCGATGCCACTCTGGCACGCTCAACCCGGCTACTTGTACATCGTCCGTGTCGTGAAAAAGAGAGTCACGATTAATGTCAGCGCTGGATGTGTCACTCCAGAGCCCCTGTTCCTCTATCTTAACCACTTCGCGCGCAACTTGTGCTGCTACAGGCCCATTCCAGATGCTTTCTTTATCCATGACAGTCTCAAGAAGCGTGATGGCCCGACGCCTAATAGCGGGAGCCCGGCACTTGAGAGCTGAGTAGTACAACGGTGGAATCAGTCCCATGTCGGCCGTAAAGCTGAACCCCTTCGAACAATAGCCCGCCGCCGGGTCACCTACTATGAACTGAACCACGGCCCTTACTATGTCCTCACAAGTCGACACAACGGAGGCGAAAGCCGCCTCAAAAGAGTCGTATATGGATTCGTCAGGCAGCGTGAGACATGTCGTCGCCATGACGACGGCCATGGTATGATACACCGTCAGAAGCGGGTAAGATAACGTGTCTCGAAGATTAAGCTGCGAGATCAGGTTGAGCCTGGAAACCTTGTAAACCTGGAGCCAGAGTCGCAGACAGGTCTGGATGTGACTTTGCGTGTCTAGCAGCGCTTTCGGGGCATCCCGGACGATGCGTTTCCGCGGATGGCGTGCTGTGAGGCAATGAATGGCGTTGAAGAGCTCATCGAGATGCTGCCTCGCCTGGTTCATGGAACTGAACAGGGGAGGTGGAGCATGGATGGTCGAGTGCAGAATGGTGATAGAGACAGCGTACGGCTTGCGGCAAACCCCCGGAACTTGTCCAAAGAGTGACGACTGGGCGTAAAGGCGGGAAAAGGCCTCAGTTAGGTAGCTATCGCTGACGGATTCTTGTGGATGGCCCAGGACGAGAACTCCTCGGGTCTTAGGAGTATGCAACTCAGCCTGAAGTTGGTAGAGGAGATTCAATCCATTCTGGAGGTGATTCTGGCCCTCGACATACCTCCCTTGAAGCAGCTCCAGGCAAACAAAGATCATACATGTGATGAGAACCACACGAGCCGACTCGACATCCCGGTCAGTCCTGGTAAAATAAGGACGAAGACAGGCAATAGCCTTGTTATACTGCTCCAACATAAACCGTTCGTGTTGTTCGCGAGATTCATCGCTCGTTCCTCCGCGTCCCTGCTGGCTTCTCCCCATTATCTCCGCCTTGTGGGCAGAGCTCAAGGCTAACAGTGCATGCAAAACTGCCGGGGCCGTTAGACTTGCCTGCAAGACTAAAGTATCCCAGAACCGCGAACCAAAAACACCGCATAGATGGACGATCGCTCGATGTCTGAACCAGTCGAAGCAAGCTCGTTCCAGGCCGTTGCTCGGACCGAGTCGAAGCCGCGTCGACAGATCATGTAGATTTCGGGTCATCTGGAAGGTATCGGGCATCGGTGCGCTTATCGCCGTTTCCCTTCCCCAGACGCCGTAACCATCGCACACACGGCCAGTGGAAAGACATCGTCGGCAACCAGGTCGGCTCTGGTCACACTTTAGTCGTCGGATCCTGTTGGGAGAGTGGGCAATTGTTTAGACGGCTTGGCTTATCGGAAAGTATAGGCGGCCATTGATCGTAACGGGGAAGTCTTACTTGCAGGTATAACAGCCAGATTTTGAGTAGGTTCGCTTATTGGAGTTGTTTGTCTTTTTCAGAGGGGTAGGCATTGTTTTGTCCATTACCTAGGCAAGGTAGAGAGGCGGATCTCGTGTTGGCAGCCCGCGGTATTTCGTGCCCTTCGAGGTTCGTATGTATCTGGCCGAGACGGAAAAGAACTGGAGAGGCCAGGATGGGATTAGTAAGTTGTCGCGATGCCCTCGTGTTCATCGCGCAGCCTTGTGACATTTCTGTCTGGTCGGAATAACCATTATCACGACATTTCCAGATCAACTCACTATGTAGGATATGTTCTGACGCGCGACACGAATATACTTCGAGCCGTTTTCCTATGTATTTTCCCACCCGAAATGGTGACTCTACGACATAAATGCAGCGTCTTGAGTCGATATCAACGAGCACCTGATTAGTCCAGTCAGGGTTGCCTTTAATCCATTCGTCGGAAGGTTGTGATTCGGGTTGGGTGGCCTGCAGTATCTTCAAATCGGTTTTGGATCCGATGCGGCCAACTCGATCAGGATGAAAGGGACTAATACGATATAGAGCCCCAAAAGGATGGTATTGGTGTCTGATGATGTTCCTTGATGCCCTCATCCCCTCTTTTCCTATGAGAGGTTTTAGGTTTAATCTCACACTCTAAAACTCAGACGGGGTGTTTGGTGTATCAGGGGGTTCCTCTCATCCGGATCTCATTCCGCCATCCAAGGGGAAATCGACGAGAATATCATTAAGAATTGATCTACCTTTATCTGGCAAACCCTATTCTACGCTAAAAGCACACCGCGTGTGTATCCAATATATGGCTACGATATTTGTATAGGAGGCTTATGCAAATTCTGGTATTGTGTCATCACATGAGAGATCGCTTCTGACGATGCATAGTGGCCCATGGACCAGCGAGCTGATTGGCTTGATCGGGATCTGCGCAATTCTATTGGCGATGGTTCGAACCGCCTCCCTTAGCCTCAGCCACTTTGCGATCCACTCCAAAAAATCACAGATCGGTGTCCATTTGACCTTGTAGCTTACGCACAACAGATTAATGGTTATCCATTTCCGTAGCGACCCCTGAAAAACCTTATTGCTTTCTAACTCCGCAGGTCCGCCGGCAAAGGTGTCAAGGGTTTCCAGCACTGACTCCAATATACGATTGTGCACAACATCGGAGATACGGCTTCACACCACAAGTTACTTGTGAGAGTTGAGACCAAAGCCTTGTCTGGCGGAAAGGTGGAATTAGGCGGTTTTACCAGAAACCGTCGACAGGATACCAGACGATAACGAAAGCCTTCAACCTCGATCTTCACGTGCACCAAGGTCGTGTGCTGGACCCGGAGACGGCCATCATTTGTTATACCATGCGCGCGTAAGGATGTGAAGCCTTAATGCTCCGAACAAATTATTGGGTATCAATTCTCAACGAGCCGGACTCCGACTTGGGCCTCCTACTTAATAAACCCTGTTGAAGTCGGTGTTCGATGGTTGGTTTTAGCCTCCGAAAATCCGCCCGGTAGGTCTTCGGTATATCTGCTAAGGCGGAGTTATAGATCGCCTGAACGGTGATTGCCAAGTAGTAGCGGAGTTCCATATGGCAACTCTTAACCTTGTCGGGGGGGTCTACCAGAGTCGAATCAAGTCGACCATTGGCAGGGTAGTGACGGGAAATCACGGTTTCCCTCCAAGGCACGGAAGCTAGATGTGCCTATTTGTAAATATATATAATGTAACTCTCCTCCCAAACACCTGTTCAGACAAGTTTGACTAAAAACTTATTTGCTATCGCCCTTATATTACACTATTTGCGCCCCCCAAGGAAACCAGACGATATACCTACTATGTCATCCCTCATCGCTGTAGCCGGTGGAACTGGCAATCTTGGTCGTACTATCGTCGAGGCCATCATTGAAGACGGCAAATTCGAAGTGGTTATTCTGGGTAGAAAGGTAAGGCTTATAGACTTACTCGTTCTCTTTGCTGTTGGTCCTTTTGCTAACCACTCCCTGATAGCATGATGAAAAGAAAGAGAAGGAGATCGGAACCCGTATCATACCGGTGGACTACACTAGCATTGATGCTCTGACCAAAGTCCTCGAAGATAACAAGATCCAAACGGTCATATCGGCTCTCAACACAATGGGTGTTGCTGAACCAGAGCTTAATCTTATTGCGGCAGCTGACCGCGCTTCCGCCACGAAGCGTTACATCCCAAGCATTTGGGGAGCTGAATACACAGAAGCGTGAGTGCCTCCCAGAACAGGAGGGTGCGGAGGGCATGTGTATTAATGAGTGAGTTTTTAGGTTCGCGGAGAAGTTTCCCCTTGGCCACGTTAAGCTCACAGTGGCACGCGCTTTGGAATCCACCAAGCTGGAACATACAACGTGGCACACAGGCTATTTTGCCGACTACTTTCTTGCGCCATATGTTAAGACGCACATGACAATCCTGAATGTTGTGGTTGACGTCGCAAACAATACCGCCGCTATTCCCGGTTCCGGTAATATACCTGTAGTACTCACCTATACCATGGATATCGCCAAGTTCGTCGCAGCGTCCCTGGCGCTCTCTAAGTGGGAGCCCAAGACATACCTCATTGGTGATAAAGTGACTTGGAATGAACTCGTCGTCCTTGCGGAGAGCATTAAGGGTGTTAAGTTCAGCGTCACTTACGATACGGTGGATTCATTGAAAGCAGGAAACGTTACCGAGCTGCCGAGCCACCCAGCTATGTACAATTTCCTTCCTAAGGAGCAGCTGCGGGGCATCTTGGCCACATTCGGGCTGATGTTCGACAGCGGCCTCTTCGACCTAAAGCCCCAGCACACAATCGACCAGGATTTTCCAGATATCAAAGTGCGAAGTATGAGGGAGTTGATGACGGAGGCCTGGAAAGGAAAGTAGAGGCTATCGGCTTCCAAGGCCCTAAATTCAGGTGTAATAGATACTTTAAGGGTTTTTCCGCTACTATAGCTTCGTTCATATCCTATCGACCGCGGCTGGACATCAATTTTGCCAAGCTCTTAAATCTCTATTTTAGAACCGCTTTTACTCCTAACTACACTAAATACATCAGTAGTATGTTGCTTCCTTATATTTTCCTTAGTATTCTGATTTGCTAATATGTATCTTGACGACTACTGGTACCATCAAGATACCGTAAATTATAATAAAGAAAAATGTATTCTAGATTTTAGTATATTAGTTGATTAAAGCAGTAAACATAGGAGCTCTAATTAGGTTTACTTAGCCCCTGGTAAAAATAACTTAAGTTTTAGAAACTTAACCTAGATATATAGACCTGTGGTATAATTTTAAGCTAAATATTAAAATAATAGACTTACCAACGCTACTATATATATTATGGTAGCTTCTATTTTATACTAAAAGATTTTTGATATAGCAATAGTCTTATTCTAATCTAGAGTTTACTATAGAACAGAACAGGAGATTAAAGAAAATGTGGTTACAAGTCTCATGACTGATAACTAATGACTTCCCTCGCAGATTCTGAGTCGTCCTACGTTAGTACTAAAGCAAAAGCTTTCTGTAGCCCTCGATCGATCTTCGACCAGCATTTGTCAAAATCCAAAGTTTCGAGCCATGTTTTAGGCAACCTCTTGGTCAGCAACTGCCCCGACACCGGGAACCGTCCAGTCGCAGCTGCACCAGCAACCAATTGTAGGCGACTCACAGTCGGTATGTCGAGTTTCCCATTTGAATTGGCCGCTATTCCCGCAGCTATATTTGTATGGATACTGAGTACACCACCAGCGATTCATCGGGCAGGAGATGTAGCAACCGCGTTTGTCCAATTCGTTCGTCTTGACGTTGGTGCTGTCACGATTGTCAGGAGTTGCGACGAGAGCGGTCGCGGTAGCCGAAAGACCGGTGATTAAGAGAGCTAGGGATTGTTGTGAGACAGGATTTGCAACAGTAACAAGGATGACTTACTGAGAAGCTTCATGTTGACAGTCTAGTTGATGGTGTTCTTTCTGTGGTGGCGTCCGATAAATGTGCGATGTGAAGTTCTTGATAATAACAGACTAATCTGCGCTGAGTGAGTTGCTTGGGAGAACTGGAATTTTTATACGGCGGAGAAGTGTCTTGTAATGGTTCTAGCAGTTAAAGTAAATGTGAGTAAAAATCAGCTTTTGATTTAAATAGGCAAGAACGAAGGCGTCGGGAGTGGCGAGGTTGCGATGGAGGAAGGAGACTTGCTCTCGTGACTGCCCAGTTTGCCCCGGGGTTGTTTGTCCAGTTCACAACTACAAAGAAAGTACTGTTGAGATACTACCTTACCCTCATCTGACTTTGACCTGGACCCAAAACGTCGCCTAGTGGAGCATACGGTCAAGTGAGATCGACTGCAACTTCCATGAAGGTTTCACGAACAAGCCACCAAACACGGGAGTGTTTTCAGAGTGATACACACTGCTTAAGTGAAACAAACACAATCGAAGAGACTGATAAATTATCCACAGAACCTTATGCAGGAAGAAGCAAATGTGGGAGCGTTCACACCACCAAATGAGTGTACAACATTGAATAGCCAGTAGGGTTATGGCCATCAAGCTTTCAATCTGAGCGCTCTTTCTTGCAGATGATCACGAGCCCGCTCTTTCAGTTTCTTGCGAATGTAACCATCGAATCACGACCTGATTAGAAGCCCAGGAGTCTGGGTCATGTTGCTGGGACGACAACTCCCACACGCACACGTAAGTGACCTTGGGCACGTGTTAACCCGACACCCTTCTTCTCCTCCAAAGAGATTGATCAACCAGCTACATCACTGTAGGTACCAAGCAAACATGCAGTACACGTATCTCTCAGTGAAGAAAGCTACATAGCCTTCATGGATGAGAAATCTACCTGAACATGTGGAGTGATTGAATATCAGAAGGCCGTTTTCCCCAATCTGTCCTTCCGGAGTAGGTCACTGAAGTGATTGACAAACATATAAACACCCAAGTATAGCCAGGGCTCCACGAGTCGTGCACAACCAGCTCACGTATTTTAACGCCATTAACCTCAACATACGCCTTCTGCTGTCATTCCAATTCAACCGCTCATCCTTGAAGTCACAACAAATTTTAAAGATCCTTCTTCAAGCTATGCTCCTGTATTACGCGATCATCAGCACACAGACTTTAAAAAAATCAATAAACAAGACGGATACGTACGGGTTTGTGGCTAGTTTCGTAGTCGATGTGAACATACGCCCTCTCAACACCAGGAAGCTTTTCAACCTTGATCTGCAGCTCTTCCGCAACATCGTGAGCTATCTCCAACCTCTCGTTGCGGTCCATAACAATATCAATCTCAACAATGTAGCGCGGACCGCTGTGGTACGCGCGAACAGTGTCGATCTGCTTGACCTCGGGAGAATGCGTCATTGCTACAAAGGAAAGTAAGCAGAGCTCTTCAAGATATCTCATAATTGAGATCTTACCAATGTAAGTAATGAGCTGGAGGAACTCGGGCTCCGCCGAGACGCCAATGAGCAGCTGAAACTCCTCGTAAGCAGTCCTCAGCCACAACCCAGCAATGAGAAAAGACAAGATGATAGCACCCATGGGATCAATCCACCACTTAATCTTGCTTCCAGCGGAGAATGTCAAGATACCGAAGCCGTTGATGAAGAGGTCGTTGCGATGGTCGCGCCACAGAATCTCAACCTGGGAGTAGATGTGCTTGATAGACCAGCCTGTGCCGTGTTAACAAATACCGCCTTTTTTGAAACCTGCTTTAAGTAACCTACAGTATAGCCAGAGACAGAACTTGGTACCAAAGGCAATAGCAACGGCAATTACTGAAGGCAAGTGAAACTTATTTGTGTCCTCCTCCGAGCCAGCCGCCAGGTCCCGAGCAGACAGGACAATCAGCACCAGCGAAAGAGACGCCATGATGAAGGAAAAGACAATGTTACCCGCTGTTGAGATACGCGCTCTCCCAGAGGGGTATTTGCGCGTGTCGACCTTCTTCACAGCTCTGTGAGATAACATAAGCATCAGCCCTGAAACAGGATCGAAGATGGAGTCAGCCATTGTTGTAAAAAGCGACAGCGACCCTGATGAGATGGCGGCGTAGAGCTGGAGGGCGGCGAGGACAACATTGGCGCCCAAGCTACCCTTGACAGCGATTTGGTACCTGAGGTTGTTGTCGCCCTGGGTCTCTTTAGCATCGCGCTCGTGCTCGTCGACTGACTTGAGCAGAGAGCGGATCTTTGTGTTTTGCGTGCGATAAAAGTCCTGGAGTTTTGCCTCTTTGGAGCCGGTACGGGTGAAATTATGGTGAATTCTCTTGCGGGCGCTGTTTTGCTTCGGTCGCGCACTAAGCAGGCCAATATCGGTCTCGCTCTTGATGTGGCCGCCGAGATTGTATGGATCGCTCACCTCGGACGAGAAGGAGCGAGATTCGGGATCAAGAGCGGGAATAGATGAGAGGTCTATCCCCGTGCTGGGGGCTGTTTTGGTTGCAGACATTACAAAGATATGATTACAATAGAGAATGAACACTGAGAAGATTTAGTGGTGGTGATGAGGTTTGTGATTGTGATATTCCAAGGAACAAAGGACGGAGTGTGAGAGGAAAGTTGACCCGGAAAGCTTTGGAAGAGAGGAAAGTCCAGTCGGGGGACGAGAGACGAAGGTGGCAAGGTTTGACGAGGTGGAGGTGGGTGAGAGATATTTGACGCGAGCTGATACCCCTGCTCTCGTGTAAGATTACCCTGCTTCTCCAACCCGCTTCTCGCTGAGTGTGTACCATAGTAATTAGTATCCTCAGCTCCCTAATCCGGTTTGGACCAGGCAGGATGTCGTAAATCTTTGGTCGCTTTTAGGTCACCGATTGGCTTTAATAGGTGGTAACAGTGACTAAAAGAAAGTATCTGCAAAGCCACAATTCACCTCGACCCTCAGTTTTAGTGAGAGTCAGATTAACAGAAAGCACGTGGGTTGGAGACTGGTAGAGGACGGAAATTGTACCGTTGACCAACGGTCATCTAGGTGATCGGCGTGGGTAAATCTTATGCTCACCCAGCTTGGCAAAAGCCCTCTGGTTTGGTTTACTGCTTAGCTTCCCACCCTTTAGCGGGAGGAAGCCTGATGGCCTCGGTGTCGCAGCTATGATGTATCTTTTCCCCTCACCGCCCGATGGAACGTCTGCAAATGGCAAACACCTTGTCTGGCTTACTTTGCTGATATCCACCTCTCCCCGCACCGAACTGGGATGAGCTTTCTAAGCATTTGGAGTAGTTCTTGGCTCTCCTAAGACTTACCTGATCTAGAAGTCCAAAGAGAAGGAAAAGTATGCGCACAGAATGCCAAGTTTTGTCTTTTTGATTTCTCTTGTTTGTCTTTGTTCTCGGCGAGACTTTCGTTGTGATAACTTTTGAGATGTTTCGTCTGCGCCATTTTCCTTCCGCTATCTATGCTTAGACCTGTAGCAAATGTCCCGCCTGCTATCCTGCATTGACCTAACCCAAACCCCGCTGACGCCAGGCCATTTCCTGAAAGGACACATAAAAGCAGTGTCGCCGTCAGGCATATTTTTTGCACACATGAAGCCTCTGGTCCCTGCCCAGGAGCAACGGATTCTTAAATAATTTCTTTTCATCCACTGAGTCATAACCTCATTCTTATCTCAAGACTACCAGTTTGCCAGTGTTAAGTCCGCCAGCGCATGGCCATTGGTCCCGTTCGTTTTTCGTTCGCTTGTTGTCGTGAGCATCTTCTTAAACAGGGGTATCAACGCCTCTATGACAGGCTGTACGTCCGGAGCTTCTGGTAACGTTGATAAGGCCTCAGATTGAATGGCTGCAATGGCCTCGCCCGCATCACTGGAAACGGACTTCCTGCTACCCTGTGCGACAATCCCTTTGACGTCTTTGCCGCATCTTATAGGTCCTTTCGGTATTGATGGCGTGATGTAGGTTTCATCCAAGAGAGACTGCCAGCGCATGAGATAAACGCCTGGTCCTGCCATGCTTGACGAGCTACCCTCGAGGATTGCTTGCATTCTAGTGGACGAAAGGCTGTTCAACTCTCGCAAGTAAGCCGCATGAGCGTCGATGGCAGGAATGATCTTCGCTTTTGTCTCGTCCGGAACCTGACTAAACAATCCATTGAGTTTATCGTCGATGCTGGCGCCATTGCTTTGCCGGTCAAAGACCGTCAGCGAATCCTTTGCCCATGTCCTGAACTGGTCCATAACTTCTGGGCAGTTTTTGCTGACAGCGTGTAACCACTTGTACAGCATTTGTTTGTTGTTTTTGAGCAGCTGGACATAATCTTCCACAGTGGGTAGCAACGACTCGTGCTCGCTCTTCGGCTTTGCTTTCTTCGGTTTACTAGTAGCGATGAGTTGTTCGAGGAAAGTTTGGTAGTCCTTGACATGGTCCGACAAGTCCACCTTGTTATGAACAGCCCGGATAATGGGATCCATGCCAGCAACAGCGTCGCGGATTGCTTGCGTGAGGAGGTCCGGGCTTTGCTTGCACAGGACGGCGATGATTTCCTCTCGGTCACGAATAGCAAGCAGTGCAGCGTAATAGTCGAGGCACTGCTTGTGTTCATAGTCGCTGGTGTCTTCCAGTAACGCTGGATTTTCCTTCTCAAGAATGACAGCAACAACGGACTTTGATTCGCGCAGGCTCTGCGCTCTAACTGCCACACGCTCGCTCTTTGAAGCCTGGCAATGAGCCTTGATGGCAGCAAGGGCACCTTTACTTGGGCCGTCCTTGGCTTTGGCTATCTTGTCGACTGTCTTTTTAAAGTCAGTGCAATCCCAGCCGAGAATTACCGAGATTATCCTGTCCTTGCTGTTAGTAACAAGATCATCGTTGGGTCGGGTGTTTTTTTGACCTACTTCTGGAGGAGGTTCTGGCCATCTGCGGCATTCGTGGTGAGGCCAACCCAATTTGAGACAGAGCCCACACTCAGCTTGGCCAAGAAGATCTTCATCATACCAGCAATCATTGTCGCAGCATTACCGACACGCAATGTCTGACGAACCATGCCATATGGGACCATTTTGTGAACACTGTCCATCAGATTGACGAGATATTGGCCTTCTGGAGAGATGACGAGGACCTGGTGGCATAGTGTTGCCAGGCTACCTTGTGTTAGCCCTCTTCCTTGTGCCATTAAATTCTACGACCTACTGAATGAGTATGTATTCGCACGCTGCCCTCGTCATTGGAGAGTGAGACTCAAAGTCGTCTGTTTCAGCCAGATAGTCCAGTAGTTCGTCGCAGAGGTTCTCGTAGACGAGGCCATGCATGGCGTCGTCCCAGGCCCGCGATAAATCCGAAGCATTTTGCAAATTGTAATCGCTAGGCCGAGTAGCTGGGTCGCTGATAGGTCCGCCGCCAATGACACCCCGCGTCACGGCTTCGATAATGGTCGAGGAGGCGGTGGCCAGGGTCTTTCTAGTACCCAGCGAGCCTTTCTCGTAGCTCTCCGACAGGTCGACTTCGGCGAACTTTTTCAAAATCCCCTGAACACGAACATTCCAGAAATCGGATGAGATAGACGATACGCCCGGTAAGCTGAGGACGAACTTGTTGAACAGAGACTGGAGAAGAGGCGTGGATGACTCGGTGGCGTAAACGACTGCCTCGCCAGCTTTGGGGGTAATCGCCGCGAAGGGGTAGCCGTACTTGGAAATCGTTTCTGGTTCCTTGAAGTCTTCTATCTCGTGGTAAGTCTCGGAATGAGTGAGGATGTTGAATAGCGCCTTCGCCTGCTCGGCGTCGAGGAGTGAGGTGGCCATGTCTGCCTGCTGCCTTTCACGGCGTTGGAATGGCCATTTACGACCTTGAAGGTGGGCGCACTTTATAAAATATGCTTGGTGGCCCCTGTGTCAGTAATTGTATTTCGTCCCGACAACTCTTGAGGGAGAGAAAAGAGAGTGCGACAGCAAAAGAAAAACTGAGGCAAAGTGATGTTTCGTTTTCGGAAAGCGCCCGTGATCGTGTCCGGTGCTCCGGTAAAACTATGGCCAACGCGCTGGTGACGTCACCTGAGTGGCTGTTTTCGCTCCTTCACTTCCTTCTGAAGTTCATCTAGTGGCCAATTCGACTTCTCCTCATTTATGTCGTCCTTTTGTCACAATTTATAGCCAGGCAAGTCTCCCACTTTCAACGTAACCACAAATTTTAATGTTCTTCTAGTTTGTTCTTGTTGATTTTGGGTGATCCACTGTCTCACTGGGGGTTTATCTTGATCTGCATCTTGCAGATCCTATGCATGTGCGTTTTGACAGTTCGGAAATATACCTGACACAACCCGCAAGCCACGACATGTGCATTGCAACCCTTCCGAGGCATGCAGCGCGTCTTCGTTGCCATGTGCGTTGCCTTGTATGAAGTACAAGTACGCGTCCCCTTAATTTTTGTTGCTTAAAGCTTCTGTCAGCTACTCAGGATGATCAGAGTGTTTCATCGTATCCAGCTCCTTTTCACGGAGCTATATTACTGAGGAAATAAGCTGCGAGCCTTGTGGCTGTGTAATCCACATCAGCAACAGTCTGTGGGAAGATAGAAATCGTCTGACATTACTCAGCACGCAAAAAGAGCTGCAACCACCCTGGAGTAGCCCGGCCGGCCTGTCAGTTAACATGCCAAAAGCCTGCAAATAGGACGGCATCAAATCTGGGAACTGACTCAAGTACTGAACTGTAACCCAGACAAGACGCAACAGCTTACCTGGCCGATTTCCAGACTGCTTTTCAGGTCGTAAATCTCGTGTTCGGCTTCCCAACTGGCTCACCTCACCTCAGGAAAGGCGCAATGCGCGTTATGAGACCCCGCTCCCGAGCAGTTTCGAGTTTCAATGCTATTCAAAAGTCAATGTCTCCCCCACCTGGCAACGCCGTCTGTGCCCAAGCACGAACTCATTGCCAAAAAGGGTAATCATCAAGCAGCCGATATAGAATCATACTGGTAAGAAACGGAACAAGAATTCATTCGAACTGGCTTAGGACGTCGTCTCATTAACTTGACTCAGCCGCTGTCGCCTTGCTCCAAATTTGACTGCTTAGCAAAGTATTGAATAAGGATATTGTCGCTTCAGGTTCAGGCCAACCAAGAGTTTCCAAGATTCTAGTAAGCCCGAGGGTTGAAACCTTCTGCACAGATTCACATCTCAATCTTTTTCCAAAAGCGGCGAATACATCCTGCCGCTCAATCTCAAATAGGTTTCCTAGCCCGATTGAGATGCAAGTATCGGCCTCGCAAGACTACAAACACCAGTCATTGGTACCGAACAAACATTAGGCGACGCCGAAAGGTGTCACAACATCACACTCGAAGCTGGCCTCGACAGGCATTCCTAAAGAATGGACGTCAAAAGACAGTGCAACACCAGAGGTCTGGGTTTTGAAGATTGAAATACTGGACTAAGAATGCAGTCAGTGCCTCGAATAGTAATCACAATGCTTGGCATGTATTTCCAACAAACTACTCGCTGCTGGGTTTGCTTCAAGACATCACTCCTTACACGGCAAAAAGACTAGCTTTTTCATTGACAGTCATGTTCATACTTCTAACCAGTGCAAGTGAGCTACCATACAGCCATCAAAGGGCCATTAGAGACATGTGACAACTGAAGAGATACGTGATATTTATCAAAGGGTCGTAGAACTTGAATTGGCACATGTCACTCAGCTATTTACCGGATCAGACGGACCCCTTCATTTATCAGTACCACGGGGAACCTAGATCCATTTGCCCGACCCCATTCGGCAGCTTATCGGCCGAAAGCTTAGTTTGCGACTATTCGGTTGTCTTTTGGCCGAGCCATATCCACTGTCGTCCACGAATGAGATTGGGTGCCACAAAACATCTCAGGGATTTCCATCATTGAAAGTACGGTCAACATCATACAAGTAGTTAGCGGTCCCGCCGTAGAGATGAACCCATCGTCGAAGCGATTGAGGTGAGCATGGTTCGCGCGGGGAACTGCCAGGGGCGGATGCCATCTCCGCAGAGACGCTGCGGGGAAGAAGCTGCCACCCCAGATTACACTACATGCCGAGATCCGCAGTCAATGACAAGGTCGAGCTGAGAAAATAATAAATTGCGAGATAAATGCCTCCCCCAGCTACAGCTCAGGTCCAACTGTGTTTTCCCTAGGTGTCACTGTCCTCACGTCGCAACTACTCGGGTGTCAACCCAGCAAACATCAACAATGAGATTTTCGTTGACTTCCTTGCTCTTGGGAGCGAGCTCCGCACTCACTGCATCGGCAGCATGCGACGACAACGTCAAGCACACCGTCTGGCTTGCCGGCGACAGCACGATGGCGCCCGATGGTGGACACAACGGCACTGAGGGATGGGGTCAATATCTGCGGTACTCGTTGGACTCGTCCAAGATCAGGGTGAACAATTCGGCGTACGCTGGAAGAAGCGCGCGGACATTTACTCGTGAGGGGCGTTTCCAAAGAATTATCGACGAGGTCAAGCCTGGTGACTGGGTGGTTATTGAGTTTGGCCACAATGATGGGCGTAAGTACAACGCATCACTTCCACGTATCTGGCTCTTTGGTTTGTCTAACAAGTTCTTCAAGCCGGCAACCCAGCTACGGATGTTAAGAACCGAGTTGATTGCCCTGGCATCGGTAACCAAACGTGCGAGGCAATCTTCAAGTAAGTACTCTAGTGTTGCACATGACTTTCACTCCCGTCCTTAACACTTTTCTCAAAGCAACGCAACCGAAATCGTCCAGACCTACACTACCTACCTCCGCAACGCATCCTCAATCTTCTTGTCCCTCGGCGCCAAGGTAGTCATTTCGACGTCAACCCCGACGAACCCCTACCAGTCCGGTAGCTTCTCCTGGACCCCGCGCATCTTCTCATGGTACTCGTGGTACGTCGTTGAGTCTCTGGGCGGACCGGCCGCAGGCATCTACTACGTCCCTCACTCGGACTACTGTGCCCAGGCCCTTAAGCTCCAGGGCCCCGAGGCCGCGGTCAAGGGATACCCTATGGATAACACACACATGGCGCCCCAGCTGGCCGACACTTTCTCGCAAGCCTTTGTTCTGGGCCTGAAGTGTGGAACATCGCCTCTGCAGCAGTATGTTGTCAACGCGACTTCACGCATTGAAGGGGCCCAGCTGGGAACTTGCCTGCCTGTGAACGCGACGCTGCCTATTTGAACACGGAGAAATAGCCACTTCCGTACCTAATTTATACAGCTCACTGAAAACGGCTGATGATTATGAAGATATATGAAGGTTAGAGTTCATAGTGTATATGTAGTAATCACGTATCAATCACGGAGCGGACGTCATAACACCACATCGACTTTGACGGAGTAACATTGAGAAAGAGACAGCCTAGGTTGTCCTGAATGCAACTTAAATTTATTGACTTGAAAGAATACCAACATTCTAATGATTCATCTCCAATTATTCAGTCTCTATTAAAAGGACCCGAGTGACCAACCAAAGTGTTCCACCCAATCGAAAAAGTACACCAAATGAAAATGCCAGAAACTTACCAAATTTGCAACGGATACTTGCGCGAACCAAAAGTAAGTCTCAAGAGAGAAAGTTGTCTCGAGAGCCATAGGTAGAGTTCGAATTTTCACCAGCTGAATTTCATCGTCAGTAAAAAGACCTAATAAGCATGCTGGCAGGCAGAGCAGCAGATTAGGTTTGTGCGACGGTCCCGCTCAACAGCGACACAAGCCATGCCATTGCGGTAGCGAGGGCAATAGACAATGTTCGACAGGGACTGAGTGATATTAAGGCCACATTGGCGGCATCGGGTGACGTTGTTAACGTAGTTGCACATTGTGGGAAGTTGTTAACAGTGGATATGTCCGAACCCTGTCGTTGTGATGCCGAGAGAAGGTGATGCTTAGTAGAGGCCGAATCGAGATGATTTAGAAATCTGGGAGAGAGTTGTATGTTACATTGGTGATTGGCGTCCTTAAATAGACATCGGCTGGGGAAGAAAAACTGCGGATCGTTTGAACTTGGTGTTCTGATATGAATCTAGAACCAAGTTTGTTCAGCTACTGTGCAGCTAAATTGTTCTACACGTTGCATTCCAAAGCAACGATGTTCCAACCCAGAACAACAAAGTTGAGTCAATGCACCTAATCACAAAGAAAGGTGTTTACCACTATACGTAGGTCTTACTGATTTAAGACTCAACTCAACGAATGTACTGGGACAAAGTCATAAGTACACAAGGGCAGCATGAAAGACAGCATAACCGGTATGTCTAAAATAGTACAAAATATTCTGCCACAGACTTTCGATACTGCCGTGATTTCCCTCATCAAACGCAATATACGCAACAATTCCCATTACGTTTCAAACAAACTTTGGTTATCCCCTACCTGATAAACTGAACACTACCTTCGCTCAAACTGCTTTTATCATCTTCATAGATATATTCCAACCCCTCTGCTGTTACAGTTTCACATTGCAGGCGTTTACAGGTGTTTCTTAGGACAGAATATTGCAATCGTATGTTGAGGCTGAATAGGGGATGCTTACAGGCATGTGAAGTAAACCAGGGTAAGCACGATTGACCAGTCACGCCACATTCGAGGTGCTTGGCGGCTTTCAGGCAAACGCCTACTTACCAGTGGAGGGAATCGAGTATATAAAATTACCCCACCCCCATGTCGAATCCTGATCCTCTCGTCGTGTGCTTCCACCCTTGAAAATTTACTAACTACACCTATTGGTGAGAGCTGAATAGCAATGGACCGCTTTCGTCGCAAATTAGCCCAATACCGCGAGAAGAAACAGAAAAAGGCAGAAGCGCCACTGAATCACACGCTTAATGAACCTAGTGGAAGCAATCACAATGTGGATAATACTCAATCATCGCAACCGCAGCCCGTGATCGCGGAGACAGCCAGCAGCAGTGTGCAGGCTACAGAAACTTCTATTCCACACTATGCAGCATCGGCACCTGTTGACATTTTCGACTTTACGATGGGCATTCGCGACCAAGAACGGTTCCGAGACCTACTCGTCAAAGGGCTATTCAATCGCTTCCCATATTCGCCAGTGAATAAGAAAAATAATGAGATCCGCCTACTGGAACTCGAACCAGGGCTTCGAGATGACGCACTCAGGTTCAGCTTGCAGGTTGTGTCTCTGGACAATCCTCCCCCTTATGAAGCGTTGTCGTATACATGGGGCTCGCAAGAAGGGTTAACAAAGCACATCATTGACGAACGTGGGCATTTCGACTTGACAAAGAATCTGCAAGAAGCACTGCAGCATCTCCGATATGAAACCGAGGCGAGAACGCTATGGATCGATGCTCTTTGTATCGACCAAGCCAACGATGCTGAAAAGGCTGATCAAGTGCAGAGGATGTTGCAAATCTATCGCCACGCAGCAAGGGTGCTTATTTGGCTTGGCCCAGAATGTGATTCCAGCAACGACGGTCTTGACTTGCTGGAACGAATAGACGCCGGTAAAGTCAACTTTGACGAACACGTTAATGATACCAGTAAAGAGAGTGAGCATGCCTGGTGGGCTTTACTTAAGCTATTCAAACGTCAATGGTGGAGCAGAGTCTGGGTACGTCAGCAGGCAAAGCCACCCTCCTTGATGTAGAGCTTACAGGTCCGCAGGTCATTCAAGAATGTGCTATCCATGCGGAGCATCCCCTCGTGGGGTGTGGGGACCGCTGGTTGCCGTGGAGTGTATACGCGAACGCGTACAAGGCAATCCGAGAACATCGCGAGCGTTCACCACTGGCAAATGCCATCGATGCTTTCTACTTGAGGACTCTGGTCAACATCCGCGACGCCGTCCAGCGAAACGGAACGACGTTAGATCTGGGCAACCTCCTCATCACCACCACCATCTTTGATGCAACCGACCCACGTGACAAAGTGTACGCCTTATACGGTCTCATTAACGAGGTCCACCAGAAGAAGATTATAGTCGACTACACGTTGACTGTCTCAGAGTTGTATACTAGGGTGGGCGCGGTGCTGCTGGGCAACAATGTGAATTTCCTCGGCTACAACACCGCCTCTCCGAACCACGATCTGCCATCATGGGTGCCCGATTGGACATTCAAAGGCGATAGGAACGTCATGCTTGGCGGCGGTCTGTACAAGGCGGGTGGTGGACCGACCGTACGGCCCGATGCCGATGTCGATACCCGACAGTTACTCGTTCACGCCTCCAGATTATGCCGTGTCGGTATGATCGACCCTAGCCCCCCATCGAGGTCACTTACCCGCGCGGAGCTCATTCGGAAAATCGAGTCATTTGAGGAGACGATGCGAAGGGCGATTCGGGACTATCCCGAAAACGAGGCGGTTAGTGTGCTGTTGCCGGTCCTGGACCCTCGCTCCAACGACGGCCTGATGCGTACGGTCGTCGCTGATAGCGATTTTACCGGGCCAGACGTCAATGACGTGGCCGGTGACACTTCTTCCAAGACTAGACCTGCTCCAAAACAATTTTGGTATGCCCTCCAGGTTTTACAAAACAGAATGAGTGTCCCGGCCGACTACGAGCCACGCCTAGACGGCGAGGAGCGGAAACGGCGGTATACCGAAAAGTTTGTCTTTAACGCGCAGAGGGCGCTGTCTGGGTCCAGGTTTTTCATCACTGACTGGGGTTTGATTGGAATCAGCCATCATTCGGTGCGTGAAGGAGATTATGTCATGATCGTCTTTGACTTGGACATGCCGCTCCTCGTAAGGCCTGCGGGCCCAGACACGTTCAATGTCGTGGGCGTCGCATATCTGCACTTGATGATGGACGGAGAGGCGCTTAAACTGGATATTGTGGAGGGAGCCAGGGAGATGTTACCAGGTCAGGAATGCACTGTCTGCCTGGTATGATTTGCAGGACTGTTCATGGCAGTCTTGAGCCATCAATGATTAAGGTAATGAATGAAATTTGGGGCTGAGAGACTAATGTGATTTCATAGCAATCGACAGCAATTACCTTAAGGCATGTTGTATCAGCTCCTTTCTTGATAGTGGTAGTAATAGAGTTTGTTCATATTTCTAGCAAGTTAAATAAGAATGTTTGATAAATAGGTTGCCAAATGCAAACAACCTGTAAGCGTTTCCCCATTGTGACTTTTGAATATGTCAGATTATTAAATAATTGATTTCGTCTGCCAGTTTTATACGTGTTTCCACTGGTCTTTTTTTTTTTTGCCAAGCCATTGCTTTTCAGTTTCCATTTGATACATTCCTGTTCTGTGCTTCAATGTCCACATATTCCGTGACAACTGTGCGACTTTGCTGGGTCTTTGGTTCGTTTGTCTGCTGTAGTATTCCCCCTTTTATTTCTTCATCGCCGGGTAGGCTGTTGTTTGTAACTAATTGTAGCTCTGGTGTGTCTCGAACAGTAGGTGACTTGACAGTACCGTGATAACTGTTCAGCTCCATGTTATGTGAGTTTTCGTGCTTGTTGCTGTTGTACCCATGTGTAGAAGCCTTCTCTCTGGCAAATACACGCAACACCGGGATCGACCCGGCTATTATCGCAGTAGCGGTCTCTACGGCGGTCCATATGGTCACGTCTTTTCCGTTGACTAGTAAAGGATATCAGCCTTGGATTCGAAATAACGAGAGGTTGACTAGGGCAAAAACATACAGAAAAAGTCACCCTCTTCCAGTTGGACAAGATATACGCCTTTGATGATCGCGCAAACCCCCGACCTACCAACATGCCATGTCAGTTCCAAGTCAAGACTTTACATCAGTCAGTTACTCACAGCCATCCAAGACTCATTGCGATGCAGATTCCAAGTTTCTCATGTCTCCGCATACGAAGACCCCAAATCAGTTTCCAGGGAATCATGGCCAAAAAAAAGTCCATTGCGGCACACCAGGCCGCGTTGAAGATGCCGTAGTTGAGCGTTATTGCTTTATCCCAGCAAGTACCCTCCATCTGACTGTTGAAATTCTTTTGCACGGGGGTACACTTGAGCCAGGTGAGGGTCGCGCTAGGTAGCATTATCATGGACAACGTAACCACAGCGAACCAAACAAAGACCCTGTACCAGTCGCTCGTAAGTCGTAGCAGCGTGACACCGAACCCCACCTTGCTGCCCGTGGAGGCGAAACAAGAGATGGACGCGCCTATCGACGTGTACATCGCTATGGTCATCAAGTTTGATGGTTCGATGTCGTAAAAGTGGCGACCGAAGCCGATATTGATACCCATCTGCGTGATAACGGACTCGGCAAAGAGACATGTCTGTCAACGGCCGGAGGTTAGAATCCACAAATCGTATTATTATCAAAATGGCCATGGAGGAAACCAACCCAGGAAAATAGCAATATCCAGTCGTCCCACCATAGCCTTTGGTGTCGGCTGAGCTTTGCGTAGACACGCAAGGCCAGAAATGCTCCACAGAAGAGGCAGAGAAACCACGTTACGCCTCCAATAAGTGGCCCTCGCGTCTCGATTGAAGCCATTGCTACGGCATTTAGCAATGTTTCTCTGCCTCGGCCTCAGTGCGAGTCGATGTGCAACTTCGAGTATGCTGAAGGGTCAAGGACGATTGTCTTTGCCTATTGGACTTCCTGATAAGTAGGATAGGTCTGGCCTACCGGCACAGTTGCATCAGCTCAAATGTCCAAGCATTTTGGGATGCATCAGGCACCATATAAATGAAAGAAGCTGGTGCCATGGCATGGCTCTCTTTAAGACCCGCACCCTCCTCAAGTGTTTCCTTTCAGCGCACGGTAGCGGGTCAGGGTACGGGCTGAACCCGCCCGGTAAAGCGGGTGTGCGGAGGTAAGCGGCTTGTTGTGGTGGAATGGGGCCAGAATCAAGACGAACGGGGAAGCCGCTGTCGGGGGATTACAGTGAAGATCAGACGAATAACGGAGATAGGACTCGAATGGGCCATGCCAAACGAAACCTGTACTTCTATCAAGTAGCAAGAGGGCAGCCATCGGAGGTCTACCGATGGTGGGAGGAGTTGGTCAACGAAGGAAGTTTATTATCAACCGATGACAATGGTTGACACTGCCGAGCTGCAGGTGCAGCGATACTTGAAGCCGTCTAGTCTTTCAAAGTTCTGCTGGGATATTTGTAGGCAATGAGTCAGGATAAAGGCGGACTTCTCGCCTGCTCTCATTCTGTGAAACGCCCTAACAGACAAAGCGTCCAATGTGGTGTTGCGAGAAGCGCGATGGTTAGCCTCATTGGGTTGCCTTCAATCCTGCCAAGAAACTGAGGTCGTGAAGAGGCTTCAAAGAGACTTCAGCAAAGCCGCCAACTGGACTATGGGTTGGCTGCAGTTTGAAATATGATGTGCGGTTTGCTGAGCCAATAAGTGAATGTGCTGCAGGTTGGTGAGGATGGTCACTAGTTGGCTTCTAGGGCGTTCGAGACGACGCCAACATGCGAAGCAACGTGACTAGAAAGAAAGGTGCTCGGACATCAAACCTGCCTCACCTTATGCGAGGGACTGACAACCATCAGACGGTCCCGTGAATGTGCACCCTCCATGTCGCCTTGCAAAGGTCGCACTGCTGCTGGTTGGTTTCAAGTCTCATCTAGTCTGTGGTTCACAACAAAGTTTAAAGCACAAACAGCCCTATGGAGCATGCCCGAGTGAATTCGATGTGTAATGGGATTGCGAAATCAAACGGACTCCTTAAAAGTCCGCATGAAGCATCAGACCCAGATGAGACCTTGCTGAATCTGGATCTCTTGCGTAGTTGAAAAGGCCAAGACTGAGTAGTAATCTGTCCATTTTGGGCAAAATCCGCGGATCACCGAAGGAGAGGACTCAACAAATTCCCAATGTTTTAATTCGTTCATCATTATCGATTGACTTTAGTTGAGATGATTACCTAACTTTTCTAAAATATTATTCTGGGATTTATTTCATTTGGGTTGCTAATATGTAGCAGAGGGATTGGTATCTTTGCAGAGGCAATTTCCGTGTATCATCACTGCTTCTGAAATCCTCGATGCCGTCAGCCTCAGCGTAAAGCCCCTGTTGATGGTCTGCGGAGAAAATAGGTGCGACAAGCTTACCACTTCGCGATCTGCTTGTATTCTTGAATGATACTCACCAATTGAATTGTAGACCAATAAAACATCTACACTTTGGCATTTTATCCCGATTTGTTTTTTTAAAAAAAAAAAAAAAAAAAACATTTTCTCATTTTGGTCTATTCAAATCACGGTCGGGACAGTGGCCATTCGGTGCAATGTGGGCCTCGGTACGGGCCGTTGAATGGAGTATCACGAATCAGTTTGAATACAGGTATCTTTGTTCACGATAACTGCTTCGCCATGCACTATGTCTTACTGGTTTAGTTGCACCCAAAAGCCACCCGTGACTTTGGAGTGGTACTACTGCATAGTAAACTGAGTTCGTCTCAGCTTATTTGACGGATTTCTAGCCGCGTCATCTGAGGCTGGCCACTAGGGAAAAGAAGGCTATTTGATACCCAAGGTAGGGGCAAAAAAAAAAAAAAAAAAAAAAAAAAAAAAAAAAAAAAAGGTCTCGCCCGACAGGCTTGGCTGGGGGAGCTAGGGTGGGTGAACAAGAGATTCCTTCAATGGATGAATGAAGGAAGGTTTGCCAGGCAGTAATAGACGCTATTCGGTCTGCGGGGGTCGTTTCGGATGGAGGTGCATAGCAGGGTCCTGATGGCGCAAGACTAATTGACGCAATTAGGCCTAGAGTCAAAGCCGCCACGCTTCAGAGCAGACGTGGCCTGATCGGAGATGTTGTTCTCATGATGGATATATTGTTGAAAAGAAATAAAATAAAAATAAAAATTAAGGTCATTGAGGGATTTATCTCACGTAGACCCGATGCTGAAATAGTTTTGAAAGATAACTGCTAATATTTGACAAACTACCTTATATTAGGTACCTATCGTAGTGTACGGTAGAGTGCTGTGCCCATCCCACTTTATTAGAGTCTGGATGCGTGGATCAGAATCCCAGGCAAATTCAACAGGTAAAATCAAGGACGCATTTGGAGCAGGCCACCCAAAAAAGTATACCTCCTCTTGGCTCCATTTCGCAGCCGAGAGGTGCCTTGCTCAACGCCTCCCTCCTGCATCGGCCTGCATAATAGCCATTCGCGGAAGCAGAAATCTTGCCCTCCAGGGTTAGACGGATTTCCAGGCCAAGTCGGTTACCTCATTTCGGCGACCTTGGAAATGACGCCCGGTTTGTTACGTCTGAGAAGGGAAGAGGTGAGGCACCCCTATTTTATTTGAAAGCTTCTTATTCGAGCGCTCGAAAGTGTCAGCGCGGCTCAGAGGATTTTCTTTCATTCGGGCCTAGACCCTCATGAAGCACTACCGTCGTTCAATATGGTCGTTTGATCATTTTTTCCGACGAAGCGAGCGGAGTTCCTCTGAACATTCCCTTCCTGCTAGTAGGTACTGCACGCTTCAATATTCTAGAAAGGGCAGAGTCCGGGCCACTGTGGCCACTGTTGGAAAAAGACCAAGCTAGCTCATGGAACTCGGGCTGAGTAACGTCTGCCGCCTTATTTTCGCGTTTTAGTGTGGTGTCTTGTCTCCTCTCCAGCGCATTTTTTTTTTTTTTTTTTTTTTTTTTTTTTTTTTAAATGCTACCCTGCGTCAGCGCTACGCCATACTTGAACTGTGCTTTCGACATGGAACCCCCTCAAACAGTCTGGCCCAGATTAGGACAACAACCCCAGTGTTCAAAGATAGGACCGTCCAATAAGAAGCCGTGTACATGCCGAGGCTTGCGAGGTTAACATTTTGATAATCACTCTCACTTTTTTCTGCCACAGGCAGTGTCAACAATGCGCCTCTCTCTGCCAGCAGTTGCTACTACTACCTACTCATGATGATGGTTCCGTAGGTGCGCAAAAGCTCACTTGTGTCAGGCCGTGCCTCGTCAGCCTCAGAGATAGAGTAGGATAGAGCACTGTTTTCTAGCTCTATAATAGCCAACAAGTGACTTATATTGACATTAGGAATAATGGTTACGGAACGCGCGGCGTGCGATCGTCTTGTAGGCATGTGCGAGCTTCTCGATCCCAACTGGTCGGCATCCCATCCTCCCCCCATGTTGAGCAAGTAGGGCTGCAGAAGGCTCTCATTCGCACCAAAACAGGCAGACTTTCCTTGATACCTCCAGTGTGGTCCAGTGATGATTCCGTTCTGGCGGTTCTACTATGTAGTAGTATTGTTATACTCTCGGCAAACATGCAAACATGCAAACCAGCAGCACTGTGTGGCCTTAATCAATCTGGTACCAGAGAGGATCCGCATGTAAATCGGAGGTTCCTTGCTCGCAGAATGGCGGCGCCCTTTACCCCTGACATACACTCTTCAAAGTGCCCCCCCACATCGCGTGTTATTATTATCGTTTGTCACTGTCCTTTGCAGCGCCGTTGCACTGCCGCCAGAGCTTGATTCCTTGTCAGCCCCGGTTTTGCATGCCACCTCAAGAAACTGTCGTACCGGGGGTCACCTCTTACATGCTGATCCCCCCCGCCACGACTCGTATCGTTGCCCGTCTGCCGTAAGATGGCCCTTGTCCTATCTGTTCCTGAGACCCCGACTCGATTCAGCTCGATTTGCCTAAAAACATGATTTCTCGCCTGCGCAGCTGGACAACTCGCACTGCGAAAAAGCGACGGTCCAACTGAAGAACGAAAAACGCGCCGCCGCATCTTGGTCGCCATCGTTTTTCCGCCATGGCCGTCAATACTTCGGCTTTGCGCCGTGTGTTGGCGCTCTACGGATCCGGCCCTAGACTCGTCCCGTGTCTCACAGCGCTCGGACTCTTGGTCCTCCAGGCCGGCGCCGCCGCGAATCTGTTCAATGCCTGCGAGCGAGGCCAATTCGATTTCTCGCCTTCCGCGTCACTGACGATATCCGAGTTTCTGAGGTTTCTGGTGGCGACGATACTATTCAAGCTCGAAGTTAGAAGGCGGCCTGCGAACGGCTCCGGCTATTCCTCGCTGAGGGGTTCAGAAGAGGCGGAAGCAGATGACAGCGAAAACATTCCGTTACCGAACCAGATTCCTACGGAGAAGGAATCGAAATATGGAAACATCACGGGCATGCGCTCCTTGTGGCGCTTTGTTTGGGGAGAGTCTGGAGCGGAAATCCGGTCTTCGTTCTTGAAGGTTGCTTTCCTGCAAATGCTTGCCAACAATCTGGTATGGACCCCATGGCGCTTTGAGAACGATGCAATCGATGGACATTTGCTAACGTTGCCGCTTTTTTGCGCAAAGTTGTTCCTTACCTACTTGGTTACAGACCCCGGGACGGTTCAACTAACAAGGAGCGGCATTGCGGTCGCTGCGGCTCTCTTTGTTACCCCGGGATTCGGGCTGAAAGGCCCCAAGACACGGTGGATGGCCTTCATAATCCAGGTATGCGCCATCGCTCCTTCGGCTGCGACAATTCTAACGGTGGTAGACGTCCGGTTTGATCATCTCCCAGTTCTATCCGCAACATCGCACGAGAGCATCCACGTACCAACTGCACCTTTACTTCATGCTTGTCGGCCAGGCCAGCTTCAGCGCCTTATCTGATTTCCATGGCGATAAATTGCTGAAGAGCACAGACTTCGGATCAAATGCGTCCAATATTGTCCTCGGAGCGTTTGGGGCTATCCTCAATCTATTTGTACATGCGATGGTGCGATATGCCAACACACTGGAACCGAGCTTCTTCGCCGGGTACAACGGCAGAGGGTTGTTGGTCATTCTCTTGACTACTCTGCTGGGCCTTGTTGGTACAGCGTCATACAAACGTTCGTCTCCCACATCCTTTGCGTTGCTATCGGCTGACCTTTATTAGACATCGGCCCCCTGGCCCGTTGGTTCATGACTGATATTATGACCATTTTCCTCTTGTTGGTGTCCGCAAAACACTACTCACTGAAGTACAGCGGCTTCTTGATACCAGGAACGGCGTTGATATTCATTGCCTCTGTTGCGTACTTGAAGTATAGCCCTCTCAAAGACTACAGCGTCCAGCCTCCCACAGAGGAAAGGGCCACCCCTGCTCCTGTCGGCACTTCCAAGGTAAGCACACTCCAACTTGTAAGACGAAGCTGTCTAACGTGAAAAAAAGAAGCTCAAGTTTGCTCTTCTTACCATTGTCGGCTTGATCGGCGGCGGCATCGTTCCCATGGTGACAGTAGCCGAACCACCCCATACGCCCGAATATCGAGTTGCCATGAGAGACGATACCGAGGGACGCTGCGTAACTCCGCCGATCGATATCATCCCCCCCTTTACAGAAAAGCAGGCCCCTTACCAGATCGAAACAGGCGAAGGTAACCTCACTGCCTCGCCTTTCAGTAACACGCTGGCCATGGTCCGCTGGAACGCGAAACGCATGGAACGTGTGCCATTACTGCTCAAATACAAACCTTTTTTCCATACCGTCCATATTTCAATGCCGGACATGATGGACGACAAACCCAAGGATTACCATAACCTCACCCACTCCCAATACCCACACCACGAGACCATCTACATGCAGGTTGCACACACGATGAAGCTCATCCTCGAAGAGAAGCCAGAGATCGAAGGGCTCATGTATTTCCACTTCGACTCATGGATCGACCCAATGGCCTGGGTTGACGAGAACCGCAAATCCATCTGGTACCCTACCTCCCATAACACACGACAGTTCGAGGGCGACGGCCCGCGATACATGTGCATGACGGACTGGCAGAAGTTTCCGCAGTGGTGGGGCTGGTACCACAAGTGGAACGAGAAGGCCGTCACCGTCAACGGAGAAATCAAGCGCATGAACCGGGGGTACGACGTCGTCGAGGAAGAGTTTTGCGTCGGATGGTCGGACATCTACTACATCCCGCGCCGCTTCTTTGCCGACTTCATCTTCCTCTCGTACCTCTACGGCTGCGCGGACCTGTTCCACGAAGTGGCCATCCCGACGATGCTCAACATCATCGACCGCAGTCGGCGCAGCGAGAGCGCCCCTTACCAATCGCTCATCGACCGTATCGGGGACTGCTGGGGAGGATGCTGCGACTCTTCGGCTACGGCGCATGACGTGAAGTGGACGCGCTGCGGCCACAGATTGGACTACTTGAACCAGGAGGTTGTGGACGCGCATTACAGCCGCCTTGATGAACAGACTGCATGGCTCGGTCGGAATCAGAGAGAGACCGGGAAGAATCAGCGTTAGAATACGGGTAACGAAGCATTAGACAGCGTCCTCTTTTTATTTTTAAAACGTTTAGAAATGGCACAGATTCCAATCCGGCCAAACCACCTGGTTTATAGGGACCACAACTTATTGAAGGGGCGTTAAGGTGTTTTGTTACTGTATTCGGTAGACAGTAGATAGCCACGCTGGCGGTTCATTTAACAATTGAGGTTGCCATTCTGGCGATGTTAACAAACGTGCATTTCCTCTTCCCATGCGATCAGCATGATGTCCTTTCTCATGGACATTCTGATTACAGGTTGCCAGCTATGGTATTATTTCTGTGTCTGTAGTGTCCTTCTCGAGACGCCGTTGAGCCAGGTAGGGTTATGGAAGGGCTTGAGGCTTTGGAACAACCTTGAAGCATCTAGAGGCGCCAAAGTGCTCGTTCATCAACCAATAACAAAAGGTCAGATCTACGACAACAAATCTTCATTCTCCCCCTCTTTCTAGGTATGTTTGACATAATGCCAGGTAACATCTACTACAGAGAAAGTTTTGAGTTCAAACATCTAGCAATTACTGATCAAAGACATATTGCTCGACCATAGGATTCTTGTGATACCGCCGCTAAACAAGAGCTGCCAAAACCAACCATTCAGAACATTGCAAAAAACAAATATACCGCAAAGTCATTCCCAACCAGAGACAACAGTGGGGATATAAAGCTATGAATTGGGACTTCTTTTAGTAGATCATCTAAATCAGATGACAGGTACGGGCGTATCTGAAACTCGCGTGAATTTAGGAACGGCGTCTTTCACGGCGAACATTACCTCTTTTGCGCTTGCTTGCTTATGCGCAAAATTTTCATGGTGTGACGTTGGGCTCGTAGCTGCCAGATGAACCATATTCTTGGTTTCGAAGTGATAGATACCAATCGGAGCGATTCTCACTGCGCTTCTATAGAAAATGCTCCCATAACATGACAGAATATCCAGCGTGCGAAGGTGGGCTTGGATAAATGAGACTAGGGTGAGCCTTCTTACCTGAACGAATCATTGCGGCGTATAACATTTTAATATTGTAACGACGACCTTAATCGGACTCCAAAATGGCCCGATCGAACATGTTTGAAATCACAATGTCCCAAAATGGACCCCTTTAGACATGTCAATCACACGTCAATATGCCATCCCAAGGTCGAAAGGCCGACTAGCATTATGTGAGTTGTAAGATTGTTATATGAAAATTTGAAGATGCCATTCGACTATTTAAACAACGCCAAGTCCGCTCTTTAGGTCTTGCTTAGATTGTCACCAACATTCAAACTCTAATCTGCCTTCTGTTCACAACAACTCACGTCTCAACTCATCGCTATCTGGTATAGCCATTCCACTCATAATATTATAAACATGCAATTTCCTAGCATTGCCGCCATCTTTTTGACCATTCTCGTTGGTCAGGGTCTTGCGTGTGAGTTCCCCCAAGCAACCAGATACCTACACCTCTGCCTAAAGTCCTACCTCTAACGTGTCTTTAGCACCTGCGAGAGGAAATGGAGGACTTAACAACAATGCCAGCAGCAAAGAGGGTCAGCCGTGCACTGGCATCGTCAGCAACCTGGAGCAAAAGGGGACATGCAATAGGCTTGGCGAATGTTCCATTGAAATCCCGCCCAACGAGGTTGACAATGTTCCCAGTGGCGATTGCAAGTAGATAGCTTGCGCACTCTCTTTGGATGTTAACAATTATCTTGTTGCATACGAGAGGAGCGGGAGAAGTTAAAACGGTATTTCCGTCACTAGGCTAGGTAGGCAAAGAAATGGAAAATTCCAGATTTTAGCAGCCCTCCCTCCACTGGCACATTGGCATGTTCAGGTGTCAAGAGTGAAACAGACCCACTCGAACGGCTGTCACTTGCACAAGGCCACATGGGAAAACAGAAGAGCAGATAAGGGCAAAAAAACGTTGTCTCCCCTTCCAGAATCGAACTAGAGACCTTTCGATTATCTTGGGTAAACCATTACAGTCGAACGTGATGAACCAACTACACCAAGGGGAGTAACGGGGCTGAGCCCCGCTCGGTGCGCTTTGTTGACGGATCCGAGCTTCAGTCTACTTAACAATGAATGGAGACGCCATCATACCTGCTCCGCTTCTTCTTTCTTACCACCTCTAATCTTTTCCAAGAGTCCTGAACACGCTTTTGAAACCGTAGCAATCCCGAATGTCCAACCACGGATTCTGACCGTGTAAATAAAGAAATAGACCAAAGCCCAATTAGCCACCGCGAACGCAACCAAGATGCCGAAAGCCGGCCACTTGTCGTCGAGGTAAACGTTGAGTGTTCTCATGTACTCGCCGCCGTTGTTGTACGGACAGAATCCGCAGTTCGATGTCGCGTTGGGGTTTTCAAGGTATCCTGTCCCGGCTACTTCGCTTACAAATCTACCGGCGTATTCACCACAAGTTGATCCCGGAGGCGGGTTGAATCGAGCAAATTCTGCCGGACTGCATTGCACCGCTGCGGGAGGCAGGACTGCAGAGAGAACTCCCCGGGTAAACCAGGTTGTTGGGTTCACATAGTACATCCAATATTTCCAGAATACCGGGATCGAGTCGTATGGCACCAAAATTCCGTTGAAGAGTGCAACCATGACGAAGAAGAAGGGGAGGATCTATCAGGAAGTTGAAATTAGCCACGTAGAACCAAATGCGGGTTCCAAAACAAGACTCACATTGGAAATTGTAGAGTACGACGGTCCAAAGGCCGAAATCCACTGTCCCCAGCTAGATTGGAACAGTGACCAGACGAGGACCATGAGATAGGTGTAACCCGAAATCGAGGAGGTTGCGGGAAATCCGACCGGAAAGTACCACAGAAGCCAATAGATTGTCGCAGAAAGGATAGCCATGGGGATTTCGCAGACAACGTTCGCGGTGCAAAAAGCAACCCAACCATATGTGCGACTCGGAAGCTCACGGTCTTCCCAGAGATCTCGGTTTTGGAAGAACTTCAACACCACACTGTTTACAACAGTGGGTGGAATGAAGAAGATGAGAATAATTGCGCTAAACATGCGGTTTTGCATGCTTGCAATGTCATTGCCCAACATCCAGAAAGTCTAAGATAAAGTTAGCAGGTATTCCCGCAAGGAATTAGGCGTAAGAAATACTTACAAAGCCATTGAAGATGCCCATGATGGTGTGGACAAAGACTCTGCTGTACATGTATTGTGGCTCTCGCCAATGCTGGATAAACATGCGCTTGGTGAGTAGGTAGCACTGATAGGATGTTGAAGACGCAAACTCGGTCGGCGCCGAAGAAGTTGTTGAAGGGCCTTGCCTCTCGGCGGTGATTTGGTCAATTTCCTCGACAATGGCCTTGTGCTCAGCAGAGTTGAGCCACTCCTCATTCCAATCAACGCGCTTCCCGTCTTTCATAGACGGCTTTGATGCCGTCTCCAGGATGAACTCGGCGACGTTGCGGGCAGGCGGGCAGTGGAAGCCACGCTGCGCGAAGTAGTCAATAACGACTGAGCCGTTGGTGCCGACGGGACCGAAGTAGAACGTATTACCGCCTCGGTTGAGTGCAAGGATCATGTCGAACTGCTCAATGAGGTCGGATGACGGTTGGTGAATGGTGCAGATGATGGCCTGGCCCGCATCACACAACTTTCGTAGAAATCGGACAATGGAGTAAGCTGACTGGCTGTCCAAACCACTTGTTGGCTCGTCCAGGAAGAGCAGGAGGTTCGGCTTCGCAGCCAGCTCAACTCCGATAGTAACTCTCTTTCTTTGTTCGACTGTCAAAGAAGAGATGAGAGCATCCTCAAGATCACTCAGCTCGAGTAGGTGAATGATGCGGTCTACATAAGCAATCTTTTCCTCTCGGGGAGTGGTGCGCTCTTGTCGAAGAAGGGCCGAAAATTCCAAGGCCTCGCGGATTGTTGCTGTGCCTTCGTGAATGTCTCTTTGCTCACAGAAGCCCGTACCCCGTTGGAACTCTGCACCAAGACTCGACCCGTTGATGAGCATATCTCCAGAAACCACACCAACCTTTTGTCTCTGGGCAATGGTGTTGAGCAAAGTTGTTTTGCCGGCGCCAGAGCTTCCCATAAGCGCAATCATCTTTCCAGGCTTCGCATATCCGCATACGCCGTTGAGAAGTTGTCGCTGACCGTTGCCATACGGAACCGTGTAGTTGATGTTTTTGAAAGTGAAGATACTTTTGCCGTCGCCAATTGGCTCAAAAGTTTCCTCCGCCGAACTTTTCTTCTCCTGGACGCTCTTGGGGGTAGACCTACGACGCTTCGCAAAGATCAACGACTGCGCACCGGACCCCTTGAATTTGATCGTATCGACGGCGAAGACGGTGACTGCCAGGTAAAACACGGTGAAAGCGATCATGATGCCGAAGTTCCGCCAAAGATTCGACCTTGAGCTGTGGGTTTGTTAGCGGAAGCATTTGCAGTCAAAGGAGGGAATGATCTCACTATTCAAAGGAAGTCCACAAATAAGATGAACCGCTGACGACTGTGCTACCAAGAGTAGACCCAGGAAGACTACAACCTTGGAAATTTGGATCCGAGCCAGGTCCGCGGGGAACCAACTGGGACTCGCTGCAGGACATCTCTCGTCTAAAAAACTCGTTGGTTTGAAGAGCTTCATAGCCATAGGCAACAGGGTTGATGTAGTAAATCCATCCGAACCAGATCGAATCGTTGAGCAAAGCGGTTTTGGGTATAATGTAACCAGTAAAAATGAACATGATGTTGAGGACTGCAAGGAAAGAAACTGGTTAGCAATATTCTTTGATCACCTGAAATCCGAGGCAGTGTACTCACCGACTCCAACAAACCGCACGGCATCGTCTACCGTGGAAGAGAAGGAAGCAAACATGCGGTACATTGTGGTGAGACAAAACGTTGCCGTGTACACAATCAGGGTGTATATCAAGAATTTTGCTGCATCGACGTCGAACTGTCCCAGGAAGTAGACCGGTATACAGAAGAGAATTGTCATGATGAGAATTAGAGGAAAGTCGAGAAGCATCCTGGCGATTACCACTGCGGATGGTCTGTAAAATGCAAAGACTCGATGTCTTTCGATCGTTGTACGGCCAGAGATTGCAGGAAGAAGCTCAGCGAACTGAAGCCATCCGATGAAAGCAATGGAGAAGAAAACAATACCGCCTCGTGCAAAAACCGATGATGTATCTTGCCCAGCTCCGTAGAAGAGAGAAGAGACAATGAGAGCGTTGGCGATGATGATGACGAGTTTCGTGTAGAAGGAGTTTCTATCGCCCCAGAGAAGCCATGCCTGTCTCTTAGTGCATGCTGCAACCTGTTTCAGGAACGAGACGGTGTAAACAGAGTCTCCAATGACAGTCTTGCTTTTAGCTGTAGAAACTGTCAGTAGCTGACATGCGGATGGAGACAAGTGCATGTAACCTACATTCTTTGACTGTAGCCTCGAACATGCGGTGCTTCTCGTTGTTTGCTGACTTGCTGTCGTGCTCGTACTCCTCTACATCTTCTAGTAGGCGTTGGTAATGCTCGCTGTTTCGGAAAGCCTCCTCAAGCTCCTCGGGTGTCTTGGGGGCTGACTCTTCGCGACCGGGTTGGAAGTGACGGGCGTTCTTGTCGGCGATTGAGGTTAGGAAGTCGGCAGTAGTCCTGTTTAGCATTATGCATCAGCACCCTTTGCCACACAATAAGTGGCTGTAGTAACCCACTGTCTAGGGGGACACAGGTATCCCAGGCTCTCAAAATAGCTCTTCGCCTCTTGCGCTGGTCCTTGAAACAGCATGCGACCATCGTCTATCACCAGCACCTTGTCCATCAACTCATATATAGACTCTCCCGCCTGATAAAGAGTTACGAGCGTCGTCCGGCCGCTGACGTCGGTGTAGACACGAAGGGACTTCGCGAAGCTGAGAGCAGTGCTAGCGTCGAGGCCGCGCGTGGAGTTATCCCAGCAGACGACCGAAGCTCTTGTAGCAAGCGTCTCTGCTAGACTGACACGCTTCCGCTCTCCTCCCGAGACGCCTAGAGTTGTTAACCAAACCAAGACGTTGACAGCGTTTTCGGTGACAAAACATACCTCGAATGTGCTCATCACCAACCAGTGTGTTCTTGGTATGATCAATGCCAAACATTTGGAGGAGGGAGTCAAGGATGATGGGAATCGTCCACTGCTCCCTTTTCCGCGTCTTGTTCTTCAGCGCAAACCACAGAGTCTGCCAAACTGTGAGGGAGGGGAAATGGCGATCATCTTCCTCGCAATATACAACTTCTCCTCTGAAGAGCTTGAGTTGATCTTCGGCCGGGATGGCACCGTAGTAAACTTCACCATCGACCTGGGCGTATTCGTCTCGTTGGTTCGCGATGGCTTTGAGAAATGTCGAGCAGCCCGAACCTGGTCGACCCAACACCAACATGATTTCCCCATGTCGCACTGTGCCTGTCATGTTCCTAATGAGCTCAACTGTAGGCTCCTTGTGGAATTTAAGTTTCGGAAAGAAACCCGTTACGAAGTGGTAGAGATCCGGTCCGAATGTGTTGAGCAGATCTCGGGGGAACGTGACGGCCTGTTTTGTTGATGACTCGATTCCCTTGACAGTCAAATTTTTGAAAGACACTCCTAGCCTCTTTGCAGGTCCTCCGGTCGGTGTGCGCATGTCCATTATCCCTCGCCGTAGGAAATCTGGGAGGTCGAATGAGTTGCCCTCCGATAAGTTTTGAGATATGGTCCAATCGCTCTCGCCGCCTGCGTCGCCATCGTTGTTGGTTGGTTTCTGTGTGCGTGTGGCCGTCGAATGCCGGTGTTGTATCGTTGAAAGCTCTTTCTCGAGACCTTGAAATTCCTCCAGCGCGGCATTGACTGAAATATCACCAGCCGCATTCTCACCCCAGCGGCCGTCCTCCTCCGACCTCAAAGGCCCGGTCATGGCGTCTAAAATGAATGGAACAAGGGTATCTTTAAGGACAAGGAAAAAAAAAAACAAGTCTAAGATTGCAATCTAATAGTCTGTTCGATACGTCAAAAAGTAGCACGTGTAGGTGCCGGAAATCTCGAGCCAATGTTGACTCCAGTTGGGCCAAAATAAGCTGATCAAGAGTGAGGAAGGTTTTGAGATGAGGGCATGTATGTGTATTATGAGCTTGTGAGAGCTAAGTTTACTCCACTTTCACACAATATCGGGGATGTCGCCGTCGCCGTTAGGGTATTCATACATATCACGCACTCCGCGGCCTGCAGCATTTGTAATCGGCCATGGGTCGTCATTCCAAGGAACGAGAATACCAGAAAAACTCGGATTTACTAAAAGGGGCAGTATTAGTCGTGTTTAATGTCTGGGCAGCAAATGTACGTGGCCGTGGAGACCGGGGCTAAGAAAAGTCTTAGCATAGCAAACTCCGTGGCATAGATTCGACCGAACTACAGGTTCGATGGGCCTGGCATGGAACCCTTATCTTGGGGTAGAAAGCCCCACGTCGTCTGCAATTATGACATACAGCCCAACAAAAGATATCTCATCCAATGGAAAATGGCATGTGCATTTCAAGATAGTCCAGTGGGTAGCATTATTAATCCGTGAACAGCCCGGGGCTACTTTGTCATACCATGTACCACCTTGTTGGCGGAATCCATTTTCCCTCTAAGTGGGAGGGTCAAGGTTTTAGGGAAGCCCCGTTCTCGACCGCTCTTTTAGCGTAATGGCGATCCCGCTTCTAGTACATGTAAGCGCCGTACTTATGCTTCCATCTACACTAATAAAGCACGACATGGAGTTAAGGCTAACAGATCTCCGCATGACTCAATGGCGTTTGCGTCGTAGCTTTTTGCCATAAAGACGGCGATTAGATTCGGTTCAACGACTGATGTCGCCTTATTTCCGGATGTAAGCTCCGTGCTATTTCTATCTAACGTCATCAACCATCCATATTGTTCCCTTGAACAAATTTTAACTCGTGAGACGATCCCAGATCGTGTAGAAGACACATGGAAACCCACTTCTCTTCGAATTCCCATAACATCACTCCCATGGCAATAGGAATAGAATCGTGAAGAAGAGGCAGAATACCGTGCAGTCCAAACTAGCAATTTTATGAATCCACCGAATGCTGCAGCCTGCTGACAGTATCCACACAACCCGATCGGGTACCGGGCCAAGGCTGAATGTGACAGTGTCTTAGGGGACCACGACTAAAGCGGAGTACAGCGGCCAGCTCAAGACGGCTACTTTCCTTGAAAAGAGAACTGACCACGGGCATGCGAGCCGCCAATCCGTAGTAGACGGTGCATCTGCAGCTGCCGGCCTTGTTTGATGGCAAGGATACTGGGAGCTCGGCACTGTTACTAAAGTTCTCGACCCCTCAAGACCAACTTAAACGGTAATCCATTTACGGCTTTGTTTGCCGACGGACCCAGTTTATCTTTCGTCGTTGTAACTGCAAATTTCAGGAGCGATAATGAAACAAAATCAAGCATGAGAGATACTACCTCGCTACACGCACAATCATGTAACATATATATATCTTGATAAATCCAGCTCGAAGCTCTCGTGCCAAGGCCCCACGGGTTCACTTTATCTCCACCGACCAGCAATTGGCTTGGATAGGGCATCTTGTCACCGGCATCAGCTTGATGTGACTCAGTACTCATGCATACCACACCTATTGTACTATGCAAGCGGCTCAAGGGGTCCTGCATCTTCGCCGTGTTACGCATATCAGTGTTGCTATTGGCTTAGAGATGCCGGCAGGCAAGTTGCTAAACTCCAATAGGGGATTCCTATCCGATGCCGTGACCGGGAAAGCACCTATCACTTAGACACATATTGCAGAGCCAAATAATATCCATACACGTATATGTTGATCCCGGTGAGTATTTGCTCGTACATCGCCAATACGCATAGCAAAATGCGGTAACATCGGCATCGAGGTCTCATCGCAAAATCTCCGCTTGGGTGATTTCTGGGCTCCAGGCCGACAACGGGACTTGCTCCTCATCGAGGACGTCAGGGCGAAAAACCATGCGATCTCCAGGGCCACTCATGATGAACACGACTTTCCTACCGCGAACCTCATGCCCGTAGAAATTATTATGGCGGCCCTGGAGGAATTCTGTGACAAAATGTACCACCCTCATCTCGTCGGGGGGTAACCGGGGAGTGGAGGGCTCAACGCCCGGAAAAGGTCTACCGTCGCAGTCTAGGGATAACCCATGCTCTATCTCAACGATTCGTTTGGCCAATGCGTACATCCCGTCCTTCTGCCAAAGGGCCTCTCGCGGTGCGGCAAGCACCTTGAGACAGCGCAAGGCCTCCAGGCGAAGATCGAGGAATCGACACTTCATGACAATGAAAGAAACGGGCGCTATGAATCCCATTTCGAACTCGAAGTTGTTTCGACTGCTGCTTTTCATGCGTCCATTGGCAGCTTCCGATAATTGGCTGACCATCAGACGAAAGTCGTTTTCGTACGCATCGTAGCCCATTTCAGACGGGTTGAAAGCCATGCCTGACCAAATTTGACAAATTCGGTACCGCGCCAGGGCGAATATACGTGGGATTCCCGTAATGGCATCCTTAGCCGATTTTGGTCGAGTGTCGAGGTTCTTGAAAAGAACAAACCACAAATCTAGTAGGCCTGTGACCCTCTTTTGCTCTGCAAGCAAGTCTTCTGTGGGCTTTTTATGTCGCATGTTCCCGATCCGATAATGGGAGCCGAGGCGAATAAGCTGGAACGACTGGTTGAAGATGTCGTCTATCATTAACTCCGCCTCTTTGAAGTTGGAAAACCAGACTGGCGTTTCATAAGCCGAGATGCTCAGGTCCGGCATGCTGTCTTCTTTTCGTGCGAAAAAATACTGCAAGGCATTTAGGCGACGAAACAGAGGCATCAGCCACTCTTTCACCCAATGATAAGATGCAGTTTCGGAAAACTTGAAAATGGCATTTCCGTGAGCACAGTGCCGAAGAGCAGCCTCTGAGTTGGATTGCAGCAGCTCTATGCAGATGAAGAGAACACAGACCAGGAGCACCACCTCCTGGTTCTTCAACCCCATAAGCTCTCTAATCGCAGAGTTGTAGTGTGTCAGTGCTAGGCTGTTGTCACGAAGCCGCTGACCTTTCAGCGAACTCGGCCCTACCTTGGCTTTGGTGACATCCTCATACAGAGAGCTGATCGCAACAAGGGAGTGCCTCACTGCAGGCTCAAACCTGCTAAATTGCAGGACAATGTGCGTCCAAAAGAAGGGTTCGATGGACCCCGGCAGGTTCGGGCCGGCCATTTCGCAGAAGAACTGCAGTGCCCGACCTTCGGCTTGGCTAGCGACGCCGGGGAACATGGCTATGGTTTTTGGGCGGAACGGCCGGAGCTCGGACCTAGGCGGGGCCGGATAGCCGTCACACTGACGGCCAGTGTTGGAACACCTCAAGCATGCTGGTTTGGTCTCGTCGCATTTGACCTTACGGGTCCTTCTATGCTCAGTGTCGAGTTCTACTTGGCAGAGACACAAATCACTCACTTGCAGGTAAAACATCCTGTCCTGACTTTTCTGCTACCTTTTCTTGCCATGTTTCTTGACTGGCGACATAGATGACCGGATAATGTTGGACAGTTCCCAAGCAGAAAGCGGCTGGTTCGTCAGGTCGGTTTTATGTGGACCTAGGTGGATTAAGAGATACCCCCATCAAAAGTTGCAAGACGAAGAAGAAGCTCCGTATATTCATAACATTTCGGAAGTAAGCTTACGGACTCTTAATTTGTAAGATTATTGGCAAAATCCGGCTCTTTACAGGCGCCCTTTCTTCCCCGATTGAACGATCAAGGATGCTGCCGCCGAGTGGAACTACCAGGAAGAAACGGTCCGATCCGCCCAATCGACGTAAAGTAATGACGCACCATCATCTTTTAGTGGCTTCGTAGGCACCGGCGAGCAATCACCTCCTTGTTTATCCTTGAGGCTTTTAACCGCGTATTTACTGGCACGTTCATCGGAGCATGTGGTCGCCGCCCGATGGCAAAGCGGAGGTCGTCAAGCAAGACCAGCACATCGCGCCTATGGCTACGATTTTGCCCCGTGACTGTTACACAACGGAGAATATAAACGCCAAATTCTCGTTATAATAAATCGTTAACGGACGTTTGGTCCTGGTCCTTTTTTTTCATTTTTTTTTTCTCGCTATTTCAAAGATATGTAAAAGCATCTCTGAGACTGTTCGTACATTGACCGTAATTGCCGAAACTTAGCTAAAGGGTTTACATCATCCAACATGAAATGTTACACACTTGAGCCGGTATTCATCCTACCACACTATGGCAGTTTATTGCAGTTTGTGATATATTTCCACGCGATAAGCAGGCGACTCGAAGCTTCTTTTTGTATTAAGGCTCGCCTTCGCCTCATTTGGTGCGAACAACATATCGCTGGCTCTGACATTCTCTAACATACGTTAAATCCTCAAACTCGAAGTATTTCATCACAAGGATGGCACAAATACCTGTCAGTGCTACTTCCTTGGTTCAGACATCCGCAAAATCTCCTGAACATCATCGGGTACGACGAACTCTTTCTCGCATGGCACCAACCCCATTTCGAGCAACTCTTCTCCACTGATTTTAGGATCATCATCCAGGACCCTCTTCAGTTCGCGCGCACGACTAGTAACATCTTCAATGCTCACGATTCCTTCCTCGACCCAACTTTGGCAAGTTGCCGCAGGAATCCCTATTTGAATGCTCCGATATGGGAGCTTTTCCAAACGAACATCCCGCTCGGGGTCCCACTGAATCCTCACTTGCTTGCCGCCCCGTATCGCGTCTTCGCAAGATAGAGCCCCCTGCCGAAGCAGATCAATGAACCAATCGTGCGTCATTTTCAGAGCGAGAATGCGCTCTTGGCCATGATCCTTGTACGAGTATCCTGAGCGGTAGAGCACCCAAGTCCAACTAGGCTTGATCCACGTCATCCTGCTGAGCTTAAAGTTTGGCGACGCATCTAGTCTTTGAGATTCGACTGCCGCATCTGCAATCGCTGAACTGTAGGCTTGGTACACTGTAATCGTATCGTCGTCAAAGTTCGCTCGAATCTGGCGGTGAGGGGTAGGGTTGATGGGCCTTTCATTGGCGGCGGAGTCGGAAAACGTGATCGTCATTCTATCAGTAAGCAAAGCGCCCTCAAGTAGCATCAACCAAACGTAACGAAATAGAGGATTGGAATTCTATTTGTTGTGTATTAAGTGGTATTATAGCGATGATTTATACGATCCTGAGCAATGGTTGTCAGATAAACGTAATGAGTAACAGTCGATCCAAAAAGGTTTAGTATGCTCGCCGCTCAGAGTCACGCCGGCCTTAGTATGGAACTTTATGTACTTTAGCCACAATCATTTAATCAGAAATGCGTAAGGAGAAATTTATGAGAAATTACAATCGGTAGTTGCAAACAAATATACATGATCCGAAGTTAGGTAGCAGCCTAAAGGATCGAAGAAGATATTTCAGCGACAACTAGGTATCCGACTATTCTTGATACTGCTGTTTAATCTCATTAACCTCCATCACCATGTACCTTTCCACTAATATCTCAGCCGGCGATAAAAAGGGCGTCTTCTTGGATGAGAGGCATGGCCGCAACATACTTCCAAGAGGGGAAGTAGAACTCTGAATGATATGAACGGCATGGCTAGCACGCGTTGCCGCAATTATCGCTGCTGTTCATCAACGCGCCGACCACACCATCGTTGACGACAACGCGGACGGAGGTGCCGTGCGGTGGTCATGTCACCGCAACCACTGCGGCAGCATTGCATCGGGCCGCACCTCACCTCCCGTACATCTCGCATTGTTCCTCCGACTTCGGTATCGCGTTTTGCTACATCGGAATGGTTTGTGCCACACTTGCCGTATTTCTTTCGCCAACAGTAGACTGCTTTGGTGTCTTGTTTGGTAAGAATGACAGCTGTCGGGGGTTAGCTACCTAATGTATCCCAGCTTCGTCTGAGATCAGACGTCACTTTGGAGCTTCATGACTTTCAATTTGAAAATTCTGAAACACCCCACGAAACCATGCGAGCCCAAACAACCTCGCACTTGAATACGAAAGCTGCGCGCGGAGCAGCGAATCTTTGTGTCAGATCCTTGACCGGTGCTCCGGTGGTGTCTAGTCTGTCCTTTTGGCTTTTTTTCCAATTAATACTTTTAAACCTACTGCGCACTAGAACCTACCCACTTGCCTGTCGCGAAAGCATCAGCGTTCGCATACGTCTTTGCATATTCCCCCACTCATAACGACGCTTTTATAGTCTGGTCTGGTACCTAGACACTTTTGTTCGTTGATCATCGTCGTCGAATTGTTTCTCATCGAATTCTTCACCATGACGATAGGCGGGACTGGCACGGAGCTGCTCGTTGTGGGGGCGATCCTCGTGGTTCTCAACACCATTTTCGTCGGCCTCCGCATCTACACTCGGATATTCATCACCAAATCCCTTCGAGCCAATGATGTGTTGCTTTTGACTGCACTGGTCCGTACATCGTTCTTTTTTGTTCCCGCTCAATCTGACTTGAATTCCACAGGCCGCATTTGGAGCTCTCTACGCTCTCATTGTCGTTGGAGTCCAGGGTGGCATTGGCGGACCTCTTCTCCAGGCAACGATTCCTGGCATCTCCACCTCCCTCAAAGTGCTCTTCTTCCTGGAGATCATCTATGTCGTCCTCACCTCTGCCATGAAGGGAAGCATCGCCCTCACGTTCATCCACATATCGCGTTCGAGGGCCCTGACGTCCCTATTTTGGGTTTCCATTGGCTTGGACGTAATGATCAGTTTGGCCTTCATCATTTATTTGCTCGTCCAATGCAAACCGATCGATTATGCTTGGAGACTACTGGACGCAACGGCAAAAGGAAAGTGTCTACCGCTCACTGGACAGTTGTATATGGGATATGCATTGTCCGTTGTGACGGCGATTCTGGACATCCTGTTGCTAGTTTCGCCGTGGCTCATGATGAGAGGCCGTGGATTGAACTCAAGGCTCAAGTTGTACATCTATGGTATCTTCGGGCTGGGCATACTGTATGTTCCGTTCAAATTGCCCATTCTACTTATGCTAACCCAATTTCCAGGGCCACGATCGCCAACATCATCCGAGTGGTTGCACTCATCAAACTCAAAGGCTCCAGCGACCAGCTCCGTACGTGGCTCTCCTCCCATTCCATTGACCCAAAACTAATAGATACTACAGTCGACGCCGCTCCTGTGTTCACTTGGTCTGCCGTCGAAGTCAGCATTGGAATTATCATCGCAGGCTTGATTGAACTCGGCCCGCTTGCCGCAAAGTACAACGTCAAGGGCTTTGAATCATACGCTGTCGATGACGATAAGTACCCGCTCACGAAGCCTATTGACGAGTCAACCATCCCAGAGTACGAAATGGACAATGTAAAGTTGTAAGTTTGAGGGAAAGATAGTACATTATAACAGAGATCAAGATCCGGGGCCGAAAGTTGAAATCATACGGGTAATGTTCGCTGGTAGGACTCCCTTTGATAGCCATGTTCAGTTGCAAAGTGGCAGACGCGATGAGGGCGGCCTCTCCGTCAAAGATGTCTATAGCAGTAGCATATATGTCTCCCAGACATGAAGAGTGAAGTATTCCTCTTCTGTCGATGACAATAAATAATCAGAATTGTTAGACGCTGTATGGATACATGTATAGCTTGCCTCTGCCATCGTCATATATCGGTGGGTCAAGTCATCGAAAGCCACATGGCCAATTTCCAATTTTCTTTGTACTGCAGCTTAATGGAAGGCTGACTGAATCATCTCACTATGAAATTAATATACACAAGACGAATGACCGAGAGGTAATTAATGATTTACAAAGGTCCCCCAGTTCATACCCCATGCCTCCACAGTCGCAATAACTTGACGCCAGTCTCCTGTAAACATTAAAGCAGAGGGTTTCTTAAATATCAACCGAGGTGACCCACAGGCAGTTTTCCAGTTGTTGCATTATTTCTTTATTTTATCACACATACTCGAAGTAATTATGTTTTCTAAGTATCATGTCATTCGGGCACTCAGCCCTTGCTCAGTGCCTCCTTAACCTTATAGCGGCAACAACCCAGAACTAGATTAATGTGGTCTAAGCCGCAACGCCACTTGAAATCCAAAGTTGCAAGTGAGTCACACCGGTCATTAGATAGGATGCATTGTTGATGTCCAAGACACACCTTGCGTGATGAAAGTGTGATATAACATCAAAAAACATGATTACAAAAAATCCTTCTATGCCCTTCACCGATAAGAGTCCATACTTTGTTGAACTCTTTCACCGACATTGTCAGTCGAAGGCATCGACTTGAGTATTTGACTGTGGTTGTCCGCATCATTTGAAGGTGAATCGACCTCGACAAACACTCGCGTCACGGTCTTCATCTGAATCCCTTTGTTCCCAGAAAGATCGCGATTATTCAACGAGATCTGGCTCTCACTCCTATCATGACTTCCTTGTATTCCACGTCTCAGATAGGTAGATGGTTTTCGCAGTATGCTTGTTGAGCGATCAGGATACTGAGAAGGGTTGGAACCTCCTGCTGTGACCCAAACTCTGTGACCAAAGTGTTGACCGACTTGGGTGAGACTGAAAGTGTCCAATCCTAGATTTTGCTCATCAGGTGAGGCATCGAAGAGGATTGTGCGTCGAGTGGTTGAAAATACGAGAACATCGAGCCATCCGTTCGAGGTAATCATAGCACCAGCAAAACAGAGGTACTCAGAAGAAAGTTTGATGCCTCCAATGCTTAGAATTCGACCAAGCGCAAGAGGGGCGGTGCATACAATAAAAATAAGAGGGTAAAGTAGAAACAACATCCGCTTACGGGCTTCGGATCTCCCTTCCTTGGGTGAGTGCGGCGGTAGGTTTGTGGAAGTAAGGACACTGGCAGTTGATCCATCTTCAACAGTTTTCTCCACGGACCCAGAGGCTTTGTCTTTTCGGTAGATATGGATGAACACGAGGACATAAGATACCGTTCCGATGATAATCATGATCAACATCCAAAGATAGTGAAGATAGAGGCGCATACCCTCATATTCGGAATTGATCCAGCACTAAAACTCTGTCAGTTGTGTCTACTCCGCGATATTGCAAAGAATACTTACCCAAGTAACATCGCGAACATAAAACCCGCCTACTTTTGCGCCGTTATTCGTGATAAAGACTCCGATTACGGACATAAGAAGCACAAAGAACCATAGGAAAGTGATAACTCCATAGAACACTTTGCTAGAAACTTTGCGACCCCTGACGAGAGAGACGTAGGTATGAACTGCGATAGTCGCAATGAACGTCGAAGACGCCAGATCTCCCATAGATATGAACCAGCCCTGAGCCCAACATGTTGGCGATTCATCCGCTATTCTGTCTTCAGACAGCCAGACAACGCCCAGGAAGAAGCCAGACGCCTGTAGAACATCGGCAAGCAGAACGTTTAGAACAAGAACGAGGGCCTGATTTGGGGCTCTCCACTGCCTCTTATTTTCCTGACTGGGTCCAAAATATTGGACGCCAACATCGCGCGGAAGACCGGCTGCGTTTGTAGATTCGGCTATCCTTTCCGGTTTCGATGGATTGGATTTGAAATACCAAACAACCAGCCTGCTGCTAAGGTAGGCAAGGAGGAAGAACGATGTGACGAGCGAGACACAGGAAATTGTGGCGACAGCTTTGAGTCCCTGCCGAAGAACGGTCGGTAACGGCGAAAGAGTGTGGTTGCGGCTGTACATGACTGTACAGACAGCGTGATATAAAGGAAAGAGGTATTGCCGTGAAGTCGTGCCCGCCGACCTTATCCACAACCCAAGTCGTCTCCCTCGCAAGAGATTAACGAATGACTGAAGCAACTGCACAACTACTCTTGTTTCCAAGATCTTGGCTGGTAAAGGTTATAAGAATCAAACCACCCGGGAACCAGACGTCTACCAAACTAAGGTCCGCGGGGTATCGATCCAGTGTATATCTTTAGAGCCATACATCCCTTGGGCGACGTTGTGGCGTGCGGGATGCCGGGGAGCCCATGCCAGTCATTATTTGTCCAAATCACGGTTCTCAAGTCTTTGATGTTAGCGTCTCTCCGGCTCACCATGATGCGTCGAACTCAAAACTACTATGGAGATGCAGGGGTCATCAAATAGGAAAATAGGCCAGGAGACAGAGCCTTGCCAAAATGAGGAACATCACTCATTTGCCGAAGTTTACTATTCCAGGGATTTGAGGAATTGCATGTCGGGCAATTAGCCTAATTCGTTAGCATAGCCCTAAACCGTCAAACTCTATGTTGAGCTTCAGCACTGTGCCATCTCAGACGCTCACCTCGGGAGATGTGAAAACCTGCAGCTAAAATTGGCTGACGGCTTGTCCTGAAGTACGATCATAACTCGCGATTTCTATCATTGTTAAATCTCACTGCAAACGAAAAAGACAGGCCACGGTTGGTTCTCCGAGATCTGCCTCGAAGAGATTTCAGGAAATGGACGAACGTCCGAGAGGCCACGCGATGAAGTAAAGTTTTATAAGTGGGGTTCACTGGCTTCAAAACCTTGCCGAAGTCAAATGGGCCATGTAAAACTAATACGAACGTCGGTATCCTCGGGAAGGTCGAGCCCGCACTTGAATGCTGACATACTAACAAGCAGTTGGCATGGTCAGTTCGTAGTACAGTTACTTCATCGTAGGAGAGCGACCTTTCGGGTTCCAACACCTTCCTTTGATGTAGATTACCTATCATCTAATGGGCTTCTCAACTGACGAAAACATGAGCTCCAGAAGCATGGAGGAACTTGACAGGGATAATTACGCCACCTTGCCTGATCACTGCGGAGTACAACTGTATTTTGCCTTCGCAAGTGTCTTTTTTTTACCACTCCGTATGGAGAGGTGGATGCCCCGCCAAATCGCGACAGATCAACGCGAGTCAGCATCTGCTGCTACGCGTGGTCTCCCTGTCATTTTTGCCAAGTTGCCAACAGCCCTATCTGTACTAATGGTAGTGAGCAGCTCAGGTTGCTCACCGAGGTATCCACCTCGTTGTAGCCTGAAAAGAAGTCGCACACTTTGGAACTGGTTTGACGAGTAGAGTGTAACTGTTAGTTGGTTGAACAACGCATATCGCTTTGTAACCGCTGTTATTCATCATGCAGCAAATGCAAATAAGTAAAAATTTCAAAGGCTCCAAAAAAGCGACCTCATAATCCGATTGCGCCAACGTGGTGGTCAATACAATCGGAATCATCTGGAAGGAGACAAAAAGACTCATCAGAATCCTGGGGGAGAACTTGAACTGTGAGGCAATCTAATTGGTTGTCACCCGCGCGCTGATAACTTTGCGTCAAAGTTGGACCTCCCGACGCAGCAGTAAAAATAGCCAGTGAGCCCTGATGGAGACTAATTAGAAAGTTCTTGGGATGTGCGGGATTGTGCACAAGTCTCTTCACATTCGAGCAATCTGAGTTTGTTTGCTATGGATTGTCGTGTGAACTAAGAGATATCCCTATCTTTGGCGATCGCTGCCAGATTGGCGAGCTGTTGAACCATTGCGAAGCGAGATTTGCAAAGAAAGGGGGCGGCGCTTGTAATAGCTCAATGAAGGACTTTTACCCCCGGCCGGTAATACGGTACATTCCTGATGGGTAATCAATTGCACGAGTGTCTGGGGGAAGGCAATTGACTGATGACCGTTACGTCTCAATATAATTGACTTTCCGATAGAAGCCCGCCTGGACGACAAGGAGCAAAATTCCATCAATAAAAGCGACCCAGCTTAGCAGGGGCTTGGCCATCGCTTACGCGCGGACTTTGATGGCCCTAGAATCCCCAACTTTGGGGCCCAGCGAGAACAGGCAATGCGGCGATGGTTTCTTGAATCTCATAAATTGCCGATATCAAGGAACGACAAACTCCATCGAAAGAAAGGCAAGTTCGTGTTCCGTGCTTGTTTCGAAGCTGAAGACTACTCTTTGGGTCGTGCATGGTGTAGCAAGCCTCACAGGCTTGGTAGACTCTGAATATCCTTTGATATCATATCGCCGTTTTGGGGCAATCAGATTTATCTAATAACGCCGGACCTTGAACTGGTGTGCATGTTTTCTAGGGATAAATGACTCTTAAATTTGCGAACCTTTGCATTGTACAGATGCTGGTTTTGCTTGTCGCTGAGGGCTTCCTACATTATGAATGTCGTGTAAGATTAAAAGTACGACACGAAAGCTCGGATGAATGGGAAGTTCTATAAGCCCTTGCAGCAAAGACCAAACGTTTGGAATTGACCCGAAATGACGTCGGGAACCAGTGTCCAATCTTGCTCAGGCAACGACCAATCATTGTTTCTGAAATCCAAGTAAAAGACAATTATTTCTTCACATAGGCAAACTGACTGCTATGGAACGCACCAAGTCTGTTTCCCCCCTGCGGCACTCAGGCGGATTCCATGCGCCACATCAATTTGACTACATTTGACACTTCTTTATGTCAAACTTGAATCTACAGAAAATGCTGCTTTGGCGAATTGGTGTTATGACACCAGCTTATGGGGAAGAAAGTCTGAAACCTGCCCAGAGAGTCCATATGTTCCCTGTACACACCAAGCTGCACAAACCTTTGCTTGACGCTGACATGTAACAATGCCTTCGCCCTTTGATCATAAAACCAAGAATTGCTGAATTATTTGGTATCCAGACTCTTCACTATCATGTTAATGTCGACGTTTTCGGATGCCAGGGAGCACAAGTCCAGAAGAAGTAAAATGCTCCGGCAAAGACCCATGAACTAGATAAGTGTTGCAAAGTTCTTCCTAGACTTGGTTTCTTGATAGTTGGCCTATGACAGCATCATTCGTATTTTGAAGCAGTTGAATCTCTTCTGTACCAGAAGACTTCAGTCAACGAAGGTTCCTGATCGGCCAAAGTTGCATATTCTTTTTATCATACCCATCGATTAGCTGTACCCTCCAAACCCATCAATATGAAGTTGCACGCAATCTACACTACCTGCATCGTTGTTCTATCCTATCTTGTGTGCAGGGCCTCCGCAGATGTCTCATGCAAACAAACTGGAAGATTGGGTTCGAAGTACTGGGAGATAAAAATTAGTGAGGTGGAAAATCCTGCGGCATTGTGCGGTCGGCTGTGGGATGGCCTAGCCGCTTGGCCAGCTTGTAACGTGTTCAGACCAAATGGCTGCGGAACACCTTTTGGAAATAACGACGTTTACCTGTATTTCACGACCACCATCATCTGCAACCGTGGAATGGTAGCCTCGGCTTTCTGGCACGCCACCTATAACCGATACGGTCCTATCAAATGCTGAAAGCTGCTAGATGGTCCAGTCGGGTGTCTTGGCTATCAGTCGACATGGAGTTGAATTCCTTTCACCTTGACTATTTGATTTCATGCGTGTTAGCACGCAAATCGAGCGCAAAGTAATATACGTCATTGGAAATGTCATTTTGGGGAAGATAGGATTAAGGCTGGGAACCCATTACCGCATCCTTTTTGTACTCACCACATTGTCTGGTTCTGCCCCAAAAACAACTAATTCAAATTCAGTTGTCCTCGCCTTGGGAAGATAACTTAGTCGCATATAGTCTTTTATGTGCAAGGATCGCCAATCGACTTAGGAAAGATCCATTTGTGACAACTTTTACTATCATAAATATCGACTTTGGGTGTCCTTTGACGTAGCTTCTCAGTGATAGGCTGTGTTTTCTTGGTCTTGCTATTACGACAGCTGAAAAAAGGGTTTTTGTTGCTCCAAGTATTTGTCTCGATGGATATCAACTCGCTCCTTAGTGATTGGAACCGGTATCTTTGGAGCCGTTGACGATTCGTGCAAGAAAGTCTAAGGATACAGGTTAGGCGCTTTTACAACAACACAAATACTAGTCTTCACCAGGCTGGAGGGTCAGAAACCCTCATAAGATTGCTTTTAGCGGCCTTGCTTTCTCTTCAAGACGACCGATGATCCCATTAGTTGACTGGAATCTTAAGCCAGTGACATTTGAAATCTAGAACCCAACTGGCAGCAACCATAATTAGAAAGTCGCCATATCTGCAATGAAGTTGTCCACTTTGCTCTGACCTCAAGCCAAGTTGTTATTATTCTCAGTATTGAAAGATATTCAACTATTTACTGGTCGTACTAATTGGACCCTGGCCGGCATTCCATCCCGTGGTTTTGCCGTTGTGAACATCGCCTGGTATGCGCGGCCTCCATATCCCGGAACTTCGTTTAAACAGGTTGAGACGCCTTGATAGTCTGGTATGAAATCAAACTTGCGGACTATCAACACTAGCATTAATTTCAGCTCCATCATGGCAAGGTCCTGTCCAAGGCAAGCTCGCGGACCCATTTCGAATGGTCGGAATGCGTGCTTCGAAATGGCGGGAAATGACGAACGGCCCTCTGGCAGGAATCGATCCGGATGAAACTCGTTGGGCATTGGGAAACAGACAGAATCATGATGAAGGGCTGGGCCGGCTAGGTAGACCATACAACCTTCTGTTGAAAACTTTTTACCGGTGGATTTCAAGTCAATGCAGTATCTAGATGGCCAATTTGTTAGTTTGTCTCGCAAAACAACTGGTTTTGGTTTGTTGATTTGGGGCAGGATTTGGGGCATGTGTTTATCAGAAACAGAGAAAAAAGAAGAAACATCATCATCCATGGTCAGCAAGCTTCTCGTACCCTCTCTCTCCCATACGGGTGGAACCGACAGGAGTGTATTTGCGCATAGTCTCTTTGAGAACAGCTGACGTGAAAGTCAATTCGTTCAATTTGTTGGGAAATTTGATCATATTAGCGGGCGCCGAAGATAAGTCTTCCCCGAAAATTTGAGTATGCTCATGTCTTAAACGTTGAAGTATTTTTTCGTTGTGTGACAGTTCATACAGAGCATGCTGTGAATCATGACAAGTTAGTTGCTATGAGAAACAATGGGGATAGGTTGATCGTCGTTCTTACTGTAAGGACAGAGGAGCTTGTATCGATTCCGGCAAATATTATGTTTTTAACACTAATGCATTTAGTATTGCTTCATAGGCTATTTGGGCGACTTACTTCTCAACAAGTGCATCCACTTGAATCCCGGAAAGGCTTCCATCTTTAGTTATATGTTGACTTAGAAGGGCATCTACTACAGATATGTTGCTTCTTTTCAGTTCAGTCCCATGTTCAGTTTGACATCTATGTGCTCTTAGGTGGGAAAGCCTCTGCAAGATCAAGCTTCTGACTTGTTCGGATGATTCTCTAGCCATTTGATTAACTTGACGCCCTGGGCCGATATTGTATTTTGAAAGATACGATGCCAATCTGTTGGTACATATCAAACAGCTCAGTTGCGCCAACTTGGTCTTTAAGTTTTCACTAGATGCTTGTGCTTGTAATGAAGTGCCCAGAATAATCTGACCGGTTATATCTGCTAGAGCGTCGGAGAATATGTCCTCTAGGCTATCAATCCGGGCATTCGCACTTGCCGCATGTTCAAGCTTTGTTATCAGGGTCATACCTTCTTGAACCATGGCAGGTACAAAAGACTGAAGTCGAGAGTGAGAGAAAAAGGGGTTAAATAATGCCCTGGTTTCCTTCCACAACGAGCCATTGGACAAGATTATAGTGCCCTTGCCGACAACTGGCTCGTACCTGGAGTACGCAGGGGTATGCTTGCCAAGGTACATTGTGGCTTGCTGAATCGCTTCGGGTGAAATTGCTACCATGAAAGGTTCAAGCTGAACAGGATATAAACTAAAAAATGTAAGCTGATTTCTTGAGGGCAGAAAGGAAATTCAACACTTTGATAACACATTAAAAAAAAAAAAAAGGAGAATTCACCCAGTTGCTTTCAATGCAAGAAGAATTTCAAAGCACGAAAGAAGTGCACTTACTCTAAATAAAACACACCATGTTGGCGCATGTTATAGGTATCCGAAAGGATAGATATGACAACATGAATGTGAATATCTGCCGGCAAACTAGACTTCGTGTTCCGCATAAGAAGGAGATGACCCAACAGAAAGCTGTGAGGGAGCCCTGGAGACTATGGATATGAAATAAGATTGCCATTCCTATGTACTTTGACAGTGTAAAAGGTTCTCACCAGACGCTTGTAATGATATCTTCGGCGACAAAACCATACGAACCAGTAGGCGCACCAAAGGTACAAACACAAGCGATGAAAGTCATGACCGAAGAGCAGGCCTACGCATTGGCCAAGTATGAATGCAACTCCTGGAGGAAATTGACTTCGCCCTGCTGAGTAGAGTACAAGGCCATGAACAACGCCTAAAAAAGAAAGATTAAAAGTAACAGCTAACATGTTGAATAATTTGGCCACATAAACGTCGTAGAAGGAAGGTGAACATGGGACAAAGGCCGGAAAAGCATAGCATCGTAGGGTTGAGGACCTGATCATCTTATGCTGTTGGAGTTTGGGGCAAAATGAAAGAGAGCATGGCTTAAGCTTACAATTTGCTAGAGGCTAACTTAAAATGCGACATTACGAGACGCTAGTATGGGAAGTAAACTTTAAGAGTACCATCAAATCTGGCCATCTGATGTGGTTGGTTCCACCCTTAACTTACAGTTTCACTAACACGGATATATAGTGTATTGTGCGCTTGACACATGGGTGCCTAACCCCTTTCAGCAAGCATATTCGCGTCGCAGCCGCCTCACTTCCCTTGGCCTGGAATAAATTTCGGACGGCCGTGCTATTGATTAAGATCAAATTAAGTCGTCCTTCCTTCTTCGGATTGGAGTTTGGAAGGGATAATGTGTATCCTGGCCAATCAATACCCTACATAATGCCACAAGTATTAGATAGCCTTTGTAAGACTGAGGCGGAAGCCAAGCGGAGCTCAAATTGCTGAGGGTTTAGATATCGAATAGACCAGGGTCGTAGGTGGGATTTCGAGATTTCAGGATATGACTAATCTTTGTAGAGTAATACTTTTAGCTAAGGTGAGTTTTGTATGCATCTACCTGCCTGCCTCAGATCATGCCGTGTCTCTAAATAGCTTTTACTCGTGCCCCAAGCTCGAGGCTCACCGACATTCCTATTCCCATACTTGTCCCGGCAGCCAAGCAATGTCGCAAGTGTTTGCCAAGATTAGAGACCTAGTTGCGTATTAACGAATCAAACTCAAATAGGAATGGAAATACTTCAGGCTAGTGCGCTTGACTTATCCTTTTTCGTTTTTTTATTGTTTAATATTAGTCTTTTGTATTATTTCCAGTTCTTGTAAAGAGCTGGTATCTGAACCGCGTATAAATAGCCGCTGATCCTACGGCTCCTCTACCCATGATATCGAACTGATGTAGGTTCTGACGCACCCTCATCAACAGGACGCTGCTCTCTTTTCGAAAAATGGCACTTCAGTTTCTCTTATCTTGTTTCGTGAGACCTGGTGTCTACTCACTTATTGTTTTTAGTGTTGGTTTGCTACTATTGCTAGCCTTCGGCCTATTCTTCTACCTCTTCATTCAGTCTCGTATGAATCGGCATTTGAAACTTGACCTCCCTGTTTTGAATCTGGTTGGCGATAACTATGGCCAAGCTTCGCGTGAATGGCAGCGTAATTACATCAAGTACATAGAAAAAGGATATCAAGAGGTACAACACATAACTTCCAAGGCATATGAACCCAAGTTTTAGGTGGCAACTGACAAGCTCTTACCCAGTTCCGACACGGAGCCTATCAGCTCTGGGGCCCCGAGGGCTTTGTAACTGTTCTATCACCCGACTTTCTGGGCGAACTCAAGAATTTACCTGATGAGAAACTTAGCTTCTACCTTGGAGCTGCAAACGTAAGAGTGTTCAGAGAGGAAATTCAGATATAGCAGCTAACATTCAATTGTTCTGGATAGTCCGTGCAAGGGAAGCATCAGTTCTTGGATTTCAGGGGTCATGCGCCAATTCAGGCGTTGAAGTCTATGATGACTCCGAAGCTGAGTACGTTCCGCTGCCATCTGAATGACACAGAACGAGGTCATCACAATTTGCACAAATTATCTAACTTGTTTTCTGTTTAGAAGACTTCATGCCAGCCATCCTGGAAGAGCTCGAACACGGCACGCGAACTTGCCTCCCATCAGAACTCGATGGTAAGTCATGATTTCTGCGCTGCTACTCTATTATACCATAAGATCTGACCTAATCTGTGAAATAGAGTGGCATGAAATACACATCAACGACACTTACTCCAAGATTGTTGGTTACATAACTGGTCGCCTGTTCTTTGGCTCTGAGCTTGGTCGTCGAGAGGATTGGCTGCAGCATATCATCGCCTTCCCTGACAATGTATTCCGTGCTGCCAGAAAGATCCGAAGAACTCCAGCACCGTTAAGGCTATTTCGGATTCCGCTGCTCCGCGAGGTACAACAAGTCATACTCACGTTGATGAAGGCGAGACAACTGATTCCTCCCATTCTCGAAAAACGAGCTTTGTTGCTCGGAGAACCCCAGGACAAACTAGAGTCCCAGCAAGACTTCATGCAGTTTGTATTGGAATGCTCCGGGCGGGAAGAAAACCCACCCTCATTGAATCGCCAAGCTGAACAATTGATGATCATAATGTTGGCAGGTATTCATACCACCAACATTGCGGGTATTCATATGATATACGATTTGGCAGCTATGCCTGAGATCGTTGGGCCTCTGCGCGATGAGATCAATCAGGTTTGGGATAAGTACAACGGGAAGTTGACAAAGGATTCTTTCCGTGATATGGGAAAGCTTGACAGTTTTATGAAAGAGTCACAAAGAATGAACCCCCCTTCTTATTGTAAGCATTTCATATCACCTGCTCGTACTGAAATTCCTAGGCACAACGAGCTGACTGAAGCGACTGCAGCTACCTTTGACCGCATAGTTTCGTCGGAGAGTGGCATCACTCTTTCTAACGGCTTACATCTCCCCAAGGGCACTGTCATTACCATGCCGTCATCTCAAGTTTCCCAAGATCCGAATGTATGGTCAAACCCGGAAGAATATGATGCGTTCCGTTTTGAAAGGCTGCGGTCTACCTCTTCAAACAAGTACAACTACCTATATGCAACTTCTACGGAGACCTCTTTACATTTTGGTGTCGGTAAGTCGCTATCCATTCCCGCCATTTGAGACTGGGACCTAACACAAACAGGTCGACATGCGTGCCCAGGCGTGAGTATATCCAATCTCCCTTGACATGAACCGCTAAGTCCCTATGATGTCCCTTAAACAAGCCCATTCTATGACCATCGTCGCTAACTCGCTCCTTTTCAATAAGCGCTGGGTATCTACAATTGAAAACAAAACTATTTTGTCCTACATGATTCGACACTTTGACTTCAGGCTTGTCAATCCCAAGGAGGGAAGGCCAAAGAACTTGGCTTTCGGACCGAACATTTCTCCTAACGAGACAGGTAGGATTGAGGTCAAGAGAATCCGTCCTCATATGAAGTAGGATACAACGGGGATGAAACAAGCGATGCGATGCTGCATTTTTAGATCCACAGAAGAAGTCCTTGCCTTTATTTACTTTTAAAGCGAAGAACCTTAGAGTTAAGCCTCAATACCCTCTCACTACATTATTATTTTTACGACTCAAGCCTAAGTATCGTGACCGCCGAACATACCTGCACTGATTTGGTTATATGATATCACTCATATTCAAATTCATACCATGCAATACACATGGACCTGGAGAGGAGAATTACACAGCAGAAATAGAAGAAGCTATTTCGTCCTAAATGGTACCAGCAATCGGAAAATGAGTAATGGTAGATGCGTAAGATGGTTCAATGTCAGTCAAGAAACAACCAAAAAGTGACTAGGTAACGACACATCAGAGACAGAGGTCAAATTACTGTAGGTGGAAGCGCTAAAAAGGGATTTTGTTTGTTAAAATTCCAAGCAGCATACTTCTTTTACTAGTTCATGATGGTAGCGAGATACTAAAACTCGGACTTAAACCCAATGCTCCTGAGAGCTTCTAGAATCTATTTTTATGTACTGTTGACGTGGCCATGTCGCTCTTACTCGGTAGTTATCTTCAGGTTCTACCTCACCAATCCACTTATTCATTAAAGCCTTCGTTCAAGACAAACAAAGTCGCCAGACAACGGATCCATGACCGTTGCGAAATGGGTGTACTCGTTGAAAACAGGTTCCGACAACACCCATTTCTGTAGTACCTCAGGTGTAACACCTGTTACCTTCTCGTCTCCTCCATCGCTGGTTAGAGCCGACATGATACAGGATCCGTTTTGTGTAAATGAATAGTTGGTCGAGTCTTCTGACCTCTGATCCACGCCTCTCCGGCAATAAGCCTTCCAATTATCATGGACAAAGTTTTGACGTTCTGCCGACTGAGATAGCCAAGCGTCCTCAGGAGGAATAAGGGTGGAATCTCCTAGGGCCAACGATCGATGGTGAAATTCCTTGGCTCCGCAGCACATGGTGTGGTCCGTATCATGATTTGCTTGAGCGATAAAGTCGTGGGTCACTTTGATGTTGCCTCCAATGAAGTCTTTTTGAATCACAACTGCTTCGCTCGGTGTGCTGAAAATAAGATAACAAGGAGGCGACGGCTTCTTGATAAATGACTTGGCGAAAGCGACGAGTCCGCTGTCGCTCTGTTGTTGAGTCACACCGACGACTCCTAGGTGGGGGTCTAGGAGTACTTGGCGGAGTTGTGAGGAGATTGAAGGTCTCAAACCAAGGAGAACAAGAACTTGATGGAAAATTGATGATTTCGTCTTGGCGTTTAGCAGTGGTCTGTGATTAAGTGACATAGATAGTCCCGGTCTACGAATACGACGTCAATCTCGAGGCGGACACCGCGTGGTGGTGGGGATTCAACTTACCTAACCCCCGTAAGAGATCCTACGAAGCCGGCATACGACACGGACCGTGCCAAAACCTTGCCAGGTTGTGTTGATTTTGAGTCAACGAACTCAAGGCTAACTAGAAGGTTACCTAGCTGGGGCATCCCCCAGTCAAGAGTGCGGAAATGCATCAGATGTGTTGGTGAGCCTTCGGTATTGCCACGAACTGGGACAGTTCCAGAAGTGCACCCCAGCAGGCAGTCCAAGAGGGTATTCAGGGCCACAAGAAGATGCAAGTCGATGCCTGCGACCTTTGAGATAGAATGAATTTCTTTTGTCTCATCGTCGTTGAAGACTCTCCGTAGACAAAGTCTCACTATCAGTTTTACGACGCTAATGATCGGCCGGTAAACCAGGATCTGTGCAAGGACAAGGTCATAAAGTGGTGCGATAGCCTGTAGCTCCCCAGCGAAGTCTTTTGCAATTTGGGTGTAGCGCTGGCCGGGTGGGAGAGACAAGTCGATTCGGTAAGTAGGAACTTTGGCTGACGGCATCTTGGGCGGCGAGTGCAGCAACGAGTATGCAAGACAGATGCAACTTGTGCTTTTGGAGGATCAGGGTACGCTGAAATAGGAATCTCACAACATCAAATTTATTTTATTGCGCGCAACAAGCTGGCTTCAGTGGAGTGAGCCCATCAATAACGGTTTAGCGTAGGGGGGCTGAGCTAGAGCGTTGTAGAGCCAATCAGCTGGGGAGCGAATCTTCGCGGACGGGAGGCATTTCTCGGTCCTACCCGTCGACCCCTAATGCTTGCTTCTGGCCCATATAAACACATGGCAGCGCAATCAGAATGCGAATGAAGTCAGTACAAGCCTTTCAACCAGTATGTTGCATCTTCCAAAGGGGATTTGATTCCTCGACGCTAGCATTCTTTTGCCGTAACAACAAACTAAAGCAGCAGCTGCTAGGAGTTGTCATAAGGGTTGCAGAACTTGTCTAGGCTAGGAGAGAGTAACCGAGGCAAGCCGGCCGTTGTCCATTCTAAGGCTTATTCGCCGCAAATCCGAAGGCCGCCCGAAGCCGAGTTAGCCCATTTTGGCGGGTCTTGTAATTCTGTCATAGTGAAAAAGACTCCGTCTGACCCGCAGGACTGTCGTGGATTGTGAGTCGTAATCCGATGCGATCGCAAGGCATAAAACACAGAGAGCATCAGGGATTGATGCCCCAACACATATTGGCGTTCTTGCGGCGCTCAAAGTGTCTCCGATGACTGCCAGGGCCCCCTTTTAACCCGTACTTTAGGGCACTTCAACGGTAAACATGGCTGTATTTATTAGGGCGCTTAAGGCGGTTTATCCCTGAAGCCAGCGTCATGATTGGGTTGAGAAATATGGGGGCATCTTATCAGATGATCTAATCTGATCCGCCCATTCGTGAGTTGTCCTGCGGTCCTCGTCCTGCTGACATATGATGTGAGCATGAGGCCGCCCCCCCCCCCCCTGATCCGGTGATCCTGCGCTTCTTCTCTCTGCCCTGCCTGCTGCAGCTCAGCTGTCTGCGTCTTCCCCTATGAGTGCCACAACCGCTGCATAATTCACAGGTGTCAGCTCTGCCGTCCCGGTTTTCCTCTGACCCTGTGTCGCTACCATTCACAACCCCCCTGCTGGCTGACACCCTGTAAAGAGACATACCTATCTCAGGCAGCCGAGCAAAAAAATTTCCCATTATTATAATTTTTCAAACAAATGTATCCGTAACAAGCATCCTGATAGTCTCCGGTCGCAAACCTCTCGACGGCATAGCGCAACATCTACACGGTCGTTTCTGGTACTCGGGTACATGGACAAGGCCTGCCTTGAGCAAAAACCGCGAAAACGAAACGAACTCGGCCGAATGCCATATCAAAGACACTGTCTCTCAAATGAAGCGATTATGGGCGAAGAGGACTCCGTCCGACAGAGAGACATCGCCTCTCCTCGAGTCCGAGCATAACGCCGGCGGAACGATATCGCGCCCGAGCGAAACCGATACAGCGACCCAAGTCCACACATCATCCGGTGTTGCACGCTCCGATACCGTCGCAACGCACATCAGCCAGACGGAGCGTATCTGGCTCTTTGTCGGGGTCTTCCTGGTCGGATACGCCTATGGCCTTGACAGCCAGGTGCGGGGCACCTATCAGCCATACGCCACATCAAGTCTAAAGCTGCACTCGTCTCATTCGACCATCAATGTCCTTCGCAGCGTCGTCGCTGTCGCATCGCAGCCGACCGCGGCCAAGATCGCCGACATCTACGGCCGGTTCGAGATGACAATCGCTGCAATCTTGCTGTATATCGTCGGCACGGCGCTGGAAGCTAGTGCGACGACGGTGGAAATCTTCTGCGTCGGAGCCATTCTGTACCAGATTGGATACACATGTCTCGTTTTGCTGCTGGAGGTCCTTGTCGCCGATTTCTCGTCGATGAGGTCGCGCGTATTCTTCAGCTACATTCCCGCCATCCCGTTCGTCTTTAACACATGGATCAGCGGAAATGTCACGGCGGCTGTCCTGCGCGTCACCACTTGGCGTTGGGGTATCGGCATGTGGGCCATCATTCTTCCCATCTCATCCATCCCGCTTCTAACGAGCCTCTACTCGCTCCGTCAACAGTCGCGGAGGTCACGACATGCCCGTTCTTCCAAGAAGGGCGCCGTTAATCTGTTCCATCAACTAGACACCATCGGTCTTACGATCCTCATCGCCGCATTTTCCTTCACCTTGGCACCTCTGACACTTGCCGGAGGTACTGTCAGCCACTGGAAGTCTCCGGCAATTATTATCCCTCTGGTCCTCGGACTCCTTTGCTTTCCAGCATTTGTCATCTGGGAGCGCCAAGCCCAGATTCCTTTGATACCCTTCCGCCTATTGCAAGATCGCGGAGTATGGTCAGCCTTGGCGGTCCGAAGTCTGCTGAACTTCGCCTGGTCAACCCAAGGCAACTACCTATACACTGTACTAATCGTAGCTTTTGACTTCTCGGTCGAGACGGCCACTCGAATCCTGTCCTTCTTCTCGTTTTTCGGTGTCTTTAGTGGTGTTCTGATCAGTTTTGTGATTTACAGAACCCGAAGGCTCAAGGGCATCATCGTGACGGGCGCATGCATTTTCATGGCGTCGTTCTTTATCCTCATTGCATATTCGGGCGGCGCTTCTTCTTCTTCCAAGACAGGACTCATTATCGGCCAGATCGTTATGGGCTTGGCAGGTGGATTGTTCGCTTACCCAACGCAAGCATCCATCCAAGCCTCGGCAGACCATGAGCACGTTGCAGTCATCACTAGCCTCTACCTTTCACTCTTCAACGTGGGCAGTGCTTTGGGTAACTGTCTTTCGGGAGCCCTGTGGACTCAGCTGCTATACCCATCTTTGAAGGAGAACCTGGCTTTTCAACCTAATGCCACCCTGGCGGAGGCAATCTATAACTCGCCATTCTCCATCATTCCGAATTACCCCGTTGGTGGTAGGATAAGAGAGGCTATTATCGACAGCTATAGTGGTGTTCAGCGGTTGCTTTGCATTGCTGCTCTTTTGATTTGTGTGCCGATGGTGGCATTCACATTTATTCTGAGGAACCCGAAGCTGTCAGAGGAGCGTGTCCAGTCGAGCGTAGACGATGAATCGGATTGATCGATGGTGTGTGCTTTTCCATTTACCAGCATCTCTATAGAACTTGATAGACCACTTCGGAGGTACTTTTTGCTATTCATGCGCGTACAAATATGCGCTTCGGAAAGCAGGGCTGAGAGCGGAGGTGTTGATTTGCTTCGCTTAAACAGTCTAGATATAAACTATATGGAGAACTCTATTCATTACATGACTTGGAGAACAGACCTCAAGTTATTCAACAGCTTCAGGGTTGGCCGCCATCCAGAGAGCCTTTCCACCCGCATCACATGCTTTTCCGAGCCATATGTATTCTTTCAGGATATCCAAGACGCTATCCCACTCCCGCAGCTCCAGTGACCGAGCATATCTTCTAACTTCCAAGACGAAGCTGCCGTATATACTGGTGCCCGCAGCCGCGATGCCACCAATCACTGCAGCCCATAAAAGAAACTTGTCGTCTTCACTTTCTGTCAAAGAGCGGCTCAGAATTGCTTCATTGAGTTGTGATGCCAGCTTCCTGATAACTCGAGGATCGGGGAGGGGATATATAACGCCGTAAGAGAATATCAAGGTTGTCAGCCGGCATATCTCTGCCTGTCCAAGTGGCAGTGAGAGGAGGCGGTACATTATGAGATTGCGGTATGAAATGAACTTGCTGGTTTCCGAGTCGAGTGCAATCCGTCCATGGAAGGTATGGATTAAACGGCAACACAATTTGAGATCGAGCAGAATCTCTCGGAAGTTCTCGTTCACCTTGAAAACCCTGGCTTCGCTGGCGTCTGGTCGAATGGCGGCCGCTTCTGTCTCTAATAGCGAAAGAAAAGACTCGCCCATTTCTAGTTTAGGCTTCTCGAGAAGTATACTCGCTCTCAGCAGGTCTGTCGACTGCAGATACTCGGCAACCCCTGGTATTCTGTCGCTCAAAGACCTATTCCGAGCTCTCAAGAGGTACATCCACATCGTTGTGTGCTCCGGTACGATGTGAATCAACCCAAGCCAGTCCAAGCCGCCAAGCGTCTTTACTGGCGAGCGAAAGTCGCCGCCATAACGATCCTCGGGATAAATAGATAACAGGTAAGTATTCTGCTTAAGAGCCATGCTCAGGATGCCGAACAATACCGCGTCGGAAATTGTCGCGGTGCCCTTTGAAAGCTCCTGTCGGACGACTCGGGCAACGTGGCTCTCGGCCTTGAGAAGAACCATCTGATCATCGACAGACTTGGTGCGGAAACACAGTTGTGATGACCCCCCTGCAAGTACCGAAAGGAAGACCAGCGGGTCCGCCATTGCGGCGCGGCAGAGGGCGCTTGGCACGGGCTCGCCAACCGCAGTTTTGACTCCCACAGTCGGCAGTAAAGATTGGATAGCTGCGGTTGAAGGTTAGCCTGAAATCAAATGGTAGTTATTTATGGTAACAAACTGAATTGGAAAACTCTTAAAAACTCATTATTTACCAGCTCGGGGTGTGCTGCAGAGAACGGACTGATTCCTTTTGGGACTATTGCCAAGGGCTTGGCGGGCGGAAGGTACTGTTCATGGTAGACATCATGAACAGCAACAGGGTCTTGAGGTCTTGTAGATACTGTCTCGTCAGTGATTTTGGCATCGAGGATATGATTTTGTCTAGTCTTGTGGTTCGATGATGAATTCAATGACTTCGGAAGGATCGGCCTCTGTCTGGTTGCAGGGTTGGACAGCCTCTCGGCGAGTAGCTTTGCACCGGTCTCCCGCCGGGAAGATTTTCGTTTTCCTTCACATTCAGACCATTAACTTTCTATTCGTCGCAGGGGTGATGGAAATCTCACTGCTTTGTTGTTGATTGATGCGGTTCTGGAGCTTCCTACGCAATTTGACATCCTCGACCCCGATCCACGCAAGCTCAGTAGACGGAGATCGACTGGAAAATGTCTCGACAGGCGCTTGCGTTCCATCTTCGCGCAATGACCCGATGTTTTCTTGTAGATTAGCCATCATCTCTTGCATTTGTTGGATAAGCTCATTGCGTTTACTTCTTGAGTTATCTGCCTATTTAAAAAACTGGGTTTGTCTTTGTCAGATTTCAGCCCTGAGGTTGCTTACTTATGCTTTCCCAATTTAGGTCTGCTCACTGCAGGGATTCGTATACCATAGGTCTCAGCCACCGAATAATTATTGGTCTGAACTGCGTCTGCTCTTAGCTAAGTGCATTGAAAAACCCGGTTGCTATCGTGATGTCTTGACCGGCCCGAGCCCGCACCCAATGGCTAACATTACCTCATCCAGTTAGGTCTGACATAAATATCCTCTTAGACTAGCTGGACAAATGTTCGAAGGGCTGCACTAGGCCTTCTCAAACTCGCTTACCCCAATATTTCCCATTTTCCTTGAAACATCATAGCCTCCAGTTCCGATCCCTAATCCGCGCCTGATCGCGTCCATTCGGTTCATGTCCTCTTGACCCTGATTCCCGCCAAAAAGCTTGTCCATCTCCTCGATCCTCAAACCTTTCGTTTCCGGCACGAAAAAGAACACCCAGACAATCAACAAAATGCAGAAGGCTGTAGACTATTAGTCTATCATCACAGCTCGTCGAGCCTAGCTTTTCAACGCACCTAGGAAAAAATAAAAGGTTCCAAATTTGATAGCCTCAAGCATCCTTGGCGTGATAAGCGCAACGATGAACTGTTGGCGAAATGATTTAGAAAAGCTTCGACGATGCATATACGAAGAGGTACTAACATTGCTCAGCCAGTTGGTCCCAATTGCCAACCCGACAGCCTGCGACCTGACCCCAGGAGGAAAGATCTCGGACGGTATAATCCAGTTGACGCATCCGATACTAAATGCAAAGTTTGCGATGTACGTCCATACAAAAACAGCCGTGGCCCACCCGGCGGCCTTGTTACTTGCCCAGGAGTCTTTGTAAACGGCGTAAAGTGTGCCGACTATCAGTTGTGAGACGCCCATGCCGATTCCACCGACAATCAGGACCTTTTTACGCCCCCAGCGATCCATGAACATGATTGCGGGAATGGTGGAGAAAAAGTTGAGCACCCCTACCACCCCGGTAGCCAACAGGTCGACAGAGTTACCAGAAAGACCAATATTCTGGAATATCTTTGGCGCATAGTAGATGATTGCGTTTATCCCTGTGAATTGTTGGATGACTTGGATGAGGCAAGCAATGAGCAAGCGTCGGTTAAGATGTCGTGTCACGAAAAGAGATTTGTATTTCTCGATTGTGAGCCTGAAGTGGGATGGCATCTCACCATAGACTGTCGCATTTGTCTCGTGGTCGAACTGCACAGCGGCCATGATTTCGAGAATTTCGATTCGGACGCGAGGGTCGTGAGGGGGAGTGCGACGGACACGAACCAACGTCGCCAGAGCATCCTCCTCTCGGTCTGTCCCACACAAGTTTAGAACCAGAAGTACAAGGTAATCTGGTTATGAGTAAAGTAGTTAGATGTGGTTGTTAGAACATACCTTTCATTAGTAGCCAGCGCGGTGTGTATGGCAAATAAAACGTCCCTGCGGCCAGGACAAGGGATGGGACGCACTGCAGAGCAAGCGGCAGCCGCCATGCTGCGGGAGATTGCGTGTCACCTGTGCCACCGATATGTTGCGTTCCATAATCCAGCCAGAAGGCGACCATGATTCCCACTGTGATTCCGAGTTGCTGGAGCGCCACGAGACTCCCACGAAGGTTTGGGGGCGCCAATTCGCTTAGGTAAAGGGGGACCACCATTGACAGTTGACCAATGGATATGCCAGCGATGAAGCGACCTATAAATATCATGGGGACGTTTATAGATGCAGCTTGGATGGTCGAGCCAACTAGAAAGATGACATTCGCCAAGAGAATTGTCCAGCGCCGAGAGATCGCATCTGCAATGGGACCATTCATCAGCGCACCGACCATAGCTCCAAGAGTAAGCACAGAAACCATCCATCCTTGGAGTGTTGCGTTTTCAGCCAGAGTAGGAAACTGCTTGGCCTTCGCGGTTGGGTTAGGCTGACGTGTCATGACATGGATTCGATTGACATACGAAGTTGTTCATCACTAACACGCCACTAATAACACCCTGATCGTATCTATAGAGATGTTAAGTTTAGTCGTGTCGCATAAAGAGACTACTCTGCTCACCCAAACAACACCCCGCCGATACTAGCAAAACAAGCGAGGAAGAATATGTAGGGCTGCTTCAGAAGCCCTTTGTATCCTAGGATATACGGTCACTATTCCGCACATTGTTATTGTATACATCTTCGGCCTACCTGCGTCGCCATACGAAACCTCTAATGCCATGATTTCTCCCAAGATTGGAAACTTGGTGGCTGATGTATGTGTGTTTTTCATGAAGTATGAGGATACGTCAAGACATGAAGTGTGTGTGAAGCTGGCAAGTATTTGCAAATGTGTAGCACAGATAATTAGAGGCTGAGAAGAGTTTCAAGGCAATAGGCGACCATTGAGGTTTTCATTTCTTCAATCACGCCGCAACAAATACTAGTGTTCTTTCCAGAATCAATCTTGACTGAGGAAACTGGGAGAGTGGAGGCGGCACATTGCCCGCACAACAGATTTAAGTATCGGAACACAGTCGTCCGAGAAGATGGGGAGTTGACGATGTTCCGGGCACCAGAGTTCATCCCATGATCTTCTGGGTCTGTCCACTCCGATCCGATACATGATACACCCATAATATCTTATAACTTTCTTCCATAACAATATTCTTGCTCCCGGCAAGCACGTAGATAAATGGCTAAATATGTGTAATGTGACTTGATCTACCAACTGTTAACTATTTATAACGGGTAGGGACCAGTCATTCCACAATACAGCTTGACAGCGCAAATGTGTTTCTTGGCAAGATCTTGGTTGAGACGCAGGAAAGCTTGTTGATCCTCCCAGTAAGGTACAACCGAATAGCCTACGATATAACTAGATAAGCCAACCCTATTCCAAATGTTTAGATAACCAACTGGCCCTTGTAATGCTCTTGATTAAACACTCTGAAAAAGTCCGGCATGGATGGCGTAAGACCTATCGTCGTCTAAGGAAGTGTCTAGCTTCGGCAAACATATTTTCATTTGCGGCGAACGCAGATCGTTTCTCATCGTGTATTGATTGCCAGGGAATGTGCAGTGCAGTGGAGAGAGCAAAACGCTAGTTCCTCTAGTGTAAGGCTGTGGAATGAGTAGGACTTAGGCATCCACGTATCAGTGAGAGAGACCCAGTTAGGGGACCCAGGTAGCTATTTTTCTCCAGTGTCAGCTTTGTCCATACCTTATTTCGCGTAGCTGTTTCGACTTGCTTTTTCCTAATTGGGTAAATGTGAATGGGGCGCAGCGCAAGGCTCGGCCCACTAAGCTTCGAATGACTGCGCCATAAGCTGCATCTAGCGCTGCTAGATGATAGGCCAATGATACGACGACGTCATGCGGGCTTTCCGATCAACCCTGCTGTTGGCTTAGGACCTTGGGCTCTCGTGGGAAAAAGGTGCAATCATAAAAAGATATCTCAGCCCCAAGGACACAATATAAGTACGGACGACTCTGGCCGTAAACCCCATATTCTTCAGATCAAATATCGTCAACATTCTATCTATCCACAAACCATATCTTTCTGACCCAACCCTTCTCACACTCTTCACACAAGCCACTTCTTTCAAAATGAATTACGACAAGCAGTATTCGTACCAAAACAACCACCAGTCCTACCAAAACAATACCTACCAACCTCACCAAAACAACACTTATCAACCTTACCAAAGCAACACCTACCAGCCTTACCAGAACAACACCTATCAACCCCCGGCGTATCATCCTGGCAACAATGTGGAGTTGCCCATGTATGAAACGCCAACATTCAACGACTCGACAAGGAACTCCAAAGCGCTAGTTGGGGCAACATCGAGGTTCCCCCCCACATTTAACTGCTACGGACAGTGGAAGTGGAAGCAAACCTACCACCTCGGTCCTTCGTCGGAGGAGAAACAGTTTACCATCACTTTCGATTCGAAGCTCTTTACTAGGAAGCAATCACTCTTTCTCCACCATGGCGATAGTGACAAGGCACCAATCATAGCTACGGCGAGCCGGAGCGGATCCGGATGGGTCGATCGTGCCACGGTAACACTCCACGGGCAGCGCGGAAACGATCAAGACGTCGAGTTCACAAGGCCAGAGGGAGCTGGCTTCCGACAGAGTGAAGTCCGCGCATTCCACTGCAGAGTCAACAAGGACTACGTGGAGGAGTTCCAGTGGAGGACTTCGCACGGAAATGAAATCAAGGAACTTGCCGGTCACTCATCGGGATGGAAGTTGGTGCGCATGTCGAGGCCATCCCCTGTTGGCGGACGTTCGAAGAACCCGGAAATGGGATTTTCCAGCGATGGACAGGAGGTCGTGGCAGTTGTGGCCCACAACATGTCATGGAGCATGACCAAGGGATACAAGTTTGCATTCATGGGAAGTGGCCTGACAGGAACTCTCGGGGAGGACTTTGAGACGCTGGCTGCCATTACCGGATTCTGGCTATGGTGGCAACAGGTCACCAAGACCGGCACCACTTCCAGCACAGTGGCTGCGGTCTCTGCATAAGTTTGAGTCAGTGTGGCGGGTTTGTGTTCATATGAATTTCGGGAATGCTGTATTAGACGGGACGAGCTGGTAAACAGCAAGGAGCGAGGCGTCTATTCTTTCCTTCTTTACTTTTTGTTCTACTTAGGCGAATGATATCCTGTCACATCTTAAAGAAAAAGAACCATATACTAGCTATTGCCAACAGTGTATGAATTTGTGGATGCTATTGAGTATTTGACATGAATACAGAGAGGTGTCTATGGTACATGTCTGTTTTTGGTCTCTCTTTTCTTCATCGTTGCAGAAATGTTGCTTAAATTGCAAGGTGTATACACAGTGTTGCGTCTTAATTCATGTTGAACACCACGAAAGCTTGTGATGATCAAAACGCACATCCCCAATAATCCTTCTCGTCCATCCACGATCAGAACATTGCCAAAGGGTTAGTTGCATTGGCAGGTCGGTCTTGAATGACATCCCAGTGTTCCATGATACAAGATCCTTCGAAGCGGAAGACGTCTACAATGGCAGTAGGCTGAGGAGCTCCGAGAGTGTCAAGGCGGTAATGGATATATCCGATATTGTTGTCGAAGCTGTTATGGATGATGGTCATGTTAACTCCATCTGGTGTGACAAGGGTTGCGAGGAAATCGACGGAGCTTTGCCGGCCAGATAAAACGCGAGGATTATGTTGAATATAATCTTCGGTCATGTGGTTGAGTAAGGCCTTTGTGGTGTTCTTCTCCACATAGAAATCCTTCACAAAGTCGTTGAAGATCGCGCGCTGCTCGGATGAACTGACGGAGCGCGGCGGACAGTTAGGACGTTCTGTAGCCGCATGGTGGTAGTTGTTGAAGCTAGCTGCGCTGGCTACACCACTAAAACAGAGAGGAATGAACAGAGAAGCTCGCATTTTGTTGAGTTTAGGGGCTGTTGAATCCAAATAGGGGTTAGAAAATGTTGTAAGTTCAGTTTATGCCAGTTTTCTCTTTATGGCTCAGTGTTGTGAAACAATCTGATGTGCTGTTGGGATCATTGGGTCTTATAGTTCAAGAGAGTGCTTAAGTCTGTTGCGACATATCACGCTGGGTTGACCTGTTCACCTGGTTAAGGAATTGCCGCGCGCTTGGGAGTCATTGAAGCAACACTCAAATCTAATCCAGCCCCACATTCTGGAATTTTGTAATCGGATTTGAGGAACTAACCGTCCCAAAGCGATACCATATTTCTAATCTACTTAATGAGTTTGTGGCAGGGGCTTAGTGTGGGCGAGAACCGGCACAGAACGCTCAGAATGGGAAAAGTGGTGTTGTTGGTTGGAAGAACTAACTAACTGGCTAGAGGGCTGTGGAGGCTGGCTAAGACCAGTGGTGGCGGCCGTCAGCCCACGTGACGGGCCGGCGAGGCCTGCCACCCACACCCCCTCTCAGACTCCTCAGCGAAAAAGAATAATAGGAAAATACAGGAAAAGTCCTAATTCCTCCAAATCCGAGGAGTTCTCAACTATTAGAAAACTCGGTTAATTACTAGTTAGACCTAGCTAATAGGAGGCTGTAAAATCCTCTGAATCCCGAAGTCTTAATATTAATAGTCTTATAGTTTCTAAACCCCCTTCTTAATCTAATCCTTCTGCTAACGTACGTGATAAGCGAGTGAGACAGACAAGCGAGTGAGACAGTAAACCAGACCTTCGCGACAATAATATCGAAATCTATAACAAGAAATCTTAGATTGATTAATACTACTCGGATTCCTGTTCTTCGGATGTTTCCTCAATAAATTGACATGTTCTCGCGTTGTGGCCTGTATTCCCGCATACGCCACACCGACGATGAGTCGTCTCAGACCTCACTTTGCGACCACTACTCCGTCGCGTTTCCTCTTGTAGTTGCGTGTCTGCCTCTCTTTGCGACTGTATATCCTCTCCAGTAGATATAGTAAGACTTCCTCCTTTCTGTAGACGTGTTTTCTTAGCCCTTCGACGCCGACTTAATATTGCATTCTCCTCTCGAAGGATTTGAACCTCTGACTCTAGTAATGCTACCCGATGCCCTAGTCCTTCTGTCCCTCTGGCTAGCTTACTCACAGCACTATAAATTGATGCTGGAGAGCTGCTTCGGTGGCGTGAGATTCGACTCTTAATAAAAGTAGACTGTGATCTTGCTTCGCTTGGGTTGCTCGGCGTCCTAGAGATCCAAGGGTCTGGTGTCTGAGGGACCCCCTCCTCAGGCGTTGGCGTTCGGAACTTTACATCCAGCTTTGAGAGAACACTTTCTGCATTCAAAGGGACAAGTCCAGCTCCTCGGAAACCTCCCTGGATATTTTTCCTCGTAAAAGACTGCTTAAAAGCTTCGTGAAATGCTGCAAAGAAATCTTCCTTCGAGATATGGGTTGTGCCTCGCCGCATCTTATTCTCAATTTGCCGACCGTAGGCATTCTTTAACGGCTGAAAACAACCAACATCTAAGGGTTGAAGTAGATGAGACGAGTGAGCCGGCATGCACAGTGTAATAATGTTGTTTTCTTGACAAAAGAGCTCGAAGGCTGCGGAGTGGTGACTTTCATGACCATCAACAACGAGGAGGCGATATTTCCCAGACGTACGTGGTTTTGTATAAATGTCGAAGTGTCTGATCCAGTCAATACCTCTCTCGTTTGTTGTCTATCCATTTTCAGACGTTGCAATAGCCCAATCGCCCGGAAGAGAGGTTTCTGTATACCAGCTTGAGAGGTGATACTGGCCTGCAACGATGATGTATGGCGGGATGCTCTCCCCTTGGGAATTAATAGCCTGGATAACTGTAACCCATTCCCTATTGCCAGGCTGTGTCATCTTCGTATTTGAACGCCTTTCAGCACTTGTAACAACCATTCCAGAAGTAATAATGTTACGACCCGTTAGATACACCTAACAGGACCCACTCGGTTGGGCGGTTATGACAGGACTTTGTATGCAGGGCCACGGGAACAAAAGGTAACCTCTCGGAACGGAAGAACTATAGAACGGAACAAGTCACGTGATGAATCATTCTAGGTCAGAATGATCCAAGAAGAGTTGGGGGCCAACGGATCATGTTCGATCAATATGATCTCCAACGACTACAGACAATACGTGTAGATAGACTCCTATATAGACCAGGACTTGAGTACCTGCTCAAGCCCTCTAGATAGTTCTTTAGCAATCAACTTGTGATTCATCCTCGAATGACTTTCAGCTTACCTCTCAGTATTGTGAATACTAAGAACCTCGTTACTATAGTGTAAGACTGATCACCTTACCCTAACCCTACGATCTACCAGAACGACCCCTACGAACCAGTGTTAGTCTCTTACTGCACCTTCTGTTAGCAGAACCCTACTGTCAGATAGCTGGCCGTAACACTTTGATTGCTCCTGTTCAGTAAGTTGCCCTTTGAGACTAACGAACAGTATAAGACAAGATGTCTTCGCACGGAACTACCGAAAACCCTACTCCTGGAACCTCGTCCACGTCCGAGAGACGTATTCCCCAGAATCTGGCCCAAGAGATTCAAGACCAGGAAATGAAGGAGGAATCCGATAGCGATGACGACAATGAAGAACTTAAGCGGCAACTTGAGCGGAACAACAACGAGCTCAGGGAAATGAAAAACCTGTTCAACCAGAACGTCAAAGCCCTCAAGGAGCTACAGGAACAAGCCCGCCGCACCAAAGAACTAGAGAAGGAAGTCACAACACTTCGAGCTGCCGCGAACGTCATATCAGCTCCTGTCGAAGGAAGAGAACGCCTTAAGCTCAACACCCCTACCACCTTCGACGGAACCCCTGGACAGCTCAAAGGATACTTGGTACAGATACGGACCTACCAAGCCTTCCACATCAACACGTTCCAGAACGATACCGAACGTGTCGTCCACGCCGCCACCTTCTTGAGAGGGAAGGCCCTCGCTTGGTTCGAACCCCTCCAACAAGAATGGCTGGACACCCCTATCGAGAGATACAGTCAAGAAGTGAAGGACATCTTTTTCAGCTTCAGTGGATATGTTAAAGCCCTTCAATCTCTCTTCTTAGACCCCGATGAGAAAAGACAAGCAGAAAGAGAACTGGCGAGCCTACGACAAAACAAATCAGCTACAATGTACGCCGCAGAATTTCGACGACTCGCAGCCAGACTCGACATGACCGACGAAAGCAAAGTCTTCGCTTTCTACCAGGGTCTCAAGGACGACGTCAAGGACGAAATGGCCAAAGTGGACACGCTACCTAGCTTCCTTGATTATGTCGAATACGCTATTAAGATTGACAACCGACTGTTTGAACGACGCAAGGAAAAAGGAGAAAAACGTCAAACAGCCAACTCAGGAAAGAAATACCAATAGCAACCCCAACACAAGTTCAACAAAAACCAGAACAACAGGAACAACAATCAGCAGAGCACCGCACATGGACAACACAGCGGACCCATGGACCTGAGCGTCGCGCAAAAAGACAAACCCAGACGCAGAGAATTCAAATGCTACAACTGCGACAAGCCAGGATACATGGCCAGACACTGCACACAGCCTAAGAAACTTACGGCAACCCCTAAGCAAGCCAACGCTGCAACCAAAATCCCTAGCCACGAAGAAAAGGGATAGACAGCCTGCTATGACAATGATTGCACTACGCACAGGCATGCAAAAGAGAATAGTAGATAGTACCCTCAAAACCCAGCAGGACGATCGGGATACGACACCAACAACATACCCAAGGCCATTGCTGTGATAGACCGATACACCGGTGGACCGGATTACACTAAGCAGCGACAAGAGCTACTCGACGACTGGGAACAAGCGAAGAAGGCCGCGGAACTCAACAACGCCTTCCAAGATGGTAGCATTGTGTACCAACCGGGACTCTTATGGGACATCCCACGCCTCGCCAACTATCGACAGACGAATGAAGTAAACACCCCGGAAAGTTTCTCAGAAGAAGAAGCCAGGAAACTCGAAGAAGAAAACGAGACAGCCATCAAACGGATACAAGACGCCATCAACTACACGATGCAAATTCGAAACAACAGCGAAGTTGGAGACACCCTCCAACACATGCGGAAAACCCGAGACCGCCGCATCGCACTACGCGGAAACACCCGAGGACAGTATCAACTCAAGTACAAAGCAACCCAATTTGTCTACCGACCCCAAAACGATGGAAAGACGGAACGAACCCTCGCGGTAGCCAGCAAATACGCCCGCAAAGCCACCGAGCAATTGGATGAAATGCTGAGACAACAACAATTCAGGGACGCCAGCACCCAGACCCGAGTATACCAAGCAAAGGACAACCTAAGCCAACGATGGAGCTCACCATATACCACGGTAGCCAGCGACTCGACCTTTGAATTGCTACAAAGAACCCGCGCTACTCCTCAACCCATCTCGGAATAGGCTGAAGACGTCGTAGACGGACCACCCTCGGCGGAAGTACGTCCACAAGGAACGTCGATAGACGATACCGACCCGGAAGACGCAGAAGAAGAACACCATCTCGACAGAATGGAAAAAATTAAGGAAGTACTAGAATACAAATACATCGACCCCCAAGACGACTGCCAACAGATCGCCTTCCATGCAGAAGAATATCATAACAAAATCCCTACAACAATCACACAAACCCGGGATGAAGAAATATTCTTGGAAGACGATCCCAGGATTACGACACAGCACAGAGAACACAAGGAGATAGCATGGATCTACTACATCTTCGATCACTGCGCCTACCATCTCTCAAAGAAAGCAGAAAACGAACTATACCCCAAAAGAAAAGAAGAACTGCGAATCCGCAGAGCCCATGAGGAACAAGAACTCTCATATTGGGAAGTACGGGGAGAACCCGGAGAATGGAAAACCAACAACGATGGAATAGCATTCCTACGACCCAGCATCGAATACCCTCAGAAGTGTGTGAACCACTTCACGGGAGTCTGGTGGAATTGCAGGGAAGACCTATGCAAACTCCACTACATTCCAAAAAGCGAAAGTTGGAGATTCCGACAACAAGAACTAGACAAGCAAGGACAGGACGGCGAGACGCCCAGCCCACCTCGTCTAGGAATCAGAGAAAGTAACCTCGGCAGAGACCGAAAGAAGGGCGAGAAGGCCCTCTACTCAAAAAACTAGGAGAGCCGCCTTGTCCGGGACACATGGCGAGCTCCCCCAGCAAGTCCCTATATGCTACATTCGACGACGACGCACAAATGAAGATCACAGTAAACCTGGGCGGATACACCACACAGGTCCTGATAGACTCAGGAGCCTAAGGAAACTTTATCGCACCCCGAATAGTGCAACAGCGAGAAATACCATGGAATCAGAAGCAAAACCCTTACCGACTAAGGAATGTAGAAGGGAAAGAAGTCGAGTATGGCGGAGGCAGCATTGATCAGGAGACAGCGCAACTCCCTTTGCTCTACTATGGCCATCAGGAGCTTATCAGCCTCGACATCACGGAGATAGGAAACCACGACGTTATCCTTGGAATTCCATGGCTACGAAGACATAACCCACAAATCGATTGGGTTACCAGCCGAATGAAATTCAATCCAGCCTCTGAGAAGCACTCGACGAAGGCCTCACGCGGATTACTAGCAGCAACCAGAGCGAGACCACGCCTGATGCTAAGGATAAAAGACATTGGCACTAGGACGCTAGCAGCCACGACGATTGACAAAGTCACGGAAGATCCAATGTCAAAGATACCTGTTGAATACAGGGTCTACAGCAAACTCTTTGCACCAGAACTCGAGACCGGATTACCGGAACACAGCAAGTGGGATCACAAGATCGAAATTAAGGAAGGACACGAACCCACCTTTAACAAAATATACCCACTCAACCAAGAAGAAATGAAAGCCTTAGACGAATGGCTTGACGAAAATCTTGCGAAAGGATTCATCAGACCTTCGAAATCACCCGCAGGATACCCCGTACTATTCGTACCAAAGAAGAACGGGAAGAAAAGACTTTGTGTCGATTATCGACGACTCAACGATATTACGATCAAAGACTGTTACCTACTGCCCCTCATATCGGAACTAAGAGACCTACTCTACGAGGCCCAATGGTTCACAGCCTTGGACCTTAAAGGAGCCTATAACCTTATCCGAATTGCAGAAGGAGATGAGTAGAAAACAGCCTTCCGAACGAGAAGAGGATAGTTTGAAACGTTAGTCATGCCATTTGGACTCACCAACGCACCGGCTACATTCCAAACTATGATCAACCAAGTACTACGGGAATATCTGGACAAGTCTGTTGTTGTGTACCTCGACGACATCCTTATATTCTCCAAAACGTTGGAAGAACACAAGAAGCATGTCCACGAGATTCTCAAAGCACTCGAACAAGCGAAGCTACTTGTGGAACCAGAGAAGAGTCTGTTTCACAAACAGGAAGTAGAATTTTTAGGGTTTACAATCACGCCAGGCGTAATCAAGATGTCCCCTAACAAAATCAAGGCTGTGCAAGAATGGCCTACACCAGAAAACCCGAAGGACATACTATCCTTCTTAGGATTTGTCAACTTCTACCGAAAATTCCTCAAAGACTACTCCAAAACGATATTGCCTCTTACCGAACTCACTAAGAAAAATGCACCTTGGGAATGGACAGACAAACAACAGAAAGCGTTCCAAGAAGTCAAGGACAAGGTCACATCGGAACCCGTCATCCAGATTCCGAACCCTGAGAAGCCCTTCGAGCTCGAAACGGATGCTTCGAACGAAGCTGAAGGAGCGCAGCTAGGCCAAAGGGACGAGAACGGAGTCCTACACCCCTGTAGATTCTTTTCAAGGAAGTTCCAAGGACCTGAACTGAATTACCAGATCCATGATAAGGAACTTATGGCAATTATCGACGCATTCAAAGAATGGAGACCCCAACTATCAGGAACAAAGTACGAAGTAAAAGTATACACGGATCACAAGAATCTAGCACACTTCACCACTTCGAAAGAACTCAACAAACGACAAATCAGATGGTCAGAATTCCTTTCAGAATTCAACTTTCGAATCATCTACAGGAAAGGATCGGAAAACGGCAGAGCAGACGCCCTTAGCCGAAGACCTGATTACAAGGACGAAGTCCCAGAAGAGACGCAAGTGATTCTTAAAAACGAAAACGGCGACCTCGTGCCCGCTGCAAAGCTCTTAATGATTGGCGAACGTGTCAAGACCAGCACGACTGGAAGGATGACACACGACCAAATCAGGGAAATACACAGCGCGCCTGCTCACGGTCACCAAGGAGTCACAAAGACCTGGAAACGAATCAGGCAACATCACGACAAGCGAGTCACACGGAAAGACGTCGCTGACGCAATCAAGGATTGCGAAGTCTGCGCAAAAATATACTAGTGGTTGTAGATAGATTCACGAAGTACGCGTATTTCATACCATACTTGGAATCAAGCACGGCAGAAGACTTAGCATACACCTTTCTCAGGATCATTGTCAGCCAACACGGCCTGCCCCAGGAAATAGTGTCAGACAGAGGATCAGTCTTTACGTCCAAGTTTTGGAGATCCCTGATCTCGCAGCTCGGAGCAAAGCACAGCCTCAGCACTGCCTTCCACCCGCAGTCCGACGGACAAACGGAAAGAATCAACCAGATCCTAGAAACGTACCTAAGGAGTTATGTGAACTACGACCAGGACAACTGGGTCAAGTTGTTACCAACCGCACAGTTCGCATACAACAGTTCAATAGGAGAAAGCACGCGAGAATCACCTTTCTTCCTCAACTATGGATTCAACCCTACCGCTTATAGAGAACCCCGAACCGGCTCTGCCGCGATAAAAGCAGTAGCAGACATCAAGAAACTTAAGGAAATCCAACAAAAACTACCCCAAGAACTCGAATTCGTATGGCAAAGAATGAAGAAACACGCCGACCGACATAGGGTGAGAGGCCCACCACTAAAAGAGGGAGGTAGCGCCTACCTCATACGGCGAAACATCAAAACGAAACGACCTAGCGACAAACTCGACTTTAAAAAACTAGGACCTTTCGAAATCACGAAGAAAATTTCCGAAGTCAACTACGAGTTGAAACTACCGGAAACAATAAAATGTCACCCAGTCTTTCACGTCTCATTATTAGAACCAGCACCGGACGGTACACACACCGAAGACTGCATCATTGTGGAAACAGATGACACCGAATACGAAGTAGAACGCATTCTAGACCACCGGAGGAATAACGAAACAACAGAATACTTCATTAAGTGGAAAAACTATAGACACGAAGACGATTCGTGGGAACCAGCTAAGAACCTGGAACACGCTCAGGAAGAACTCCAACAATACTAGCACCAGAGGACGTCTCTGGACCCCAGTCGTCCAAACCGACGCCAGACCAATCCACGACGCCAATAGCACCCAGGGAATGAAGTGCACCCACAGTTTCCGAGCTAGCACTCTGCAAACCAAGAACCTCGGAACGATACTCATTCTCAACCTCCTCCACACGCCGCAAACCAGATTGAATGAGATCAGTCGCCTCACGATTGATGTCCTTGCGACGCCTTCGTAAACGACGAATCTTCGCCATAAGAGCTAACTGCTCTTCTTCAGCTTTCTCAAGCTCATCATCAATTTTTATTTTCTGTTGCCGAACCCGAATGAGGGAAGCCGCGGAAGGACCGTGAATGTCGCAAGAATGCTTATCGGCAACGCAACGCGAACAACGAGAAGAATTAACTTCGGAAACGACGCAGTCGACACCGGCAGCCGCGCAACCGGAACAAGGGACAGGCATGATGAACCCGAACAAATCGACAAGCTGGCTAAGTTCCTTATAAGCCACAGGGTTCTTTGATTTGGATTTTTGAACGCGACCTGACATGATGTCAGCATCATGAATAAACAAGGAAGCACGATTGACGACTCCCCAACCTGGGAAGCCACGACCTACTTATGTTGGCCTTGAGGACAAGACCATCGAGGGGAGACCTGATGTTACGACCCGTTAGATACACCTAACAGGACCCACTCGGTTGGGCGGTTATGACAGGACTTTGTATGCAGGGCCACGGGAACAAAAGGTAACCTCTCGGAACGGAAGAACTATAGAACGGAACAAGTCACGTAATGAATCATTCTAGGTCAGAATGATCCAAGAAAAACATCAACAACAGCGAGAACGAAATTTTTGAAAACAGCATCAAATTGATCAAACCACGCCCGCTCGCGCTCTCAGAGGTCACTTTGGGCATAATGTCATCCTCGGCATTGATTCTGCTCCCAAAGAGCCTGCTCGTGGCCGCGGGCGGGCTCTGACCACGAAAAATTCGAGAGCAAGCCACAAAGTATGACACGTCAATAGACAACACCATCGACACCACCGCGGTTGAGTCACGGGCTATCACGTGAGCACAACGACCAAGCCCAAACAAACATCAACACCACAGCCACCGATAGGTTATGGGTCGCCTATCACCCCCGACAAAGTTTGCAACGTCCCGCGACAACAACGACGACAAGCCCGACAGAACGGTATCACCTCCTGCATAGAGAAAGCACCAGACACCAGGCATGCTACGATCGATGCCACAAAATACTATAGTTTGCAGACAGATTGGTCCCCTGTCGCCCCCTCCGCGAAGAAGGATTGTCGCCCCTTCAACGTATGACAATGTCTGCGGAATCTGTGTACGAGCTCTCATACTTAGTAATCGGACGAATCGAAGCGGTTGGAGCATTGTGTTTTGCGGATTGAGTCCGACTCCAGGCGGTGGATGGAGGTGGTGGTCGAAAGATGGAAACATAGAGCCACATAGGAACCCAGCATGAGGCAACAAAAAGATTTACAGATTCAACTGAGATATAGCACATGCGAGTCTGAGAGGATGCGGACAAGATAAAGAGACGAAGCTGAGGGCTGGGGGGAGACTATAGGTATACAGAACCAGACATGGTGCCTAGCACCAACAGAACCGAAGTAGGAGGACGCGAAAGAAGGATTCTAGAAGGCAACACCAAGCGAGAGAGCAGGCAGGAGGACAACAATCTTCAACAGAGGGCATAAACACACAAGAATAGATAGCATAGTGGGAGCTTGGGGACAGCTGGTCCTGATCCAACAACAGGGCGAAGTGGGGCGTCGCGGTTTATCGTCGATGCTTCGGCTGTCTGCCAAACCCCGCTTTCCGGGCATAGCTGCTAGCATAAGAGCGGCTTCATAACCGTGTAGGAATCAATCAATCAATCAATCAATCAGAATGATCCAAGAAGAGTTGGGGGCCAACGGATCATGTTCGATCAATATGATCTCCAACGACTACAGACAATACGTGTAGATAGACTCCTATATAGACCAGGACTTGAGTACCTGCTCAAGCCCTCTAGATAGTTCTTCAGCAATCAACTTGTAATTCATCCTCGAATGACTTTCAGCTTACCTCTCAGTATTGTGAATACTAAGAACCTCGTTACTATAGTGTAAGACTGATCACCTTACCCTAACCCTACGATCTACCAGAACGACCCCTACGAACCAGTGTTAGTCTCTTACTGCACCTTCTGTTAGCAGAACCCTACTGTCAGATAGCTGGCCGTAACAAATAACGCCCATCATAAAGCCGGTCTCATCAAAGTTGTAGATATCAGCATCAGCAATACCATACTTCGCAATTGTATTCTTCACAAGCGAAAACCAGCCACGAATCACCTCTGGATCTTCGCATTGAGCTCTCTTATAGTCATACTTGCGAAAGAAACGCGTCCTAAGCTGTGGTTGTCGCTTGACGAAATTAGAAGCCCAGCGCTTCCCAACTGGAGGCGCGTCGCGCTCTGCGAGAAGTCGATTGGCCATTTCTTCCACACCACTCAGCCGGGGAGGAAATGATCGCGCATCTAGGTCGAGAATATACTCAACTATTGTCTTCTCTTCTAAATCTGATAAATTCCGTGAATTAGGCATGCTGTCGCGTCGTGAGACTATTCCCTTTAGTCGCCGGCTTAATGTTGCGTGACTGACTGTATAGAGTGCTGTTACGGCCAGCTAACTGACAGTGGGTTTGTGTTAACAGTAAGCCAGGGATTGAGAGTAGTAACAGTCGTTCCGTGGTCCTGGTCGAATAGATCGTAGATCTTCAAAGGTCTTGGTGATCAGTCAAGGCCTCAACAAGAGTCGTAGAGTAGTCGTCACTTAGGTATAGCTGAAAGTACCGGTTAGGGTAATCACAAAGTTGATTGCTGAAGAGCTATGGAAGTCTGTCCTCGAGCCCGGCTCGAGTCCATCCTATATACAAGTCCTGAACGGTCCTCCTTATCTTGGCTATGTTGGATATTTGACATATCCAACATATCCGGGGATCGGTTGGATATTTGACATATCCAACATATCCGGGGATCGGTTGGATATTTGACATATCCAACATATCCGGGGATCGGTTGGATATCTGACATATCCAACATATCCAGCCCGGGTTGTCCTTACCCCGCGTTATCCCCGAGGCCACGTGACTTGTCCATAGTTCTTCCGTTCCGAGGATCCCTGGTTACACCTGTCCGGCTGGGTTACATATGCCCTGCGTTAGCCGCCGGGATCCAGGCGGGGTCGTGTTGGCGACCATGTCCAACGGGTCGTAACATCAGGTCTCCTCTCCAAGGGTCTTGTCCTCAAGACCAGCTTAAGTAGGTCGTCTGCCCTCAGGTGGGAGGGCGCCCAACTTGCTTCCTTTAATGATGCTCACATCATGTCAGGTCGCGTCAAAAAACGAAAGGTCGTTCGATCGTTCGATTCTCGTGCGGAAAAGACAAAGCAGCGCGATTCCCTCTTGAGTCTTATCTTGGGCAATCGTACCGTCATGCCTGTTTGTTCCTCCTGTGAGGTAAAGGGTTTTTCGTCGTGCGAAGCTTCTCTTTCTGATTCCTCTCGATGCGCCGAATGCGTTCGTGGCGGCAAGTCTTACTGCGACCTTCAGGGTCTCAGTGCCCAGCAACTTCGTCGGATTGGTGATCAGCATCAGAAGCTTGAGGATGCTTTGGAGAAGGCAGAAGAGGAGCGTCGTGCTCTGGACGCCAAAGTAGAGCGTCTTCGAAAGCAGAAAAAGATGTGGTTTGAAAAGATGATGCGCGCGGTGCGCCGTGGTATCGACAGTGTGGAGGAGTTAGAGCGTGTTGAGAGAGAGGAGGCAGAGGCAGAGCAGCGTCGGGTAGAACCGGTTCGTCCTTCGGCTGATTCGCCTCGTCTGCCGGTGGAGTTCACAGCGGATTGGGATACCCTGTACCCGGATGTCGCTTTGTCGCCATCCTTGTTGGCTGAGTTTGGTTTGTTGGATTCAGGGTCGGTTGTTGAGAGGCGGAGTACTCCTGAAGCGTCTCCTGGGGGTGTTGGAGGCCCTTAGTGGGTTCCTTTAGGTGGCTCTGGGGTTCCTAAACGAATGAGAGGGTGTTTATCCCGTGGCTTGTTTGATCGTGGTGGACGGATGATGGGTTGTGGTTGTCGTAGTCGAAATTGATTTTTTGGCGTTTGTTTCTCGATTCGTACTGGTGCTTGTCTTTGTTGTTCTTGTTCTTGCTGTCTCTAGTAACGTCCGAGTTCTTCCTGTGCGTTTTCGAGGCTCTGAGGTGGTTCCCATGTGTTGTCTTCGTGTCCGTATCCTTTCCACTTGACAAGGTAGCGGATACTTTTTTGTTCTTCGATGTGATCGATTATCCGTTCGACTTCGTATTCTTGTTCGGGATCTACTTCGATATAGTCCGTAGTGTACGATCCCTTTGGTGCTGATTCGAGAAGTGAAATGTGAAAGACTGGATGACACTTCATGCTGTCGGGTAGTGCGAGTTTAAAGTTGACGTTGGATACCTTCTTCGTAATTTCAAAGGGTCTAAGTTTCTTGAAGTCCAACTTATCGCTTGGTCGTTTTGTTTTGATGTTGCGGCGGAGAAGGTATACACTATCCCCCTCCTTTAGAGTTGGTCCCTCAACTCTTGATTTGTTGGCGTATTTGCGCATGCGTTCGCGCATAAATTCGAGGTCTCTGGGGAGTTCCTGCTGGATCTCCTTAAGTCTGTTGATGTCTGCCACAGCTTTCAGAGCTGCTGGGCCTTGTCGAGGTTGTCCGTAGGCTGTTGGGTTGAATCCATAGTTCAGATAGAATGGTGATTCTTTTGTACTTTCTCCTACTGCGCTGTTGTAGGCGAACTGGGCCATAGGTAGCAGTTGAACCCAGTTGTCTTGCTGATAGTTGACGTAGCAGCGTAGGTAGGTTTCCATGATCTGATTGATTCGTTCTGTCTGGCCATCGGTTTGCGGATGGAAAGCGGTGGACATCTTGTGGTCAGATCCTAGCTGCGAGATCAGGGATCTCCAAAACTTGGAAGTGAACAGCTTGTCTCTGTCGGATACGATTTCCTTCGGCATTCCGTGTTGGCTTACGATCACCTGCAGAAACTTGTAGGCGAGGTCTTCTGCAGTGCTAGACTCCATGTACGGGATGAAGTACGAATACTTCGTGAGTCTGTCGACGATGACGAGGACACTGTCGTAGTAGACGTTGGTCATTGGTTCTCGGGACTTAGGTAGTTTGGTGACGAAGTCTAGCGAGATAGATTCCCATGCGGTTTGCGGTACTGGGAGTGGCTGTATCTTTCCATAAGGCTGATGTCGGCTGGGTTTGCTTTTCGCACAAACCTCACAGTCCTTAATCGCTAAAGATACTTCTTGTCGTGTAGCCGTTTTGTCGTAGTGTTGGCGGATGCGTTTCCATGTCTTAGTTACGCCTTGGTGACCGTGTGCGGGTGCGGAGTGTATCTCCCTAATGGCTTCAGGAGACATCCTTCCAGGCGTGCTGGTACTGTCTCTTCTGGCCATCATTAAGAGTCTGGCTGCTGGCACAAGGTCTCCGTTTTTGTCTGTTTTGAGGATAACTCGGGTTTCCTCAGGTACCTGGACCTCGTGGTCCGGTCGTCGGCTGAGGGCGTCGGCCCTGCCGTTCTCCTTGCCCTTCCGGTAGATGATTCTGAAATTGAATTCTGACAAGAATTCGGACCATCGAATTTGTCGTTTGTTGAGATCTTTCGATGTGGTGAAGTGTGCGAGGTTCTTGTGGTCGGTGTATACTTTGACCTCGTACTTGGTCCCTGAGAGTTGCGGTCTCCATTCTTTGAATGCCTCGATAATTGCCATAAGTTCCTTGTCGTGTATCTGGTAGTTGAGTTCTGGGCCGTGTAACTTGCGTGAGAAGAAGGCGCAAGGGTGTAGTCGTCCTTCGTCGTCTCGTTGGCCTAGTTGTCCTCCTATAGCGTAGTCTGAGGAGTCGGTCTCGACTTCGAATGGTTTCTCGGGGTTTGGTATAACAAGTATTGGTTCCGATGTGACTTGTCGTTTGATCTCGTTAAAAGCTTGGTCTTGTTCCTTTTCCCATTGCTATGGGATATCTTTCTTCGAAAGTCTCGTGAGGGGGTCGTTTTTGTCTGAGTATCCTTCTAGGAATCGTCGGTAATAGTTCACGTATCCGATGAAGGATTGCACATCCTTGACGTTTTGTGGTGTTGGCCAGTCTCGTACTGCTGCGACTTTGTCTTTAGACATCTTGAGGATTCCAGGGGCTATCGTAAAGCCTAGGAATTCGACTTCTTGGGTGTGGAATTTGCTTTTTTCTGGTTCTACTAGGAGTTTGGCGTCTTGTAGTTTCCGTAGCACTTGATGTACGTGCTTTTTGTGGTCTTCCAGAGTCTTGGAGAAGATTAGGATGTCGTCGAGATAAACTACGACGAACATATCGAGGTATTCTCGTAAGACGTGGTTGATCATCGTCTGGAATGTCGCGGGTGCGTTGGTAAGTCCGAAGGGCATCACAAGGTACTCGTAATGTCCTCGGCGTGTTCGAAACGCTGTCTTCCATTCTTCACCTGATTTCATCCGGATCAGGTTATAGGCTCCTTTTAGGTCGAGTGCTGTAAACCACTGGGCTCCGTGCAGTAGATCTCGTAATTCGGAGATGAGCGGTAGTGGGTAGCAGTTCTTGATCGTAATGTCGTTGAGTTTCCGGTAGTCGACGCAGAGTCGTAGTTTGCCGTTCTTTTTTGGTACGAACAGGATTGGGTATCCTGCTGGTGATGTGGAGGGTCTGATGTATCCCTTCTGTAGATTTTCTTCGAGGTAAGCGTCGAGTGCTTCCATTTCTTTCTGGTTGAGTCCGTAGATTGCTTCTAGCTTTGGCTCCTTCCCTTCCTTAAGGGGTATCTCGTGGTCGTAGTTGCTGTGTTCCGGGAGTCCGGTCTCGAGTTCTTCGGCGAATAGCTTCTGGTATTGCCGGTATTCTTCTGGGATAGACAGAAGTCGGTCTTCCTTGCCGATGTCTGTTGCTGATAACGTCCTGGCGTTTGCATCCTTGATCCGTAGGTATGCTAGAAATCTCTTCGCTTCAGGAGTCTTGAGAGGTTCGTTTGAGGCACCGTTCCGTGGTTGCTTCTCAGTGACTGAATCCTGGTCCCAATGGAGTTGGCCTGTTCTCCAATCTATCCGTGGGTTACTGTCGTATAACCATGGTCTTCCAAGGATGACATCGTACTTGTCTCCTATCTCCGTAATATCGAAGTTCAGTCGCTCATTCCGGCCATGGATCTGCAAAGGGAGTTGCGCTGTCTCCATAGCAATGCGTCCTCCGCCGTACTGGACTTGTTCTCCTTCAACGGTGCTGAGTTCGTAGCAGTCTTCGGCTGCTTTTCTTTTCCAGGTTATCTTTCTTTCATTCACCGTTCTTGGTGATATGAAGTTTCCTTGGGCTCCGCTGTCGATCATGGCGGTAGCTGTTCTTCCGTTGAGCTGTATTTGGACTTGTACATGCTCGTGTCGTTGTGTCGTGGGCGTCGTTGCGCTACATAGGGACCTTGTCTGGACTGCCTGTCGTTGTCCCTTGTCTTCGGTAGGCGAGTCTAGTTTTTTGACTGCTCGTCCGTTCCTTGTTCGTCGTTTTCTTGCTGTTTCTTCCATGCTTCGTCTTTCTTGATATAGTGGACTCGGCGCTGGTCTTGGTAGCAGTGATACCACTGTATTTCTTCGTCAGAGTCCTCTCCAGAGCTGGTGTCGTCGACTGAAGCGACTTCAAAGGCGACTTCCAGTTGGGCATGTTGACAGGCAACATCGCAAGGTGTTTCCGAGTCGTTGGGGGTGTTCTTGGTCGTTTCTGATTCGACCTGTTCTTCTAGTTCTTGGTTGATCTGGCGGATCCGTGCGGGATCTCCTTGTGCATGTTGTCGTCGTTCGATGTGTGCGTCCAGCGCACCGAGTTGTCGTTGCCACATAGGGTTTTGTGAGTCCTGTTGAATCCGCTACAGGTTGGCTTGTCGTCCTGCATAGAGGAGGTTCAGTCTTCGCTGATTGTCTTGTTCTAATTCCTCGTTGTCGTTCATACTGTCGAGCTGTTCGATTGTCTTGCGCTCGATTTTGCTGTTGCTTCTATATCCCACAGCGAGGGTCCGTTTAGGTGCGTTGGTGGTGTCGTAACCAGATCGTTCTTAAGGTTTCTAGGGGTACCATCCTGCGTGTTCCTTACTGCTAGAGTGGATATGGCAGTTGTCATCGAAGCAGGTGGTCCAGTTGAGTTGTTCATGAGGGATCGTCTTCGTGGCGATACTCGCTTGTCGTTTCTCTGGTACCGGTTGGAAGCGTTCCTTCTTGGGTGACCTGCATTCGTATGCTAGGTGTCCAATCTTCTGGCAGTTATAGCACTGTCTATCTTTCTTCTAACTATCGTTCTTTTTGTCGTTTCTCTGTGTAGCACTAAGGTCCATTGGTCTACTGTAGTGACTATAGGCAGTACTTTGTCGGGGGTTGTTCCAGTTGTTGCGGGGTCTATTGTCGTTTCGCTGGTTGTTGAACTGGTGCTGAGGCTGCCACTGGTACTTGCGTCCTGAGTTGGGGTTTTGTCGTTTTTCGCCTCTTTCCTTTCGTCGTTCGAAAAGCCGGTTGTCGATTTTGATGGCGAGTTCGGCGTACTGGAGAAAGTCGTCAGGTCGATCAATCTTGATGATCTCGTCCTTGACTTCGTCCTTTAGTCCTTGATAGAACATGAAGATCTTGGTTTCCTCGGTGAGGTCGAGTTGAACGCTGAGTTGTCGGAAATTAGCGGAGTAGTCTTTGGCGGACTTAGTCTGCTTAAGTTATGCTAGATCTCGTTCGGCTTGTCGCTTTTCGTCGGGGTCTTGGAAGAGTGACCTGAGCGCGTCCTCGAATCCTTTAAAATTGGCGTAGATGTCGCGGGTCTCGGTGGTGCACTCGTCGAGGGTCTCGCATTTGAGGTATTCTTCCTGGATTGGTTCAAACCACTTGAGGGCCTTTCCTCGGAGGTAGGTGGCTGCGTGTACTACTTTTTCGGTCTCGTTGGTGAAATCTCCGTGGTGAAAGTTCTGGTAGTTTTTGACCTGAATCAGGAATCCTTTGAGGGTCCCGGGGGTTCCGTCGTAGGTGACAGGCGTACTGAGCTTGAGCTTTTGTCGTCCTCCGTGGACGGGCGTGGTGACGATGTTGGCGGCGGCCCGGAGGGTGGTGATTTCCCCCTGGAGTTCCTGGATCTTCCGGAGGTTGGCGTCCCCCTTGATGTCTTCTTCCAGCTTCTTGTAGGCCTGTCCAGCGTGCTGGAGTTGCTCGTTGAGGTTTTCCATTGCTTGTCGGTTTTCGTTGACGATTTTCTGCATGTCTTTTGTCTCGGCTTCTTGTTTCTGGATTATGCGTCGGAGCTTATCGTAGCTTTCCTTGGTGAAAGAGCCATCTCCATCGGAGTCGTACTTGAGGTCCGGCATGTCGAAGTCCTCAGTGTTGGCGGGCTCCTGCGCGAGGCTCTGAGGCTGGTTGCGCGAAGAGGATGAGGATCCTGGAGTGGGTGATTTGGCAGAAGCGCGAGAAGACATCTTGTCTATACTGTTTAGTAGTTCTCAAAAGGTGACTTACTGAACAGGAGCAATCAAAGTGTTACGGCCAGCTAACTGACAGTGGGTTTGTGTTAACAGTAAGCCAGGGATTGAGAGTAGTAACAGTCGTTCCGTGGTCCTGGTCGAATAGATCGTAGATCTTCAAAGGTCTTGGTGATCAGTCAAGGCCTCAACAAGAGTCGTAGAGTAGTCGTCACTTAGGTATAGCTGAAAGTACCGGTTAGGGTAATCACAAAGTTGATTGCTGAAGAGCTATGGAAGTCTGTCCTCGAGCCCGGCTCGAGTCCATCCTATATACAAGTCCTGAACGGTCCTCCTTATCTTGGCTATGTTGGATATTTGACATATCCAACATATCCGGGGATCGGTTGGATATTTGACATATCCAACATATCCGGGGATCGGTTGGATATCTAACATATCCAACATATCCAGCCCGGGTTGTCCTTACCCCGCGTTATCCCCGAGGCCACGTGACTTGTCCATAGTTCTTCCGTTCCGAGGATCCCTGGTTACACCTGTCCGGCTGGGTTACATATGCCCTGCGTTAGCCGCCGGGATCCAGGCGGGGTCGTGTTGGCGACCATGTCCAACGGGTCGTAACATTGAGATTTGCAAAACCATCTAAACGACCGCTTTTGCAAATCTCAAATGGTCGGTCTTTTTCTTCCCTTCTAAGGAGGAATTGGGTTTTATCAAACTAAACTGAAACGGCTTTTATAAATCTCAATTGATTTCTACTTCTATTTCCTCTTATATAATAATAAAGAATGCCCCCCCTACCCTCAACGTTTGAGACTCTCATCACTACTACTAAGTAGTTCCCATTGACTCCTCGTCCTACGGATGCTTGCCTGTAATCTTCTTCCATTCGAACGAAGGCCAGTGGATCGGCCAGTACTAAGAGTAGTTACTTGGCTTCGTGTCTGCCGCTGGGAAGAGGTTGGCGCCTGGCTACTGGCTGTCTCTTGTGTAAGCCTTGCTAAGGTGGTCCTATTACGGCTTCCTGGTGGTCTGCCACGCCTGCGCCCTGCTGCTAATTGGCTAGGTTGTTGACTTTGTAGTTGGCTGTGTGATTGTCTAGCTAGCTGGTTGCTTGATTGGGTGCTATCCCTTAATGATAGGGATGATGGGACTGGCTGCATTGAGTTCTTAGGTCTGCCACGGAGGTTTCCTGCAATCTTCGGATCAAGGATCCGTCGATATGGATCCTGGGAAGAAGACTCCCGCAGCCGCCATCGTGGGTGAACCTCATCCTTCATAAACTGTACCCCATCTACAAGTTTAGAGTAGATCTTATGGCAGCATGGGATACCATACTCTATAGAGACAGTACAGTCCTCTGTGCAGTCTCTAAGAGGCGCTGGAAATGGATTTCTACCTGTTGGTAGAGCCTTCTTTGCCAGACGGTATTGCTTCGTAATCAAACCAAGACACTGCGATGAGAGTATTGTTCGAAGCTCCCCAAGGTACTCAGATCTGTTCCCTATAAACTCACGGCTTGTGAGGATCTCATCCTGTGCACAAGCTTGCTTGAAGCGAACCTCTTGATCCTTAAGCATATCCTGCATCACATTAACTAAGTGATATAGGTGGCTAAGTCCATTAAGAAGATAGCCCTTGATGTTGTTGTTGCTTGATTCCGTCCCTGAGGTTACACGGATGCCGAAGTTTCGGTACTGGCGAATAGAATAACGTGCCCACTGCTCCCTTAGTGGTAGATATATTCCATGCAGGTAGTTCAGAATAGGCCGTTGGTCCTTAAACTCTTTGCAAAGGTTTGCCTATGCTTTCCTAAAGGCATCCTCTGTCTCAGCAAATAGAACCAACTTCCACATTATAAGAACCCCCCGGTAGCTATGTGGCGTAGCCCCATCTACTGAAGTATGGATATAGGCATGGTCCTCATCGCTAAGTTCGGTAACTGGTTGTAGAGCTAGATCGTCTTCTTCAGACCCACTACTACTAGAATAGCTCTGAAGCCACTTCTGCTTGGCTTTAAGCATAACGTTTGAGTTGATATGGTGAATACAAAGCTGTTGTTGCACATTCGGAAAGTATTCGTTAAGAGCTGCCTTCATCTGTCTGTCGTAGTCGGTGATAATAACATCTGGTTGGCGAATAGAGTTCTGATTAATGAGTTGTAAGATACTCTGCGATAAGAACTGGAACCCCTCTAGTCTCTCATTATCGATGAGACCAAATGCTGCATTGAATACCGATCCAAGACATGTTTGCCCTGTAGCTTGGAAGAGTGGAAGCTTGAAGCGATTGGTGTTATAGGTGTTGTCAAAGCTGATAACCTCGGGGAACCGCTTCCACATCCGGAGAGAGTATGGAAACGTCCAGACAAGCCCAACAAGCCGATTCGGCTCATCATCCGCCCACTTCACAATATAAGGGATCTCCCGCTCATCAAAAAGCTTGATTAGAGCTGCAGTTGGTGTATACCCATTAAGCTTTTCGCGATTGATTCGGGCTCTAGCGTTATAGATATCCCGCTGGGTGAAAACAGATTCAGGAAACTGCTCCTGAATAATAGCACCTACGTCGCGTGCCCGAATACCAACCCGCCGACTAGTAGTCTCAACTGCATCCTTAATAGGCTCAGTCAACCTCCTATAGGCTGGGTGTGCAGATGATGCTAAGCTAGGGATATGATTATGCTGGCTGTGTATTGGGTTGGAATGCTGACGTAAAAGCCATTTCCCCTCCTCTATTGCTTCAGCAATAATTTGCCATTGGCAATCACACTTCCGAGATGCGCGGGCTCGGATGCCAGCACCTCTACCAGCCCAAATCGATCGCAACGAAGTGTATAGCGAATTATACGTCCTTTACGATAGCATCTATTATACTTTGCAATCCCAAATCCATGCTCTTTTGCAAATTTATTAACTCGGTCGAGGAGGGTTTCAATTGTTGCTTCTGGTTCGCCAGGGATCGGTGGGTTTGGAATAGTTTCGGGGGTAGGTGATTTCGACCTTTCGCTTGTAGTAAGGAATAAAGTACTTGGAGAAGATGGTATCGCTATCACTTCTGGGCTTTGTCGGGGAGGTGAATAAGGTGGAGGAGGAGGAGACTCGCCGATTGAGGATATGTCTGAAGGGTGTGGTGAGTAGCCCCAAGCCTCACGATATCGACGAACGCGTTCACATTGTTGGAGGAGAGCACGCGTAAGACGTCGGTTTGTCCCAACAACCTCTTGAATGAGGCTTAGAACAGTAGAGAACTGATCTGAAGTGGGTTGTAAGGGTTGATTTTCAGGTTGTAATACTAATTGGCTTTCTTTTGGTTGACGTTCAGGTAAAATTATACGCTGCATACGTATTGTCCCCTTTGGAAAGGAACATAGAAGATATAATTCATCTCCCTGGGGGTTGTAGCTTGTGTCGGAATCTTGCTGTAATTGTTCAGGTAGAATCTCAGAGATTAGGTCAGGTTGACCCTCACGATCGCCAGCCCCATAGAATTGACTGATAGTGGCATCACTACTAACTGAGATAGCACGGCGTTGGCGCTTGGGAGAAGGCAATTGATTGTATATACTAGAGCTGCTGGGTCGGCGACGCGATTGGGGCCTTGATTGACTTGTAGAGGTAGACATCTTGACGTTGTAAAGGAGAATAAATGGAATGCCTTCCGTTAGGAAGGTTAACTTCTCCATCCGCGAAGGCGTAAAAAACTATCCTGTGCCTTCCGTTAGGAAGGTTAACTTCTCCATCCGCGAAGGCGTAAAAAACTATCCTGTGCCTTGATCCCCCCTGGTCTCCTGTTCTGTGATTGGCTAGAGCAAAAATCGATGCTGATTGGTCGTAGCGACCCTGCCACCAATCAGCGCTCGTTATTCTTCGTTCGACCAATCAGCTTCGTTTAACCCCTGTTCCGGCCAATCACCTCTCATGTTCGCCGTCCTCGGGTCTTCCCGTCGTTTACCCAATGTCTTGCCGGTCTTCTTCCATTTATTTCCCGCCAACCACTCTCATTTTCCCGTCTTTTCAACCCCTGGCCTAGCCCGGCCCAACCTCGCCCATCGAACTTTCCATCCTAATACCACCCTATCGTTACCTTCCGTGATTTCCTATCTATCTGATTAATATCTATTGCTTGTCCTTCCTATTGCTGGTTTCATAATATCGTATTTCTCCTCTATGTCTATGCCCCATAACCCCCCTGTGCTTTGTGATAGCAAGTCCCCTCTGGTTGTTCATCTTCATATCTACGTCACTAATGCTTTCTCTAGCTGGCGGTGACCTGCTGGATCGACTTGGTGTGAGCACCTCTATGCGCACCAGCCGAACAATAGAAGTTTTATCTTGCTCTCCAATAGCCCGGGAGCTTGCTCCCCGGAAACAGGGCAAGACGCTGTCGTTCGATCATGGTTATCGCATCATTACTGCCCTGGTTCAGGCTACCGGCGTTGAGCGCCGACCTCCATGCGACCGATGTGCCTGTTCAAATGGTCCGTGGAAGCAATGTATTGTAATGCAGTCCGCTGAGGGTTTACGGGCTACGAATGGTGGGTGTGCTAACTGTTGGTGGAATAATACTGGTTCCCGTTGTAGTCACCGTATGTAAGGTTTTTTGTCCTCTTTCGTCCTGCTCTTTTATTAACTATTTTAGATGCTTCTTTCGCTAGACGTTCGGGTGTATCCTTGGGCTTGATCGGACAGCCACCAGGTACTCTCTCTGACTCTTTCTCTGCCTTGGATCGATGGGAGATAGAACTGGAGACTCTCGGTAACCCTGGTATTACCTCGCGTGCATCCACACTGGCCAGAATGGATGCTTCTGAGCTGGTTACTCATTACAAAGACCTTACATCCCGGTTAGAAGCAATCCACGCCTCGATAGCTCACTTGACGAACGAGTGCCAGCTATTAGGCTAGCAGGTTTCGGAGGTTTCCTTAGTCTTGTCTTTCCAGCGGACATTCGAGGTACGGAGGATTCCTCCGGGTCTAGCACATATTAACTTTACGCCTATTATATGCCCTCCTTCTGGTCATAGCAATGAGTCCAACAGCACTATACAAGACAGCAATACGCGATAATAACCTAGTGTTAACCCGATTCATGACATGCCTGAACCGCCAAGGCAAGACCACTAATCTGTCCTTTCATCTTAATGGTTTTACCTCCCTATTTACTATTCCGCCCTCCTATGCTTCATCTCTCTCCCTAGCCTCGAACGCCCGGACTGTTGCTTCCGCGAGGATCCTTAGTCTTTTGGTTCCTTCGACTAGCTCCTCCGGCATGCGCGCCTCTAGGAACTGCTTTACGTTTAACGGCTGTATGAGAGCGATATCTTCAAAGCGCCGCACGCGGGATAGCTGAACATACATGCTTACTACATCGCATCTTTCAAGCTCCCCCGTATTCTTACCCACTGTTCTCCCATAAAGCCCTAACAGTGTCTTTTCGAGTGTCCGCCCCTGTGCCTTAAAGTCGGTTAATGCGAAGCCTGGTGTGCATGGGAGCCCTGTCCGGACTAGCGCTAGTTTTACATTGGCTTTCTGCAGATCTGGCCGGAGTATTTTGATGTGCTTTTCTGGTACTCGAATATTGGCTGCTGGCAACATTACAGTATTAGGTGGCAGATGGGGGAAAGCTAACCCGTTCGTTTCTTCGGACTGGAGAATAATACTACTAGGCGGTCCGAGAAATATGGACAGCCTGTCGTTTATGATGATCTCTTCTACTCCGGGCGGATGAAGAATTCCTACGGCTGTAAACTCTGCGCCGTTGACAACCTTGAGACCCATATACTTGTTCTCGTTGATTACCACCGGCATACCCTCGACATAAGGGAACATACCAGCTGCGCTCAGCTTGCCCTCGTCGCCTAATAGCATGGCTGCTTTTCTCTCCTCTGCTGTAGGTATCCGCGATTCCCACTTGTGCTTCGAAAGATATATCGATATCTTACGACCAGTATCGACGCTATATGCTAGGGCTGCATGCAACGTCAGATCCCACCGGTGTCGGTTTAGAGGTATAACAGCTCGCCTGCCGCTGGTGAAATCGAATTTCGATTCGCTATTATATTGCGCTTCGAGCTTCGCGGCGTCCTCTCTTGTCTGCTTGCCCTCTCGCAGGCGTTCAAGAAAACCAAGCAGGTAGGCGTCCCCTTCAGCCCGTTTTTGCTCGTCGAGTACTACAACATTAGTAAACCCCTGCCAGAGTTCTTTAGCTTTAGCCTCTTTCCAGCGTCTCTCTATAGCTTTGCTTCCCGGTCCTATATTTCCTAGCACTATACCAATTCGTTCGGTAGTACTAAGGAGGCTCTTCTGCAAAACTGGCGGGAACTGTAAGAAGTCTCCAGTGAACACGACGATAGAAATGCCACCAAAAGGCTTCTCTGGGAAGCCCCTTAACATTCTGAGCTTTTGATCGATATCATATAATGTTTGGAGTCCGAGCATGCTGGCCTCGTCGATTATCAGAGCATCCCGCCTGCGCTATCGTTCTTTGGCTTTCTCTAGATTGTTCGATAACATTGGTTCTACGGTAGCGCCATCGGCGTCCCGAAATGCCAGCCCTACAGCAGAATGAATTGTATTACCGCCGATACCTGCTGCGGCCGTTCCCGACGTTGCCGTAATAACAAGCCGGCTGGACGCCCCTTTGGCTGCGAAAACCTCTTTTACGGTATCGATAAGCCACGACTTTCCAGTGCCGCCTCCCCCGCCAACGTATTGCAGGTGTTGCCGATCAGCGCCGTTTGTTCGTTCGTCGAGCGCCTCGCAGATGAGACTAAGCGCTATTCCCTGCATGCGATTTAATGTTCTCTCCGCACCGATAATCTTCCCTGCCTGGGTGAACGTATTAGCGGCCGTAATTGCGATCCAGTTTGAAGCAGGTTTCAGTCCAACTATCGCTGGCTGGGCTGGGAAATCTATATTAGCATCGTTGTCGCCAAAGCCTGTTTCGGCACCGGTATGTAGGGGTCTTTCGGCGGATTCATCCCCTTCGATGGCTAGCATTCGCTCTTTATGGAGTCTTTCCTGCGCCGCTTTGGTGATTTTTAAATGTTGCTTTGGTAGTGTTGTTTGCATATATGGTTGACTGTTGGTGCTTTGTATTCTGGAGTCGTCATCTATGCTAGAAAACCCGGCGTTATCCAGCGTTTGTAGCAACTCTTTTATGCCTGGAGAACCATTCGTAACTCCTGGTCCGTCCTGTAGGCTGAAGACTACATCGTGAAAGGTGTGCCGCAGGTCTATCCTATCTGGGTGCCATTCTTCTGAAAGGTCTAAGCCCTCCTCAGGCACATCAAATTCGTATCCTTCATCGCCCTCGCTCCGGCTAGCCCAAAGCTTAGCGTCTTTCTTTGCGTCTTCTGCGCTCTTGTGAAGAAGTTGGATGTTATTTACCACAGCCTTAACCCGACCTGGCATGTCGGTGTATAATCTCTCCCAGATGTCACCTGGATCGGGACTAGTGGATTGCATAAAGGTTTCCCACGGCACAAATAAGCCGAGTAACAGGACTGCTGACCTATTGTCTGTTAGCGACTGTATAGCCTGAGGTATATATATATATATACCTACCTCTTGTAATACCCTTCTTCTGTGCCTTGTACGTCATGATTTAGATGTCCGGTAACAACTGGAATTGCTTGATGTGTCCTTGGGAGCAATTCTTGTATCCACGATTCCCGGTCTGTCATTAAAGAATCGAACGGTATAAACCGTGACTGGTTTATCCTGGTCCTTCGTCCGACCCTCCGTACGCGAACCATACATAGGTATTCGTAAAAGCAAAGCTGTTCTAACAGGCGACCGCGATGCGCATATGCCTCAAGGTATGGCAAAGTCATGCCACCGGCGCCGAATCCAATCGTTTCAGGGGTTACCCGCTGCTGCACTTCCGGCCCTGCTGCTCTGCGTAGGGCCTCCCAGCGCCGGAAAATAGCCCAGTAAAGCGAACTGAGATAGACGTTAATCCAACTCGCTTCGCTGCAATAGCTATTCTTGTACCCGAGGAGATTACTACAAACCTCTACAGCCGAAAGTTCTCGACTTGTAAAGATCTGATTTGCTGTACGAGCAAGAAACTGCCGTGTCTTATTATTCCGTTGTGCTGTCTTTGCCGCGCTGTCTCCACAATTCGGTCCGTAGTCGTCTCCCTGATCAGCCATCCCATCAAATACAGCCTTGACTAGCGCTGCTCTCTTCCAAAGCGGCGTATCTAATTTTGTTGAGTAATTCGTAGCATAGTATACCATGGAGAGTCTAGCCGAGTTAGTCGGGAGGAATGTAGTATCCGTATTATGACGCATAGCTACTGCTAAACCTGGGCTGTATCTGTTGATTCTTTCGTGATCTCTTCGGATATGCAGAAGGCTATCGGTAGTAAACTCGGTTCGCTGGCGCAGTGTCCATGGTGCTTTAAACCGACAGGGATGCCGAGACCCAGCCTTCCCTTTGTCTTTGAAACTATACTTTGTACATGTCGCACCGCAGCTATGCATTTGGCACCTGTAGGCGACCTAATTCGCTTCGGCATCAAGGGCTTCATCGAGTCTGCTGATATCCTCCGTAAGATGTTTGATATTGGTAAAGACGCTTTCCCACCGGCGGTATCGTCGTGCCTTGCCTTCGTCGCAGCACTATATCATTTACTTAGCACGATAAACTTAGAAAATAGAGAAACATGCTTACCTCACTAAATACTGAATCAATATATTGGCACACTTGTACTACGTAGTCCGCGTTATCCGGCTTGGCAAGATCATGAAAAAGATCAGGTAGCCCGAGATTGGCGTCTAACCATAAGAGCCCGTGTAAGTGAAGAGCCCCACGCTCGTTTGTCTCGACGCAGCCGAAATAGCAAGAGACTTTGCCAAACATTGATTCCTCGCTAACAGAAACACAATGTTGAAAGAAAAGCTCCAACTCTCGATGAAAAAATTTTGCTGAACTAACTGCGTCTCGGATAACATGCTGTACGCGTCCAACCTGCTTCCGGAACTTTTCCATCAGCTCCTCTGCCGCCTTGCCATGTGCTACCCGAAAGGCGGCTAGTTTCATATTTATCTCGTTTGTTAGATCGTTTGGGTTGATTGTATACCATATACACGGCATTCCATACTTGAGGCATAGTGACTTTATCTTCCTTCGAGAATAGAGACGCTCCTCATTTGACATATGCTGCCTATGTCCAAACGCGCTTAACTCCCGGATTAAGTATGCTATATTGCTGTTAGTAGTCGTCCGGGTCTTGCGGTACTCTTCTTCTGCTCTTTCAATCTCCTCGGGAGTAAGTCTTGTAACGATTTGCTCGACTTTGGCAAATGAAGACCTCTTCATTCGCAAGTAACTAATCCGTCGGTTCTCTGATCGAAGAAGCATATTGAATACTAAAAAAGGGAAGCTTGGGTGTGTAGCAAAGTAAGCACCTATTATACTATTACTTTAGTTACTTATTTCTATTTATAAAGCAGAAGTTTTACTAACCATGCCTCTGTAAGCAGAATCGTGCCCAGGTTCGAAGGTAAAATCCGTTCGGCTTATGACTGCTTTGGATGTCTGGACCTTGCGGTTCATCCTGATCATCTTCGTTTTCTTCTTCACGTAATATCCTAGGGCCGCCTCGACCCCATGGAAATAAACAAGGGAAAGCCTTAGGGAAGAAATCGGGATCGTTCGAATCAGCAAATTCCTCTCCTCTGCGACTGACTAGATAGGGTTCTGTATTCTTATATCGGAGGGTGCTGTCTCCGTTTGCGTCCTTTGGCTTTCGGCCTCTCCCACGCTGGGGCCCTCTCACTGTTGCTTCTCGAAGAATCCTGAGTCGTTCTTGTGGGCTATGCTCTCCAGATACCTCAGTAGCCATTAGTCCAGTTGAGGTTAACTCGGACAGCTCTTCATCTATCCGACGAGGGTCCATATCAAATGGGTCGCAATCACCCGCATGGATTCCCCCTAGCCTAGCGTTGCTTTCAGCTTCGAGGTGCGCAGCATTGGTTTCCCTATCTTCTAGACTTGCAATAACATCGTGAGCATTACGCAAAGGTTCATCAGGGCGACCTCGCTCGGCAGGAGGGACATAGTGTCCTGTACGGATTTCGTCTTCGGCACGCTTCTCATACGCCACCATTCTCTCCACAAGTCCCTGGGGTACCTCAGTTCCGGGAGACCATTCCCCCCAGGTCCTAAGATGATCCTCACTAATACTAATATCCCGGTATAGTGGGTTGTTCGCCCGAAGCCAAACGAGCGCACGCTTGAGCTTCTGGGGGTTCACTGATAACATAAAGCCAAGATCGGATGGTACTGGTGTCCGAGGACCTACAAAGCATACATGCAACCTGTCTCGCTCTTCCACGAGTGGATGAGGTAGAATGTTGGCTGCTACGCCTTGAACGTCGTTAGGGAACACAGTAATATGGCCTCTCTTGTGTTTTCGGTAGCGGCCACTTGTTGACTTCTCGACGTCGATAGTAAGCTTCGTAATCCAACCACAGGGTGTATAAATTCCAATAAGGCGCTCCTCAAGTGGTGAAAGATCTTTCAAAACATGAGGATACCGATGGATGCAGCCTAAAGACAGATTATTCACCTGGCAGGCGTATGGCAGTTTTTGATGCTGTAAGGAGGTCTTGCACTGGGTGCAAATAGCGAAGTTTGCCTCTGGCTCCTTAGGAAAGCATTCCATACAAAGGAAATGTTCTCTGTCTAACACAGGGATTTGGTCCTCCACCCTTAGGTATAATGGCTCAAGTTCGGCCCATGTATAATTGACTAGTGAGTTGGGAGGCTTTTGCTGGTAACATACTCTACAATATTCGATTTCGAGTGTAAAGTCATCATGCATGCTTTCGTGGAACGTCTTGGTCTTTTCCAGAATCGTTTTTCGGGAAACTGGTCGGCACCACGTGCGATCCATAGAGTCTAGCTTCTTCTGGATATAGCGGCGATCTGCTTCTTGTACTGTCTGTTCGATCTCCTTCTTCCTTGCTTGGTATGCTTCGGGTGTGTCTAGTAGCTCAATATAGCTAGCTTTTTGGCTTAGCTTGGGTAGTGATGGACGAATTGGTAAATGCCTTTGCTGGATAGGATTAGACTGGCGAATAGCAACTGACGGTATTTGAGTTCTTGGCGCTTCAGAAAGAATATGCTGGCTATCTTGAGCTCTCTTATGCTGTGATATGTCTAGGGTAGTGGGCGTGTTTAGACTTGATATAGGCTTAGGGTTCCACGGAAGTAGGGTTGGTCGATTACTTTGCTCCCAAAGGTTGCTACTAGCATAGGCTTGCCTATTTCCTCCACGGCTTTTCCTAGGCGTAAGGGAAATTTTACTAGGCGATGTATTTAACCCCTCGCTATAGGGTGTCTGTACTAACACTGATCTAGGTGATAATGGAGATTCGATTCTATTCGGGCTTCGGATATTGTCGAACGAGGATGGTGGTGTCGGCAGCAGATTTCGGTTCCGATTCGAAGGAACCTTTAATCCTTCGTCGAGGGATCTCTAGTAACTCTGTGTCAAAAGGGGCCCTGATAGTGATTTTATTGAGTTTGAAGGGACCTTACCATAATATTGACTGAAGGCGGTGGTCCCGGTGCTAGCATGCGACTGTGGTTTGAAGGAGAAGTCTGCTCTTCCCTGCCGGCTATTTGTCTCGGCCTCAATTCAGGCTGAATTGAAATAGGAGTGTCATTGAATGAGGAAACTGGTGTTGTAAGATGCGGCATGATAAAACTTAGAGTCGATTCAAGGATTTCTAAGGTCTTTGGAGATCAAAAAAGCTATTATATTCCTTTGACTATGGGAATATTAAAGCTTAGCAATAGTAATGCGTGTTCGCTCCATCCGCTGAAATCACCTTCTGCCCTAGCTGCAAATGTTATTACTGCCTCAATAAGAACATCTTTTCTCATATAGTATTAGCCCAAGGCGAGATGCAAGTAACTTCGTATTGCAAAGACGGATGTCTTGCTGCTGCATTACTATAATAAAGCTGGAATCATTCCTGTTCCATCCGAATAAGAAACAATACTTTGTGATCTACCAATAGAAGGGTAATAAGCCCCCTGTTGTTCCCACTTTGTAGAAAAAAGACGCAGTCTACGTCTTGCCAGCATAAACTAGACAACTTCAGGCGACCACGAGACCTGGTTCTCCTGTATTAATAACTTGATAAGGGAGCAAAGCTGAAAAATCTCCCTTCCGATGGATTCTTCCTCCGCCCCCTCATGTACAAGGTTTATTCCTTTATAAGAGTATAACCCGAATGTTTGGATTCGCCTTTCTCTTGCTCTTCCTTACGTCTCGAAAGCTCCTTCTACGTTTTATACTGGTTCCTTGCAGATTGTTTACCATTTCGCCTTGCCTCCTCCTGCCGCTATGGGTACTGGAAAGCCAGACTTGGCTGCCTATTGGCCGAAGCCCGAGCTGAACCTGCCTTCGCCATGGAGCCTCCCCCTCACGATGCTTGCTACAGGTAAAATGGTTGCCGTTGAATCTCTAAGCAGGGACTCCCAGATATTTCGGTACCAGAACTGGTCTGGTCAAATCCAGATACCGATTCATACGCCAGAGTGGTTGACTAATGTCTTCCCTAATATACTTGACAACTTACACGCCGGGGCCTTATCGCTAGATCTCTCTCGCTTCCACTTGGGAGGTTCGTTAACTACCGAGGATTGGGAAGACCAATGGTTTACTATTATCTGCGATCCCCACTTCAGTTACGTCCCCTGTGGTCTATCTGGCGAAGACGAGGTGGAATATAAACGTCTGGCATGGATCCAGGACGATGCCCTCACGCCGTAAGTTTCTTCATCCGTGGCATTAGAATACTTATCCTAAAGCTCCCTCTTAGTATTTCTGACCGTACCTGCGCCGACTTATCTCCTCGTTTCCCGATAACTCCTCCGTTCGTAACTTTCAACGGGTTTGTCGATACCCAAAAGTTCCCCCTTGCCGATGATCCCTCCGTTGGTCTCGATGAAATAACCAGGAACTCGTCAGCCGTCTTCAGGGTGTGGTCTAGATTTACTTCTACAGAGGCTGCTTATACCCCCAAAACTGGATAGTATGCTAACTACGTTTACGCGATGCTTCCCAAATGCAAAGCACATATGAAGAAGAAGTGCGAGGATTACCGCGTCGAGACAACACCATTTCGCAAGCATGGAAAAAAAGCCTATATTACTGGCTATTTCCATGGTTTCTGCAACAAGAATACCGTCTTTACCTCTGATTATCCTTATAACCCCCTTGAGTTTGTCCCACTCATCGAGATTATCAAAGTTGACTGGGCTGCTGGGGAGCCTAGGCAGACCGCAGCCTCGCGCGATCCGTTTTCTACGCCGTCAAAAGGAGATATGACTGAACGTACGAAGGGAAAATTCAAGTTCGATCCTCTCGCACAGATGTCTGCCGACGCGAAAGTGCCTGGGCCTCTGTTTAATAATGGTAAGCTTGACGATTCTACTTTATTATTCTGAAAGCTAATATGCTTAGGTTCACAAGCCTCGGACGCCATTGTCGATAATGATGATCCGTTTTCTGTTAACGGCCTCCGCGACGTCGCGCCTATTAATATAAAGCGATCCGGAGAGGTAGAGACTATTGAAGACAGCAGTGATGGGGCGAGTCCAACGAAGCGGCCTAAACGGGGCAGTTTGCGTGGGAGGAAATAGTCTGCGTTGGAAAACATGAGGCATATCAAAATTCAATACTAAGAAGATCGCTATCTATGCTTGGATCCCTTTAAGTCTTTCTTCTTCTTCAACCTGAAGTATTTCCTTTTGTAGTAAATTCATTTCCTCGCTGGTATGTGCAGAAAGTCGATCAGGGAGATCAAAATCTATATTAAAATCGCAATCGTCAATACCACACCCTCTTATTTCCAACTCATCTAATCTAAATTCGTTCTGAAGAGTTTGTATGAGAAAAGACCAAGCGTCTAGACCTTGGGTAGTAATTTTAACATTTTCGAGAGTAAGTCTTCGAAGTGTATTTTGATGTCGCCGTAAGAGCGTCAGGAGTTCGTCTCTCGTGCAGTCTAGATACTCAAGGCATAACCTTTGAAGAAGAGGAATATAGAGGCTTTCTGAAAGTCCTGGAAATTGTTGCTTCTCTTCGCAATAGTTGAAGAATAAAGTAATATCGGTGAGCGCTGGAAAAAGGCTAGAGAAGCTATGAAAGTCTGATTGCCAATCATATTTTTCTTCCTGTACTGGGTCATTCTCTGCAAAGAATTTTCTAATTTCTTGGCTGAAATGATTATCGCTATCCTTAGGATTGATAACAAGACTGAGCTTTGTGATGGTCGTGATTTCGGATTTTACGGCTTTTGCGAGACTGCTTGGGAGCGATAGCATCCGTGGAATAACAGACGTACAACCTTCCATCATATCTCCAAACTCGATATATATCTCCTCTATGGGAAGGCGGCTCTTAATAAGTGCGAAAAACAGTGTTCTGATTACTACTAAGGCATGAACCATGCTATTAGGTAAGAAATCAGAAATAAACCTATTTGGAAGTACGCCAATACGTCGCCCAAGCTTAAAGGCGCCCCATGGTCGGGTATGATCCGATATCCCAATAGCTTTGCAGTTTTTGAGGTTAGTGAGAGCTATCGCTAAATAACTCATATGTTGCCTTTGGGAGAAGAATTCCGTTTGCTCCTGCCATCCATCCTTATAGGTTTGGATTATTTGCTCCCAACTATCGTCGCCCAGTAAGACAACTTCGCCATTCCGAACTCGGAAGAAATCATACTCGTCTTTGACTCCACAAATCTCTAGTTCTTCGTGGCTCATGTAGTCTTTGGGTTGGATGAGATGATCAACGCAGAGCTCGACAACTTCAACCGCTTGACTCAGAATATGGTGGCGTGAAATGTTCACAAGATTCAATAGGCTTTCCTTCTCTAGCATTACGTAGCGAATGCGGAAGAAGCGTGCTTTGAAAGCTGAAGACGTTGCCTCAGCTATAGTTTTGCATGTTTCCCGGAAGTTCTGATAGTCCCGCAAGTGCTTAGGGTCTGGTGATAATAGATGATAAAAGATTTCGGTTATCAGTTCAGCTGGCAAGTTGATAAGAGCTTGTTGAGCCATAACTTGAAGCGCAATATCAAGAAAACCCAGAATTGTCTAAGGTGAGGGGAAAGGATCTGATAGTTAAGCGCCGTGATCACCCGTAATTATGCATGAACATGGAGTCGTCTTGGTAGGATTACTAATCCTGGACCGGTGAAACATTAACCCGATTACTAGCTCGTCTTCCTAACGGGAGGCTTACTTCAACAGGCGGCTTGCCCGCCGTTCCCCAGTACATAAGATGACATCCACCTTGCCACCAACAGAAACGCTCTTTACCCCGATAGCCTTGCTGCAATAGTTAGTCGCAGCGCTGGCAGGTATCTCGGAAGAATCTGTCAAAAGCATCGAACAAGGAAACTAGAACTATCGCGGATTACGTCTCTGTTGGACTTTTATTAACGTCCCACACCCACTTCTGGGCACCCCCCACATTTGGGCACCCCATTTACACCAAAAACGCCGTTTTTCGAAATTCTATATTAAACTAACTACTATACTTACTAAGAAAAGAAAATATATATAAACTATGTTAAGTATAATTATAGCCATCTAATTTTTTATAAAGGTTTAAATATAATAATAGTTATAATATAGAAGTTTAAAACTAAAAGCTTTAAAATGTTAGTAGATACTAGTAACTTACTAGTATTCCTTAACATTAGAAAAATATATTTTCGCTCATATATACTTATTTAAAAAATCTAGGAAATTAATATTTATACTTATTAAAAGTATATAATTATATCTAAAAGAGATTTAAAAGTATTACTTTAGTAAATATAGTATAATTAAGGGTTAAAATTCTATAATAGAAACTTTTCTTAAGGGAAATTTTAAAATATTATTCTAAGCTTAAAGAATTTTTTACTAAGTATAAGAATATATAAATCTACTATATCTTACTTAAAAATTCTAATCATATTAGTTAAATATCTCTACCTATTTTATATATTAAGATATAGGCTAGGTAAATTAGTATTATAAATGTTAAACCTTGAATTTATAATACTTATTATTAATAATACTAGTATATAGCTACTTAAGTATTATAATTAAGTCTTAATCTATTTAATATATATTTATTCTCTTTAATAAGTAAAGTATTTAGTTTAATATAGAATTTCGAAAAACGGCGTTTTTGGTGTAAATGGGGTGCCCAAATGTGGGGGGTGCCCAGAAGTGGGTGTGGGACGTTATCGGGAATCAGGAAACGCATGCCATTCGTGAATTTGGAGTATACTGCAAGATCTTTCAACACCACCGGTATTTGAGAACTGTTGAGGGATTGCCTCTTATGATTACCACGTCTCAGCTAGAACTGTACGTAAACTGTGCAAAAGCCGCCTTGAGGATATTGCGTTAAGCTATTTTGGTGACATGACTTGATCTTCGGGCTTTCTGTTAACAATAGGCCGGACGACATTGGGTTAGGTCATATATATCTCATGCAAAGGTGTAAGGACCCTAGGGGGCGGCTAAGTATTTTTCTTTAACAGCGCGCAGAGATTTGTCGCATTTGCTTATAAAATTTCTGGTCTATAGCATTCTAGGTCATGGTGTCAGAGGTTCTAAGCGCCTGAACGGCCGCTAGAAATTCTTCATGGAGTACTTCAATATGACAAAGTTGAAGTTCCTGTGTTCAATTTGGATAGGCAGAAAGTTGCATCCGTGTATAGATGACTCTTGCAAGGTTGTTCCAACTTTTCTTATAATTGTGCACTTTCGCATTTGAAAGTTGAGCTTAGCGCTGAGGTTAAGAATTGAGCTTCCACCTAAGGTAGCGTGTTATGAGTCCGAAGAGCCAGCGGCAGAAGTTTCTTTCTCATCATGACTGCCAAACACTTAAAAACAGGGCATGCTACGATATCAGCCTCTTTGCTTTATCAACGCCGCCGGAAGTCGACAGATCCCCTTTCTAAGATCGAACTGGATTGAAGCCTCCACTATAACCTTTCAATCTCAAGAAAAGTGAGACGACTTATGGTGATTTATTTCGTGCAACATTGGAACTATTATCCTGTTAGATTCTCCACGCATGACGCTTTGTGTCACCGTCTCTCAATGCGATGTGATTGAACTTATAGTCACGGAGCAAGCAGCGCCATTGGTAAACTTCGTCCATTGGTAGTCGACCTTTTGTTTTATCTGACCCGGATTGCAGGACTCACGATCGATCGCCGAACACTCACTAATGGTGCCCGCCTTTCGAATAACGCCCGAGTACTTTAAAGAACGACAGCTTGCTGAGACTGAGGTCGCAGCCAGGAGAATGGAAAGCATGAACGAGTTGGTGAGCTGCATGATGAATGGCGATTGGACTGACACTGAATGTTATGAAGAGAAAGAAATTCGTAAGTAAAGTAAGACTATACGATTTTCCATTTTGGATGCTAGTGGACATATGTAGCTTTTATCCACGCTGTTTATTCCACGTGTATAGCAACATGTGCGGCAAGCAGAAGCAAAGAGTTTATTTTTAACTACCTTAGGTGAGAAAGTCTAATATATAATTTCGGAGCTGCATGAATGTATCACCGCTACTAGCATTTCTGAAATAGGCAATAAACTCTGCTGGATAGGGCAACTTACTAGTTTAAAGTTTTGATACTAATTGGATTTAAGCTTGTCTCACAAGTCTAGCACTATTGACACTATCAGCCGAACATCGCTTGCGTTGGCCTTCCTAAAACGGTCCGTTATTAATTTGATGTATCCGCTCATGGCCGGTTTTTGAACCTTCCAGCCCCGGGTAATCCGGATCACTGAATCACCACTACTCCGCGAACGAGTCGGCTGTCAGTGTATACGGGCCTGGCTGCAAATCTATTGTTTGTCGTGGACGGAATAACACAACTTTTTAATCGTTAGCAGACATACTGCCCTAATTTCTCAATTCCAAGGTTCTATTCATTGTTGGACAGTAGAAAACCATTCCGCCAGTGCCCAATATTTACCGCTAGAGGTACGGAGTTGCCCAGACCAGAACAACCCAGATGCTTCAATCTGGAATACCAAGCCCATTAAAATCTTCGGCGGTACCGTCGGAGCCGGTATTAATCAGAGAATCGTCAATGTCTCATTAATAGGCAGCTTTTTAGGTCTCTCAGGATGAGCTCCCTGCTTATCCCCATAATTAAGGTGGGCCTTGAGTTTGTAATCCTCCGGCACACCCGCAAACTTCTTGATGGCCGCCTCAATAGGCGGGATACAATTCATGTGCTGCAGGTTGGCACCCACGCCCTCCAGTTCCAACGCAGTCCAGACTAGGATTTGATGGATACCCTGAGTGTGATCACCCCACTCGCGAAACATATGGCCGGTGGCCTTGTGTCTCTCCGCAGCCTCTTTGCTGGTCTGTTCACGCTCCCAGAAGAGTACCTAGCCCTTGTTAGATAGTAGGGGCGTGAGTCACGAAAATATTGACTTACGGATCCATATGCAGCCTTATGACCCTGGAAAGCGGGACCCAATTTTTGCCAGAGGTCTGGATTGATCGACTTGAGGATCGGCTCAGCCTCCCTGAGGATAATGCTCCAAAGCTCCTTGTGCTTCTCCCCGAAAGCAAGCGAAATGCGCACAGGCTGGGTATTGTAAGACGAGGGAGCGAATAAAAGGACTTTGGAGACAATCTCTTGGACGCGTTCATCCGACACCATGGAGGATCCTGCTAAGCCATGAACACTCCGACGGTAAGCCGCAGCTTCAAGCCACTGGTCAGCCGTGATGGAAGGCACATCGACGGAGTGTGTAATGGAAGGCATATCGACAGGATTGAAAAGAAAATGAACAGAGTTTGAGGATTTTTAGTCAATTGATGCTGGGATGCACTTCATAATTTATATCCGGCGGTACGCATTAGCCAGTGGCTGCGGAGGCATCGGTCTTATAATTGCTGCAAAGGCATCCAATGCTGCCTGGCGATATGCGCTTGCTGTGGTAAGAAGAACCGTTTACTAGCGATGAGACAACTATTTTCTATGGATTTAGTAATTGTGCAGCAACCCGTTGTGATTGGCCTTTATCTCACCCAGTTTCTTTCTCGGGGCATAAAAACTCCTTTCGTTGGAAAGTTTCCCCGGAAGATAGGCCGGAAGGTGAAAAGCTAGCGCGAACGTGCAATTAGGTAAGAGTGGGTCTCACTCGGCTCCCAATAGGTTCACGGGTACCCGTGCGTGTAAAATTTCACGGGTACCCGTGGAAATGACTAAGCAACTCTGATATGGGGCTCATGAGCCAATGAGAGGCACGGCCTGCATCAAACTTATCCGGAAAGTTTACGACTTTACTACGATGCACTCTTCGGGCTTACTACCAGCGTATAACGCCTCCTGCTCTGCCTTATCTTGCTCGACTCGTTTCCAGACTTCGCTCATACCTCTCTCACTGTTTTTAAAGGGGTTTTGTCCATCTTCCGCAATAATCAGCTCATCGACCCGTTTGTATTCAGCCCTATCCCAGTCCAGATAAGCCATCATCTCCTCCTTCGTCCAATCCCTTAACCCGTGTGAGGTAGTACAGCGTCCTTTCATCTGCTTATAGTCAAGACACCACTCATAACACTTTTTGTCATAACGTAGCGGAAGTCCCATTGCCCTTCGATACTCCTGGTTTGTTTTAACACTCCCACGAGGTTGAGCACCGTACCAGGCGCTTCTTGCTGCATAGTACCGTCCGTATATCGCCTGAGGTGAATCGTATCCTGGTAGCGAAGGTGAATGCGAATGCGCAAATGGTGATAATACCCGAGGTAGTGATATACTAGTCTCTACCACTATAGCAATAGTCGGTTGAACCAACTCTGGTACGTCCTATACGGCGTTTGAAGGAGGTTCTTGTATATCTATCGTCGTCCTGGTAAATATCGCAGTTGATACTGTAGCTGGATCTGGAGTAGGTGTCGGTTCAGGCAATAAATGCGTGTATCGCAGAGGGCACGCCTTTGAAGTCATAGTATGGCCAACTGTATGACACCTACTGCATTTGCTTGGGGCCCGTGAAGCAACTTCAACAACTTCGAACCCGCTAGGCTCTCGTCTAGTGCTTGATTTGGGAATACTGGGATTCTCTAATTGCAACCTGGGCTCTATGCGCTGGCGAGGCTCCAGCAATAGCTGCGGCGCTCCATCACGCCTCAAATGCCAATGTGCATGGAAGTGCTCACGTAGAAGAACAAGATTCTGTTCTTGTAAAGTCTTCAATTTGTGTAAGCATGGGAGACCATATACTCGAGAAAACGTCCCCGTACAGGCTGTGGAAGGATTTGTGTCTTTCTTCGTGAGCAGCTTCCGTTGCTCTTCTACTTTGCGCAAGGCTTCATGCGATACCCAGCCAAGCACTGCGCCGTACATTGACCCTGAAAGCTCAACTAGTATCCGTATTTGCTATTTAACTTGATTTGACTTTAGATCGCTTTCAGGGGGGAGACTGTCGTCTGGGAATGTGAGTATTGAGTCTTTGAGAGCTATTTCCATTTTTAAGAATATATGACTGAAGTGCTGGATGCAAATAACGCGTGAAAGGTGTATGACACAAGACGCGTTCATTGACGTGGGCAGGTTGCTTAGTCATTTCCACGGGTACCCGTGAAATTTTACACGCACGGGTACCCGTGAACCTATTGGGAGCCGTCTCACTCATTAAGCTTATTAATCATGGCTGATCTGGATGAAAACAGAAACTCTTGGTTTTCGCAATTTATCCGACATATCAAAGGTGACAAAATCTTTCAGATGAGCAAACAGGGCCTCAGGAACTATGGCCATGGTGACCTGTTTCTACCACAATAGAATTTTATTTGTAGTTATGAAAATGCACGAAAGCTACCAAGAAGAGCTAATGCAAGCCAAGCACGGTACACACGTTAGTGTAGAAGTTAACTGAAATTAATCGCCAAGAAGAACACTTCTTCTGTTAACAACGAGCATGCGTGTATGTTAAGGTTATGGCTTCTGATAAGTCTGCCTTACCCGGCGGAAAAAAGTTTCTGGCCGAGTTAACATAGGTGTGCGAGTATTGTCAACTGAAGCAAGGACTTCGTTGATACCCTGAATGGCAGCATCTTACACAGGAAGCAGCGTAAGCTAAAGGTGCTGTTTAGACTCTGTCGTATCGATTTCAGAGACGCAGAAGATTTTTCATGTGAACCAAATTTCCTATTCAATGTATTTCCCGCTCTATGATTTCCGCACTAACTCAGCTGTTCCAGTTAACGCCGCCCATAAGTCTGCTTTGCGTCTACAGAAACGTTTTGCATTGAGATCCTCTTCTCGGCTCGTCTTTAATGTTATGCCGTTTCCTTAAATACTATGCCACCAAGGCTGACCATCAGCAATGCACTCTGTCTCCCATGCGGCTTTCATAATCTGCTGGACAACCACTTCGACGTCTTTGCTCTTGATCGGCATGCGATGTCCACCCTCCCACTCCAGGAGCGTGGCCTGTAACGGATCGCAATAATCCCGAAGTAAGTCTCGGTGTCGGTCCAGCCCGGGGTCTTTAAGTCCGTGGACGTGTATCGTAGGTAATCGCAATATGTGTTCGGTAGAGCCTAGAGTGATCCAGGCCGGAGCGGGGTGTGTGAAGGGTGTCGCAGCGTCGATCAAGCCATGCGGTTGAGGAAGCTCGGGCATGAGCCAAACCAATGGCCCGCGACCAGCAAAGAGAACAGCGAAACGAAAACTGGTCACTCCGTAACTCTGTTGCCGGTAAAGAATGCTAGCTGCCACATTTGCTCCCTGGCTAAACCCCAATATGCCGACCCATTCTCCAGTGGCCCCCTTGGCGTCGTCGGCAGCCATGGCAAGCGCAAGAGCGGTTTCGATTCCCGCAGCAACATCTTCGGACGTCCAGACTCCAGGCATGCGATGATCGCGGCGCCAGACCCTAAAAGGCCCGCAGTCCTTGTATACAGACGTCACATCCGGTCCAGGCTCTACGCTGATGAATGGCGCCTGGGCATATACGAGACGGAAAGAACGTTTGAGACGCTTCTCAAGCACACGACACTGCATACGGAAGATGAATGCATTAGTGCCCCCGCCGTGAAGACATAGAATGCGCGGCAGGTGGATCGTCGCTGTGTCGTTCATTTTGAGATACTCAGTGTCAGCAGACTGGGTGTGGTCGTAATGTCCGATCATGGAGTGCCAAGTCGTATGGAGGGGTGTTGCTTAAGTATATGGTGGTAAAGATACCCTTAATCTCTTGGAGGCTTGGCTGTACACTGAGAGGAAGTGGCCATAGTATACCATGTATCATATGGGACGTGCAGTTATGCAACATGGCAGTTATAGCTTTCATAACTCCACAGCAAATCGCCACTAATCCCCTTGAACGGGCTCTCATTTTCCGGGCTGGTCTCTCGCGGGCAATGTTGATTCCGTTGGGTGGTCAGCTGGGAGTATTTTAGTCCGCGCCGTAAACCCCCTTTTGTGTCACGGTGCAACTTGGTGCTAATGTTAGTTTCACCGACGAGCTGAAGTTGATGGAGCTTACAGGTCGAGAATCTAATGTAGACTTTAGGATACTTCGGAGAGTTCGATCGACAAATAAAGTCCGGTGTCGGCTGGAAATGCAGCTCACAAGCCACCTTTTGTAATGAACAGGAATCTTCCAATTCCTGATTAAAGTAGCACAGAGCTGCCGACTGCCGATTACCCACAGCTTACGTGGATAGCCTTAGGATTATACTAACGTGACGGTCAACTAGATGGGCCGTCACGCGCCTAATCTTCTTAGCTTTTTCCACAGACCATCAAACCGCTACCTCGCTTGAGAAGAGTCCTCCTCTTACGTCTGTATGGGTATCCCTATAAGCTCATAGAGGGGGCTTTGCATGAAGTAGGAAGAAGCAAGCTTCTTCAGGGAAAAAAGCTATATGCTTGAAGGTGGTGAGGTACAAGTTGTGACATAGACAGAAAGATAAACAAACAGGTAAACCGGAAAAGGAAGTATTAGGCGAGTAAGAAGGTGCGTTGCTGGTGGATAGTAGACATAAGAACTCGGACATTTCAACTATGCGAATTCATAATTGTTGGTTGACATCACGTATTTATCGTCTTTTAATCTTCAAACTGGTAACGCAGAAACGTAAGTCAAATTAAAGACAGTTTTGTTTGGTCAGAAACAAAGCTCTGGAATACTTTTCGAGATATTGATTGTTTCTATGAAAGTGATCTCTACGCAAGGTAAAATAAATCAAACCCGAATAACGCCAACCCATTTAAACAAAAACATGTTAGTCAGTGGCTAACTAAGAAAACTCATTGATTTCCAAGACGACACATAGGAGCGCACCACCTCGGCACTCACCGGCCCTTCCGTGGCCATTGTTTTTGAATGCTCCCTCGATCTTTGCGTGTCCAAAACGATACCACCGCAGGCCATACGCTCAAAGTGGCCTTCAAGAAAGCCTAGTATCAGGGCCGCAGGGTTGTCGGCCGGGGTGAGAGAGGATTGACGAACTCGCTTAATCCATTCTTGGAACGGAACAATGTTGAGTGGAGGAATATCCAGGGCAGCCGCAAGAACCGGTGATAATTCCTTCCACGGCTGGCCGACGGGGTTGTCGACATGATAGACTGGATACGCCTCCGTTGCATCGTCACGGCCCTCAATATTCAGGAGGTCGACCATAACGTTGGCCGATTTATCCACAGGTAGCCAATGCAGCACACCTTGGAGGTCAGGAAATGCCTTGACGGCTTGAGCACTCTTTGCCACAAAAGCAAAGTGCTCGACTGGGTTCCAGAAGCCAGTTGTAGTCGATCCGGAGATCTGGCCAGGCCGCGCTACCATGGCTCGAAAGAGTCGAGGGTGACGGCGCAGCGTTTCCGTGAGCATGCGCTCGCAAACCCACTTAGCCTCGTTATATCCGCTGGGCATCACCGCGGTCATAGGCATGGGCTGCTCGAGAACGTTGGAATCAGTCGAAAAGCCAGTAACGCCAATCGAGGAGATAAACTGGAAACCGATTCTGCGTGGCTGGTTCCCTGTCGCCATGCCGTGCGCGAGGTCGAGCAGGTTACGCATTACCTTCAGTTGAGGCTCAAAAGCTTTGAGTGGACGCGTGGCGCTCATTGGCCATGCGTTATGAATGATATGTGTGCCGTACTGCACTAGCCAGGCGTATTCTTGGTCTGAAAGACCGAGATGCGGCTTGGAGGTGTCGGTACCATAGACACGCAGCTTCTCTCGTGCGGCTGGAGATAGGTTAATGCCTCTTGAAGAGAATGCCTCTGCCTGTCGCTTGTCGGCGGGCATGTCACTTGTAACGCGGTTGATGCAAACAACGGTTGCAACATCTGGCCGCTCGGCAAGTACTTGAACAATATGCGATCCGAGGCTGCCCGAAGCGCCCGTCACGACGATCACGGATCCTGAGTTGGTGCGGGTGGTGATAATACGGTTGGCGGCAGCCTCTAATTCTGCCGACCCCCAACCAGTCGTATAGGCTGCCACTAGGCGTAGTGCTTCTGCCTCACGGGCGGCCACTTCACCAACATCATGTACCTTCGTCGCGGGTAAAGGTGAATCAGTCATTGAATCCTGATACTTGGTGGCCAAGTCCGGGAAACCATCCAGAGTAGAGATATCTGAAGTTGTGTCTTCGTCCCATGAATCTGCGAACACGAAGTCACTATCCCCGGATGCCGTATCATCGTCGTCTTCGTCGTCTTCGCGTTCCACATTAATACCACCTCCAGCCCTTGCCAGAGCATTCGACACACAGGCAACGAACTCGCGAAGGGTTGTGGCTGCCATGGTCTCTGTGCTGTCGAGTGTGCAATGAAAACTGCTTTCGATCTCGCGCGCCAGCTCCATACCCATCAGCGAATCAATGCCCAGGTCAGCCATCTCACTGTCAAGGCTAATCTCATTGGCTTCGATGCCGGAGACGTTGGCGACCACATCGCGCACCTCGTTTGCGACATCTCGCAATCCACTGGCAGACTTTACCTTTTTGATATTGGTCCTCTTTGTCTTGGAATGGGTTTCAACAGGCACGACTGCCGACTTTGGATCACTAGAACTGTCACTGGTGATAAGACTTTTGGTGGACGATGGCAGAGGCACGGCGGTGCTTCTCACAAAGGACTTGTCCACCGTCACCCGAGCCAAAATCTTGCTCATCGTCGCCTTGGGAATGCGAACATATGTGAGACCCATTATGACTTCGGCTAAAGCGCCCGTCGAAGCATCGAAGATGAAGACATCCGTCACATAAGACTTCTCGCTTTGGCGCGCGTGACGGGCGAGCACATGCCAAACACTGGGGCCATGCTCGTGGCCATCAGTTACAGTCTGGGACTTTGGCGAGCGCATCACCAGCTCTAGGCCAGTTGCAACGAACATGTCGCTTGCGGGAATGTCAGTCAGCAGGTTGACATACATGCCCGCAACTTGGCCATAAGAGTCCGCCTTGGGAACATCAAGCCAAGTGTCGCCTGTGTGGCGCTTGTGCACGACACCGGCACTTTCACCGTTGTCACGACCAACCACGTATCGAACACCGTGGTAAACGGATCCGAAATCAACAACCTCTTCAAAAGCTCGGTAGACGTTACGACCTTGGAGCGCCTCCACGCCCTCGTCGTCTGGGCCCGACGCCAGAACGGCTTGGCACTGGGCGTGGCTAACCACGCGCTCCCAGCGTCCGAATTCTTTGAGTGCAGCCGGGTCGGACGGTGAGCACATGTCTATGCGGCCCTCGGCATGTTTATCGTCGCCACGGGAAGCGCCGACGCTATGGATGGTCCAGTACCACTCTGTTTCGGTCTTGTTAAGCGGCTCGAGGTCGATGTAGAATTCTCGCGTCGAGTCAGCGCAAATCGGCGAATGGCTGAGCATATCGCGAACTACCGGCGAGAACCCGTTTTTTCTCCATTCAGAACTCAGGCTGAAGAGAGTTTCGATAGCTATGTCTATCTCAAGTGTGGCTGGTGCAATAGGTGCCGTCTTCGCGATGACGTGGGTAGCAAACAGGCGCTGATACTTGTGTGAGAGCGTATTGATGCGGAACCGAGCCAGCTTCTTAGCCTTCTTGTTGTTGCCATTCTTCTGGTCCTGGAAGCCGATGAAAGTCCACATGTCCAGATTTTTAGGATCGACTTGTCCCTGCTGTGTCGGTTCCGCCGCTAGTAGTTGTCCATTGCCTCCCATCATCTTCTGGGCAACCTTGATCGCCTGGTCGATTGGTGACTTGAGCTCTAGCCAATGCCTAGACTTCTCAAACTGGTACGGCGGCAGGAGGAGCTGAGCATACTCGTCCTTTTGGACTCGGTGATGAGGCCAGAAGGATACTCTTAATCCTTGTTTCCAGAGATCTACAGTTGCATCTGTAAGCCTATCGATGCCCTTCTTTGTGTTGGTGATTGACATGGATTGAAAGTGGAGCGTATCAGAGTGCGTTGGCGCCGTCTGAGCAAGTGCGCGCGAAGCCATAACGGTAATGGTCGAGTTGGAGCCCGCCTCGAGGAAGATGGCTTGAGGGTGCTTCTTTGCGAGTCGCTGTACGGCGTGGTTAAAGAAGACGGGCTGGCGCATATGGGAGCCGACAAAAGTCCAGTCCAATGGGGCTGTCGGGTCGTCATGCTCTGTGGCACGTTCTATCGGAATGACAGCATCATGGAAGGTGACTCCTTTACCGACCTCTCCAAGGCGGTCGACGATGTTTTCCACCAAGGCGGAATGGAACGCATTGGTGACATTGAGGCGCTTGCTCTTCACGCCCTCAATCGCGCTGCCTTTCCCAGTCAGCGTAGCGGCAAATGCGTCGATAGCTTTTGTCGATCCGGCAACGGTGAAGCTACGTGGTCCATTGTAACAGGCGATAGCAGCGGATCCGTCAGATTCAAGGTTTGATTTCTTAAGGAGCTGATGCACAAGAGCTTCATCAGCCTCGATCGCCATCATGGCGCCTGGATCGGGTCCCCAAGAGCTTTGTACAAGTTTAGCCCGACCAGCAATCACCTTGACTGTATCGTCCAGACTCAGCACACCGGCTACACAGAGTGCTGTTATCTCGCCAAAACTATGGCCCACGAGGGACACTACCTTGCCGGAGAGTCCACAGTCTATCCAGCTCTTGGCCGAGGCGTACTGCATGGCAAAGAGCGCTGTTTGGAGCTTGACTACATCCTGATACGGCTCGCAAGAGAAGATACCAGGGTAGATACTGTCTAGGCCATGGGATGTGATGGCAGCATCGCATTCATCCAGGTGATGCCGCAAGACCGCTGCACCATCGTATATCGCGCGGTCGAGTCCGACAAATGTCGAAACCTGACCACCGAAGCAAAGAACGACAGGGCGCTCAGGCTTTACAGGTAAAATGCCAACGCTGTAGGCTGTGTCTTTAGTAGCCGCGGCTGCCTTGGCAAGTTTGTCTTGTAGCTCTCCCAAGGAACTGCAGCTAAAGGCCAGCCCCTGTGGAAGGCCGGGGTTTGATTGCCACTTCATGTTGAACGACAAATCGGCCAAGGTAGCTCGCCCATCTTCAGATGCAGTGTGAGAGCGGATATAGGGGGCCAGCGCGGCGCTATAAGCCGCAATGCTGCGGACATCGAGGCCTGAGATCCAAAAGGGTAATTTAGGCAATGATCCGGGCAAGAAGGGTTTGGCAGACTTATGAGCCGAGTGAGCAACTACCACGCTTGAGTTGGATCCACAGGCACCATAGTTGTTTAGCAAAGCGACCTTTCGGTCTCCCGGCCAGGACCGTAATGATGTGACAACCTCCATGTTGTCTGACGACTGCGCATGAATATTGGGATTCATACTTTTGAAGCTAGCCTGGGGAGGAATGTAATTGCCTCGCATCATCATGAGAACCTTGATGAGAGAGACAATGCCGGAAGCACCCTCCGTATGACCAACATGACCCTTGATCGAGCCAATGGGCAGTACAGTGTTGCGCAGAGGACCTGCTACAGCATTACGAATACTTTGCCATTCTGCAGGGTCTCCGACGGGTGTACCAGTGCCATGACACTCGACCAACGAAATATCCCGCGGATCTACGCGAGCTTTGCGGATCACATCATTGAAGAGTGTCGATAACGAAGGTACGTTGGGTACAAACAGTGGCGTGGTGTTTAGATTCTGATTGATACCAGTAGCGCGAACGGTTCCGAGGATTGTGTTGCCATCGGCCACGGCAGTTGAAAGCTTTTTCAGGAAGACATAGGCGATTCCGTCGCCGCGACAGTAGCCGTCTGCATTGGAGTCGAATGGTTTACATTGACCTGTCGGACTGATGAAGCTGCCAGCGGCGAGGTTTTGTGTCCACTGCAGGTTAGTCAAGACATTGACACCACCGCAAAGCGCTGCCGGGACTTCACCAGACAGCAGATCTCTACAAGCCATGTGAAGAGCGGTCGTAGAAGATGAGCATGCGGTATCGAATGTCAAAGATGGACCTGTCCATCCGAAGTAATGCGATACCCTGCCAGGGATGAAGCTCCTCAGCTCTCCCGTTCCTGTGAAGGCGCTGGTTGGGTGGCAATGGATGTTGACGTCGTACTCATAGGAGCAGAGGCCAACGTAAACACCTACGTGCTTTCTTCTTTCGTGTTCGGCTGTGCTGGTGGTGGCCAGCTCGTTGAAATATCCGGACTGTGCGATAGAATTATACGCCGCTTCCAGCGAAAGTCGGCCTTGCGGGTCTATCGCCATCGCCTCACGTGGACTCTTCTTGAAGAATTTGTGATCGAAAGCATCCGCGTCGCGCATGAAATTGCCATACCACTTTCTGTCAGGGTCGGGATTGTCGCGGAACAACATGTCGGATGTCATGCGTTCACGCGTAATGACCTCATGCTGCGACTCTCCGGTCTTGAGCATCTGCTCAAACTCTTCTAAATCTTGACCACCCGCAACCTTGAGAGACATGCCCACGATGGCAATAACATCTTCGGAATCCTCTTCGGGCTTGACGCTAGGTGCGCTCTGTTGCGTGGCTTGAGCTAGCTCGACGACGCCTGGGCCATTTACCGTGTTATTGTCATTGCTTTGTGGCTGTTGGCGCAATGGTACCCTAAATTTGTTTATTTCATCTTCGACATCCTCAAAGTGTACTTGTTTTGAACCGAATGCGCGCAGAATGGTGGGTGGTAGAGGACGATCGAGTCCAAAAGCAATGAGTGAGATATCTTCCTTGTTGGTTACAAGTTTCGACACGGTACTGGTCCAGTTTAACTGATGGGCCAGGATGGAGCGCAACACCATACCAACCAAGTCGACTTCTTCACCTGAGATCTGCTTCCCCTCGGGGTGATCGAGGTAAGTGGGCAATGCCAGTTTGGCAGCATCCGGGAACTGCAGCTCAGGCAAAGAGTGGCACACTTTGATCAAGGCTTCAGTCTGACGCTGCCGCTCTGCCGTTGGTGTATGGAGTTGACCTTTGAAGGCGAGCGGTATGGCAGTGATGCCCGCTGCCCGAAGCTGTCTGACCAATTTGGGCACAAGGCGCTCCGAAGCTGTCACGGTGGCTCGAGATTCGTCGAAGAGGACAGAGATGTAAGCATCAGGTGACAACTTGGAGACGATGCGAACCATATCCTGGCTCTGTTTTGGAGTTCTCCACGCTGTAGCCAAAGAGACGGAGCCGCCTTTGCCAAGGCCCTTTGTTGATGCTTCAGTGGCTCCAACGAGGGCTGCCATCAGCGCCCCGATGCGCAGTGCCGTGGCACCGTACTTTTCGAATTCTTGTCGATTGTGGGAGCTTGCGACGGCGACGGCAGCGATCATTCCAGCGCAGAAGCCCACCGTCTCAACTTTATTGCTTCCACCAGGCGGTTGCTCCTGTTGTTTCTTAAGTAGGAGTGCTTGCAGGTCCTTTGCATCTATTACAGTCAGACTGTTGAATCGAAACTGTAGATAGCGCCAGTACTGATCCAGCTGAATCGAGACCATTAGAACCCCGATCCAAAGGTCTGGTATTTCGGTGTCCGGAGCTAGCGTCACAACGGAATCGGCACCATGTCGGAACCAAGACTCGAGATCAGCCAGCAGACGAGCACCGTCCATTGTACTGGCCAACTCAGGGATCTCTTGTGTCAAGGCTTGCCAGTACCGTGGCAAACCGGCCAAGGTTTCTAGTATCCATTTTCCATTATCTCCGTCAACAATTTGCCGTACTTGTTTTTCCAAAGAGTTTTTGGTTTGTGGCCCAATGTGTCCTCCAAAAATAAAGCTTGTTGCTTCACGAACGTTTGATAGCGAGGTAGGTGAAACGGAAGCCATCGTCGTTGTCCGATGTGGTGTGAGATGGAGGCGACTGATGGTCCGAGTAATAGTTGAGATGGGTAGTCAACGAACGATCTAAGCGTTCAATCGCGCAGAATGGGCCGACTTGTTTGGTATGTTTTGTGAAGAACGACTAACACCGAACCCATCTTTGCTCTTTTTAAATAAGCTGATGCTATCTTTTGCCTCTTTTCCAAACTGTGGTAGAGTGAGGTACATACCGGGCTTAGTTGCCTTACCGCAGGAACTTTTGTGCAGGACGAAGGATTCAAGCTGAGAATTGTCTTCGGAGTTACGGAAGAAAATAACAGCGACTAGTCAGCACACAAATAAGCACTATTATTCTCATGTGCGAACAGGAAATTCGATTCTGCATGACAGAAACAAACGTAATTATTGGGGTGGAAAGGCTTTGGCCGTTTGGCATGCACCATTTATCACTTCAGCATCCCAGCGCGACGGTAAGCACGTGCCAAGCACATGGAGAAGACACCGAATATCTGGTTAATTAATGTACGCGGTATTGTACCTGTGTTACAGAAAAGACCGCATATACGCGATGTGACAATGAATCTGAGTCAAAATTTAAGTTAACGCAGGTGAATGGGTATTTCGGAACTCCTTGGTGGGGGATTAGGAGTGGGCAGATTCTGGGGAATTGAAAGTCCGGATTAAAGATCCAGACGCACGAGTGGTGCAGTAACTTACGAGCAGGCTCCGCTTTACAGATGTCCCGTTACAGTTATCTACCGGACTAACCATAATTGATGTATATAATTTGACATCAGCTGATACTACATATCTTTGTTAAATGTTTTGTATATATTGTATTGTTTGGCAGTCTCTCTAATCTTGATTCTGCAGGCTTCTTGGTACTTTCTTCAGCATAATCACTTTTAGAAAAGTGTAAATCCGCCTTCAAAAGGGATCTACAGAATCAGAATTCGTTAAGCATCTTCACCATGGCAAACAGCAACAACAACGGCAACGGTGTTGCGCCCTCTCTCGAGGTCGCCATCGTGGGCGGTGGCGTAGTCGGCGTCATCACGGCACTCGGTCTCCGTCGTCGCGGTATCAAAGCAGTTATTTACGAGCGAGCACCTACCTGGCATGAAGTTAGCGCTGGATTTGCATTCACAGGCGCAGCACGGGTTTGGATGGAGATGTTGGATCCTGCTCTCGTCGAACTCTTGGGCAACATCAGCCAGAAGACGGACGCCAACACGAGCAACGCCTACTGGAATGGCTACCACCCGCGAACCCGGGAGGAATCTGAGGATGAGTCAAAGTCTTTGCTCTTCCGGACGCCAACCAATAACCTCAGCTTCTGGGGTTGCGTACGCTCGCAGTTCCTGCAAGGGATGGCGGACCTTCTTCCTGAAGGTGCGGCAAAGTTTGGCAAGCAGCTTGTGAGCTACGACGACGACCACGAGAGCGGAAAGGTCGTGCTTCACTTTGACGACGGCAGCACAGCCGAGGCCGATGTATTGCTTGGCTGCGACGGTATCCATTCGGCCACCCGGAAATTCATGTTGGGGGCCGACCATCCCGCAAGCCGGCCGGGCTTTAGTCACACTGTCGTCTACCGTACCATGGTACCTATCGAAGAGGGGATTGCAGCCCTTGGCAACAAAGTTGCGAAGTGCGCCTGCAATCACTTGGGTCCAAATGCAGACCTGTTGGTGTATCCGGTTCGTACTCGGTTCACTCTGATCATTCATCACTTGCTAATATAGTGTTTCTAGGTCATGTCCGGAACTCTGCTCAACATTGCCGTCTTCGCTTACGAAGAGTCGGAGTTTCCCGACCCGGACAAAATGATAGTTCCGGCAGAGCGTGAAGAGATCAAGGAGCTTTTCAAGGGTTGGAGTCCCCAGGTCGCCGACATTTGGAAGCTCTATCCGGAGAAGCTAGTGAAGTGGGGGATCTTTGATCTGGAAAATAACCCGCCCCCCACGTATGCAACTGGCCGCGCCTGTCTTGTCGGCGATGCCGCGCACGCCAGCACGCCGTACATGGGGGTCGGCGCTTGCACCGGTGTTGAGGACTCCCTTGTCATCTGTACGCTCCTGGAGTCCGTGCAGCAGAAGGCACTCAGTGGCGATGAGCTGCGAGAGGCGTTGGCAAAAGCGCTGCAGACTTACAATAGCGCAAGACTGGAGCGTGGCCGATGGATCCATCACCACTCGCGCCAGATGGGCCAGATGTATCACTGGCGATACGGCCCTACCGGACGCGATCCGCAGCGCATGAAGCAGAAGTTGGAGGAGAACTGGGGCAAGGTTGTGAGCTACGATATTTTCGCACCTTTGGAGCCTGAAATACGCGAGTTGGCAATGAGTCATTCCGCTGTGGCTGTTGCCTGAGCTGAATGCCGGTCGTCATGTTGATTTACTTGGATTGAAGAAAGAGAATATGATGGCGTTGCTAGGGAAATGCTTAGTGTTAGGAATTTGAAAAAGAAGTTATTATATGACTCGATTCGTGTTTGTGAACTTTACATGCCGTAATATTTATTAGAAAATGCCTTACGTGCTTTTTAATGCCTTTCTACATATTATGCAAATGCAAAGTCTTTCTCGATAATAACTTAATCTATCAAAAGTTCAGTATTAGTTAAACTACTTCATCACGTTTGAGAATAATTTTGATGTTAAACCAGTGGGGAACGATTTTGATAGTCAAAGGAAAAATATCAAAACAGCATCATTACAAATGCAGCTCAAAATGTCAAAATACAAGCACGAAATAATACACTGGGTTCAAAGTTACGATCGAAAAATGCAAACGATATATTTTAATGTGGCATTACAGTTATTGCCAATTCTACCCTGTTCTTCCCTTCACTGAGGCGGCTTCATGATAGAGCGATCGCCAGTAGACCAAACATGGTTAGACTTCATCGTCTTCAATTTCCAAATCCCGTCCACCTTGACAGCATCGCAGGTGTAAAGCGCTCCCGTTGTGAACTTTGTAGAATCCGGCTCGTAGCCCTTGTCGAGTATGCAGTGCACAGCCATGGCGCTGAAGGTAACACGGCCGGTGGTTTCGGTGTCGACGCTCACGCGCATGTTGTTGAGATAGTGGACAGTGTCAACCCGGTTGCTGACATTCACCCAGACCTTGTCTCTAAGCTCATCATAGCCGTTGCAGACTTTGAAGGCAATATCGGTGTAGACGTCGGGCGTCACGCTTGATTTCAGAAGCTCCTCGCTGCATTGGTCGATGGACAAGAAAGCGCGGTAGCATGCGTCGGCGATGGCTTCGCGGTCGCTCAAAGGCGGACCGGGGAGCTGGGCGGGCAGAGGAGTACCGTTTCGCACCATGGTTTCTGCGGGTTCGTTGGAACGTTGTGGTTGTTTTTGTTATTGATGGAGTGAAAAAGTTGTTTGCTCACTTAGACATATTCACTCAGTAGTTATTATAGTCATTCTCACTTTGGACCCCAGTCTGAACTCATCGATAGTATCTCCGGAGCGTCAGCACTAGCATAAAGATATCCCGTAAGGCTGTGCAAGGATCGCGTATGACTTAACCAATCACAGGAGTCCGCATCATTTTGGTTCATCCTAGATTTGTTATCCCGCTACCGGGCGATTAATGCACGATGCAGCTAGCTCAAGCTTATCTGCGAAAGGATGCTGATGGTAGTCTTTGTCGATCATGTCCGGTATGCCAAGAAGCGAGTCCTTGCATACACATCGACTGGGGGTAAGGGAGGTTCATTATGTCAGCCTCATGTTGAAGAAGTATATCGGAGATTATGTAACTGGTTTTATATGCGAGGTGTTCGAACTTGTAACTTCAATCAATCCGTCGTAACCAAGCTTGCAAAATCATTCACTTGATGTAATTAACAACATACGCGGATAATTCCATATTGTTCGGACCTAAAATCGCGATCATTTTCTCGCTCAGCAACCTTTCGCAGCGCATCCCACTTCAACCGGAGCCATGTTTATGAGGCGGGGCTAAGATTGCCCGCGACAATGCCGCCCACTATTTGCCGTTATGCATGCAACTGGGGTCTATTGTGCATCCTTCGGGAAATCAACTGTATCCAAGACTTAACCAGTCTTCCTCGAGAGTCAAACTACATGAACTACGAACAAGATTACGACGATATATTGCCTGGATTCATCTTCATTCTTTATGGTCAATGGTGTCTCCTTGCACAATCAAGTACTCTCACCCAAATCCCCAAAGTCTGTGCATCCCCATTCAGAAGTCCTGGCCACCATATATTCCACTCGAACATCATTCAATTCATCATCAGAAGAGGAGCATACAGTCTTAATTTGACCCAAACATTTCGATACAATGGACACCGACAACAGCGAGTGGGCCAGCGAGCCCATTGCCGTCATCGGCATGAGTTGCAAATTCTCAGGCGGCGCCAGCAACCCAGACAAGCTTTGGGACCTCATGTCTTCAGGAAAAACCGGCTGGAGCGAAATCCCAGACGATCGGTTCAATCTAAACGGAGTTTACCATTCGAACCACGAAAGAAACAGCACGGTATGCAATTGATCAACCCACGGTTGGCCACGCCAACAATCTGCTAACAACCAGTTCCAGACGCATGTTAAGGGGGGGCATTTTCTTGACAATGATGTAGCAGCATTTGATGCGGCATTCTTCAACTACTCTGCGGAGATGGCCCAAGCAGTCGACCCGCAATTCCGACTGCAGCTCGAATCTACTTACGAGGCTCTCGAAAATGGTGCGCCTTCGCTAATGATACTGTAGACTGTTTTGACACGCTGCTAACGCGCTCATAGCTGGTTTGCCTCTCTCACAAGTCATGGGTTCACAGACGTCCGTGTTCGCTGGCGTCTTCACACACGACTACCAAGAGGGGATAATACGAGATGAAGATAGGCTGCCTCGGTTCAATGTTGTAGGCACATGGAGCCCCATGTCATCCAACCGCATCTCGCACTTCTTTGACTTCCGTGGCGCCAGCATGACCCTGGAAACGGGATGTTCAACGACACTGGTCGCCCTCCACCAAGCAGTAAATACCCTACGCAACCGTGAGGCCGATATGTCTGTGGTGACCGGCGCCAATGTCATGCTGAATCCGGACACATTCAAGGCCATCGGATCCCTGGGCATGCTATCACCGGACGGCAGGTCATACGCATTCGATTCTCGCGCCAATGGATACGGCCGCGGAGAGGGCGTAGCCACCATCATCATCAAGCGGTTATCAGACGCGCTGGCTGCTAACGACCCCATTAGGGCCGTCATTCGAGAGACGGCATTGAATCAAGACGGCAAAACAGACACCATTACGACACCATCCGGTAGCGCTCAGGTAGAGCTCATGCGGGAATGCTACCGCCGGGCCGGTCTCGACCCACGCGGCACCCAATACTTTGAGGCCCATGGTACGGGAACTCCAACAGGTGACCCAATCGAGGCGGGAGCCATGGCTGCTATTTTTGGCATAGGTGAAGGCCGCGACAACAAGGAACACTATCTACGTATTGGTTCAGTCAAGACAAACGTGGGCCACACTGAAGCCGCCTCGGGTCTCGCCGCCATCGTTAAAGGTGTATTGTGCTTCGAGAAAGGGCTGATACCTCCCACTGTGAACTACGAGATCCCCAATCCGAAGCTCAAGCTTGACGAGTGGCATCTCAAGGTGGTGAGGGAAGTAGAACAGTGGCCCGATAGTTTGGTTGACGGTCCTCGCCGCATGTCTATCAACAATTTTGGCTACGGTGGAGCCAATGCTCATGTCATTCTGGAGAGCGCCGACCCATGGACTCTACCTTTGGACCTGGATCTTAACCCCGTCAACGGCAACGGTAATGGCACTCATATTGTAAATGGCAATGGTCATCCCAACGGTAAGGGCTATGAGAATGGCAGTTATCATACCAACGACACCCAAGAAGACGCCAAGGTGCTTATTCTTAGTGCCCGCGACGAGCGCGGTTGTCAGCAAATGGTTTCAGACCTCAAGGCATATTTGGAAAATCACAAGTCGCTTGGATACAAGGCCTCGGAACAGTTGCTGCGTAATCTCAGCTACACTCTGAACGAGCGGCGGACGCTGTTCCAATGGGTTGCGGCACACCAGGTACGGCTGGAGAAAGACGGGACGCTTGACACCGCCATCCAAGCCCTAGACTCGCCTCGATTCAAGCCCAGCCGCCGAGCCTCGGACAGTCCTCGTATCGGCTTCGTTTTTACCGGCCAGGGTGCGCAGTGGTATGGCATGGGTCGTGAACTATTGACGTCGTATCCTATCTTCCGCCGTTCTATAGAGGAAGCCGAGGCGTACCTACAAGCTCTTGGTGCAGACTGGTCTCTCATCGAGGAGCTGCATCGCGATGCAAAAACAACAAAAGTCCACGCCACGAATATCAGTATTCCCCTCTGCGTAGCGGTGCAGATCGCATTGGTAAGCCTGCTTGAATCGTGGGGCATCACGGCATCGGGCGTTGTGAGCCACTCATCGGGCGAGATCGCAGCTGCCTTCGCCGTGGGTGCCCTCACACATCGTCAGGCCATGGCCACGGCTTACTACCGTGCCATGCTGGTAGCAGACGAGACAAACCGCGCACCGGGTGCTGCCAAGGGTGCTATGGCGGCGGTTGGCTTGGGTGTTGACGCAGTGCAGTCGTACATCGATAGACTGACGAAGGGTAAAGCTGGTGTCGCATGTGTCAATAGCCCGAAGAGTGTCACTATTTCTGGTGATGCTGACGCTGTTCAAGAGATAGAGGACTTATGCAAACAGGACGACGTCTTCGCTCGCCGCCTCAAGGTCCAGCAGGCATACCACTCACACCACATGGACCCATTTGCTGATGCTTACCGGGAGCGTCTTCGAATCGAAATGGCGCGAGATGTACTGCAAACCGGCAAGCAACACCTGAACACAGCCACGCAAGAACTCAAGGCGGTTTTCTCTTCAGCGGTGACTGGTGGGCGTATTACCAACATCAAGGAAATCGCCAGTCCCGACCACTGGGTTGGTAGTCTTGTGCAGCCTGTTGAATTTGTGGAAGCCTTTACCGAAATGGTTCTTGGGGATCCGGATGATCCTACTGGAAGAAGTGTCGACGCACTGCTCGAGGTCGGCCCTCATACGGCGTTGGGAGGACCTATCCGCGAGATCTTGTCCCTGCCCGAGTTCGAGGGCATTGATCTCCCATACTGGGGTTGCCTGGTCCGCGACGAACACGCAGGCGACAGCATGCGATCAGCCGCCATCAACCTGTTTCGTCAAGGGCAATCTTTGGTCATGGACCAGATCAATTTCCCCGTCCCTGCGTATGACGATGAGGGCCCTCAGGTCCTCACAGACTTGCCATCTTATCCCTGGAATCACAGCATGCGTCACTGGCAAGAGTCAAGAATCAACAAGGCCATTCGCGAACGTAGTCAGCCCCCTCACGAACTTCTCGGTATGCCCGTCGCAGGCAATGACCCTAGTGCAGCCGTGTGGCGCCGCATCCTGCGCGTTAACGAGACCCCATGGGTTCGCGATCACATGGTGCAAGGTAGTATTGTATATCCAGGGTCCGGCTACATTTGTCTAGCAATCGAAGCTGCCAGGCAGTTAGAGAAGATAGCTGCCGCTGAAGGTGACGATTCCAGTAGTATTATATCGGGATTCCGCCTTCGCGATGTCAACTTCCTTTTCGCGCTCGTTATTCCGGACAACGCGGACGGCGTTGAGATCAGAACTACACTTCAGGCCGTCCCTGAGCGTGAAATTGGCGTTCGTGGTTGGCGGCGATTCGAGGTATCGTCAGTCAGATTGGATAACCGATGGACTTTGCACGCCAAGGGCATGATTATGGTCGAGCGGAAGACAACAGCCTCGGAGACGACAGAGCGCCGTCCGTTGTCAACTTATACCCGCCATCCAGACCCCCAGGACTTGTTCGCCAACCTTAGGGCTCGGAGCGTCTACCATGGCCCCCTGTTCCAGAACACGGCCAAGATTGTTCAGGATGGTCGGGAGCCTCGATCTGTATGCGATATCACGGTCCGTCACGAAGCTTCGACCGACACAGACCCGGTGGTGGCAGCTCAGAACACCTTGTTACACCCAATAACGCTTGATGCCGTCGTCGTGGCCTTTTACTCTGCACTCCCGAGCGTTGGGGCTCTGCAGGATGACCCCAAGCTACCGCGGTCTGTCGCATCGATGTGGGTGTCAAGCGACATCAGCCGCGAGATCGGCCACACCTTGCGCTGCGATACCTCGCTGCTGCATGAAGATGCTCAAAGCGGTGTCGCTGACATAACAGTGTTTGACGGGGAGACAGACGCAACGGTACTCAAGATCAAGGGTGTTGAGTTGGCGTCTCTGGGGCGTGGAAGCGGAGCCACCGCTCGCCAGGATGCAGCAAACAAGGGCGGAAACGCCTTTATCAGCAAATGGGAGCAAGAGGTGTGCAGCAAACTTGTTTGGGGACCCGATCTTTCTCTTCGAAACCCGTTGGCTCTCGAACAGATCAAGAAGCAACTCGTTCGCAAAGGTTCGGATGTCGAAGCTGGCACTGTCAGAGACCTAAATCGGTTGTGCGTTTACTTTGCTCGCGATATGCTCGAAAAACTCACTTCAGAGGACGTAACCCAACTGCAGGAGCAACCGCACTTGGCCAAGTACTACACATGGCTTCATGAATTGACTGCCAAAGCCGACAAGGTATGGGTGCTGGACGAGTCTGAGAAGCGTCAGCAATTCATCACTGCTACTGCCACTCAAAGTGTTGATGCAGAGTTGATCTGCCGTCTCGGACCCCTCCTCCCATCTATCCTTCGTGGTGAGCTCAACGTGGAAGAAGTGGCTGAGTTGATACATGATTACAACGCCAAAGCCATGCGTCGCTCATCAGCACTTGGACAGCTCTCCAAGTTGTTGCAAAAGGTCGCACACAAAACCCCCGGTGCCCGCGTCCTCCAAATCGGTAACAATACTGGCGCCAACGTGACACGCTTCTTACTGGAGTCGCTTGGCACGCCCAAGACGTCCTTGGTGGAAAGCTGGCACATAACCGAGCCATCTTCGGAGTCTTTTGAGGTAGCCCGTGGTAAGCTTTCTGAATGGACCAACTTGGTTGAGTTCGACCAACTGGACCTCGATCAGAGCCTCTCCAAGCAGAAATTTACCCCAGGCAGCTACGATATTGTTGTGTCTTTCCAAGGCCTTCGCGGCATCAAGAACACGACTAGTGCTGTCGCTAATGTGCGCAACCTGCTGAAGCCAAGCGGCACGTTTCTTTTCGCTGAGACGACCAAAGACCAGGCCGATGTAGATTTTATCTTTGGGCTGCTACCGGGCTGGTGGCAGAGCCAGGATGGTTCAGATCACACGACCATTACAACATCCTCCTGGGATAATATACTCCGAGACGCTGGTTTTAGTGGTGTGGATCTTGAAGTTCCTGACTCGGAGAGTGACATGATGCATACTAATAGTATCATCATGTCCACTGTGCCAATCACTGAGGAGCAGAAGCTGAAACTTGATAAGGCGAGCGACCAAGACAGGTTTGTCGTGGTCAGCAGCAATAAGACGCCTCTACCACTAGGCTTTGTTGACCTCCTTTCCCAGCGCATCCAAGCTTTGACCGGTCATGATAGTGTCGCTCCCGATCACCTCATTCTCGAGAAAAGCAGCCTCGACAAGTACAAGAACAAGATTTGTGTTTTTGTGGGCGAGATTGACAAACCAATTCTGGAGGATCTCGGTACAGTCCTTATGGAAGGCGTCCGCGCCATGGTCACACAATGCAAGGGACTGCTATGGGTTACGACCGGTAGCACCGTGGAGAGCGAGGCGCCTGAGCGGGCTCTTTCCCACGGCTTTCTGCGTGTATTGCGAAACGAGTACATTGGTCGTCATTTCCTATCCCTGGACCTTGATCCTGTTCATGCGAAGGATGGATGGTCTTCGGGAGCAGACGTTGCCATTTCGACGATCGAACAGGTACTTGGAAAGGGATTCGACCATGCCAAGAATGAAGCTTTCCCGTCCGAGTTCGAGTACGCCGAGCGTGACGGTGTTTTACACGTTCCCCGATACTACAAAGACGACAAGTATAATGATATGGTAACTGGCCCGCTCGTGCCGAGCTGGACTGAGATGCTACCAGTAGCCAAGGATGAGAAGGGAAGTGCTAACCCTTCTACCAACCTTCCTCTGGAGCCTCTATTCCAAGCAGACCAGTTCTTGCGGCTGGAAGTGGGCATCCCGGGACATTTGGACACATTGGCTTTTGTCCATGACGAGAAACATGATGAGTCGTTGGCACCTCAGTTTGTCGAGATTACCCCTCGGGCCTACGGAGTTTGCTCGCGAGACGTTATGTCCGCTACGGGCCAGATCAAAGATCGCTCTATGGGACTTGAATGCGCGGGTATCATCCGACGCGTTGGTACTGAGGCTCAGCAAAAGGGCTACAATGTTGGCGACCGTGTTATGGCACTTACGACTGGCGCATCTTTCGCCAACTATGTCCTTGTTCCGTGGCATGGCGTCATCCAGGTACCAAACGGCATGGACTTTACTGCTGCTGCGTCAATTCCCCTGGCTTTTACCATTGCGTATGCTGCCCTCATCGACACCGCGTGTCTGACAGCTGGGCAGTCGGTGCTCATCCACGCCGCGGCTGGAGCCATCGGGCAAGCCGCCATCATGCTGGCGAAGCGTCTCGGTGTAACGGAAATCTACGCAACTGTTGGGTCGCAGGAAAAGAGAGAACTTCTCCAACGCGAATACGGCATCCCTACCGAGCGTATTTTTTCCAGCCGCAACGCGTCTTTCGGTGCAGCCATTCTTGCTGCCACCCACGGACGTGGCGTCGACCTTGTGCTCAACTCATTGCCTGGTCCTTTACTACAGGCAAGTCTCAGTGTAGTCGCGCCTTTGGGCTACCTGGTTGAAATTGGCAAGAAAGACATCGAGAGCAACAGCCTAGTGGCTCTAGAATCATTCTCTCGCGGCATTTCCTTCATAACCCTAGATGTTCCGACACTCCTGCGTCGCCGTGGACCGGAAGTCCATCGCGCTCTTGATGAGATTGTCCGCCTTTTGGAACAGCAGGCGGTGAAGCCGGTTCAACCCGTCACTGTTTTCCCCATGCAAGATGCTCAGGCGGCATTCCGCTTCGTGCAGACGGGCGCACACTTGGGTAAGGTTGTGCTCTCGGCCAGAACAGACGAACTCGCCCACGTTGTCCCTCAGCCTAGGGGAGTTACAGCTCGAACCCGCCTTCGACCTGATTCATCTTACCTCATCGTAGGTGGTGTGGGTGGTATCGGACGTTCAGTCGCGCACTGGCTGGTAGCTCATGGTGCGAAGAACCTGATACTGTTGTCTCGCAGCGCCGGTGATCTCGACCATGACAAGAACAATAACACTGATGGAGCGCTATTCATCCGCGAATTGCGCGAGGCTGGTTGCCGAGTGAAGCCTGTCAGCTGCGACATCGCCATTCCCAGTTCACTGACCATGGCTCTCAGAGCTTGTGAAGATGACGGTCTTCCTCCGGTGCGTGGCGTTATCCAAGGTGCTATGTTGCTACGTGACGCCATCTTTGAACAAATGACACTCGATGACTGGCACAGCGGCCTGCGACCGAAGCTGTACGGCACCTGGAATCTGCACACCGAGTTCTCGCAGCCAGGCTCATTGGACTTTTTCGTCATGCTATCATCCGTCTCGGGCGTTGTCGGTATTGCTTCGCAAACAAACTACGCTGCAGGCGGCTCCTACGAAGATGCTATGGCTCGCTGGCGTCAATCCCGAGGCCTACCCGGCGTCGCAATCGATCTCGGCCCCATCTCCGACATAGGCTACGTGTCGACCTCGGCCAAAGTCGCAGAGCGCCTGCGCAAGGATGGAGACTTTGCTATGCTCGACGAAGACATGGTCCTCCGCGCCCTCAACGCTGCCGTTTTGCACCCGCTCGGCGCACGCTCTCAGATCATTGTTGGTCTCAACTCCGCCCCAGGACCTCAGTGGGACGCAAATGGCCGCTCTCAGCTGGGCCGTGACGCGCGATTTTCACCCCTGCGACCGCGGACCAAAGCCTCCGCGCGACCAACCGATGGTGAGAGCACTGGTACGTCCCTCGCCACACAGCTTGCCGAGGCCAGTGACCAAGAACAAGGAGCGGAGCTCATTGGCGCGGCCATCGCCACTAAACTTGCGGATATCTTCATGACCCCAGTTGCAGAGATCGATCTTAGCAAGCCCCCGGCTCACTTTGGGGTTGACTCGCTGATTGCGGTGGAGTTGAGAAATATGCTTGTCTTACAAGCTGCGGCAGACATTTCAATTTTTAACATTTTACAAACGTCGAGCCTTGCCGCTCTGGCAAAGTTGGTAGCTGAGAAGAGCCAGCATTTTCAAGAAGCTTAGGAGGTCAGAATATTACATGTAGGGCATACCGGAGAGGAGTGTGGAAAAAAAGAACATGAAAAGGAAATTATAACTTGACCTATTTTTTTATTTCAAAAACTTGAAAAATATTAGAATATCCTCCATAGTAATAAACTATACATCAATCAAAATTTACAAATAGTTTCACTCTTAAATATTTTGAAAGGATGATTTCCAAAATATGGTAGAATTAAGGGGTCATCAAACAACATGATAGGAAAAGGAAACGTATTTGATAAAGGCTTCTATGTAAAGTGATATAAGTATTTAAATATTGACCCAAACAGTTGTGGATTGTTGACTATGTCAGAATAGAACTATCTCGTCTGAAAGTCTCTATGTAACTATTCCCTTCCGCAACTCCAGAAAACACTACATACACCGAAGTGATTCCAAACGATGACAGTCAGAACATGGAGGAAATGTAGAGGTATGCAAGAAACCAGAGATGTAAATTTATAAGACATTCTTTGTATTCCTTGTCTATTCTATCTATCAATAAGAACCCGCATGTTACGTCTTAGGCTCGTCAAAGTCTTCAAAATCCTACAGATTGCCCGCGTAGGTATAGTCTAAAACTCCCAAATTCCACGATTTTTTTTTAAAGATTATTTTACTATACACTCACATGCAGCTCTCGGTTTAAGTGAGGGTACATTGATTGTTGTTTGGAGGCTCCAAAAGTTGGATGAAGTCTTCTGCAAGCTTGTTCAAGCCGGTTAAAGCTCGCAGAGTCGTAATGATATTTGGCATGAGCCTCATGTAAGCGTTGTTTAGTCCGGGGTGGGACTGAGAGAACCGAGCGCCTAGCAGCAACAGAATGGGCGTCAGGGGATGCATCTGATAGATCGTTAGAAATGAGCTCTTTCACGTTGCAATAGCTGCAATAATTAGGAGGTAACTTTACTTGAAAATGTTGACCAAGCACGGCAACCAGGAGTGCTATATCTGTGACGGCATCCATTGATTGCTGCTTGTGTTCCGTGAAGAGAGCTTGAGTAAGCTGCGTTCCTTGTGCGTCAGTGCCAAGTGGCCGGGATTCCACGAGATCGTAGAGCATAAGCACGGCTATGTGTGCCGCGAGAGTAGCAAATGCGATGGTAGTATCTGGGTATTCCAATGACGCATGTATTCTTAGCATCTTGATGTGTTGCCCCAACAGCGTATTGATGGCACGGTGCTCACGACAGAAGTCTTGACAAGATCTTGTCGGAGACTTCTGTTTATGCTCCAAGACCCGTCCACAGAGAGTAGCTCCGATGATGTTCTCGGTAAACGAAGAGACATTCTCGTGCGGCCACTCCAAGTCGACGACTGGGATCATTTCTGAGAGGAGACTCATGTCCACTGGACGACCACTTGCAAAATTGGCCTCTGGAGCTGGCAATCGCGTACGAATCTGCAAGATAGTAAGTATGCAGTCCTTTGCACGAGATATTGCTCTATTGAAAACGTACCAGCTGCTCATCGAAGAACATATGTAGCCCATCAATCATGCTCGTGAACCGATCGATGGTATAGGCAAGCCAGAAGGTCCGCCTTTTACTTTCAATCTCGATCCAGTCGTCTTGACCTAGTGCCCGCCCTCGATACTGTTCCAGTTGCATGGTTGCAGATGTTTGCGGTATGTCAAGCTCGTATAATCTCATCATTTGGATTAGGCGAAAGGCCCTCCCGGCAGACATCATACCTCTGTGGAAATCTTGGCATGTTAGCTCATAGATCGCCAGCAAGGTCCATGCCTGCGCCTGCTCGAGGCATATTTGGTGGCATTGTTCCTCCGACTCGAGGGCATGCAGAAGTTGTCTTGTCTTTGCGTATAATTTCCGGCCGTCGTTCTGGAATTGACTGGATAATGACGAGGCCAACGTCCACATTGCATGCTGTAGACAGGTTTTCTGCTTGCTCTTGTTGGGTTGTTTAGACCAAGATCGGTAGCGGTGCGCCTGCAATATCGGCGCAAATGCATAAGCGCGATCGAAGTAGAGCTGGTCTCTACAAGTCTTAGCACGTCTTGTCTGTCAGTGACTGTCAAGTATCAAGACTTACAGGTCGTTGTGCATCATAGGAGTAATCAAGAGGTCGGAGTCTTTTGGGTTCTGGACCAGCTCCTGGAGGTTATCCAGTGAAGAAAGTGATGGGATCGAGGGAATTGAGTGTAGTGAGGGAAACGGGGAGTTTGTGTAAGAGTTATCGAAGCATTCCCAAGGCTCTTTGTCGATGATGGGGAAATGGAATTCCATTGGTGCTGGCCATTGCGGGATGTCAATGGCTGTTTCGGCATTTGTGCTGGTATTGTCCTGGATTTCATTGTTGTCCACACTGCTTCCACCGTCGTTGCCAGTGCTCCCTCCATCTTGTGAGGGTGATGTTGCTTGCATCTCAGGAGCGGCAATAATAGTAGATGCACCTTGCTGCTTTTCCAGCTGGGACTGGAGGTCCTCTGATGCAGCAATCTTCATCAGCTTAAAAGCCAGGGACAGAAAGTAAATTAAAAAATTGAAGATGAAATAAAAATGACCGTTGCTGACAATCACTGCTTACCAATTCTCTTCTGAAGGGTCTTGAGATATCCTTTCTTCGGTCCTCTTGGTGAAAAACTATCTCGCACGACACAGTTTCCCCCGGAAGTGGCACACGCCGTACACTGCGGGATCCCCCTATCACAGCGGATCCTTTTTCGTCGGCATTCTTCGCACTTATTGCCAAGGCATTAGCGCCAACAGTCTCTGGATGCGCATAGGTGGCTACTTACTGCGCCTCCCGGCCGTTGTCGCGGTGATTGACCCGCCATGATACCTTGGAGGGTCGTACGACCTATACTTAACTAAGAAAAGGATGGGGATTGCTTTTTGCTGGAAGACGCAAACGCTGCCGATAACAAGAAAAGAGTGACTGCAAGCAATTTTTGACCTTGTTCAAAATGTGGTATGAGTGGCATTGGGTAGTTTGGTTTAAATGTAGTGGAGATGAACCGCATGAAGGTCAAAGCATTTAATACTTATAGATTAGCTGAAATGCAGGCAAGATCACAAAAGTCCTTCCTCTTCAGCAAAGTGGAAACCTTCGCACCACCATCAGTTCATCAAGATGCAGGTCGGCGACCAATAATCTGTCACTCAAAACAAATGTTGGTTGGATTGGATGCTTGTTGTAGGTCAGCTGAAAAAAGGCTAAAAGCCACAAGTTACTCACTCACACCGAAATGGGGACTTACGTGCCGTTATCATCAGTCGAGAGGAATGCACATGGACCCGTAAGGCTGTGAGCTAATTACTTGCAGCCCTCAATCCAATCTACGGCCTTCCCGTTCAGGCTTTCTTGTCTGCTGGACATATTACTTCCGCAAGCAGTAATTATTTCTCTTTGGAACTAACGTCTGCCTTGGGGGCTCAAAAGTACCAGGGTCCGCAGCGGCCCGGTGGAAGCGCGGCTGGCTAGTCGTTCGCGCTAATTAGATCTATCGTATGATCGGGGCGGAATGTCGCAACCGAGGGGACCTCGCTTGGCACAGTTGGGGGCCATACCGGGGATCTTCGGGTTTCTGCGATCACTTCGGCACGCTGCCGTGAGCCGCAGGATCTAGTGTCGTACGGCACTGTGATATTTTGCAACGGTCTAGAACAAACTTCTCGCCCCGGATCTTGGCGATCTCAAGCTTCCTTGGCAGGGGACCTGCGGCATCTGCGGCTGCTGCGGCCGTTGCGGCCTCATTTGGATCCTTCCGCTCAGCCTGCCGAGTACCGGAGTTTTGTTGTTAACGTAACGTCAGCCTTACGGAGGAAAGTAAAGCAGATAATCCACTTGCCACGAGCCATTTGCATGTTTTCTCGCATCAGTCTCACGGAGGAACGTAAGCCAGGGAAATGACCTGTTTTGAACCTCGTGCATATATAGAGATACCCAAGTAGTGATGGAGAAGCGCAATGGTCGGTTTGGGAAGACACACCAGTTCAATATCCATCTTATCACTCATTTGCAACATGTTATCGAACCTTTTCTGCATCGCTACCGCGGCGGCGACCGCCGTGGCTGCATCTGTAAATGCTCGAGATCAATTTGAGTCGTCAGCATATGTCTCAAAAGACGTCATTGAGCGAGACTTTGCCATCATTGGTGGCGGAGCAGCAGGAACATATGCAGCAATCAGTTTGGCCGATCAAAACAAAACCTTCACGCTGGTCGAAGTCTCAAACCGCCTTGGGGGCAACACCAGGACCTTTCACGACCCTGCAACTGGAGCCAAGGTCGACGTTGGTGTGCAGATCCATCTCGATGATCCCATCGTTCGCGACTTTTTTGCCCGTTTGCAATCCCCTCTGGTGAAGGCGGATCTTAAAGACTTTGGCAAGCCAGAATATTACGACTTCACCAAGCGAGTTGTCCCATCCAACTATGTACGGAACAATGTACAGGGCGATTATGTTGCCCAGCTCGACAAGTATCCCTATGTCGGAAATCTCGTCGACCTGCCTAACCCTGTTCCTGCCGATCTGCTCCTCACCTGGCCAGAATTCGTCAAGAAAAACAACATCTCTGTCGCCTCGGCGGAGGGAGGTCTCCAATGGCCAGCGACCCCAGGAGATCTCTTAGATACTACTGCACTTGCTATTCTTAATGGTGGCAATCATGTCGAGTTGGCAGAGTTTACCGGATCATCTGTTCGTGGTGCAAATCACGATAACTCCAACATTTACGTGAACGCTCTGGCCGAACTGAAACCAAATGTGCTTCTTAACTCAACCGTCATTGCAGCTTGCCGTGGATTATCTCGCAAGTCTGGCGTGCAGCTCGTGGTCAAGACCCCTTCTGGAAAGAAGCTCATCAAGGCCAAACAGCTTATCATTGCTATGCCGCCTGTATTGGACAATACCAAGTACTTTGGTCTCGACCAGCAGGAGCAAGCCATTCTGAGCAAGCTATCTGGCAAGCACTTCTACGGTGGCGTCGTAAACAACACTGGTATTCCGGACGGCATTGCTTATACCAACATCGGTGCCGACAGGCCGTATCACGTGGCCAGTGTGCCCGGTGTAGTCGAGATCGCCCCTTCGGCCTATCCTGGCTACCAGTTCTACTGGTACAACACGGTTAAGGCTCAGACACGAGCGGAAATTGAGAGCGCTACTCGAAGCACCATCAAGTGGCTGCAGACTCAGAAAAATGGGCCAGCCTTGGAGCCCCAGTTTGTAGACTTCCAGGACTACTCGCCCTTCCATCTGAGCCCTCCCACAAAGGACATAGCAAACGGCTGGTACAGCAAGATGAACGGTCTTCAGGGCCATAGGAACACTTGGTATATCAGTGCCTTGTTCGTCGTTGGCTCAACTCAGGTCTGGAACAACACTCGTACCATCCTTCCGGATATCATTACCGCTGCTGAGTCTTAGATTTTACGGAACCATAAGTCACAAAGGAACCAATGATGCATGCTTGGAGGACCGAGGTATACAGAGGTCTATCAATTTACTTCGATAATTAACTGTTGAATAATTCTATACACAATGAAAACTTCAGATTCTTTAAGGATTTTGTAAAACAATACCGTGTGTGAAGTCCAAGTTTACATTCACATGTGAATTTGATGACATTGCAATTGTCTATGTGGTAGAGCGCGTATTTAAGCAGTACCTTTCTGATACTGAGATTGGCCCTAGAGATAGGACAGGTAGTGACTAACTTGCTGGAACTGAAATTCTGACAGGTACTTGCGACACGTGAGACTGCTTCCTACCTTTGAAAAACTATCCATTGTTGTTTGTTTCTGGCTTTATAACGACAGAGTTAATGCTTACGGAACACTTATCATTGTGTCTCTAAATAAACTCTCTAAAAAGCACAATGTAGACGTATGAGTTTGAACCCTCTTACAGACATCCGCTTTTTCCAAATCAAGTCACCATTTTACATCTTTCATAGCGTGATTACTAACCCTAAGTTTGTTACCAAATGGAAATGGTATGCTCGCCAGTTGTCCCGCAGCTGAGTCACAGTTTATATGTCATCTATCATCTATTGAGAACTATTTGCAAACATACTATCAATTAACTAAGACGCCATTCTCTCAACACGTTGTGATAAGACCTCGACCAAGTCTACCCCAGCCTTAGTGGCCTCGTCGAGACTCTCCTCTGGCAACCCAAGCAGCTCATTCTGAGCCTTGGCCGCGAGGTTACTCGGGTCCTCCGGGTAGAACGCCCTTGCGTACAGCAATTTGCTGAAACCGGCCATGTTGCCAGTCTTGACTTGAGCCAGGCCATCCTCGTATCGCTTCTTCGTGGACTCATGATTGATGGTCCAGTCGGCATCGGAGGTGCCCGTGACCCTCTTCACGCTCTCGAACATGTCGTTTTGGCTGACTACAAAGCTCTTAAGATAAACGCTGTTGTTGGCGAAACGCGAAAGAGTGAGACTCTTGTCGTTCTCGTCTTCAGGGAGCTCTTTCAGGCTCAGCACCTTGGCCACGGCCCGTCCAACCTGCGACAAGGTCGATGTCGAGTTCTTGGTGTTGCCGTCGTCATAAAGCGTGAGGGAACGCTTGTCAAAGTCGAAGCCGAAGCGCGCCTCACCACCTGCCAAACTATAATCATACCAGAATCCGCAAGACACATTAACCCATTGCATGCCGAGCCTCTCGATTTCGTCTCTGTTTGCCTTGGCAATAGGTCCCAGCAGCGTGTCCTCGCCGAATTTGGTATGCTCAATATCACCGGCGTAGCCGTTGGGCATGACATAGGGAACCCCAGCCTTGGCGGCCGCCTGGACTAGCTTGCTGTGGGTGTCACGGGGCGCCGTGGGAGCCATGGTAATGATAAAAAATTGCTGGTCCTTGAGAGCCGCCACAATGCTGGCCTGGTCGTTGTAGTCAATTGGAGCGGCCAGAACACCCTCGGGTAGTTTGTTGTTGCTACCTTTGCGGGTGAGAGCCTTGACTGTGTGTTTTCCCGTTCGAAGGAGCGCAGCGGTTATGTGCGATCCAATGGTGCCGCCAGCCTGAGGTAATAGTGTCAGCATTCCGGTAGCCTACAAACGTACGTTGCGTTGAATTGACTTACTCCGACGATGGCGACTCTCTCGATGGCATTTTTGAAGCCAGCGGGCTGATTTCTGGCGTATCTGAACATTTTTGGGTTTTCCCTGTTAAAACGTGGAATTGGAAGCCAGAAGTTATTATTATCACGATTGTGGTCGAACGTGATGGTCAGGGATGATCGGCCATTTTCCCTATCCCCCAGCAGAAATCATCAGTCCCTTTATGCATTTCAGGGTCAGCCTCGATCTCTCTCCGTCTTGGCTGATTTACGTCCGACCAGGGTTGAAAACATAATCCCGGTTACATTCTCCGTCCCGCTCTGTCCGCCTTGGCCCGGCCAGATCCACGAGCTTGATTCGGTTTGGGAAATTATTGTTGGGAGGCGAGTAAGGCCACGTTTTTCAGCCGCAGCAGCCGCAGCAACCACCCGCTGTTGGGCCTAAAAGTGACGCCACCCGATGGGCAACCCTGATGCGGCGGCGGAGATTACGAAGTCCGCAGCAGCCGCAATAGCCGCAGCAGCCGTATCGCACTAGGTTCCCTCAGAAAACACGACAGTGATGATTCAGGATTATGTTGATGGTGAGCGAGGTCCAGTCGTGTCTCCTGCAACGCCCAGGATGAGGAAGGTGATGCTTTCAACTATGATTACAAACCCATCTAGTCCTGCTTACACTTTGTGGCTTCTACACGTAAATAAAATGCGCGTTTTTCGACGTTATGATCACCAAGATGGCTGGTCAAGGCTTACTCGCAATGCTCCCTACTGATTAACCCAAATTGTCATTACCTTCAGCCCTACCGCAACTTTGTTGTCATCAACCATAACTATGTCGGCCGAAGAGAAGGATAACCCGGCAATTGACGAGGGGCCGCACGCACGCCCTCCATCTGGACACCTCACACCCGGGCAAACAAGCTCTGACACCTCAGATAAGGAGCATCAAAATGATGTGCCGGAAGAAAATGTTCAAGGACATCCTCAGGCCAACGTTGAACGCCCGCATTCCCTTGCCGGCGAAGCCCTGTTTGTCGCTGTGCTTTGCTCCTCTCAGCTCCTTACTCAAGCTGGTCTCGCCATAAGCATCATGCCACAACACATCATTGCCCGCTCCTTCGGCATTGAAAATCAGCCCGGCGAAGTGAGTTGGTTTTCAGCAGGATACTCCCTCACCGTCGGGACCTTTATTCTAATCGCGGGCCGTCTCGGTGATGTCTTCGGTCATAAGGGTTTTTTCGTTGGTGGCTTTGCTTGGTTCGGCCTGTGGTCCGCCATCGCCGGGTTCGCCGTGTACAGCGGCCCCATTTTCTTCGCCTTCTGCCGTGCCATGCAAGGCATCGGTCCGGCCTTGTTGCTGCCCAACTGCATTGCCATCATCAGCCGCTGCTATGAGCCGGGACTCCGTCAAAACATGGTTTTTTGTCTGTTTGGTGCCACCGCACCCACCGGCTTCCTTGTCGGCGCCGTCTTTAGCAGCCTACTCTCACAGATGGCCTGGTGGCCCTGGGCTTATTGGGTAATGTGCTTCGCATGCCTTCTTTTGGCTCTTTTGGGCATCTTTGTCATTCCCGCGACACCGCCGTCACCGAGCAGCCCGGAGCATGAGAAGTCCAGTGTGTGGCAGCGTGTCGACATCCTGGGTTCCGTCACAGGCGTGGCCGCCCTGGTTCTCTTTAACTTTGCCTGGAATCAAGGTCCTGTTGTCGGCTGGCCAACACCCTACACTTACATCACCATGATTATTGGCGTAGCCATTTTCGTCGTCTTCATTCTCATTGAAAAGCGGGTGCGACATCCTCTGATTCCCTTCGGCGTCCTGGAGATCGACTCCCTCTTCACCTTGGCTTGCATTAGCGCCGGATGGTCCAGCTTCGGTATCTTTGTCTACTACATGTGCAATCTTCTCATGGTTCTCAGAGATCAAACCCCTCTCTACACGTCGGCTCAGTTCGTCGCTATCGCTATAAGTGGGCTTTTGGCTGCCGTCACTACGGGTTTGATCCTGAGCCACTTCCGCGCCTCAACCGTTATGGTCATCTCCATGTCGGCTTTCCTCATCGCAGGCATCATTATTGCAACAGTACCCGTTCACCAGACCTACTGGGCGCAGACCTTTGTGGCCATCATCATCCTTCCTTGGGGTATGGACATGTCCTTCCCGGCCGCAACCATCGTCCTGAGCCGGGCTATGCCACGACAGCACCAAGGACTAGCCGCTTCGTTGGTCAACACTTTTGTCAACTATTCCATCTCCATTGGCCTCGGCTTCGCCGGCACAGTTGATTCACAGGTAAGTAACAAAGGAAAGGATATTCTACGAGGTTATCGGGGTGCTTTTTATATGGGTGTCGGTCTTTCCGGTCTGGGTGTAGTCCTAGCTTTAGTTTTCTGCTTCGTCGAGCGTCGTTGGCGGAAAGCATCTGAGAAGATACCGCAGGAAACGAACCAAACAACAGTGGGCAATGTATAGATCTATCATGTATATTATTACCAGTTTACACAAAAACAGTGAACGGCCTTCCAAGTGTCCGTCATTACAACGCTCCAAGTCAAGTCAATATTCAACAATCCCCGCGTCTCAACGTCTATACATCGGGACCAAACATGGACAGATATGGTTCGATGAAGAACTGCTCCCAGTCTATATCCCATGCCATTTCTGGTACAGAGGTATTGCCCTCCGAGTCCGGCTGCAATTGGAAGAATTGGTAGTCCGCTTCGACAGCTTCCAGTTGGGCAAGCTCCTTTCGCTTTTTTGTTGTATAGAGGTTCAGGAGCTGTCTCGCCATAGCCAATGCGTCACGCGTTAGTCGTGTATCGGCAGCCTTTACAAGATTCTCCAAGCCTTTGAAGGCAGCACCAATATGAATCGTGGCGGCAGGTTTATCGATAGCTAACAGCACACAGGTATACTGGAAGACGCTTCCGATGACGTTCCAGAACAGATGTCCCTGGTTGGCAAGCTGTTGGGCCGCCTCCACTGCGGCGTTGCCATTCTCGATAACTATCTGAATGATGTCGTCCGAGATACCCAATTTGAGCTGATAAATGCGTCGATAGAAGCAAAACGCGAGCTCCGCCTTAGTCACCACAAGAAACGGATGGGTGAATTGGAACGTATCCAATGCTTTAATACGCTCACACAGCTCGTCTCGAGGAGTTGGAGGCTGGCATTCGAGTTGGAAGGGGGAATTGGGCGTTGGGATGATCTGGGCTATTTGCACGAACTGGTGGGCAACGGAGCCCGATGTTGGGATGATAGCCTGGCAAGTCACGGTCCGAAACCTTACAGCCGAACGATCGTATTCGTAGGATAGCAAGTGGTGGCCGGCCCACGAGATCCAGAATATTCGCCTCAGTCGATCTGCATCATGTCCGATGAGAATGGCACTGGGAACGGACGCCATCTTCTTGATGTTATCTTCTTCGTGCAGCCCTACTGCTTCGCACAAATGCATCGCAGTGCATGACGCGATCCAGGCATTGTTGGGGCGGCTTGTGCCTCGAAGGTAGAGCACTCGCATGGCCCACGCAACAATGTGGTCGATGCCGAGCATGTGCATGGAAGCCGGATCATCTAGAATGGCTTTGGCATACTGCACCAGATCAGGTTCCCGCGGATGTCTATTGGGAGATAGAAACGATCCGAGAGCGGCTACGCCAGCGGCCACGGCGCCAAAGGCAATCAGGGTGCTGGCGGAGCCATGGTAATATTCTCGACATCGTTGAGTGTAAATTCTCTGATCGAGGAGGTCTCCAATGGGTGCTAGTGCAGAGAAGTACACACCCGAGAAGAATTCAAGCTCGGCCTCAGAGATGAGCGTGCCTAGCAAGACATGAGAGCTAGACGCCTCGTCAGGGCGGATGCCAAAGTTGTAGGCGAGCGAATGTATCTTGGAAGGGCTGTCGGAGCCCAGAACCTCACCCAAGACGTGGGGGAATGCCATGGCCGCTGATGCTCCGGCGTACCTGGACTTGTGCTGGTCGAAGATGCCGGCAGGCGTCGTGTTAGCGCCGGTCGCAAGAGTGGGGCTCTTGGTCGATGAGCCGTCGGCTTCGCGGGGGCTCCGGTCTGTTTGAGACGGGCTGCCGGAACTCCGTGATGTGGCGCCACCTCGGCTTGCCATACCGCCTCCACCCTCAAAGTTGACACGCTTCGCTGGGGGAGGAGCATATATGCTGCCGCTCACGGTGCCACCGATGTCGCCGTCGGCGGCAGCGTAACTGCAATTGTATTCATAGGTAGTACAGGTATCACAAGGGTACTCGCCGTCGCATTTCCGCTTCCGCTGGTGGCAAGGGATACATGCCTTCCTCGCACGCTTACGCCTAGCCACTGGCAGTGACATGCCGGCCAACGGCGATTGACGTTCAAATCTGCTGCGGGTACAACTATGGTAGACTTTGACTGTATTGTGTTGTACTCCAAGAGTGACGCTCCATCAGCCGATACATCAGGTACAGTCCACAACCGATGAAAAAGAAAGTCGGCTACGGATCTGAGCAACAGCGTCATAGGGGTTCAGGCAACCACAGTCATCCGTTGGATAGACTGGAGTGGAGTAAGACGCTAGCAAAACACCCAATAAGGAGTGAATGAAGGTTGTTCTAACCATTTTAATAAAGACTAGTCTATAATAGGTAGGTCAATTAAATGGCTATAGTGGATTATCTGCAGTCTGCTGGCCAGGATGCCACGTCAAGAGATGTGAAGGGACAAAACCCCTCAAGACAAAAGAGACATCAGTATCTTTGGCGGTAGAAGATATCTTCTTGCTTGCACTTGTAGGAAATCGTGTATTTTTTTAATCATTTTCTTTTTCGCCCGAAAACTCGTAGATCTCTGATGGAGCTGCCATCTGCTGTCAGAAGCTGAGATGAGTACCTGTAGCAGTGTCGCAGTTGGTGCGATCAACCTACTAGTTTCAGTCGGATAAGTTTATTTGCGTAGTGCTGTTGTCCTTCTTATCATTGTATTAGGCAAGCCTGTTGTGACGCCCAGGCAAGCAAGCTTTTCTGTGTACCTCGTCAATAAGGTAGCTAACTACACGAGGTGACGTAACACATCTGATGAGAAGGAAAAGTTCAAGGAAACCTCTCGTGGCAAAGGACAGCGTGCGAAGATTGATTTGGGAGGCTGAAAACAACTCTCCAATGCGGAGCGACACAGCTGATCGAGCTCTCCTCGAGCTATGGACCCATTGTGGTGTGCCGTCTCGTGGTTGGCCGTGAGACCTTTCTCGTTTAGACAAACAGGGTCAATATCCGTCAGGAGGAATCGTTCTTCCTGCCGCAGTTAGCAACCCTGGCATAATTAATATGACTTAATTCTCTAAGCTGGTTACTGAGGTGATCGATCAGTGGCAATTCGGCCCATGGGGTTATCCGTTCTTAGTCGGCTTTAGGTCAAGCAGAATCAGGCCACAGCTACAGAAATCTCAATGATTGATCAGTCTAGTTCAAGCTCCATTGTCGAACTCAGTGAGCATCAAGAAAGTGATTTCCTTGATCTAATAAGACGGCAGTTCCGGAGTCACTGAGCCGCGGATCAGAAATGGCATGTATTATGGAAAGGTTCAGCGATTGCTGCGAACGGACCCGACACGGGGATTTCCACCAAAACAAATCCCTCGCTTTACAAAGTGACGAGTGTGATCGCCTGCTACAATGTCGCCTTTTTAGCACGCAATTTTAAGGGCCTTCAGAGCGGATGTAGCTCGTGTAAAAGTGGCGCTTTCAATAACAGCACGATGACAATTTGTGTGGGTTGATTGCGCGTTGAAGACTAGGTAAGCTAGGATTCTATAGTATTCGTGCAAGTATTTTCCCTCCTTGGCAGCTAATTTCTGAAGCACTGAAAGAGCCTAATCACAATAGCCTAGTCAATATCTTACGCAGCGTAAGCACCAATACTGGTTATGCTCAGATTTGCAACACATTCGTGCCCCCCATTAATCCAGAAATTCGCGGTAACACCGCCATCAATCAGCCCGAACTTGAACGATTTTCCGAACATTCTTATCGTTGTTACGGATCCTCAAGACACCTGCTGAGCTGCTTCTCGGAGGAGAATACCAAACCTGAGTCCGGCCACCTGCACATTGAGTACTGGAATTGATTTTACATTGTCCAACCTCTAGTCGTCCACCGTCTGGAGGTTTAGGCGCCGACGCGCAAGTATACTGCGCTAGAGTTCCGCTTGCGTAAACAAGAAGAGCGAGAAGTAATTGAGCTTGCATTTCTGGGCTTGTATTATAGAATAATACCTAAGTATCCTGTGTTAGCTATGACATTATGATCCAGCGTTCACCAATTTGTGCCGTTATACTGACAGGAATAGGGTAGTAGTGAATAAAAAGTGTGTTGCGTAGAAAACAGTTTGCTCTCGATTAGAAGGCAAGGGTCATGGCGTATTTGAAGAGTTGAAAGAACCACTACTACTTCAAACTATCGGAAGTCTCGACATTGCCGAGACCGCAATTTTTGGATACTGCTATGTATTCGAGAGATTGCGAACTAGTGTTCCTCGCGATGCCAAGTAAAATGTTGACGCCATGATTCATGAAGGGCGAGTTCATTTAGAAAAGTAGTTCTTTTCACATTTAAGTTTCAACAAATGCAGGCTCATTAATTATATCTTTAGTTAATTAGTATGACTGGGTGAAAATGCAATATACTAAGCAACACACGGAAAGACAAATTAGATCAGCTAGAACCACTACAACCCTAGTATAGCTATACAGTTTCCATTACTCATTTATATCAGTTAAGGTAAATAGGGTTAGAGTTAAGAAAAAGTAATTCTATAGATTATATATTTTACTATTATATTTTTATTAAATACTTTTAAAATAAAAACTACTTTATTCTATATTATCCTTTCTTTTATAATGTTCTTTTTCCTTTTCCTTACTTAATTTATTAACTCTAGATTTAATATCACGTGGTATATCACGTGACTATTATGTAATAAGATAGACTTTCTTATTTTATAATTTTATATACTTACTACTTTTTTCTAGTATTTATTTTTTAAAGAAGAATTACTTTAATTTTCTCTAGTTTCTGCGTTCTCTTAATAATATAATACTTTTTATTATTTCTTTCAAGACTATATGGTCTTGAAAGATTACTATCTATATAGGAATGAATGTTTCGGGCGCCGTTGCATCTAACTACCACCCCCACTAAATCTTTCGGCCGCCACTGGCGACCCAAACATCTAACTACCACCCCAAATCTTTCGGCCGCCACTGGCGACCCAAACATCCAACTACCACCCCCACTAAATCTTTCGGCCGCCACTGGCGACCCAAACATCTAACTACCACCCCAAATCTTTCGGCCGCCACTGGCGACCCAAACATCCAACTACCACCCCCACTAAATCTTTCGGCCGCCACTGGCGACCCAAACATCTAACTACCACCCCCACTAAATCTTTCGGCCGCCACTGGCGACCCAAACATCCAACTACTACCCCAACTAAATCTTTTAGCCGCCACTGGCGACCTAAAGAAATAGTTTGATCCCTATGTATTATCCTCCCTATCCAGACTATGTACAAAATCAATCAAAGGTAGCTCTAGAATATCCTTCTTCAGTCTCCCATCTTTTATCATTCTCAAGGCTTTTGTAACCTCAATAGTACCATCAGCCAAAAATCCTTTAACAATACTCTTCTCAGCTGCCTTACAGATAGTATATACCTGTGGCATTTGAGATACGAGCAAATCGAAAACAGCCTCAATCCTTTCTCTCCTTGGAACCTTGCTGTTCCCGTCAATGTTCCCACCGCCAAAACGCTTCCACCAAGAGCTAATAGTACTTGGTATAAACACCAGAACTCCTATTCCTAGCCTTTCCACCAGAACTCCAATAATAGTATAGTCGTAAATCATATCCTTCAATCTCTTCTCCTTTGTAAAACCAAGACCTCGAGCAAGATACATAGCAACCCCAGTATCTACACCTTGTCCCTAGCGTAGCCGAATGCCTTGATCTCCAAGGAAAGCCTTCATTTCTGAAGCCTTCTGCATGTCTCCTTGGTAGAGTCGTCTAACAGTCTGCCACTGGTCCCAAACTTCGAACTGCTTTGCGTACAAATGTAGCTTGGCAGCCGCTGCCTGCAAACCAAGACTCTCCCCGTCAACCCGACCCCAGGCCTCCGCAAACCTAGCAAGCTCTTCCGCATTATGCTGTCGCAGGTCGCTTGCCAGTTGCTTTGTCTGAAATCGCCGTTCAACTGCAGGCTTGCCAGTAGAGTAGTTACACTCCACCAACAAGTCATACAACTGATCTTTGATCTTACCCCCAAACATACGGCAAAATAATAACTCTCCAATTTAGTAACAGTCTTCTTCCCTAAGGCGTGGACTTGATGGGTCAATCAGTCCTATACCAGCAGAAGTAAACCTATTCCACTGGTCTTGCATCTCATTCCTTATTGTCGAAGAATTTTTCTCGTTGATCTGTCTTTTGAGACCTTCAAGAGTCCGGGGTGCCTTCTTCAGTTTCACGCCCGCTGCACATTGCTGTTGAGGTTCTGTCTCACCAGAACCAACTCGGGATGGTAATATCTTTCTCCTGTCGGCTGCGACCGGCTCCGTCTCTTTCGATTGAATATTGCTTGTTCTGTGCGAGTCGCCATCTATGATTGCCCCGGCACTGGCGGTGATGTCGTCGGATCCATGAAGAAATGGCTGCTCACTTCTTTGTTGCTCTTCACTTTCCTGTTCGGTCGTGTGCTTTGTTGTGCTTATTAGGTCGTTGGTCGACCCAGACGAATCACGATTTCTTAAGGTCTTCTCAACCTCCTCACCTAAATCACTAAGTATTAGTAATTAAAGCCTTATATGCAAAAGCAGAACTTACTGATTATAGACCAGTCATAATCTAAACAAAGAAGAATATCAGCTATAGCTGCTATACTTATAATATAAGTTGTAATATGTGTTTTTTGTTTAGCGATACTGAGGCTCTTGTACTCCCTAATCAACGCTGGTAAGGGCATTCGGGGAACTTGACGGAATGTTGATTTTTGCTGAGAAGATGGGTTGCTACTACCGTGTCTGCTTTGCCGTGGGGATTGCGGTAATAATACCTCGCCCTCCTGGACTTGCCCCTGCCGTGGAGTGGACTCAACAATGTCGTTGAAGTGGACCCTTTTGCGTTTATGCATCTCGGATGCTACTTAAATAGATTCTTTCTAACTGACGGAAGAAAGTTTTTATATGAAGGAGATTGTGCGTTTATTTATCCTTAGCGATAGATTAATACCCGCACTCTCCTACCCTAGCCCATGCCTTCTTCTACCCCTCAACCCTAGCTCATACGCCCCCTAGTAATGCAACTACAAGGCATAGCCAGACACGCTAGGCCATCATACACTAGTCATAAGTTTTCTTTCCCTGATATTCAATGCATGCATAAATCAAGGAAATCTGCCCTTGAAAGATTCTAACCTTCCCTATTTTCTTATAATGCTATACAACCCCGTCTGCCACGCAGCCTTCAACCTCCTGCCTTATCTTGCTCGCTGTCCAGATGTTTCTCATCCCGATTGGAATCTCCCATCCAATCTTCCTCGCCGTATCGTTGTGATGAAGCATATAGTACCTTTCCTTCAAGCCTACAATATCTAGAGGCAAATATTTCGCGCCAGGCTTCTGACCTTGATAACATACACCGGTGCATAAGATGCATCTTGTGTTCGTCTGGTGATCTTTGCTCTTGACGAGGCTGCCATTCTCGCCTGGAAATGGGAATGCGGAGTGCTGTGAAAAGAAGAGTGCCTTATGCTGTTCTTCAAACGATTCGGGCGTAATAGGAGCGTCTCGACGACTGTGAAGTCTGATCTGGCGGCTGATTGTGTCGCTCATACTCTTATACCAGCTCCTCCAATTTTCGTTCTTGAAAGTTGATCCTGGATCCTTCCTCGATTTCCCCCTTTCCGGGTCTCTAGGCATATCGGCCCAAGTAAACTTCCAGAAAAGGCTCAAATCCCTATATTTCGTCCTGTTATTTCCAGAGATCGCGAGCTCTAGGCCGCACCCTTCCGTAAAGCGCCGAAGGCTATCGAAGGTAAAGGGTACATAGTCTCCCTCAATCTCCTGCATCATCAGGCTAGATAATGTCTTACCATAGCAGATACGCTTCAAGGCGTACTTGCGGTACTCGCGCAGGATGAGATAACTACTCAGACGGCAGATCATCTTCACTCTCCCCTTGTGTTTCCATTCCGCCTCAAGAAGCTCTCGCAGCATTGCAAACAAGGCACCCGGGCTATCCTCGATCTCGTCATATGCCCGCTTCCCAGTAGAGATCTTAAAGCCAGGAATATCCAAACCAGACGTCAAATCCTCGTGGATTTTAAAGTCCCCCCAGTCAACAAGGTTGTCAGGTAAAAACCCAAAGCCGTAGTTTTCTATAGTTGTCGCTATTCCCAGACCCCTCTTCTTTAGCTTACCGTTTTGTAAAGTTAGGGGCGGTTAGCCGATTCCAGTTGCGTTGTCAAGGACATACTGAAATCTCGGGTTCATAGGATTAACAAAGGTCTTTAACAATGTTGCTATAACGGCATATAGTAATACCGCCCTAGGTACTGCCGACCTAATGTTTCGTGTTGACGCCGAAATGAGATCAAGAACGAGCACGTAGGTTGAAGCTACAGCTCGGATAAAGCTCCAGTAGGTCTCGGAAGGAATGCAGTAGAAAGCACTACAGCAAGAGTTCTTCGCCCTTCTGCCTCCATGATGTCTTTTGAAGAATTCTGACCGTGACGGCTCACTAAAGTCAAGTTCTTGCATCCATGCATCGTCAGCCTCCCTAATAAGCCTAGCTAACTGGGAGCTGCATCGCCACTCTCCTCGCCAACAGGAATGGGTCTTCTCCGCTCGCTGTGTTCTTCTTCTAATGAACTCGTTTGAATGGCGAAGCCCGGCGTCGACCATTGCCCGAGCGGCTCTCGGGCTAGCTGCTTTCCTCAGTATCTTGCTAAGGCTATCATCATCGAAGCCACCTTGCATAAGATAAGAGAAACCATAAGGCTTCTGTCCAGGGCTAAGGAGGATCTCTTTACCAACAGTATAGCTCTGGTAGTAGTATAACCCTTGTCGTAATAGATCGCCAGTAGGTTCAGCCGTTATACTGCAAGTGTCCCTCAGATGATTAACATGGAACTCGTGATGTAAACCCCCCTGAACGCGCTGATCCGATAGGGTAGGAAGTTTTGACTCGTTAGTACCAGAGAGAGTCTACTCGATGTTAAGCCCGTAGAGGAAGCGGAGGGTGTTGAGTTGACAACATCGTCGTGCAAGGAGAACATATGCCCCTGGAGACTTTCGGCTTGGTGCCCACTCAGCCGCTAAATCAATCAGTTGAGGGTAGTTAGCATCTAGGGCGGTTTGATCCAACTCCTCAACAACTTGGGACTGTTTGCTCTAGAAATCATCAACACATATAGTCGCCGAGAGAGAACCTCCATACTTCAGTTTTGTATTCTTCTGATCGAGTACAAAGAACAAGCCTTGGTAGAAGCCTTCTTGCTTCGTGCTAAGATCATGTATCCTTTGCTGTAGTAGTATAGCAAGTTGGTGAAAATGGTTGTTAGTAATGTTGAAGCTGTAGGCTGGTAGACGTCTGTCATGCCCTGCGTCATCCGAGCCTTTGGAAAACCTAGCAATTTCTACCGCATCTGCAAAACTTGCTGGCATATGCCCTCGCTCTGACGTAGCGCAGACCTCATGTAGGCAAGGGATCATGACATCATTAAAGAAGGAACCATACTCATCGTCCCTCAACTGCGTATGACCAGACTGTGTACTTTGGCGATCCTGAACTTCTTCAAATAGTTAGGGGAAGAAGAGGTAGATTGGCTGGTCTTGTGTTTCTCCGAAGAATATATGTGGTATGGTATGTAGTGAAACCAACTTCTGTTGACCGTCGACCATGACATGACGCTTGATATGGACGGTTGATCGGATGAACCTGCCTCGCTGTGGGACCGGCGTGTATTTAATCGGATGTTTAAAGTCGGCAATGCAGGGAATGACATGAATAAAGCTATCGATGTCAAACCTCGTTCGTGAAAGTTCGACGCTACCCTGGTGGTCATCGTCTAGGTTGATGCAGCGATGGTTGTTGTCTCTGTCTACGCCGCATACTAGTCTCTTCAAATCGACTTTAGGAATCAAGTTGGCCAAAGATCTAAGCCCGTATAATGCCATGTCAATCGGGGCTTGTCGCATCAATCCCAGGACTTTGGAACACTTTTGTCGGCTGATTATACTGTTCGTAGCCGCCGTATAGCTAGACAAGCCTTGTGCTCTCGCGTCAACGTCCTGATGAGATAGCCGACTGTTGTGAGAGGGACATGCAATAAGCCCAAGTCGAATAATGTATATAATCCGACGAGCTAGGCGTTTCTATTCATCGAGACTATCGTCACAGACCCAATCCAGCACCGTACTACGGTCGATATTAAAGTCTAAACCACCATACTCAACAGACGGCGCGATGGTCGAGACATTACCGATACTCCCTTCAGAGGAACTGTCGCTGTCGTCATTATCTAACGCGTCTGGCTGAGTAGCTGCCAGGCGGTCTTCGTCGGCTAACTGCGAAGCAGTGTCGCCATCTTCAGCTCCAGAGCCTCTGCTTCCGAAGTAGTCGCTTTCGAAGTCGTCGCTTTCGAACCCGTATCCTGAAGTGCCATCTCTCATAGCAGCAAAACCCGCTAGTATCGCCTGGCTATCTAACCGTGCCATGGTTTTGTTCAAAGTGTAATAATAATCCCGTCTTTTAAAATAGATGTTAATCCCAAGGACGAAGAAAGATATAGTTCATATCTTGGAGTTTGATCTCACCAAAACTAAACAATTCCTAACACTAAGTATCTCTAACCCTAAACGATCCCTCGTTAGCTCTTCCCTCAAACAGTCCAGTCCTCCTACGTCAAAACCCTCCCCATACCTAGTGCCCTTCAACCACAGGCTTCAACCGCGTCGCCGAACAAACCACACAAGATGGATCAAGGCCCCTTACATCGGACAAAGTACCACCGACTACCAAAGGCATCTACCCCCTAGTCCTAGTCGAGGTTGTATTACCTTCAACCAGCCACCCCTACATATATCCACCTAGAGACGGTGTTGTTACCTTTTTAATTAAAATTTCATTGCGCTATCCTGTATCCCTGGGCCCCTCGTGACACGAGAAATTTTCAAGGGTGTTGAATGGGCTCTCTGTACGATCGTACTGTCATAAATGTAGGGTGAACCAAAGATTCTATTTTCCGTGATTACCTTTCCTAACTAGATGTTGCCTTCCGTACGAACAGATATATCTCTGTCCATACCTAGACACGAGTCGTGCATGACAGGTAATAAACCATGATCCCTTCCTCAGACATTTAGGTGTTACAGGTGCTAGTCATGCCACCTATACACCCCTTTGCCTGTGACAGCCTTGTCGTACGGTCATGTGATTATCGTTATTCCAACACTCACAACTTTTCTTTTTATGACCGTACGTGCCTATCCTTTGTCCAATTAGGTTGCGCTATTCCAGTTCGTAATAGCTTTACTTGATTAATATGTGTCGTAAGGGTGAATGTAGGAAGTCGTCTCGTACGCCTTCCTCTCTTGTCGGTTGAGTAAGTCGCGTGTCCTACGTGCCTTCCTCTATTGCTTCACCTCACTTTTTCTTGTTTTTTTTTTTTTTTTTTTCTGCCTACTTAGGCAGAGCTTTCCGTATTGAAATGATAAAAACGCGTCTTTTCTTCTTTTCCTCTTACTTACCTTTTCTCCTCTTCGTACACCACTTCTTCTCTCTTCTCTTCGTACGTTGAACAATCATTCTCATTCAACGCTTTTTTTTTTTTTTTTTCCCTTTTATGTTTTCTAACCATGGTCTAGAACGATGAACGTAATGCTCTTGCCCTGCCGTCGCACGACATTGAAGTGCGTATGACTGGCAACATGAGCGTTCAAGAGTTCGTCGCCTCTATCATACGACGCTCTAGTTACTTCATCGCGATCATCATTCAGTCTCGAGGTCGTACGATGCCTGCTTGCGCCAGCAAGTGTGCGACCTCTGGCTCTCCTCGATTCCGGGAGTGTGTTCGTCTCAGGACCCTCTCTGATGGCTCGTGTGCGGAATGCGTCTAGCAGTCGCACGGCGCTCGTTGCTCTCACCGTGGTCAGGAGGATGGTTCGTCCGATTCGTCTGGTGGTAGCAACCATTCCGACAACGATGATGATGATGAGTCTCCCCGTCGCTCTAACTATCGGAAGCCGTACGCCCGTGGCGCTCGCCAGCCCGACCGTACGCCTGGTCGCAAGCTTGGTCGTGGTGTCGGCACCTCTGGCAGCTTCCTTGGCTCTTCTCACAACCTGCAGCTGATTGAGAAGGAGTAATTGGGGGATTGGTTCATTCGTACGGTGGTTATCTATGATCTCAAGGGTCTGGCTCTCATAGACTAACATCTGGTGGTGGATCTTGGTATTGGGGTTTTCGTACGATAGTAAAATCGCACGAGTTGATTGTCATTCGTCTTTTCCCCCAAGTCTATCCACGTACGCTTCGATTCTTATCCTGAGCTTGCTTGTCGTAATTAACTGCTCGAGCGCTGAATTTGGTGACTTCTTTGTGAAAGCATCTGCTGGATTGTCTTTGCCATCGATCCATCTCACTTCTGAGATTTCTTTCTTCTCGTACGACTCCCTCAGGCTCATGATATCGATCATAAGTCTTTTCTCATCAGTAGTTCCTAGTCGTACGAGGCATTCATACAGAGATCTTGAGTCTGTACAAATCACGACTGGAATTCCTGGGAGGTTGAGCGTACGAAGAATCCGGTTCAAGGTACTGCTTAACGATATGCCACTGTCAAAGCCTGTAGTCATTCCGTATAGTTCGCTAGCTAGTACGCTTCGAGTCACTCGTTTGCATTTCGTTGAGCTCCAGTGGATAATATTTCCATTGATCTCAAAGTCTGTCGTCGTACGAGCTGTTTCCTCTGCAAGTACGATAACAAATCCAAGCTGTGATGAAAGGTCTGTATTATTTGCAAATGATCCGTCTGTGAAGATATACATCTTTGTTCGTACGAAGTCGAGTGGAATATATTTAAGACCTCGATCAGGGTTGTCTATTTGCCATTGAAGTCGTACGTTCAGAGCTTCAATGTCCTCTTTACTTGGTTCTTTGATCTGAGCTGCGACTGCTAAATCGTACGATGCCTCTGGCTGGCATATTGAAGCAAGGTATGCGCCCCTTGCCCGCTGCGAAACGTACTGTTGTCGTGCATCAAGTGCATCTATCTCTATAGTATTGAGCTGCTTAACTTGTCCTTTCTGTAAGAAAGTAAAGTAGTCTTCGTACGACTGAATCCTGCCGCCATTGAAATCTACTTCTTGGTTATGTGATAGGATTGTTTTCGGCTTCGCACGAAGGCCCTTCTTCTCCAATTGTTCCTCTTCCCGTACGGAGAAACTTGCTGTTGCGAAACTCATTGTATCGTCTGTTTGCATTGCCGTGATACCAAAGTCGTCTGCTCCTGTCGTAGTATAAAGGAGGCATGGGTCGTACGTTGACTCTATCATTCCAAGGTCCTCCTTGTGGTGTGTAGCGTACGTCTTATACCAGTAAAGACCTGATTCTGCTAATCCGTAGAGCGGCTTCACGATATGTAGGAGTGTTCTTTCTGGGTATTTACCCTCGAGTTCCCTGGGAAGTCGTGCGATAATTGTTCTTTTTAATGGATCGTCCGATTGGGTATATGCCTGCGTAATATCCCTGAGTTCTCCTTGACACTTGAAGTCTCGTACGAGGGTAGGTCCAAGGGCGAGGAGTAGTCTCTGACTCATCCTCTGGATCGTTGGTGCCTGTGTAAGGATTTCCTCCTTTTCCTGGTCACCATATCCTTGGATTACTAGTCTTGACTTTTCGTACGGCTTCGTGGTTTTGTTTTTGATTTCTCTAACCATTCGTGTACGAAAGATCCGTATGTTGGAGTGTTTGTCTAGGTCGTACCGAATAAAGGTAAAGACTCCCTGGTTGATTAACGCGTCGATCTCAATCCTATCCGACTCTTCGTACGGTAATCCTGGTGTTGTGATTATGTTGTCAAGTCGGAGTTTTACTGCTAACTCGTAGTTGTCTTTCTCTTTCTGAGTGAGAAAATGTCTTGGGGATTGTCGTACGGCCCTTCTTTGACCCTTCTTTGGCCGTCCTCTTTTCCTTGGTTGTGGTTGAGGGATTTGCCGTGCGACGTCTGGTTCAGACTCTTCCTGGGGTTGTGTATCGTCCCTATAGTATGGTTTGACGTGTGTCGCCCGAAACTGTGTAGGTCCGTTTATCATGTTCACAGTTACATTATGTCCCTCAATCCCCTGTACTTCGTACGGTCCGGTCCATCCCTTGTTTTCTCTCCATACCATGACTTCGCTCTGGATAGGGAGGGATAAGACTTGTTGAATATTAGGACCGTTCCTTGTATTGATCGCACGGTTGATCTCAACCTCTGCGCGGATGCCTTGAAGTAACTTCCTTGCCTTCTGGGCGGCTTCTGCCCGTTGTACGATTTCTGGTGATGGTGGTGAATCCTTGTTAATACGTGGATAAGTACCGAATACCAGAAGTGTTGGTACGATTCCGTACGGTCCAGCTGTATCGTTTAACGCTTTGATAGCCATCTGTAGGATTGTCTCATCGTCTGTATTATGACTGAGTTCGGTATGAAGGATATCGTACGCTCGCCTTAAGGGAGCGTGAGCTCTCTCGACTTTGCCGACTGCCCAGTGTGCTTCTACTGGCATCTCATCGCACGTAATACCCATAATTTCGGCATGTTTGCGGAATTCAGTAGATGCGAAGTTTGTCCCCGGATCGTGTACGATATGGTCTGGTGGACCGACATAGGTGTTAATCCAACATTTGGTTAACGCATTCCATGTGTCTCGTGCGGAAAGGGATTTTAGGAATGTTGCTCCTTGAAAGCTTGTTTCCGTATCGATCACATGTAAGGCATTTTTGTCCTTCAGTCGTACGACATCTACCACGATTTCGTAATTGAAATAGCTCTCGTCCTTAAGGGAGAACTTAAATCTCCTTGGAGCTGGATCGTGCGACTGGCAGTTGTGACAGAACTTCTGGACCTTTTCTAAAATCGACTGGCTAATATCGTCGTGTCCAGCGTTTTTCAGAAGTTGGTATAGTCGTTCCGTACGAGGATGTCCAAATCGTCTATGTAAACGCCTTAGTTGTACCTCCGTAAAGAAAATACTTGACTCTCTTTTGCTGAGATTGAAAAAAGCATGGCCCCATTTGCGTACGACTGGAATATGTTTCCCATCTCGTCGTACGATAACATTCGCAATGTTGTTGAAGTATGCCTTTAGTCTATCTGCATCTTTTAAAGAGAATAAGAATGGCGTAGCTGACTCGAAGATATGGTACTTCACTCGTCCGATTGGATTCTCCATGATGATAGTCCCGATTGATGTGTTTAAGCGTCCGTCTCCGAATCGTACGTAGACCGACCCTGGTTTCCAGGATACTTTTGCTTGTGGGTTTTCCCTGAGGTATGCTATGACCTGTGACTTGCCGACTGTAGAAACTTTCGCTGCACCTGTGTCCCAAAGTTCCCCTTGGTAAACTGATGTATATGGGTCTTGTAGTACGAATTGAGTTGCTTCTACTGTCTTTGGAGCTGAGAAAATGTCTTCCCCTGTCGTACGGTGGAAGAATGCTGCTGAAGTAAGGA